TTAGGCTTGTCGTAGATAGCTTGTTACATAGGTACACCTAGGCACTGATTGAGTTATTCGCAGTGACAAATACCTCTAAAAAGGTACTTTGACCAGGGTTCGAAACGCCAGTTTAGTCTATTGAGTATGCGACAACCTAAATCTCACCAAAACCGATCTGGACGAGAGTGTCATCGGGCAAAGGTACTCTTGTTATTGAATTGAACTAGATGATTTAGTTACGAACTCGTTCCTTTGTGTTATTGCCTCGATTTCTAGGCGTAGTGGGGTTGTATAGTGGGCAACTACGGACGTAGGCCGTTGCCCAATTCCGGACGTCAAAAAGGCAAGATTAGAATAAAGAATGAAATAGACTAAATCAAAGATAGCGCTCCACTTAAACGGCAGGGGATCGAAAGTAGTAATGGGTATAACACCATCACAAGAATAAGACAGAAGGCAATCGAAGTCGATCATACACGGCGCAGGTACAAGTCCACTCACCACTCACTCGGGTTTTTGTTTGCGCATGCCTCGGCTGCACTGTACATCCCATCTCCGCGGACTGTAGATAAACCCAGGTTGCCTTTTTTGATATTCCACCATCTTCCTATCTGTGATCACCATCAGCACTATATCACTAGAGGCATTTCGCTAACAAATCGTCGGAATTCGCAGAGACCCAATCTCGCACCTCATCGGGAGCAGCCTGACCCGACCAGAAGGGTCAAGTGGCCCCCAAATCCACCCGTCCGGGAGATGCACGCGTTGACAGTAGCTTGGGTTAGGTGGTGCCCTTCCCCTGGGCCTCGCTTCAACGCCCAGGGTTATGAAATCATTAGATCATTAGATCATTAATTTAGATTAATTTTTAGCCCAGGTGACCCGATGGGACCCAAGACCGAGGATGGGACCCGAGGAGGGACTAGCGGTCGCTCATCACCGGGATGGCAACGCCGTCACTTTGGGACTTTTAGTTCAAGGAGACAGGGGGGAATTGCTTGCGCAACAAAGAGACCATATTTTTTGTCCACTGAAATCATGGCAATCGGTCACTTACTACTTACTATGGCTTGCTAACGAAGATACCTAATCCAATTTCCTCGTACTCCGTCTAGACCAACACTGAGACCGCTTGGGGGCGGATACCAAAGTACAGCGGCTAACCAGCGCGGGTAGAGATTATCGAAAGCCCTGGTTGGCGAGGCAGCCTCTAAGAGAGAGCGTTTGAAATGGGTGATCTTTATTAATGACGGGTTGACTCTAGTTCTACTTATGGAGTACGTACTGGTGGCGCTCAGGAGAGAATGCAAAGCGATTGGTTAGGGCTTTTGAAGTACAGAGAGCAGCGAGTTATCCTACTAGTCCGTACAATTCCCATTATCATTCGTACGTACATAATCTGAAAAGTACCTTCATTTACTGCGGGTCTCGATTTGCATTGAAGTCGTCCTTTTGCTCCTCGTGATCTCTATACAGTCATTTCGTACCCCCCCCCGTATTTCTGTGGCCAGACCGGTTGCTCGAGGTCCATTTGGGTGCTTTTGTTCAATTCCAATTTCCTGTCTGGCCTTCAATTCCCCCTTCTAGAGAGTAGTAGATGGTCGCTTAAAACGACCATTGATTTGGGCAAAATACGAGGGTCTGATCTCAAGGGGGGTATTCTTCTATGTACTGTTAGTAGCTGAAGTGCGACCAAGTCCGGCATATCCTAGACGGAGATGGCGGACGACCCCGCGAAGACCGTTCCTGTCAAAGTCAACGCCAATTACCCGGGTCCAGACCCGGTGGGAGGGATGCGGTGGGTAGAGATAGAGGGGAGCAGATCGACATAAGGGGGGAGGGGAGAGGGTTTCCCCCCAAGCCATGACAGACATCGGCCCGTCGCCCAGATGGTGATTCTCCAATGGCGACACAGGAACTGCCAACGTTTGACGGATAAAAGAGATGTGTGTTTCTTAATCACTATCAAACCCTCTTCCAATACCCACAAAGACCAAAATAATAAACAAAACTACCCATGGCAAAGCCCTTTCAGCAAGTCATTCTTGGACATTCCAGGATCCAGGATGTTGGGCCCTAGTCAATCGGCACCTTGATAGGTTCGTGTAAAGCAGCGCCGCCCCTCTAGGCCCCAGGAAGACCCAAGTGAAGCCCTCGGATGCCCTCGCTTATTGGAGGCGGCCCTGCAAAACTAACGCCGGGGCACATCACGCTCAGATCCGGCGATCGAGAGAGCACGGCCCCTATCCAGTCTGCCTAGCTTGTCCACAATTTTGTTTCCTTTTGGACACTGGCACTCTGAATGGAGGGTTTGATTGCATTTCAGAGAGATGGTCACGTCAGGTGTATTCGTGGGGAGCCCTTTTCCACTTTCCCCCCCCCACTACAAAGCCTTCCTCTGGATTCATCTTGCACTAAGGAGGGCGGCGATACGGGATCCTACAGGGCTTTAATTGGGGATGTCAAAGTGTCAACAGGACTGTATGCTTTCCACGGTACTCCGTTCTCCGTTCTCCGTACCTGGTGACGAATCTGCAAGTAAATTTCCCACGTTACGGAACCTCCGAGAAGCTGAGGTCGATCGGCGTACCTTTAAGAATAGCACCCACACGGCGTATGGCCCCCCCCCCCCTCGACGCAAGGCAGGGCCTGTGCGAGTGCTTTTGAACACGAACGCTATCGGGAGGGGGAACTCTCTGGTTGGAAGAGAGGCGCGGTGTGTGCCTGGCAGATGCCAAACGGGCGTATATGACTCGATAGTGCGACCAGGGTTTGTACGAAGTAAACAAGTACCTCTAACGAAGGACTAAATAACGAGCGATCTTTTTAGTCCTACTACCATACAGAATGCTCAAACAAAGAAAACGTTCCTTGGTTCGACGTGGATCCCCCGCGCTTCATCCCGCCCCTGTCACAACCTGTCAAGCTGTCAGATAGGAAGGTGGGATAAACTTGTCGGGATTTTGAGCGTAATCACTAGGTCATAATTGATTCGAACTATAGGCTGTTGAGATTAGAGTCGGGAGTGAACAAAACGGTTACAAACATCATAGTGGTTGCCTCGCCTTCTGGGGTCTACCATTAGCAATCGGAGAGGATCTGATCAGAACACCTTGAGTTGGACAATGACAAAGCGGGTTCCCCGATCTCGCTCAGTTCTCTACTGTACTCCGTTCTGCCAGCAACTATGGTAGAAATTCTCCGTACTTTGTACTAAATGTAATTCTCTATGGTGGGGAAGGACTACCATGTAGAAGAGGGGGGGCGGTCGATCGACAATCGACAGCGCCACGCTGTTTTCGGCGGTGGAGGAACGGACGCAACGCTAAGCGGGACTTGGATTTATAGGAAAATAAATAACAAAATCAAAGCAGAAGTACGTCTGCACCGATATAGATGACCTAAGAAAATAAACCAAAAAATAGACAGATTTGAGAACATCCCTAATGTCATAGCGATCTACAAATAGTAAGTCGAACTCGACAGGGATGTTAATCGAATCGGGAACTGGACTTTGTGCATTAGCTTATTTAGCTTTGGTTTAGTACAATGTTAGTTGGATTTGGTGGGCTATTCGGGCTATTGGGTTAGTGCTTCTTAACCTGGTTGGCATCCTTCATACCTGCATCTCGCTCCTCCACTACGCCAATCTTGCTGCGTCCTGCATACGCCGCAGTGCGATCAAAATTAAATTCAAAATTCCAAAAATCAAATTAAATTAAAGATAATTCCATATTTTCAATGCCAAGTCCCAACCCCCCCAAAATAAATCCTAAGATAATTAATATTCCTAAATTCCTAAACCCTTAGGTTCTCCCGGGGATCCCCCGGCTTTCTGAATGACCCTCGACCCTCAAGGATGATCCTAGCTTTCTGTGGCACGGTTTGCCATATGCTTGCCGGTCACCTCTCACTCGATTATACTTAGGTACTTTCGTGGAAAAAAAAAAGAATAATAAAAAAAGATATTATTTTAAAACAAATTTTAACGAAATCGCAAATCGATCACCCCAAGATCTGCCCCCCATTGCTCTGGACCGCGCGACACTTGAAATATCCCACTCCTCCTCCCTCAAGCCGGCCAAACTCCCTTTTACAACTCTGTGCTTTTTTGACTTTCTTTTCTTTTCTTCTTATCTTGAAGGCAAAGAAAGAAACATTAATTTAAAGCTCCCGTCCTCTTCCCACTTTCTTCAAGGAGATCACTTTTATTTTCCAACCCGCCTCGACCCACACTCTACCTAGTTGTGTCTACTAGGTTCCGTGCTTTATACTTGCTTTGGGTCTTACCATCCCACCGGACACAAGATATTGTGTATACAACCAGGCCATCCCCGTCCCGTGTCACCATCCCAATCCAACCGCAGCTGCCCCGGTTCATATCAGTGTACTTGCAGTATACTTCCGGGTACTCTTTTCTGATACTTCCCCAGGAACAAATTGAGAGTGGAGTATATTCCTCTTGTTCCTGCATCGCCAATATCATTCAATTCCTATTTCTATTGGCATATTCAATTCTCACGTCTTTGTACCTGTGTTGCCCGTTTGAATCGGTGAGTGAAATTACTTGACAACCCAATTGTGGTCTGGTTCGCAATAAGCTTGACTCTGAGCCGTTCGCGGGTTGGCAGTCGTCCATGAGACAGCCACCCGTCGGGGCAGCCGGGTGAGGCGGCTACCGTTGGACATTGCCCGGGTTGCTTCGCAAACTGGGCTGGATGTCCGCTGCGTTTTTCGTCACATTGTTCCATCTTGAGAGTTCTAGGCTAATGATGGTTGGAACTACTCAGACTTTGTCAACCGCTAGCTTTGGTCTATATAAAGGACCGTTCTATCTTGCGAGCTTCGGCGCTGAAACAGACATAGTTCTGTTCTTTGGATACTCGATATATACTCTCCTCGACTGTGAAACTACGCCTTGATATCCCGGAGTTCCTTCTATCGCCGAGAGAACACCGCCGACTCACGCTTTACCGTGATCACTGCAGACCACGGCTCTGCGTTCCAACATCGACACAATGGTTTACAGTAAGCCCAATACGTCTACTGGCGCCATGAAGCGTTCAGCTTCGGCCCTTCACGAAGGTGCACCTGGGTGGGATGTTGCTCCTGTAAGTCTATATCCAAGGAGCCATTTCGATCAATAATCTAACCAGGATTCAGCCCATGATGACCCCGGCGCGCCCCGCATCCTTCCGCATGCCCTACGCGCACTACGCTCTGATCTATCTGGATAACGAGGGCAAGCTCAAGGTTGACGAGTCTGCTTCAATCAAAGAGCAGAAATCTACTATTTTCACTCCAGAGGTTCGCCAGAACTTCCTTGAGATTCTCGGGGAACGTATTGGTTTCCAACAGCCTCTTCGCCGTAAGTTGAACATCAGCTCTGAAGTGCTTGGGCCACTCAACTAACCTAAAAATATAGGCACATTGGATGCTTCTCCTCGCCGTGTTCGCCGCCGTCGTGTTAATGCTCCAGGATCTGACGACCGTCTCGCAGATGCTGGTTCGGACAGCGATGACTGCTCTCCTAATGGCTCCAACGAAATGATTCCCCTGCGCATCGGAGACACTCCTAAGGTTTTGGCTTACTACGAAGGTGCCCTGAAGCACTTCCAGCAGCTCAACTGCCGCATGGTCGCAAAGGCCTTTATCAAGTTCATCGAGCCCCGCAAGCAGGTTCGGCACCCGTACAATGGTGGCAAGCCCCCAGCAGGCTCTGCTCCCGGTACTACTGGTGACCCTGAAAAGACCAAGCCCTTGTGGTGGCCCCCGGGTGTCATGCACAAGGAGCCCGACCACCTGCGCAAAGAGTGTATGTGGTTCTTCTGTTACTTTCTTGTAATAGACTTACTGACATTTTAATTAGACCGCATTGAGCTCCTCCTCCACATCATTCGCAAACTGGGCGATCATGGCATTACTGCCGATAAGCTGAAGGAGGTCGCTGGCGACACCAAGCGTAGTCTTAAGCATGCTTCTCATGTGGATATCATTTACGAGATCCTGCGCGTGCGCAAGATGGAGGAGCGATTTGAGCGTGGAGAAGTTGGTATGTGTTATAATTGAATATTCCAATGTCCACGCGACGTTCTAACGGGTTATACAGATGCAAGCATGGTTGTCTACGTGATGAACCGAGGACCTAGCCCCAAGGGTGATGATGAGGAGGAATCCAACGACACTGCTACTCTTCCCGTTCCGACTATGGAAGCCCCCGAGCACATTGAAGAAGGCCTTCTTACCCCAACATCCTCCATCGAGCATGTCACCGCTCCCTTGACGACACCCATTGACCCCTTGTCTATGGCACCGACCAGATCTCTTCCAACCAACTTCTCCCTCTCTCAGCCTCTCACCTTCGACGGCCCCCGACAAGATCGTCCTTATTACACCACGCCTCCTCAATACACAGACTCCTTCTCCCAGCCGATGCTAAGTACCCCCGTCACAGCCGAGATGATCAGCCCCCACGACGTCTCAGTCTTCGACTACTCAACCTCCCACGGCTTCCCAGCGTCAACGTCTGACCAGAAGTTCGATGCCTGGGCTCCTACCTTCCGCCAGACTCTGTTCAGTCCTGTGGACTACAATGCCCCGGCTGTGACACACGGCCTGCCCCAGCCCCCTTTGCACTACATGCCCATGGCATCACCGGCGCAGCTTCACGATATGTCTCCCCCCACGCCCAGTCACCATTGGATCCAATGAGCCAGCGAGCATTGCCCTTCCGCACTGGCTCCCTGGGTCACCCGCATGAGCTGCCCCTCATCCACCAAGCCTAGGTTCTCGCCCTCCCAATGGACGGGCAGGACCCGGTTGGAGGCAAATCCCGAGCAATGCCACGACTAAAAGAAGTGCACGGGCTTTTAATGAATTCTACGACTGAAATGGCTTTGATTACCATACCATATGAAAGCACTTGATACTTGATACAAAGGAGGCGGGCTTGTTCTGGAGTTTCGATTCACTGTTTATTTTTTGTCTTAATTCTTTTCTTTTAACTTTCTTGTTTTCTGTGAATACAAAAAAAGGTCGGTGTCATCAGAAAGAGGAATCGCGCAGTTATTAGGGGTTTTGGTCGTCGGGTCTTTTTTGTTGTTCTTTGAAAATATTTCCATTGGCTTTGGATTCCTGATTGTGATTTGTGGTTTTTGGATTTTGATTGGATTTTGGTTGTCAAATATCTTCCGGTTTTTCTGGGCTCACGTTCGCTCTATTTTGACCTTCTGAGTCTTTCGCTAATACTTTTGCATTTTTTTGTTTACGGATGGCTTGTCATGTATATGGATGGTCTTTTTGTGATCGATTCTTCCCGGCATTCATCATGCTTTGTGGAAACAATCTTGTTTTGGTAGATAGTGATGCCATATGAAACACTTCATGAAAACATTATCTGAAAATTTCTCTGCAAGCCTGGACGAAAATGGTAAAACTGACCGATAAAGTGGCTGGCTTGCCTTGTTGCCTGAAATATAGATACGAAGCCAGGTTAGCCGACGATGGGACGAGTGGGATGATGGGCTGCCTGAGGCGTAGATGCTGCCGCCAACCGCCATCACATGACTCAGGCGCGCGGCTGACTCAAGTGGACCCTCTTCCGTCCGGAGTCCTTTGAGCTCCCGCAGTGCTTTATCTCGAGTCTTCTTAGTTAACTCCGTCGCGTCTTACGTCTCCCACTGTCGGCTTTTCAGTTTCGCTAGATCTCTCTAGCACAAACTGACCTGGATGCAGGCCGAGCGAGGATAGGATGGCAAGCCCGTTCAATCCGTTTGCTGCTGGCCGCGGCCAGAGTGCCGGAGAGGCAAGCACCTCTGGACGAGGTCGCGGGTCCACACGAGGGTCAATGAGAGGGGGCACCGATCGTGGCAATAAAGGGGCTGCACGAGGACGAGGAAGAGGAGGCAGCAGAGGCCGGGTAATGGCTGGTGCCTCAGCGACTCGTGGGCGCGGCGCGGGCGCTGCTGCTAGAGGCGCGTCTCATGCAACAACCTCAACCTCAACTTCTTCGACAAACACCAACGTCGCCAATTCGCCATTCTCACAGCTCACCCAACCGAACCAACTGAACCAACTGGCCCCTCCACAGAACGTTTTCGGTAAACAACAAGCCCGGAGCAAGTCCCCCATGGCACCTGGCGCAGGCCTGAGGGGCGGTGCCGCCGCTCGGAACAACACCTTCAGCCCCGGCGCAGGTCAACACGGTTCTCGACAGTCTCCTACGGTCAATGGCCATGGAACTTCTGCAAAGCCCGCGTCCGCCGATCACACCGCAATGTCGGGCTCCTACCCAGATCGCTACGAGCAGGTCAGCCAATCCTCATTTATCTTTTATCGATTTCCAGCCGCGAAAGTTAGGACCGAACGGACTCTAATCCCCATTTGCAGCTGAAACTTGACCGCGCGAAACAAAGACAACGAGCTATTAGAGATGGACAGATGGCAGATCCGAATCAGCCCACGTCACTGAAAAAGGCCATTCGGCCCGTGGGTACTTGCGAGAGCATGTGCCCCGAGTTTGAGAGGGTGGAACGCATCGTCCAGAAGATGGTGGATCGCAGCGAGAAGGTATGTTGCACCCGTCATGACTCGTTTCGAATTGGCATGCTGACCATGAATGTTCCTCCATAGTATCTCGATCCGTCGACAAATACCATGCAGAATATGGAAGCTAAGATGCTGAAGCGCTTTCGCCGTTCGGCAGCGGGCTACGATGAGCAACTTCCTTCTGATATTCGTACACCCAAGGCACTCTTGCAAGCGACAAATTATCTGATCCGACATGTGGTGGGCGGAAATGAGCCTCTGGGCATCGTACACAAATTTGTTTGGGACCGGACACGCTCCATTCGCAATGATTTTTCGGTTCAGCAAGTCACCCACGAAGTGGACGTCAAAGTGGCTGTTATGTGCTTGGAGAGAATCGCTCGTTTCCACATTCTCTCGCTACATCTACTTTCAAGCCCCGCGAACGAGGAACAGTTTGATCGCCATCAGGAACGTGAACAGCTGAACAACACCATGTTGTCCCTGATGTACTACTACGATGATAACCGTGGACGCGTGCTCTTCCCTAATGAGGAGGAGTTCCGTGCATATTACATTCTGTTCTCCATTCACGACCAACGGCCCGACCTCGAAGCCCGCGTTCAAAAGTGGCCAGCAGCACTGCTCAATTCCCCTCGCGTCCAGGTAGCGTTGGAGTTGTATGCAGCGGCCTGCAACACATGGGAATACCAAGGCACGCTAGATGCTCGACGACCAAATGCCATTGCGCAGGGCTTCTACACTCGCTTCTTCCACATCATCGACTCGCCCAGCGTCTCGTATCTGATGGCCTGCGTGGCGGAAATCTACTTCAACCATGTTCGGCAGACGACGATCCGTGCCATCTGGAAGGCTTACTGCCGAGCTCCAGCATCGCAGCAGCACAAGAACGAGGAGTGGACGGTGGAACTTTTGACCAAGGTGCTGTATCTTGATGACGACGAGCAGACCATCAAGTTCTGTGAAGAGCAGGACCTCCAGTTTGCTGAGAATGCCAATGGCCAAATGTATCTCAACTGGGGTACTCGCCCTGTTGACTCTGTCGGTAAGATATCACCTCCTAAACCCTGCGCTGAGATAAGCTATTGGCACCTTTTGGTCCCATATATCATCACGTTTGTCCCGTCTAATCCCTTCCCCTTTAGGGTTTTCACCTTCTTCCGAGCATGCCTTCTCGGATACCTACGTTGAGTCGAAGCGTGCTGGTCGAAACTTGGTGGCCGTTGTTCTCGGAATGACCGTTCGAGAGGCTGCGGCCATGGGTATGATCGATGAGTCTGCAGTGCCTGAGCGCATGGAAGAAACCCCCTCGGAAGCTCCTACTCCCATCGAAAATATCTTCGTGAGTGACAAGGACAATACGACTCCGGCCCCCACAGTGGAAATTGTCCCTACGTCTCTGGATAGCGATGTTCCAAGTTCTGCTTCGCCTACGAAGGATGTGTTCAACCCTTTCCAACAAACCACACAAACGCCTTCGCCATTTGGGAATCTCCCTCAAGCAGCCCAGCCTCCCACACAGGCTGCAGCCCCGCAAGCTGCGAATCCCTTCTCTGCGATGTTATCCGGCGCTCAAGCCAACAAGGTGGCGGCACCGGCACCGGCAACCCCATTCGCTGCTAAGCTTACCCCTTCGCCTTCTCCATTCGCTTTCCCGAAGCCGGCCGAAACAACTCAGGCGGAGAGTGCCTCGACAGCTCCTTTTATCGATTTCTCGAAGCCTGCGGCAACCCCAGTGGCTAAAGAGGGCACACCTCCAGTGCCGTCTCCATTCACTTTCCCCAAACCGGCTGAGACTGCTGAAAAACCTGCTGCTCCTTCAACGAGCTCCGCATTCGCATTTACCAAGCCAACCGAGACGGCTGAAAAAGTTGGTGCCACCGCAACGCCCTCCCCGTTTGCTTTCCCTAAGCCGACCGGGACAACCGTAAAGGACGTCACACCAACAGCCTCCCCTAACCCATTCGCTGCCTCCTTGTCTGCTTTTGTGCCCCCGAAACCGTTGGGATTAGCGGAGGACCCTGTTCCTTCTGCGAACTCCCCCTTCCCTACAACAGAGGCCAACACAGCTACCTCGAAATCATTGGAGGCGCCGACCGCCGCCCCATCCCTGTTCAAGCCAGCCTTCCCTCAGCCGTCTACAAGCTCCGCCACTTTCCCCTCTACTACATCACCCTTCAACTTCTCATCAATTACACCAGAAATATCTCAATCCCAACCCCCAGCTCCTATTTTTACGGAAACTAGTTCGGCCCATCAAACTTCTACTGTTTTCGAGCCCGCTAAGCCATCGCCGTTCAGTGGATTCTCGCAGCCTTCTCTGTTCCAGCCTCCAAAGGCATCTGCAGCCGTGGAGAAAAAGATCGAACATGTCAAGGAAACCTCCATGCCTATGTCCCAACCTGGCGAGATCCCACCCACAGCACCAAGTGCAACTCCAAAGCTTTTTAGCCCCTCGGCCGGGCCCTCTGTCTTTTCTACATTCCAAACCAAGAAACCTCTATTCCCCTCTCCAAGCCCCCTCGCAAGTACTAATGCCGTCGCCGAACCTCCTTCAATCCAAGGAAAGGAGTCTGTGTTCCCACAAACCCAGCCAGATCTGTTCGCCAAGCCTGCGAAGCCCAAGCAAGATGAAGCTGTTGTGCAAAAGCTACCACCGGCTGAAATTGCGGCGAAGAGTCCAGAACCGGTGGAGCCGGCCTTGTCTGTTTCGCAGCTCAACCAATCGACCACCTCGCTCAGCTCAACCCAAACATCTGTCGAGTCCGATAATCTTCAATGGCGACCCCCACAGACAGAAGAGGAAGAAATCGCCCTTTACCAGCGAATCATGAAGCGCGCCGAGGAAAAAGCGCAACGCAAGGAGGAGAAGCGCAAGCGAAAGCGGATTCTAGATGAACAAGCATTGGCCGATTCATTGCGTGAGGAACGTCTGAAAGCATCAAAGTTGTCAACACCTGAAGAGTCACTTCCACCCGCCAAGAGATTCTCACTGGCCGAGTCATCCATCAAAGCTCTGCCAACGCTTCCTTGCCTAGAAAGAGCCAAGGCTCTTCTGGAGAAAAGGCCGGCTTCGGCTGAGCCGGATACCGAGGTCACAAGGAAACGCCAACGCGAGATCGACGAGGATGAAATTCTCCTCAATTCTGCTCGCATCGTCGCCGAGCAACTACGCACTGGGCCCAAAATCTTCGACGAGATGTCGCCGCAAAGCCTCGCTGAGTACAACGCGTATCACGCATACTGGGAAGAACGGGGCAAGCGCAGCCGCTCATACAGCAACAGCATCAGCCCTGCCATCACACCCTACGCGCAGAGTGCATCACCACCACAGTTCCCGCGCCATCCTTACGAGGTCGCATACGCACCCGAGACGCCTCAAGGACTGGGACGTACGATGTCTCGTACTGAGTACCGCATTCGGATGACCGGCGGACATGGATTGGCCTACAAGCCCTTGGATTTCTCGCGGTCGAAGAGTCACAAGCATCTAGACAAAGAAAAAGACAAGGGCAAGAGTCGTTTTGCCATGAGTGGATAAGAAAGGGGTAACCTGCATACCTTACGTCATTGCATAGTTTAAGACGGGCGTTTCTGGATTAACCAGTTTGATTTTTATTCGATTGTGGCTACGAATGGACCTATTCGAGTCACAACACATTGCACGGTGTTCGGGCGGTTCGACAGTACATACCCGATTTCTTCTTTTATTTTGATTAGCCTCACATTTGATATTCTTTTCATGAAGATAATTCAAGTCTATTCTTATTTTCATCATTTGTTCTATGTATGCTCAAACAGTAACTTGAGCCTTTACTGTTGACTATTGACCTTCAACATCGTGGCTGGGTTTAGTCTGTGGAAAATTAGGATCCTCAGGCACCAACTTCCTCTTCATCAGGCCCACGTCGTCTTATCTCTTTACATGTCCCCATTCCTAAGCTACTCCCCACATCCCAACATTAGAACTTCAACTGTGTCCGATCTCAGCGCTGAGCATCCAAAAGGCTATCCAGTGTATCCAAGACCTACCATTCGACCTTTTTGACGCCATCCTGGAAACCACAGCGGCCACTGTGCGGCTCGGGCTTCGGACAGTAGCCTCCCAGGCAAGCACCGGGTTCAAAGCCTCAGTCAGTGCTAATACCTTCAATCGGTATCATTGCCGATTCAATCCAATCCAAAATCAAACTTTTTGCCTTTCGAGGGGCTTTTCAACCTCCCGCCTGCTGTGGATGAGGATCGCGACATTGCAATTTGCCCCAAAGTTGGGAGATGTTGAGGGGAACATCAACAGAGCCAATGATTTGCTGAAACGGGGCAAGCATATCTCCCTCAATGGACAGGCCCATGGGATAGGGATCGGAGTAGATCTTCTAGGTCCTGATCTTCTAGTATTGCCGGAGTTGGCTTTGACGGGTATGTTTTGAGCGGAACTGATGAGAGCATGATTCCCTGCGCACGCTCATAACTTTCATTTCCTTCTGTTTCAGTCGACTCACAAATGTCAAAATTGCTAACACTCATCTCCAGGGTACAACTTCCCCTCCAAGGAAGCCATTGAACCATATCTAGAGCCTGCTGGCGCAGGTCCCAGCGCTACATGGGCGCGCGACACAGCCCAGCGCCTGAATTGCAAAGTCTGCATCGGCTACCCGGAGATTGAGCACAGTACCAATGAGGGTGAATCACCCAAATACTACAACTCGCTTCTCGTGGTCGATGAAGTGGGCACGGTAGTCCACAACTATCGCAAGAGTTTCCTGTACTATACAGATGAGACCTGGGCCGCCGAAGGCAGTGTGGATCTGGGATTCCGCAATTTGGAATTCACGCCACACATCGAGCCCGAGAGCAAGTCCGGTTCTGCAGCCATGACCCCAGCAGGACTGGCTCAGCATGAAGTACCCACCTCATTTGGTATCTGCATGGACATCAACCCTTACAAGTTCGAAGCACCCTACACAGCGTACGAGTTTGCCAACCGGGTGTTAGACTCAGGCTCACAGCTAGTTATCTTATCGATGGCCTGGCTCACACTAATGGGGAAGGAAGACATGACCGCCCTGAATGGGAAGCCCGATATGGACACGTTCAGTTACTGGTTAAACCGGTTTATGCCCCTACTAGAGAAGAAGATGCGGCACGCGGGGGATATCGACAGCCACACCGAACGCCACGGCGCATCGACCGATGCAGCGACCAAGAGGACCGTGATTATATTTGCCAATCGCGCCGGGGAGGAGCCGGCGGCAGATGATACCAAGCCACCGGCGCGGTATGCAGGGACGAGTGCCGTCATTGCTGTGACGCAGCGGACTCGTCCGGGGTCAGGGTCAGGGTCAGGGTCACGGGTTGCGGACCGGATCGACGGTAGGAAAGAGGGCGAGGGTGAGAACGAGGGTGCAGTGGAGACGAAGATCGCCTGCTGGGATCTACTAGGCGCGGGGGAGGAAGGGATTTGCTTTGCGGATACTACGGCAGACCCGAAAATGGTGTTTGGGTTACGGAAGAGGGGGGTGGGGAGGAGAGTTCTGGAGAGGACTCTGATGGATCGGAGTGAAATGTGAGACATCTTGAGACGAATATCAGGGTGAATATGAGAGATTGCGTCAACAGTTGAAGAGAGGAGGTTGCCTTCTTTTGCCTAAGAAGGCGTCCGCCGTGTTTAGGGTGTATGATTAGAGGAGAGTATTGAGAGCTCGAAAGTATAGATATTTATGCTTCGCGTATCACCTACACTTTGGATTTACACTCTAGTATATTCGAGAGATCTCCATCACGAGTCATGTATACTGCTATATAGCTATACTTATGCCTCCATATAGATTATCTCCGGATTCACCCGTTGATTTCCTACTCGCTAGACCCGGAATGATCGCATGGGAGATCGACTTCTGCAGCCACCACTGTGCACACCTTATTTCATCGCCGGTCTCATGACTGCTGGGCGATCTGCTACTTGGCTAGACCTGGACGGAGGATCACCAAGGTGACATAGTTTGACGGAACACGGAGTATTAACAGAGGTAAAGGGAGAGGGACGGGCGGGTGCAACCCTCGGGGCAGCAGGAGAATTATGGATGATGGAGGGTAGTGGAGGAGGGGGGGGGGGATGTAATAATTCTACAGTAGTGTGGTCAAAATCCACATGTGATCTCCTGCTATGGATGGAGTAGCAATGCTAGTTATGCATTAGATTCGAAGATTAAGTCTAGATGCGGAGGGGAAGATGGCATGCATCCCCGAGTTGCATGATGAGGAGATATCGAATGATATGTAGGAGTAGTAAGCTCGCAGGAGTGCAGGTAGATTAGTAGGGTATTTGTCGGCTTAGAAGGACAAATATCAAGAACAAGTATAAAGGATGGAGGATGGAAAGTATGAGATTCACCAGTCCATCAGTCCCTCCACAAGCAAATCAGGCCGATCGGTGGCCCGTGCGGGGCTGGGCTGGGTGACCAGCACGTGATTTGGAGACAGCCCACCAATCAACGGGGAGAGTCGCAGTGTGTGCGAGGGGCACGGGATCACAACACCTGACTGGAGAGCAGGTGAAAGTACGTGGGCGATAAGGATGGATTTAGAAATGTGCTGAATATCTGGCAGGATGCATATTTCTCGAAAAGATTATCAATGGAACCGAAGACAATTTCCATTGTTGTCTATAGTTTATATACGGAGTACTATTCCAGAGGAGGTGATAGTATCTGCTGACATAAGGTGGAAGTCTCCGGTCAGGTGATCTCCACAGTTCTGCACAGTTGGTCCTTGTGGTCTCCCCCAACTCTCCTCGCGCCCTCCTCCTCCTCCTCTCCACGTGAGCAGTCCCTCTCGACTCGGTCGCTCAACCCATCCCTAAAGAACATCCCTTTTTCCATGTAAAATCGCCTGATTTTGTTTCATGGTCAAACGGATCTGATCTCCTACAATCTCCACGCTCCAGTTTCTTTCCCCTTTCATTTTGGGGTTCCATTTCGATTTTCGAGTTGTCGACATCGCGAAACAACGTGACTTCCGGTCTGTTATTGTCCGTGGCAGGTGACTTCCTGTCAGGTGATAGATAGGATCATCCCAAGGTAACAACTTCCCATCGGCCCCTGCTATCCCCCTGCCCCCGCTGCATGGCTTCACGATGTGCGCTTTTCTCATTGCGAGCGCTGCCCCTTCGGCCGCTCTAACCCTGATCCCATTGCCCCCTCTCTTTGCCGACCAGCCGATCACCAAGTGTGTGTCGACGGTCGCCCGCAGCCATGACGCGCCTGTGAGGTCGTCGCGACGTCGTCCTCGGGACAGCCCTTGACAGCCTCAAAACATTCAGAACGATGTTTGATCGCGTCGCTGTCGCTGCCTGGGAGGCCTCCGCCCGCGATGCACCCAGCTGGTGCTGGATCCTGTCCCGCTCGTGAGGGGGGGGAAGCCTGCTCTCCGGGCGCGTCGGCTTCGCGCGTTTTCTCTGTTTACCCCGAGGCAGACAGTCGATCCTACCGAGGGAGGGTGCGACCTGTCATTCATGCACTAACCTTGAAACTCACACACTCTTCCATCGTACAATACTCACTGTTGCCTAAGATACTTTTTTTTCTGAATCGCCTTCGATGACTAACCTTCTCGCCGCTGCTCAGGACCCTTTGCTCTAGACTATGTCCGATCCCACCATGAACAGCCCAGACGGTGCCGGCGGCAAGCGCAAGCGCGAGGGCTCTGATGACCTTGGCCACGACGCACAGCGTCTGAATCGCTCGTCGCACGGCAGCAACGGCAGCATGCCGGACAACCAGCACAACTTCGGCCACTCGATTGGCTACGACCACGGCCTCGGTAACGCAGGGTCCGAGTTGAACATTGACCAACAAATTCTCCAGCACGTCGGCCCCCAGAATGGACTGTCTGATGACAATGCTCTCACTGCCAATGCCAAAGCTGCGCTGGCCGCACATGCCCCTCAGCACAAGTACCCCCCACCCCCGGATGCTGCCGCCTTCGATGCGAACAACCTTACACAGGGGTTGAACTTTGGCGATGATATGGGCCAGGGACCTATCCCCGGTCCTCACAACCACAACTCCACTGCTGCTGCGGTGTATGCTGCGCGCGAGGCGCAAAGTATGAACCAGAAGCCCACTGTCGGTTCTCCCGAGTGGCACCAGATCCGCAAGAACAACCATAAAGAGGGTACGTCTCGTTTTCCCAGAATGGATTCTCCTGTCTCTTCTATTTACTGACTCCGTTTTTTAGTTGAGCGACGCCGACGTGAGGCTATCAACGAGGGAATCAACCAGATCGCCCGCCTCGTGCCAAATTGCGACAAGAACAAGGGTGCCATTCTGCAACGCGCCATCGAATACATTTGCCAGCTCCAAGAAGAGAAGAAGAACATTGACGAGCGGTTCGAGCAACACAGCCTCACCGCCAACCATGCCATTAACGAGATCAGCGCATCCAACCAAAAGTTGAAGCAAGAGGTCGGCCGACGCAATGCTATCGCCGCCAAGTGGCTCCAGCGCTGCCGCGATGCCGGCCTGGAGTTCGACGACTACGAGGAGGCCAAAGAACTCGAGACCCTTGATGGGATGGAGTAAGCAGGCCAACTCGGTCCGCTAGGCTTCTCGTTCGCATGTGATGTGCCACGATTGTCTCGCCGCGTTTCTTTTTTTTCGGTGGTTAAGATTTTGAACATACCCTCATTTCCGTTCTTCGATCTGATTATTCTGGAATCAGATTTCCGATTTTTTTCCAACTTCTTCCTGTTTTTTTCTCGTGGAGCGGACATTGCCTCGGTGGCTTCCGCGCTGTTACATCCCCTATTTTGACTCGTTAACAGCTCATTCGACTATGGTCTATCGTTACTGGTAGGCCTCCGCGATTGCCTCGCAAGGGTCGTTTGCGTTGTTGCTTTGACTTGGAGTGGCGCACTTCCCCTCTTCTCTGGCCTGTATCTTACCGCGCTTTTGTATCACGTTCTTCTTTCATCGTTAATGGATGGACCGGCGAAATTTATGGATTGGTTTGGGCTTTCTGGATGCCACAATGCTGGTATAATGCAAGATACTCTTTATTTTTATTTTCCTACTTAAGTTGTGTATAGTTGTCATAGAAGTGTAAATGCCTTGGCTGTCAGTAGATCATGACGGAATTCCCATCCGTTTGGCTTAGCAGTCGATGTGTTGTTCGCGCGACAAATCAGGCCTATTTAGAATAGCACATGCTCTACTCTTTGTTATACCTGTCCCTGACGAAATCTCAAGGAAATTCGTTGCGCTTCCCCCAAAAGTTGGCTCGAGAGATAATCCCGAAGCTATCTAGGGAGACAGGCTAAAAGACCTTAAGAAAGATTTTTCAAAAGAGCGGCAGATATAGTGTATCTGGTTAGGCTTTTTCTATGGCCACTGCTAGATAGAGGCAAACTAACCAATCAAATTTAGTTTGTCATGCCGATGATTGACTTAGGTTGTCCTGTTAGTAACCGGATCATGGGTAGATGGCTTTGTTTGACATGATTGCGTTCCACCGTTACTCCGGCAAATATCCCTATAAAGCCCTGTGATTATTTTGCCATCTTCCTTCATCTTCCACATTCCTTCCCTATCAAATATACCATCCATCTTCTTCTCCCCGATCCCTCTCACGACATACCACCATGGACTGGTGTTTTCAATATCCTCTTCATCAGCCATCCCCCCACAGGTCTATAATAGACTCTGATGGTCAACGGAGAAGAATAGAAGACGAAGAAGAAACAATAATCACCTGGAAATATTGGACACCATCCATTCCATGTACGTGAAGCTTCCCCGTTGTCTTGGCCGACTTTATTGTGTCTTATACTCTGCTCTTGTTAACTCTCCCAGAAATATATACATAACGAAGCGCCAACGATTCCGTTATCACCGCGAGACAGACCTAGTAAGGCTGATGGGATTTTATCACCGACACGGCGAATGAAGCTGCACTTGGAATTCAATCGCCCAAGGGTTGAGGATACCTTCATATCACATTGCGGCTGTAACTGTACACTCGCCTATATCTCTTCATGGGGTCATACATTGCAACCAAGGCAATGAGAGGATGCTTAAGGGCTATTTCATGGCGTCCTGGTGGTCGACGAGAAGTCCATGATTGGTATCTACCAAACCTGTAGGACGACGATGACAAATATTTTTCAGTTTGTCGCTGATCCATTCCTTCAGTCAACATTGTTACACCTGTTATTGATGACTCCAATATACTAACTCCATCTAGGCGCGAGCGGGTAGAGACGACTCGTCGGCGTACGTGGTCGGGAGTATTCTCGCGATCCCATGTACACATCCTGGTGGAGAACAACCTCTCACCGTGATACCCCCTGGCTACATTACCACGCTCGTTTCGATCAACCAAGCCGGCAGAATGGATCTCGAGGGCAAAGATCTAGAGGGACATTTCTACCTGATCCATATGCTACTCCAACGGGAGAGTGCATTGCGGGCAGAACATTGCTGGAGATCCTGTCATTTGAGAAATGTCAACGTTTTCCCAAAAGAAACAACAATGTCAATACAAAGACTTGATGACGTCTTATTCAAGACTCTCAAAGGAACTCAGAAGAAGGAGAGCAATTGGCAAGCCGAATACGAATCGATGGTGATTGACGACTCATCTCCTTCGCCTGTGGAGGTACATGAGGAAGTTCAATCTACTTAGATGCGACTATAAGAAAAGCTCCCCTGTTTGCTTATATTGGGATACACGATCAATTCATGATCGTGCGCTATATCGATATATAGCTCCAGCAGGCCTTTTCTCATCACCACATCGAACGGGTTATCTATACAAATGCTTTGACTTTGAAGTTCCAAAAATCGGTACATGGCTTTGGCTCTTCGTGAGAGACCACTCGTCGATAAATACACTGTCGCTGCTAGGGTGTGTCCCCTCCTCCGTGAATGGATAGAGCAGAGCAGCCATTTTTTCCAGAGATATCAGCTACTTATAGTATGGAGTGACTGACTAATCTATACACTCTACACTATAAGCAGCTACTGTCTCTAGAATAAATGGCTGTTTTGCTATATCCCTTCACGGAGGAGGGGGGGAGAGACGGCAGGAGGTTTGAGTCGTCAATCGCCATCGATTCGTATTCTGCTTGCCAATTTGTCTCTTTCTTTTGAGTTCCTTTAAGAGTCTTGAATAAGACGTCATCAAGTCTTTGGATTGACATCGTTGTTTCTTTTGGGAAAACGTTGACTGTCTGAGCTGCCTCGGACACAAATGGAAGCTGAGAGACCGAGTCCTGAGATGGGTTTGCTTCCCTTTGACCCTTTTGAAGCCGTTATGGTCACTGAAAGAGTTGATGAGTCAATCCGCCAAACTAAGAAATCTTGTGTTACTCACACTATTTGCCATGGCAACTTCCAACCACTATACATGGTGTGTATCAACCTTCTAATTCCTTTGTTTCGATAATCAACGAGGCAGAGCATTGATTGACAAGTGCCTTATTGATACCTATACACCAGGATATCTCAATTCCTTTCCAGCTGGCCTGCAAGACTGTGGACTGCTGCTGCACTTCACACTTCATAGTGTCACACCAAAATAAACAAATACAACTTCTGAAACATAACAGCAGACGATGCCACCCTGACTCCAACAATGTCCTTCTTGACACCCAAGGTGGAAGAAACGATCAGTGGCACTACAACGAGCCAGTCGATGAACTGCTAGCATTGGGTCATGGCATACAAAACCAACGCAATGAAGGTACGTATCAGAAAGATCGTTGTGCAAGTGTATTTAGAACCAACTAAATGGTGATGTAGTTTCGGGAAACATCAGCGACAGCGAGTTTAGCTTCTCACTTGGGCAGTGTCTATATTATGGCTGGAAAGTACATTGCTCGAGTGGGCTCGTTCTTCCACGTACGGTCTCCTTTACAAATTGGAGTGCTTGGCAACTATACGGTATAGAGTCAACTTTGCCTTTCAGAGACAGGTGAATTCTACACGGCTCTCCCCGCCACATCAGGAGCGACCAACGGCATACCTCGGGGTGCTTCAAAGAACCCATGTTGAACGCAGACAAATTACAGAGGAGATATTAAGCTTTGTTTGTAGATATTTCCATGCTCGTGGAAGATCTCTTGACTTGGCTTTTCTGGTGTTGAACAACTACGATAATAAATGGTGAACTAGGAAGTGAAACAAACCCCTACGCGATCTCTCTCCACGTACACTCTTGTCATCTCTCCCACTCGTCACCTGGATGAACTCATATTAAATAGAACTTCAATTCTCTATAATACTCCCCCAGTCCCCGTATATACATACACAACAAACATCACATTCACAGGTTCGAAGAAGCAGTAATCTCCGAACCAGAAGAGCATCCCACACTGTTCACAACAACAGTGCTTCCAGATTGGCCGGTAACACGAACATCAACAGTGTCCACACCGAATCCAGAAGACTGCTCGAAGTAGTTGTACGAAGTGCGGGTAGTGCTCTGCCAAGTGCTACCACCGTCGGTGCTAACCTCGAGCTTGGTAACGGGCTCGTTGGCATTGACAACCTGCATCGAGAACCAGTACTGGGAAGTACCTTCCTTGTTCTTCAGCTGAAGGGGGCCGGCGAGGTCGCAGGCAGTGTACTCCCAGGTGATGTCGATAACACCGGCGGAGATGTCGGAGAGCTCGGCGAAGGCGTCTTGGAAGAGGTCGAGGTGGCTGGCGGCGCACTCGGGGCATTGGTCGACGATCTGTGGGGGTGGTTAGAATACTTGAACGGGCTGGGTTTTAGGAACTTGCTCGTGTTTTGACTTACCATAGCCTTGATGGTGTTACCATTAGGTCCAGTAACAGCAACGCAAGCACCGCACTCGGCAGCATTGTCCCAGGCAGCACCAGAGAAGGCAGTACCGAAGAGACCGCTGGGCAGAGTGTACCCAGAGAAAGAGCAGGTTCCACCAGCAACGTTACCACCATAGTAGGTAGCCTCTCCGGAAGTGGAAGAAGAGGAAGAGGAAGAGGAAGAGGTAGAGGAGGTGGCAGCAGCAGCAGCTTCGGTAGTGGAAGTAGAAGAGGCCGAAGAGGTAGTCTCCAGGCTGGTGGTGGAAGTAGCAACCGCAGCAACGGCGTTCTCGGTGGACAGCTCCGCGACAACAGCGACGGTGGCTTGCGTGGTCGTGGCGACTGGAGCCTCGCTAGTCGGCACGGGAGTAGAAGAGGTAGTCGAGGATGAGACCGAAGCGGCGTCGTCGCCAACGGCAGTGGTAGTCTCGACAGGAGCAGCGGTCTCCACAATTGCAACGGGAGAGGAGGTAGAGGTGACCTCCGGAGCAGCCGAAGAGGTGGAGGTCAGATACATAGTGCTATAGCTAGTATAGACGGACACGGTGTAACCCTTGGGGCACTGGTTATGCTCATGACGGCCGCCCAAGTGCTTAGCAGAGACGGTAGCAGCAGCGCCGAAGAGGACTGCGCCGAGAGAAGCGAGACGCTGGTACTTCATCGTGAAGAATTGAATTTCAGAAGTCCGGCTGAAGGAAGTATATCAATTGTGGAATGAAAACCGCGGGGGAGTCTGTCGCAGAGACGGCAATTGAATGAAGGATCGGAAGCACGGTTTTATTGGCCAAAGATCGAAGGCGCAAAGAATACCGGCTAGAAAGAATGGACGTCTAGATATCGAATCCCAGACTTGGAATGAATGGCAAGCTGTCGCAGACAGGTAAGCGTGAGAAACGAAGGAGGAACAAGAGAGAAAAGGGTCAAAAAGGGCTCATCTGTCATCATAAATCATCGTCGAATTAGCCGCAATAATAAGCCCACCACTCTAGAACCGTTTGGAGGGGTCACATCATTTACACTGGGAGGGACTAAAAGAAATGAGATCGAGACACTTGAAACACGCGTGGATCCATCGCGCCTTGTGTGACGCTCGGAAGAAGCCGAAAACGGTGCGATCCGTGCCTGACTGGGTTTAGTTCGCTTTAGTTTATTGCAGTGGGGAGGCAGCTCGGAGGAATTGATTAAGTGGAAATGACGCTAAGACAGGATGACTAGCATCCTGGTTCGACGTGAATGGTAACTTGGGGCCAAAAATGATTCGTAGGGGTCCAAGGGGAACCACTTTCTAAATGAACAAAATAGTGGCAAAGATAGCAAAGGGTTCCAACGGTCGCCGAGCAAAAATAAATCAACTATCGCGCATCCCACATGATCTCGTTCAAGCGTAGCAATGCATCGGCGCTGGCTTTCTTCGCTGCCATAAAGTCCTCCCGACTCTCGGCACCCCGAGGTCCACGCGAGATCTCCGAGAAGCACAAGTCCACGAGAACTCGGAGCTCATCGTAGGTGAACGGTTCGCCGTTGCCAGCGGCCAGAGCTTTGTCACCCTGAGCTGCGAACGCCTCCTTCTCCTCTTTAGCGTAATCCAGGGCCTTCTCCGCTCCCTCTAGGAACCAGTCCAAGAACTTGGCACTTCTCGGCAGCGCCACCACCTCCTGAGATGTAATCTCGTTTCCTTCCGTCGCAGCAGGGTCGATAATGATGTTCTTTAAATTTTGTTGTAGAACAAGCACGTCCAGCTGGAGGCGAAGAGCGCCATTCTCGTTCATCGCACCGATATAGCGTGTGCATGCCACAAATACTCGATCAATGAATCGTGCCAAACCAGATGCAATAAACCAGTGCTCGGCGGAGCCCAAGTAGGTGGAAATATTGGTGTCAAATCCGATCAGATCACCATTCAACTGGAGAATGGAGGGCGATGCGGCGGTCGGTTGATTCATAATAATATGCCACCAGTTCTCGGTCGTACCAGGTGACGGCGTTAACGGAACAGAGTCCCTCACAGTCGGCGGGTTGGGCCCCGACATGGTTTTCGTGAGCATATGAATGATGCCACATCGAATATCGACATGGAGTGTTAAGAGAGCGTTGGATCCAAGTCCATGGAGTGACTCGAGGGTCTGATCGAAAGCTGCAGCCGTTTCATGGTTCAGTGGCAGGTATACAGGCATGTTGATGCTGTCACGCTTGGGCTTCATAGCTCCAAATAGAGTCCATCGGCGAGATGGGCGACCATTCGCGGTCAAGGCAGACTTGTCACCCCCGGCTGATGAGTCGACGATCTGTCTAATTTTCGCAAGGTGGCTTCCAAGCCATTGCTATGGGAAGATGATTAGCAGCTTGCGTGATTTCTCGAAAGATAGAAATATTTACTCACCATACTGTTATACAAGAGCGACAGCGCAACAACGGTCTTCGGATCGGATATGATATCATAGGGTTCTAAGGGAACCTGGTCAGTCCGCTTGAGAAGAAGGTCGATTTCCTGTCGTTGTTAGTAATGATTCTTTCACGGATTCGTCTGACTGTGGAAGTCTTACAGTATCGATGAGTGTTTGTTTCTTCGCGCCAGCCCCTTTCCATAGCTCTTCAACCACATCACGGATGTCACCAGACTCAGCAAAAGAAGCAGCAGCTTTCAATCGCACTTCGCCACCGTGGTTCCGTGCGGAAACCTTGGTGACCATGGCTAATATAGTTGTTAATATCGGGCCTCGAAACACTGCTTGTTTTGATAGCTGCTTACCTTTGTACCAACCGCAGCACTTATCGTAGTAGGTCACGATCTGGTCGATCAAGAGCTGAGTAAACGCCTGATCGTGCGGAATGCTAGACAACATCTTGCTGAATTCTCGAACAATGGACATGAACTTGACGGTACCCTGGGTTGACAGTTTGGTTAGAATCTTGATATTATTTTCTGAGAGTAATGGTTTTACCTTAAAGATAGGTCGTGGTGAGACCTTTGTCCATTGCGGGTCTTCTGTAAACGCGTCGGCCGCGATAAAGCTGAGCGTGCACAGGTCGGTCACAGTCTCGTCCAACTGGGGCAGGAAGACGTTAACCATAAAGTCATCGAGGAAAGACGTCAGGGTGCTCATGGAGATATCCGAGTCGACTGGCACGATGTCCTTAAGACGCTGGATGAAGGACAGCGACGGCGGAAGAAGAAGTCTCATATTAAAGACGCTAGGCTCAAGCAAGATCTTATGACCGGTACCTGAATTGCCCTGCCTCGAAGGTGAAACATCATTTGCAGAAGTCTTTTGCCGTGTCTTGGATACCAGACCTGGGACAGACAATTGAAGAATCTCGTCCAACTCATCTTGCTCGGCCTTCATCTCTGAGCTCTGTTCGATGTCAGATAGCTTGAACATTTTCTTGTTCTTATCCCGATTACCCCCAGTGAGGTGTCGTCGGGCATCCGCCTCATCGCCTCTAGATCTGAAAGATGTCTCTCCATCCGTTGCAAGATAATCATGGAGTAGGGACCGAATTTCGCTTTGCAAAAGCTTCCACAATTCCTTGAATCCACCGGAGAGGGTGTCGGTTTTGACAGCACCATCGCGTCCCAGGATTGCCGCAATCACGTCATGGACAACTCGGTGGCCCTCTGCAATGGATTCGAACTTTGCATACAAAGCCAAAAGGTACTCGGTCAGCACATGGCCACGCTCCTCGATAGTCTCAGTTGGCAAATTAGACTTGAGCTGGTTATCATGGGACGAAAAGGTTCGGTTCGGAGTGGGATAGCGAGCGTCAACTTCAGCATTCGTCTTGTCGACGACTGCGAAGAGCTCCACGGGAAGACGTTGGGCGATTCGATCAACGGCAATATCAAGATGGCCCATCTTATTCAGGGCTTCGATCAGCAACTGAAGGTATGAGAAGGTATCCGCCTCAGGATTTCGAGAAGCGTCTTCAACCATTGGAGTTTTCGCGTCAAACTTGGCCAGAAAACTGTACACCGGGCGTTCCCAGGAGCGATTTCCAGTCCAAGTGCTGGAGTTGATGTCACTCTCTCCAATTGAGGCTTTCCATCGATCCGAGCAGTAAGGGGATTTCAAATACAAATGATCATGCAGCTCCTCAATCAAGATATCTGTCAAAGAGGTTTCTTGGTTGTTGAAGTATGCACGAATATCGGCGAGGGCACCAATCTCTTCAAGCTCAGAGCGCCGCAACAACCGAAGCCCAGTATGCAAAACCTCAACAGCCGCAAGGAACCGCTTATCAGATATGCGAGACTCGAGCTTCTCGGGTAGCGACTGGATCTCCTCGATATGGGCGAACAGTTGCAAGATATCGTCATAGTTCTGCGAGGAAGTGGCCAACCCTTTAAGTTCCGGCTTCGTAGACAGCAATCCTGACTTTGCCTCCTCCAGGGAGTTCCTCAGGTTGCGCACTCGCCCTTGAGAGCTAGAGATATTAGACTGGATCATGTGGAACGTTCCGATAGAGCTGTTAAAGCCCTGGTGGTGCTCGTTCACAATTGCCTTGAGCGTTCTCTGAATCTGGTTATGCATGTTGAGAAAGTCGGGCTCCTGGTCTGCCTTGCCCAGAGTGCTCGTATCCATCAGACTGAGGGCGACATGGACGGGAATGCATTCGGCGTCGGTCATGAAATCCCAATCGCGCTGAATCGACTGGAGTACATCTGAACCACGGCATATCAGCAATCACAACCTTGTTTGCAAATATTATAGCACGTATAATGCCCTCAAAGCCGAGACGAACCTTCCACAGATCGCATTTCACCCCTATGGCTTTCCATCACGCTGGTATCAGGTGCATTCACATCTCGACTCCTGCTCTCCTGATAACGCGGAGCCTCGCGGGTGCGATCATCCCTCGCACCCTGATACCTCCTATCCGAATCTCCATTCCTCGTCCGTGAGCGCGAGGTAGACTGTGTCGGCTGTTGCTGTCTATCTCGATCTGCCCGATCGCGCCGGCGCTCCGGGGACGGTGGTCCGGGGGGTGCGAGAGAAGGCTGCTGCGAGGATTCAGGGTAAAATCCACCATAGCCACCAGGGCGACGATCGCGGCTCCCTGCTCGATCTCCCCCTGCCCCGCCTCCTGTACTGCCGGCGCTGCGGTCGTTGTAACCATTCACTCCGAGGTTGCCATTGCCATAGCCGCCATCACCAGTGTCATACCGGCTGGCGCCGGAGACTCCGTAGCCGTAACCGTAGCCGCTTCCTCCGCTCATTCCCGGGTATCTCTGATCAGTATGACAGCGTGCGGGGGCCGATTCGGGGGTTGTTCGTCGACTGCGACAAGGGGCGTGGGGCGGATGCGTTGTGCGTGGGTGCGTGTTCAAGTCTTTAGGTACTGTGACTTTTGCGCAGCGAGTATGACAGAGTGATAGTGACCATTCTCGGGCGCGCAATTGAGTGCCCACGTCAGACAGCAATGCGAGGACGTTCGTGGACGAGGAATGGCTGAACAGCGTTGGGCGGGATGGGGAAGTCCCAAGTGTTCGGGGCCCACATAAGCTCGCCGTGGGCCGCATTCCGCGGTCAGAACTAACTATAGAGCACACGATGAAGTTCGAGATATGACGGTACAATAATAATGCAAGAGGCTTTTGTTAAGTTGTAACCAAAGCTACCGTATGCTAGACTACTCTGAAATACTACTATGAAGTTTATCGCAACCTGACCCCATGCTGACTGCTGGATATTCGAGGCCAGGCACCAGTCGAAACCTATATATAACCAAGCTACAGAGCATTAGATTTGACGGGGCAGAGATATATGTTTGAACTTGCGCGCATGGGTTTGTTCAAAATGTATGAGATTTTGTATATCAAGGTATCCGAAGTTAATAACAAGGTGATTGTGCCCTCAACGCCATCGAGAGCCCTCCTTTCTCGCCTCTGCCTTATGTATCAACAGGACCACAGACAGTACTCTATTTCGAGATGGGCTGGGTCTCACGCTCAAGCCACTTCCGAGACAACTCATCTTCCTTGAAGTAGTGGTGGGTCTTATCCCATACCTCGGCGTGGTAGTCATTCAGCCACTTGAGCTCGGCATCAGTCAGCAGAGATGGCTCGATGAGGTTGCGACCAATAGGGGTCATAGTAACGTGCTCAAAGCCGAGCCACTGCTTGTCACCAAACTTGTGGGCGGTCTTGACCTCATGGGCCATGACAATGTCTGTGAAGGAGTAGATTAGTACTCGTCAATTGAACACAAGCGAACAAGACTTACTCTCAATACGAATACCAAACTTGCCGTCCTCGTAGTAACCGGGTTCTGGAATCAATGGTCAGTTAGGATGGCTTTGCAAAGGAGCAAGGATTCATACCATCCGAAAGCACGTTTCCGGCAGCGATGGGAACTTCGGTGTACTGAACGCGGGTACCAATGCCCATGGGGCCCTCGTGGACGTTCTAGTATAGGTTAGCATACTGTGAATAGTAAAATCTGCCGTTGTTCAAATTCTTACCAGGTAGGAGCCAACACCGTGACCAGTACCGTGGAGGTAATCCAGGCCTTCTTTCCACAGGAACTGGCGGGCCAGAACATCAATAGCAAAGCCACTCGTGCCCTTGGGGAACACAGCAGTGTCGATGGCAATCATACCCTTTAGGACTAGGGTGAAAGCCTGCTTCTCGAACTCGGTAGGCTGGCCAAAGTGGAATGTGCGGGTGGTGTCGGTGGTTCCATCCAAGTACTGGCAGCCAGAGTCGCAAAGATAGATGGCAGTGGGATCAATAATTGAGCAGCTTCCCTTCTCAGGCTTGTAGTGAATCACCGCACCATTGGGGCCGGTAGAGGAGATGGTATCGAACGACAGACCGGCAAAGAGCTCGTGCTTGGTGCGAATCTGCTCCAGCTTGTCGGCAGCATCGACCTCATCGAGGACAGTCTTCTTGTTGACAAGCTCGTTTTCTAGCCAAGCAAAGTACTCGGTCAAGGCGGCGCCATCACGAATGTGGCATGCGCGCATTCCCTCGAGCTCGGCCTCATTCTTGACAGCCTTAGCATCACCGATGGGGCTGCGGGTCTCCTCCACCTGTTCCTCACCACCGAGATTGAGGCTCAGAGCCCAAGAGGCCTTGTTGGACAGCAGGAACTTCTTGGGCGCCTCGTCAGTCGCCTGGCTGCGCGCCGTGCTGAGAGCCTTGGCGTCAGCGAAGATGGACTCGTATGGCTTGACGACCACATCCTGGCCCAGCTGAGCGGTTACCTCGGGGGTCAGCTTGTCCGCCTCGACGTAAAGTTCGGCAGTAGTGGGAGTGATGATGGCGTAAGAGAAGAAGACAGGGTTATAGGGGATGCTGGTTGAGGTCAATGGGTGCCAATGATGAACGCTGCTAGGGAAACTCACTCGCTCCCTCTCAAGTTGAACAACCACGCAATCTCATCGAGCATAGCTGTAGATCACGATTAGCGGCGGGCATCAATGATGAGAGCAGATCCACCATACAAATAACAAAACCGGCCTTTTTCTTCATCTCCAGTTCCTTGCGCAGGTCCGCGACCTTCTCCTGGAACGACTTGCCAGCATACTTCACCGGGTGGGCGCGCACCTTCTCACGAGGCCGCGAGGGACGGTCCTTGCCCCAAACCAGGTCGACCAAGTTTTGTTGAATTCCCACCAAGGAGGAACCGTTCTTCTCCAGGGTCTCTGCAAGCTTGCGCGCGCCGGCTGAACAACGGAGTTTGTCAGTTATTAGACTTGCAGGAGGGACAAAAATCACCTACAGGCCGTGATCAAAGAAGGGTCAACACCCACGGCCTTGCCACCCTGGGCCTGCTCCGTTGTCCTGTAGCATGTTCAGCATCATATCCAAGCTCGATCCACGTATTTCCCATACCATTCCTGCCACGTGGGGACGCCCTCAATGCCCCGCTTCAGGAGGTGCCAGTTGCTATCCAGCTGCTTCGCGGCCTGGTTGAAGTAGCGTCCGTCGGTGGAGAGGGCAGCTTTGCTCAGAGAGATGATCGCAGTACCGGCGGAGCCAGAGAAACCGGAAATGAATTCTGCAATTGAACGAATCGTGAGTCACCGGACTGTGAAGATGGCAAGGATGGCGTGTCTAACCTCGGCGGCCGTCGCAGGGCGCAATGTACTCGGACTGGTGACTATCCTCTGAAGGAACGACTTTGAGAAAGCAATTAGCAAAGGCCTTGAAGCATGTCAAAGGTAGAAGACTGAGATGGCGAATATAGTAGCATACTGTAAACATCCACATTGTGCTCCTTCATCAGCTGTCGCAGCTGCGACAGGCGGTCTGTAGTATTCACGGTCCCCATGTCGATGATAAATCGAGGACGAGAATTGGAGAAGAACCTTGAAGGTAGGAGGGGACTCGACGATCGCAGGGGTGTCCGAGGCAGGCGTATCGAGCGGGAGAAGAGCATGGACGCCGACACAAGTCTTGCGGAGGAAATTCGCGACGGAGGAAAGAGAGATCGAGCTCTCGCACAAAAAGGGTGATAATCCTCGCGGGGAAAAAGGAGGGAAATCCAAAAAGGAGGGGCCGAAGATAAAGCCGGTTGATAATGAGCTCGGGCTGGCTACAGTCGGACCGGTCGTGTGAGTGGTCTCCGGTCACCGTCGCAAGTGGCGAGGTTGCTCATAGGGCGACGACAGCCGGACGTCTCCTCCACCGGCCCACTCTGCCGTGTTGTCATGTTTGCAACTGTGGAGGCGTCCATGATTTTAGCATCGCCAAGCATGATGGACTCTACAATTGCCGGGGAAGTTGTCTGATTGAACCATCATCAAAAACCTTGCTCTTCCCAGACGTTCCTAGCAATTTTCTTCAAAATAGTGTCGTCAAGGCTGATGTTTGTTTCTTTCGGGATGCTTGGCGGGCGAAGAAAGAGCTTATCGAAGCTGATCATAAGCGGCTGGCCCCAGAGGTAGACATGATTGTTATCGCCTTTGCTTATCGTAATAGCTTGCTGACGTTTGACCCTATCGTTCACAAGTTCCCATGACTCCAAGACGAGGTCGGGCAAGCTCCGACCGATCTTGATGGTGATGACCATCTGAACATCACCGTTTGATTCGGAAAGCCAGAACCGAGCGTCGGACATCAATTTCGAAGGCGACTCTGAGTACCCCGTTTCCACGACAACCGAGGGCCATTTCTTCGTTCGATCTCGAGGAAGTCTTCTTGGTAAAAATTGGCAGTCAGGTTGTTTCGCAGAGCCATTTTCTGCTTTGCAAGTGGCGGATCCAAAGGTTTGAAGACAGTCATCGAGGCCCATTGGCTTCAGACAATCAAAGAAGAGCCTTTCGAATACGCGTACCGCAATTTCATGAGCGCGTGAGACTGGCATTTTGACAAGAAGAAGGTGTTCGGAAAAGCTGTAAGAATTCCAGCAACGCTGAAGAATAGTGTCGTCCGAGTTTAGGAAGTCACGACTGAAGGCCTGCTCATTAACCTTGGTGAAGAGCACACATTCACTGGCCTCAAATTTCTCTTCCTGGCGACTTAGTTCCATCTTTACAAGTTCCAGAAACTGTTTAATTCCTTTATACGGATACCTTCTGATCGGGGGTCCTAGATCACCGAGAAAGCCACTGCTAGAGGCCTCCGTGTCTATCTTAGACTTCATGTTCGAGGTCATAGTGGTCGCAGTTATACCGTCTCATGCTAGTGTGAAACAAAAAACATTCATATATCAACTGTAGGCATGAGGAATTATCCCCGAGGACCACCTGACGCTAATGTGACGTAGCCTAATTACGATCTTTAGCGCAATAGACGTCTATGTACAGTGATATGTATAGGCAACCCTTAAGTGACCCCCACGAGACGGCCTCAGTTTCAGCCATCCAGAAGTAGTTTTGTCTTAAAGAATCCTGAGAGTTTATGATCCTATCACACATTGATAGTAGTGAACTATACCTGCAAATCCTTCCCCATTATGATCCAGATTATCCTTCGAGGTCCGACCAAAGAGCTCTTCATTATCCATCTCGATTCCATATCCTGCCTAGACCCCGCATGGTATACTTAGCAAGTGGGCAAAAGTTAAGGTAAACAGTGACATCTCGGGTCCCTTGTACGGTTAATTATAGAGACGGAGATAGCGGCTTATGCCTCTTATTTTCAATGGCTATTTTGATGCTCGAACTTTGGAATCTCGTCGTATTCATTCGTAGCCAACCGTTGGTTATTACTCACTGTTGCGCTCGTTGCTAGCCGTCCTTATTATGACGTAAACGGTTATTACCCGTTTATTGTCCGTTTATTACTACCTATTTACTACCATCCGGTTATTACCATCCGTTCATCGTCGATCGTTCGCCGTTCTAGATTTCTCAGATTATTTCATAACAGGTATAGCTACGCCTAGGATCATAAGGGTAGTTCTTGGGTAATAACCTTAACTTGAGACCACACCCCTGAATGTCCGTAACCTCGTCGCTCCTTAAAATTTAGTTCCACAGAGATCATATTTCGAGTATAGACAGATAAACGTCAACCTTAACATTAGTACCTAACGATAGTGCGCGTAACCGGGCGCTTATATCACGTGATATCTGCGATCTATGGCCGCTCGTAATGACTTGACTCGTACCATAAAACTATAACTTACGCTTTGGTTATTGCTTTCAGAATGGGGCTAAAATCTATAGTTAGGTAATATCTCACCGATACATCCGAAGGTGTGTAGATAGCCAACTGAACATCCAGAAACGTGTCTGTTGACTTCTTTCCGCGTCAGGCGTAGCCGCACCGCCACACAAGGCGGTGCACCTCACGCAAAATAAAAATAACATCCCTTTTGGCGCCTGATTTGGGAGTGGACTCGAAATGCTCCAAGTGGAGTTGCGAGTCTCGGGGGGCATTCTTGGGTGCCTCACCGCATTAGCGGGCGGCTCCAGCTCCCTACAGGGCTGTCTTCGTCGCCGACGGTTTCGTACTAATTTTCTTCAAACTAGATCTACTTCAACGTTTTACCGAGATCTCACATTTCCCAAACTCAAAGCTGCGCATGCCTCCTCAGATTTCAAACACGCCAGAATCTGTGCTGCCCCGCTCAGATTCACGAAATCCTGCTACCACATGTAGAGGTATCACGACACAAGGCCGGCCCTGTCGCCGCGCTTTAGCTTCTTCTACGACTCCATCTCCGGCCTCGACACCTCGAAAGAAAGGTGCTCAGCATGGGGTACCCGATATGGCTTCCTTGTACTGCTGGCAGCATAAGGATCAAGCCGTATCTTCGGCTGTCGATTACAGTGACCATATCACTCCGGTTAAGCCGAGGACTAGCATCGACACGCTAATGGACAGACTCGGCGTCCTCGAGATTAATGATAAGCCGCCTCCTCGCAAGAGACCGCAGAAGCAGAGGACAAGCCAAAGCGGCTTCAGTGAAAAGCGTCGCCCAAGGAGAACCTTCTGCTGTTTCGAGATTATCGACGACGATGAAGATCATAGGCCATCAGCGCCCGTCTCAAGGCCTGCGTATACTCGTCCGGTACAAGGCCATTCATCTGTCCCTCAAAAACAGTACCAGGATGGGCAGAGGCCAACTTCAACTCCACGACCGCAGCAGATCAGAGTCTCTTCATACGGAGATCGGGTATCTGCTCCACAGACGCCTACCCGACCCTCCCTCCCAAACAACAGACTCTCGTCGTCATCCTCGCATACTCCATCATTACTGTCATGGATTCCTAAAACCCTTTCGCCTCAAACGACATCTGTACTACTCACGGAGCTGGCCAAGCCCATCTCCGATGCCGACGACGAGGGCTACATCTATATGTTCTGGCTAACACCCCAAAACACTACAACGGATGAACATGCGCCACTTCCAAGGGATATTGCTTCTTCAATAGTACCTCCCGCTCCACAGACAGACGGCAGTCTCCGTCCACCACTTCAACCTCGCAGCGTTAGCGATGCTCTACGCGCAGCTAGAGACCTCAACGCTCTAACAACCAACCCAACATCAACGACGCCCGGGTCTATCCGGTTGAAAATAGGGCGCACGAGCAACGTGCACCGTCGACTTGCCGAGTGGACACGACAATGCTCTTACGACCTGACTTTGATCCGCTACTACCCCTATACCCCATCGTCTGCATCCTCATCTCCTGCGAGGGTTCCCGCGTCTCGACAGCGGGCTGGTAGTAATGCCAGTCCAGCGGCGTCTCTCTTACCTGGACGGAAGGTCCCGCATGTCCATCGTGTGGAAAGACTGATCCACCTTGAGCTGGCCGATTTGCGGGTGCGAGATCTTGGTCGCTGTAGTGAGTGTGGGAAGGAGCATCGGGAATGGTTTGAAGTTGAAGCGGCCAAGGAAGCGCTGCGGAGAGTTGATGAATGTGTGAGACGGTGGGTATCGTGGGGAGAGTCTATGGCATGAAGGGATTACATTTATGAGATACAAGCATCTGCATATTGCATATTACGTGCGTTGATTTATGTTTTTAAAGACTCAAAATTCGCATTATCACTCAATCGATTCAATATTGTAGAGTGACCACAGTGGGGAGCTGACTGTAAAGCTATTCACAGCTTGATAAGACGCCGGAGGAAGCTCTTCTGGATAGATGTGTAGTTTGGGGGTAACAAGTGTTCCACTCCTGCGGTGTTGAGGTATGTTGGAGAAGCATCTCGCATCAAATCTGTCATACCCACCAGCTGCGTAGATGTTTGGATTTCCTCCTTGAGTACTATCGAGAAGTCAGTCATGTTCGTCCGATTTAAATGGTCACGCTTACGTTCAACCGCATGTTCAACCCCCTCCTGTCCGTACCCCAAGGCGTATTGGAATGGTCTACCAAGGCCTACAGCCGAGGCACCGAGACAGATAGCCTTGACAACATCCGATCCACGGCGGAAACCTCCATCAATCAACACCTTTATCTTGCCAAATACCTCCGGGCAGTAACGGTGAATCTCCAGTAGAATCAATATAGCCGGCGGCGCCGTATCCGCAGCCCGACCTCCATGATTGCTTATCACGATCCCATCAAACCCAACCTGCGCCGCCATGAGAGCATCCTCAGCGCGCTGGACACCTTTGACTAGAATCGGAAGATTGGTAATACTCCTCAGCCATTTGAGATCGTTCCAGTTCAGCGAGGAGTCAATCATAGAACTATTAGACTTTGCAAGTCCCGCACTCTTCTTTCCAACATGTTTACTTCCTTGCGTCACTTTGATCAAGACGGCATTTCCCTCTGGCTTGATACGCTCGTCTGCCTCTCGCTTCGACATGACTGGTAGATCGGCAGTCACAAAAAGTGCCTTAACCTTGCCGGAATCCTGCGCTAGACGAACGAGCGCTTCCGTCTTCGGCCGGTCTTTGTTGATGTACAGCTGGTAGAAGACCGGTTTCGAGGTCACGTCCAGGATTTCTGATAATGAGTACGAGCTCATGGTAGAAAGGCAATATGGAATCCCAGAGTTGGCAGCACCCCGAGCCAGTGCCAACTCGCCTTCTTCGAATACCGTCTTTGCAGCGCCGACTGGGGAAATGTAGACCGGGATATCGAGATCACATCCAAACAGAGTAGATTTGAGATTGACACTTGACACATTTCGCATAATAGCCGGGCGGAACCATATGTCTCTAAAAAAGGAGCGGTTCGCATCTCGTGTGAAATTGTCATTTGCCGCGCCGCTGTTGTATGCCCACGATTTGGGGCTGAAAGTGTTCATGGCGACATGCTCGAAGTCGTCCAGATTGATTATATCTTCTAGAGCGGGCCTTTGGTATGTCGTGTCTGTCGAGCTCGCTGTATTCTGTGGATCCTGGACCTCTCTGCTCCATTCCTCCGTGATGGTACTGGTGTCTAGCTCACCAATAACATGGTCGTCAAGCTCCATGATCAAAGATGGCGAGTGGGTGCTATTGTATGGTTTTGATGCATCCCGACCGGCGAATTGGTAAATGACTGACTCGATCAGACGAAAATCATAGCTCAGGATCAAGGTCAATCTTACTCTCTGCGCCTCCAGGGTGCCCCTGTGCGAATTTCGTCACATCGTACACTTTGCCATTTACCACAATCCAAGCGTCTTCTTCGTTGGCATGTTGGGATATCTCGTGCGTAGAAACTTTCCTAGTCATTATAGCTTTTTGCTCCTGTAGACATGAATCTTTGGAGCGATTGTAGTTCAAGCAATTTATCAGCTCCCTGGATTAAAATCGTTTCGCCTTGTATCGGTCTGGGCGTAAAGTTAAATCCGTGCTGGTACTGCGGCTGATAAACGCCATTTGCCAAAGCTAATAATCCCATTCCGCCCTGATCACCGCCCCTTTGGAATCCGTTCTGAACGCCCTGAGGACTTTGGTGAGGAGGTGGAGTTTGTTCGCATGGTCCATGATGAATGGGAGCCGCAGGAATATGATGAAGAGGATATTGCGAATGGCGATGTCGATTCTCCCGAGGAACCGCTTGAGGGTTGCACGGAACATGATGTTGGTTGTATGAAGATGTATTGGCGGATTACGGAGGTGCCGGCGCCAGGGATTGTAGCTGTCGATTCGACTTAACGCATGTCGTGGTTTCTTTGTTTTTAAGGACTCCCGACACTCGCCCAGTCACCAAGGCTTTTAACCGCTCTTGTAAAATTATGGTGGCAGCGACGCCTCAACACTTCGCTGTTTCTTCCATCAATTCAGTATTAGATTGATTACCGTTGCTTTTCTAGACCCATTAGATGCGTACAAGCCCATACTGTAATAAACGGAGCTTCCTAATAATGAACTACCCGCTCGTCAGCGTATTTGTGCTCTTTAATCACCATCTCGTAATTTTATATCCGCTCAGCCTCGAAATGCGTCATTTTTTGACGATGAAATAACGATTCAGAACAATTGAAGTTAATCATCGCTATCTATACGAAGCAATGAGCACCGCATTCTACTTTGTACTTGATAAAATCCTACCAGTTTTCTGTCGGTTTTATGGGGTGTTAACGAATGGCGCTTATCAGCCGCCGTACCTAGTGCGGGGAAACTAAAGCGCCGTCGCGGAATCGCATCGGAATACCACCGCAGGCACAATACGGAAATAACAGCACCCCATCGGAACTTTATATGGAAGTCGTCATTCCTAACTAGAAGGAGCCTCGAGCTAATGTTTGGACCCTAGTGGGTCGTTTTACCATAGACCTATTATACTATAGGTGTCAAGCATGTCCACCTCGGATGACAGTGCGATCAGATATGTCACATAGAAGTAGAAATGGAATTGAAGCCTTGAACTATCACTCTGGCACTTCGCGAAGCCGGTATTGGAACATCTGGTTAGATGCAACCGAGTTCCTATCCCTCATCTTCTCAGCAGATTCAATCCCAGCCACCGGAACGCGATACTCAAATTGCTTGCCTGGAGCCGGTTTGCTGCCGTCAGGTAAAGCATATGGGTATGGCAAATACTCAGGCATTAATCCAACTTGTCTGAGCACTGATCCCTGATCCCAGGAAATATGCTCATGATAGAGTCTGTCCCCGCGAATGTTGACCACGGCTGTGAATGGGACTTCCACGTGTTTGTTTGTCGGGGGAACTCCAGGAAGTCTGCAAAATTGATAATAATGAGCCATTGAAAATTGAAAATGGAGCATTTCGCTCTTTTAACTTACAGCCAATCGAGTTCCTTATCGTGGGTGAATTTGAAGATGAACTCATCGACTACTCTGTCGATTCCCAGTGTCCGGCTGATAAGCTCTAAGTCGGTATCATCTGAATTATTAAAGATGAAATTATGCCGATAAAAGTTTGACAAGGGTTCGCGTCCAATCCCACCGGTAAGCTATGATCTAGTTAGCTTGTTCAACACTGGAACACGCAAATATAATGACAAACCGTTGGAACATGGTTCACGTATGGCTGGTCCACCATCGTGCTCATTGTATGCTCGACCGAGCGATCGGCAAATTCGTAGTAAGTATGCTCTTCCCAAATCGTCTCAAGATCAAAGTATGGCCCATTCATAATAGGTTTGAGGAACTGCAAGGTGCGAGTATGGGACACGGACTCCGCCCAATAATCGAATTGATCCTGGAAAGGGCCTGCAAAGTGATGCGACTTGGCGTTGGGATAATAAAAGCTTTTCACGAGATCTTGCCGTTCTACTGTGCCTGGCTTTTTCCCAGCCGTATGCCGTAGAACTGGAACGACCGCAGACTCCAAGCTGGAGCTGTCGGATACATGGCTGTAGACGACTCCTGCAACGATCGTCGAAACGGATGGCAAGGTGGGGGCCACGTAGTTCCATAGCTCGGGATCATAAGCTGTTAATTTTTCAGCACTGAAAGAAGCTGACGTAGTAGAAAATGAAGTATTCTAGAAGGTATAAAACTTACATATGAGACCAACTTTGTCTTTTGGATCGCATTTATCGCAACTTTCCAGCGCTTGAATAGCCTTGGTAAGCACTTCTCGCGCCCCCGTTATCAGGGCGCGCCTCTGGATCTCTACCACAGTGTATCCCTCTTCAGCCCATTTGATCATTTGCGAAGGAACACCATCAATGATCGCGAGAGACTGGTCTGTGTCTGGAACAAGAATGATGAGTCCTGGTCCATGGCCTCGGCGTGAGAGGGGTAGCACAATTGAAAGGCCGGGCTCGAGCTCGGTTAGCTGCGTGGTCGGCAGCGGGAGTGGAGGCTTTGTGATATCGTTGAACATGGCGGGAGTGTTGAAATAGTTTGTCTATACTGCAAGAACGATTAACTTTCAGAAATGCAGTCAAATGTTCCATAAAAGTCGATAAATCGAGCAATTATGTACGAGTCAGCCACTGATTAGAGAGTCTAGACGGAAATAACACTCGTGTTCCGAATGAAATTGGGGCCTCGGCCCGGGTTCCGATGGATCCGATTTCTAGTGGTTGTTACGGTCTTGAAGTCTTCCGGAAGACTGTTACTTGTCTGGAATTCTGGATCTGAATTTCTTCTAGTCTTCTAGAAGACTATTACTTGGGAAGCTGTGGTTTTTCTTACTCGATCTACAGTGTCCGATAGATGCCATTGTTCAGTGTGGTTTGCACTAACGCTAGTCTGCATCTGCCACCAACGGTGTATCGTGATCATGAGGGTATACGTATTGTCATTGATGAGTATGTAGGTCATCATCTTGTGAATTTCATTCCCTTCGATGATCCCCAGGATGTTACGGTTGCTTCTAGAGTCAGATATGAGTCTCCGTGATTTCTCCTATAGTGCAAACGGGCGAAAATATTTTGGATCCTGGAAGACGTGTGCGCGTAGCTCACTCGAGTTTCTCGTAGTTCATCTTGGCTATTTTAGAGGGTCTAGGATAAGTTACGTGATAAAAGGTACTACTATCGTTGCTCGCTAGGTAAGTATTTAATGACCAAAATCTATAGATTGTGTGATTCCAGCTTTCACAAGTTATTTGACAGCTTAGTGCCAGCACGCGCTGCCAAGCCATGATCGCGATTCAAGCAGTGTGCCCCAAGTTGATAACACCCATTACATAGGTCAAAGTCCCCATCTCTGCACAAGAAACAATGGTACCAGGTCTCACCGGGCCTTATAGCAAGCATACAAGCATCACATTCCACATTGAGCACCCGTCGTAAAGGTTTGGCTTTCCTGGGATGGATCACTTCATCTATGCCTCCAGTCACGTTCTGGATGGCTTTAGCAACGTCATCGTAGCCTCGTCCAAGGGCATCATCAAGTGCGGTACGACCAAAGTTATCTTTAATCTCACAATCAATACCCTCCATGGCTAACAGAGCTCTCACTGACTGTAGTTTACCCCTAGTTGCAGCAACGTGCAACGGTGTTCGGCCATATAAATCCCTCCGGTTCAGCCCATTAGGATTGTATGCAAACAAAGATGCCACTATTGTACCGTCTGGTTGAGAGGCAGCATAGTGAAATGCGGTTCGGCCCACGTCATCGGGCGAGTCAGAATCAGACCCTCTCTCTAGCAAGAGACGAACAACATTTCCACGACTATACAACGCAGCCAGCGAAAGAGCATTCCGACCATCTTCGCTCTTGGCCTCAACATCAACATTGCACTCTAGCAAGAGCTTGACGAAAGGTTCGTTGATTCCCATGCATGCAGCAAGAAGAAGACTTTGCATTTCGTCGGAGTTATCTCCAATCGCAGCCCCCGGTTTGGTAGCCTGTTCCACCAGCAAGCCGGCTATTTCAGCTGAATTAGCCGACCCAAGCCAGCCTGACGCGTACAGGGGTGAATGGCCATATCTATCCTTCATCCCAGGATCGGCACCATTCTCCAGTAACAAGGATACTATGTCTGAAAGACCAAAACAGACTGCCCAGAATAATGGCGTTCTCCCACAGGCATCTTTCGAGTCTACTGGCCATCCGCGTGAGATCATCTTCTCAATGATATCAGGCATGACAAACCAGATAGCAAGATGTAAACCCGTGGCGAGCTGTGGGCTGAATACCGGGTATCGACCTCCACCAAAGTAGCTCATTGGCCTCAGATAGTAATCTTGATCACGCGAATGTGAATCAACCCACAGAAGAACTCGTGCGCAGCAATTCACTTTTGGAATATCGCTCAGAAAACCAATGATCAAGTCATCGCTAGCTTCCACGTCATCGTCGTATAATCTGCTATTGACATGGTGACCCCAGAAATCACCTGCATATACGATGAGAGGGTTATCGCGCACGAGATTATTGAGTTCGAAGTGTAGACGGGCATTGAGCTCGATATCCAGCTGAGCATCGTGTTCAGTCTCCGTCAACCAATGCTCTGCCTTAGATGCCATTGACGATAGGTATGCAACGCATATCCTGCCAATACTATGGTGTGCTCTTGGAAACCAGGTGGCTTTGTTTCGCTCAAAATACTCCTGCGTGGTATAATGTACTAGCCGGATGATGTCGCTCTGCTCGTCCACAGTGACCAAGCCGGCACAGACTGAGACCATATCGGTCAGGTCCGGCAAATTCTCAGGGTCGAATTCTGGCTCATCGACTTCCACAGCAAGAGCAGTCTGTAGCTCAATCGTGGTGAGCGGCCTTTTGGCACATGTGATCCATGCAAGAACTTGTAGTGCCAATTCACTTTTGTCGGGGACTTGTCCCTGGATGCGTTTCATGGCATCATCATAAGCAGAATCGTATCTTTGAGTGTCGGAGGAAAGTCCTTTTAGGGCAGACCGAATTGCCTTGGGCGACCGTTTTCCTACTAACGAATTGAGGTAAAGCTGAGCAAGTAGAAACCTATGCATGCAGGGCATCAACATCATTGAAGTTGAGAACTCATGGGAACAGCTCAAATGGGACTCACATTCCGTCAACTGCCGTAGTTATCGCAGTTGAGATCTCGTCCTGCAGGTCCTTGTTCCTTGACACAAAGGAAGGCAAAATCGACAAATTATCTCGAAGATATCTTGTAACATCTTCCTTGCTTGCCCGAATTTCAAGGGTTGGCAATTCTTGGAACCGCTCAGTAATCTCCGGGATAAAGCGTGAAGTTGCAAAGAGGTTCACATTGCACGAAGCTTGCAGGTCAAACATCGTATCCAACAATTTCGTACATGATCTGTTCGACATATCGCACTCGTCCAGGGCATCAATCACAACAAAGACTTTTGAAAAGCCCCCTTGCTGAGCGAGAGACTCCAGCGCCTTAGAAAGCTCTTCGACCTTGGGTCTCGTGCTTTTGGCTCTATGCTCATCGTATATATTAGATAAGGGACTCGGTAAGTCTGGCTGAGCTTGCGCCAATTGCCTCAAAAGACTTGCAAGCAGATGTGCCAAGCCTTGCTCGTGACGACGCCGAAAGCTGCAGTATAGAAATGTGATGGCGACACTACCATCATTTCTGTATTGATCATACAGCTCTTCAATAACGATAGAGGTCAGGATGGTTTTGCCTGCTCCGGGAATCCCCGGGCAAAATAGTGTCTGCTTTGAGCCCGAGATCCACGATTGAAATTCCGGTGAGTCCAGAAGCCACTGACCAGTCCCGGGTTGGCGTCGTGCAATATAGTCACTCTGTTGTGCGCCGTAATCCAAGGGCGAGAGCCAGGTCAGCAGTTCTTGCCGCTTTTGGTCATCTTGACATTGTACAAGGCGTCGGATGCTGGTTCGTGTCATTCGTCCATTGAAAGCATCAAGAAGAGCAATGTTGCTGATTATTCGTTGCCGAAGTTCTTGGATCTCATTCGGCTCCCATTTCAATCGTTTCCATGCGCGTTTCGCTATGCTTTTTTTGCTGTCGCCGATAGGCCCCAGATCTCTATAGTTATGGATCATGCTCTCAAGCTCACCGAGAACATTGCAACAGCTCTTGGCTATTTCTTCTAGCTCGGTTTGTTGCTTGGCGTCGAGATCCTTGCTGGATACATCAATTTCGACATCTTGTACTACAAATGACAGATTTCGAACTCTATTGATCCATATCAGTCAGGGGTGTAGCTGAAGACAAAGAATGTTGACACCCACTCGTCACTAATAGCCTTGAATTGGTCGGGTGCGCCAGCGAATTCCCTTCTTACCTTGGTAGCAAGCTTTATTACAGCAAGAAAATCGCCCACTCCAATTCCAAAGCTCATTTTGAAGGCTTGTACACTCGAGGCTCCTTCGAGGTATCTTAGATAGTACTTGTGGGCATTATGGCTGGGGCTAAATCGACCCCGCTCTCAGGTGACTTGATCTGCATATAAAGCAAAGCGCAAGCACTTCGAGGCCAGTTAAGGCCCAGATCATGGTGAAAATGACAAGCATAGGTCTTCACATAACTACCTTATCGTCAATTCCTATCAACCTAGGTGTATACACAATAGAGCCACTATTGTAAGCAGTTGCGGTCCAGTTCAATTAGCTTACCAGGCAGACACCTAGTACGGCTTTGTTGCAAGGTATCTCCAACCTTATCAATTCAACTTCATCACCTCCGCACCGTTTATAGAGATCCGTTCCCAACTCTAGTACCTTTCCTTATTTTATGGGAAACTAAATCTGAAAGTACACTCATTGCTTCCGGGGGCATTCGAGAATATATCTCAGCGACCGTGAGAAGTACCTAAAAATCATATGAGTATACATCGCCTTTGAAACTAGCCGAGACTCTAAGAATCATGAGTGGAATACAGCAATATCACATTCACAATCTCCCACCCTACGCCCTACAGTAACATGCACCTCCACGCCCTTCTCCGGATCCGTCACCGAGAGCGTAACTTACCATCCCCCCAAAGACCCGTATCGTAAGTAATGCGTCATACCAATACTGAACTCACCCCGGAACAACAATCCCCCGAACGGGTACACTCGGTTACTTTCAATCTCGATCCCAAAGGATTCCCAAATAATCGGCGATTGGATCCGCCCATACATACCCACGCCCACGGATTTGACTTGCACCGGGGAGCTGGAAGTTCTTTCCGACAATTAACTCAGGCCGAGTGCTAACGTATGCTAATAGGTTAATAGGTACTGGCTGTACCTTTACCACTGCTTTCCCCAGAACTTTCCACCTTTCACCCGTTACGGTCGGTGATCGGTGGCTCGGAGCGGAGGACCTATCAGACGCCACCTGATCGACGCGGTTCCAGTTGCGTGTCTGAGGAAGGCGTTAGTAGCCTAGTGCAGTAGGTGTATCGGAACCTTGGGGTGAAGGATTGGCAATTGTCATGGAAATACCGTAGAATGTTAAGTGGTGGTGGGTTAAGTGGATATGCCCCGCTTAATGTGTCCCGGTCCGTTGCCTGGCGTTGTGGATGAACTGACCTAATTGAGATACCGGGTCCTCTCTTGTGGCGATCTGACTGTACTTTCTGTCTTGAGAGTGATCATGTGCTTATTACTTTATGCTTACTATTAGGAAGATATCATGGATCAAGTCAGAAACTCCTCTAAATTTTTGGTCTGTCATGCAGTAGCTAACGGTTCATGGCTCATGTACAAAGAAGAATTTTAAACCGGCCTGCAGGCCAAGAGAAAATACCCACACCAACGGAGAGGTACGAGGTCAAAAAAGGTTGAAAAAAAAAACTCAAAAAACACAAGTCGAAAGAAGAAGAAAAGAAAAGAATAATTTACCAGCCGCGGCCGGCCATCTTGTCAGCCTCGGGCATCTTCTGCACGTTAATGCCAACCATGGCCTCACCCAGACCCTCGCTAACCTCAGCAAGAACCTTGGGATCCTTGTAGTGGGTAACGGCCTGGACAATGGCCTTCGCGCGCTTCTTGGCATCACCAGACTTGAAGATACCGGAGCCAACGAAGACGCCGTCGCAGCCCAGCTGCATCATCAGCGCCGCATCGGCGGGGGTAGCAACACCGCCAGCAGCGAAGTTGACGACGGGCAGACGGCCGAGCTCGGCAGCCTGGCGGAGGAGCTCGTAGGGAGCCTCCAGCTCACGAGCGAAAGCGCGCAGCTCGGGCTCTGGGTCAGCGGCAGTCTGGTAGATAGCGCGGGCGCGGGCAATCTGGGCGTTGACGGTGCGCATGTGCTTAACGGCCTCGACGACGTCGCCGGTACCGGCTTCACCCTTGGTGCGGATCATAGCAGCACCCTCGGAGATGCGGCGGAGGGCCTCACCGAGGTTGCGGCAGCCGCAGACGAAGGGAACCTTGAAGGGGGTCTTGGTAACGTGGTAAACATCGTCGGCGGGGGTCAGGACTTCGGACTCGTCGATGTAGTCGACACCAATGGCCTCGAGGATCTGGTGGCGGGGGGACGGAGGGGTTAGCGTTCCGGCAGCCCCGCGTTTTCTAAGAATCAATGCTCATCTCCGGGCGGTCGCCGGTGAACAATGATCATAGATATAGACATACCTGGCACTCGACGAAGTGACCAATACGGGCCTTGGCCATGACGGGGATAGTAACGGCCTCCATGATCTCCTTGATCATACCGGGGTCAGACATACGGGCAACGCCACCTTCGACACGGATATCGGCGGGGACACGCTCGAGGGCCATGACGGCGGCAGCACCGGCCTCCTCAGCAATGCGAGCCTGGTAGATATGTTAGCATCAGGGATGATACCAATTGATTGATACCGTGGCGAACATACCTGCTCCGCATTGACGACGTCCATAATCACGCCACCCTTCAACATCTGCGCGAGACCAGCCTTGACGGTGAAGTCATTGCTGGTGGTACCGTTTTGCTGGGCCATTGTGAAGATTGTAAGGGAGTAATTAACCGAAAGGCGAGAAGATGGGAGAGGAAAGAAGGAGTGTCCAAGAGAAAAAAAGAGGCGAGAGGAGAGTTTAAAGAGGATGGCGAGTTAACCAGAGTGAGTCAACCAGCTGGACCGATAACCTTTAGCAACGTAGTTTCCCCCGCCAAAGTTCTCGCCTCAGGCCAATCAGGCCGGAGCTGCCCCTCGTCCGCATTTAAGCTCGCCGCGCGAAGTCGGGACGCTGAGTTACCCGAGGATACCGGGTTGAGGTGTAACCTGTATGGAACGGTATTACAGTACAGGCTCTGCAACATATCCAAGTCCCACGGGTACATGGCCCGGAACAATACAAGATTCGACAATCTCCCCTCCCACGAGTCCATGACAGGCGAGTAGAACCTTGTACATGCCGTACTTGATCATTGGCTGCGTCATGCCAGAAATCAGATCTGAGATCTTGTCAAGGTTAGATCTGGGGTACAATCTTAATATGACTCACGTGTCTCGTCAGATCGGGAACGTTGCCGTAGAGGTTCTTGATAGTTCTTTATACATTGATGATCGGGTGGGTGGTGGCTTTCATTGAGAAAAGGCTGATAGACAAGGTTTGATCAGACAAATAGATTGATATGGATTTTTGACATGAAATATGGTTACAGACCCTCCGAAAAGGGCACTTTCGACTTTGGTAGCTGCACTGTCCCCAACAAGACTTGGCCAGTCCGCTTCCTCCGCCATGCCCACTAGTCTATAACGCGAGCCATCCGGCCTGGTACCTTCAATGCAATAAGTGATGGATTTCCAATGGTATCCCCCACTAGCGCACTTCCCTCAGTCCTGCCAAACTTGTACCGGCCGATAGCGATGGCCTGGCCCAGTCTTGTCACATCGAGCCGCCCACCAATTCATTCTCCCCAAGGATAATATAAAAAAGTGCGGGCAAATTAAAGACACAAAAAGAAGCAAACAGAATTGCAAAAGACCGCAGAACTGCAATCTCTCATCATACTGCTCGTGAAAAAGGAAGAAACTGGCAGTTTCTGCATTTAGCTGCCAGGAACGAGGCCCTTGAGGCCGGCGCCAATGTCACCCTCACGCGCGGCAATCTCGAAGTAGCCGTAGATGATACTAGAATTAGGTTAGTCGGTTGTACCTATAGATAAAGAATAATAAAGGGTGAAAACTCACGTCACAGCAAGCAGGATACCGGTACCGCTGCCGAGGGCACCGAGAAGGTCGGAGGCCACGGAAAGAGCACCAATGCAGGCACCACCGAAGGCGGCAGCAGTGGGGATAACACGCTTGAGCTCCTTGTACATGCTCTGCTCACGGTGACCGGACATAACGAGACCCTGGTCCTTGAGCTGCTTAGCAACGTCACGGGGGGCGGAGCCAGAGACCTCAATCCAGGTCTTGGAGAAGAGAGCGCAGGCAACCAGCATGAAGGCAATGTAGACAGCGGTGTGGATGGGGTCGAGGAGAGCCTCCTTGAAGTTCAGAGGAGGAGACATGTAGTAGGCGATACCGGAGGCAGCGTACAGCTGGGCGGATCCCTCACGGGGCTCCCAGACTCCGAGGAGACGGACCAGCAGGTTGTCAGAGAAGCGGGAGTACAGCATCTGAGAGATCAGGAAGACGTTGGAGCTCAGAGCGGACTGGAGCATGATGGGCATGTTGGAGGTGTAGAAGAGACGGACGGGGTAAGAACCGCGCATGCCACGCTGGCGGGCGGACTTGACGGGGATCTCAACACGGAAGCCCTGCAGGTAGATGACGGCAGCGAAGACCAGGAGAGTGGCCAGCAGGTTCATCACGTTGGGCAGGTTCTGGCGGTAGAAGGCCTCGTACAGGGCGCGCTGCTTGTCGGGCCAGGTCAGGAGCAGGTGGAACAGGGCGATGATCGCACCCTCGAACTCGGGGCCACGGCCAGTGTTGATGGTAGTGGGGGAGAACGCCTTCCAGACGATGGACTCGCAGATGTTGGTGGCAATGAACAGGGAGATACCGCTGCCGAGACCGTAGCCCTTCTGGAGGAGCTCATCCAGCAGAATGACGACGAGACCAGCGACAACCAGCTGGACAATCAGGAGGACACAGATACCGGCACCAAGGTCGCTGGGCTGGCCGTAGAGACCAGTCAGGACGTAGACACAGGCCTGACCGAAGGAAAGGATGATGGCGAACAGCTTCTGGGCAGTCTGGTAGAGCTCACGGTCGGTCTTGAGGTCCAGGTTGACGTCGATGAGGTGGGTACCGGCAAGGAGCTAGAAAAAAAGGGCCAAGGTTAGCGCGGATGTCATCGGTCGCGCGATCTGGATGTAGTTGTATACATACCTGGAAGACCATGCCGGAGGAGATGATAGGAGTAATACCCAACTCCATCAGGGTACCACGGTTACTAGCCAGCATCATGCGCAGCCAGTACAGGGGGTCCGAGGTGTCGGAAGACACGATACCGTACAGAGGCATCTGGCTCATGACCAGGAAGATGAGGAGAGTCAACTGTAAGAGACATTTGAGTTAGATTTCGTGTCAATTCCTCGCATCCACACGATCATTTCGAGGAGTAACGTACACCCGTCCACATCAGCTTCTGGTTGAAGGGCACCTTGGTCTCAGGCGCCGCCACCTCCGGGAGGAGGGGCGTGAAGGGCTTGATCAGGTCAAGGAAGCGTACTAGAATGATTCATTAGTATTTGTTGATCCATTGAGATCGAGGAGAGGTTGATTGTGACGATCGCGTGCTGGAAGGGCTGGGGGGGAACTCACGGCCGCTCATGGTGACTATCTTCCTCCCAATCCGTCGAAAAAGAAATAGAAGAAGCTGGGAATGTAAACCAGCCGAAGGAGCGGAAAGGTTATGAAGATATGAGGAAAGGAAAAGGAAAAGGAGGGGGGGGGAAGGAGAAGAAGAGGTGGTCGGATGGGAGATGGGGGGAGAGGAAGAGGATGGAAGAGTCTCGCTGGCCACTTTTCGCTTCGCGCTAATTAAGGCCACTTGGTCTTCGCCGCAAAACACGCTTAAACCAGTAACCCCGTTGACTCAACGGACACGCGCACAGGAGAAGTTTCGAGATCTAGACAAATTGTCCAGTTTATGTCAATTGCTATTATTTTTCCATTCTACGATCAAAACCCCCCAGAAGCTACAGTTCTGCGCGCCCAGAAGGTGTGTACCCCGGTGTAGACGGCCCCGAGCTTATCCCCACACTACGACAGGGTCGCTCCCAACAGGGTCTACAGCTTCAAACAGCCGCTCGGTCTCGAGAACAATGTATTTCCTTTGATATTTCCCAAATACGCCTTATATGCCTACCGTCAGAGCATGATTGATGAGTTCCTATCTTCACACAAAATATTCTATCTATACAGACGCCGGATCCAAATCCTTGATCGCAAAATGATCATCCATGACCCCCAAGAGCTTTCTCAAGAAGTTATCCATCATAATGTAGTCATTAGTGACATGCTCAAGGACCAACGAGACCTAAGCAGTCATCAATGACCAGCTCCAACTCCCCCAGGCGCGTCTTCAGGCCCCGGTTTTCATCCTTCAGCACTCCCATGACGCTCCAAGCTTCCGAAGCTGGAATACCATGGCAAATGTTACAATTGTTGGCGTTTCCAACGAAAGAGCTGCCCAAACGGGTCGAGGCAATCCCCTTGATGACCCGCTCGTACGTTGATGAGCGCGCCGGCGCAGGGTTTGTAGTGGCAGCAACGAGGTTCTTCTGGATCGTGGGCAGTGATGAGGGTGCGGACAAGGCGACCTGTGACAGACTTGGTGACGGGGCGGTTAGAGTAGATGTCGGTGACTCGACAATCTCTTTGTGCGAGAAGACACTATCAGCGACACTCTCGTCACCAGACTCGAAGCCCGAGTCGCTCGTAAAGGTGCCATGGCTGGTACGCTTGCCGCCGCGGTGAGGAGTCTGAAGCACAAGGGATGGGATCTCATCCTCAGGGGGAATTGTACGCATGGTACGACTCCGGCTGCAAGACTCCTCGCGCTGACGCAAGTGCCTCTCCTGTTCCAACTCTTCGGCCATGGCCTTCATGGCCTTCTCTTGGTCCAAAACTTTGGCGGCCATGCCGTCTAGCTGCATCTTGAGGTGGTCCACCCGAGCACGAGTCTCCTCGAGCTCTTCATGTTTCTCGTTCCGATCGGCAAGGACCTGGTGCATGGCGAAGGTCCTTTGTTTGTATGCTTCTTGCATGCGTTGCAGAACGGTAGTGGCCTGATCGCGAAGACTATCCAGAGCTTCATCGCTGCTCAGGTCAGAATCGGGAGTGGACAGGGCCGCCGAAATATCGAGGTTCAAAAATTCATCATCTGCAGGTTCAGGAAAATCAAGCCTTTGTTCAGCAGGTCGGCGGAGGCCGAAGAATGAGAATCGTCCTGTCCCTGGAGCCGAGTTCTTGCGCATATGTGACGGGGATCCCGCCCTAACGCGAGACGCTTCCATCCCAGCCCCGTTGGGATGACTATCAGGACGCATACTGTGTCCCGAATCGCCCGATTCTGACTTGCCCTGGAACCAATCTGACAAGATCCTGGCTCTCGCTTCAAGCTTCTTCTTTGGGAATGTATCGGTCCAGGCTGGAGCTGCTCGGTTCTTGGAGAGGTGATTGCTGGATGTCGAATCGTAGACGCTGTCTTCAAAGATAGGGGGCCGTGCAATGTACTCCGTATTTGACCGACGATGTGAAGGGAGACTGTGGAAGCGGTTCTTGGACGAGTTCGCAGGGATCGCCGAGTTTAGGGGCGACGAGGCAACGGTCTCGTGAGATTCTAGTGACGCATTGGAATGTAGGGGAATCGAGGAGTGGGAGAGATCGGAGGACATGATGACGAGGGGAACTTGGAGGTAGCGGCCAGTCTGGATTCGAACGCCACGTCGAATCGAGGAGCAGAGGGGGTGCAGTGGCGTTGCAGGTGTGTGACCTGAAGGGAGATCGAGAGCCTAAAGGTGGAGTGGTGCAGATTGATGAAGTGTCCACGAGGGGGGGGGTGGGCGATCAGCGAGGGTAAAGGAGTAGACGAAACGACCCCTTGAATTGGGAGATGATTAGGATCAAAGCAAAGGATAGTAATTTCAATAGCGTGTGTTTCACTGCATGAGATTGGACTTGAGCAAAAAACCCAGCTCCCTTTCTTTTGAAACGCGATTTCCCGAGTAAATAAACGGGAGGCTGGGGGGTTATTGAAATAGCGGTGGCTGAACCCCGGCAACTTCTCCACTGGGCCCTGTCCAGTCCGAAGATCCACTATGGAATCTTTGGCATTCTAGAACGGAGAATAATGATGGTTGTGAAAGATCATGGAAGAGTACTGTAATCCACGATATCTGTTGATAATGCTGGATATTCAACTATTGACTTCATATCTCGTCCAATCATTCCCCCCATATAGCACACATTACAGATAGCCCGAGGTATACATTCGTAGGTCTCTGAGCTCTGTTAAGCCATGCTAAGCCAGTGACGCAGTAATAAGATCGAGTGAATATATAGTGCGAACATTAGTATCCATGAAATCGAAGTCAACGAAGTATAAAGTCGTAAAGATCGAGAGTAATCGCCATTTTCGTGGTACGATAACACGTGATCTTCAATAGCACGCCAAGTCAAGTCCTTATTTTGGAGAATAATACGCAGTCCTCTGTGATAGACAGTAATGTGAATGTATTAATATAGGAATATTAACTTCTAGCTGCCCTTGTAGATACTCGAGTGTATGCGGGTCTGCATCCTCAAGCTTGATACTCGATTCGGAAAGGAACAATGGCGGGCCGTTTTTCCTTCGCATCTCTCAATCTCGAGCTTCCACTTTCGAGCCTCCACCACCTAACCTGCCTCTACGACCTTCCCCGAATCTCTTACCACCATGGCTCAAACAAACGCCGGTCTGAAACATCTTTCCAACGCTCTTGCGACCCCCGATCAGCTCTCCAATTCCTCCTCGTCACTCGACGGAGTGCCCTCGGAGCTTGAAACCTCCATTCGCTGTGCCGGCGCGCAACTCACCCAAGCCGCTGGTGTATTGCTCCACCTGTCGCAAGACATCATTTCCCAGGCAATTGTGATTTTTACGCGATTCTGGTTAGGTGCCGATGGGGGCAGCTTGCGGATCTATTCTGCAAAGGTATGACAATACAAGAGTGTGCTGTGTTATTCTCCTCTCACTCTGCGCTCATTAGGACGTCTCCGCGGCTTCCCTTTACTTGACTGCAAAGTTATCCTTCCAGCCAACTTCGCCGCGCTCCATCCTCAATGTCTATAACCTCCTCCTCTCCCAAGATGCCTCGCCTCTGTGGTTCGTGAACCCACGCGGGGCTCCGACACAGCCGCCGACACCAGATAGCTACGTCCTCTCGGAAGGAGGATACCAGACCGGCCGACTGGTCCTCCTGCGTGTTGAATCGGTCATCCTTCGCACACTAGGTTTTGATACACACGTTGCTCTCCCTCACACCATTGCCCTCACCTATCTTCAAACACTGGGTGTGAGTCGACCTGCCGTGTCGCGCCGGGTGCTCGAACATCTCAACGCTGCACTACTCTCGCCTCAACTGCTCTACGTAACACACCAGCCGAATGCGCTTGCCGTGGCAGCTATCTATCTTGCTACGCGGGAGGAAGGGGTGAAGCTGGTAGATGGAGAATGGTGGGAGGTGTTTGATGTCGACCGGGAGGAGCTTGGGTTTTTGGTTGTGGGAATGAGAAGCACCGAGGGCTTCATGCGGAGAGAGACGGAGGTGTGGAAGAACAAGGCGATCCCTATGGAGATAGATGAGGTTGATGCGGAGGTTGAGCGACGACGGATGATGGACGAAGGTGAATGAGCGGGCTCGAGAATTCGAAGTCTTATCGACTAGACGCCAATACTTCGCTGCCCTGGCATTGTACCCGGCTAAATCTGCTGGGTAAATCTGGCTGTTTGTATGCTCTCTGGAAGCTCGAGGATATGAGAGTCGTCATACCCGACCCAGACAGCAGATGCGGCTTAGGGCAGCTGACCACCAAGCGAGTCATTCGCAAACCAGCTGGTTCGTGAGGCTCCGCCAAGGGCAGGAGATGCAAATCAGGTGAAGCGAAAGTAAGGTTAGCACTCTCGTGGGAAGTTTGGCGGTGACAACAGCGAAGGGAAATCGATGAGCTCACGCGGGGCCGATCATGTGCTCCACCGCTTATCAAGATTGTCCCCTCCCCGCCCTCGTCATCCCAAACTGCTGCTACCTACACTTCTTTCTCTCCTTTCATAGCGCATAGATATTCCACTTACCTCACAATGAACATTTTACACTCAACACTTTCTACCTGGCGCGATCGTCTGGCCCCGGTCTCCCGCACTTCAACCTTTCGCGCAACCGGCCAAATCACACCGGAGGAGTTCGTCCTCGCCGGCGACTATCTCGTCTACAAGTTTCCCACATGGTCCTGGGCCGATGCATCCACCCCCGCTAAGCGGGTATCCTATCTACCACCTGGCAAGCAGTTCCTCGTCACTCGCGGTGTGCCGTGTCACCGGCGGTTGAACGATAACTTTGCCGGGGATGCGGGTCATGAGGATGAGATCGTGAGGGATATGCTTGCGGGTGAAGGTGGCGAGGGTGCATCGGGAGGAGATGGAGATGACGGCTGGCTCCGGACTGGAGGTGGTCGTGATACCGTTGCAGATCGTGATATGCAAGAGGCGAAGATCCGCGATGTACGGACGGTGGACGAATCAGGCAACCTCGGCGAACAAGAAGAGGAAGAAGAGATACCGGATATGGAGGATGATGACGACGACGAGGAGGCGATTATTCGCGAGCCTGCTGGACAGTCTGGGACAACTCAGTAGGTGGATATCAGCTTTGGCTTCTTCATCTTATCTGATCGGAGTCATGTTTTACTCGGTACTAACAATGACTGCGGTTTATCCAGGCCCCTCCGCACTTATACTCTTTATATCACATACTCAAACTTCTACCGGACACCACGACTCTACCTCTCAGGTTACTTGTCTCCGTCCGAGCCTCTCCCTCCACACCTGATGATGGAGGATATTGTCGGCGACTACAAAGACAAGACCGTGACACTGGAGGACTTCCCCTGGTTCGAAGGCAGTGTAAAGATGGCCACCGTCCATCCCTGCCGCCACGCATCCGTCATGAAGACTCTGCTTGATCGAGCCGATGCCGCCCTTAAGATCCGCATGGAGAAGCTGAAGCAGACCCAGTCGCGCGAGCAAGCAAACCGCACCCTACAGGCCGGTGGAAGCGGTGGGCTCGAGGGACTCGTCGACGATACGAAGGGCTTGTCACTTAGCGAACATGCACAGCAGCAGCCCGGTGGTGACGAGTGGGAAGTCCTGCAAGCCGATGAAGAGGAGCAAGTTGCTATCCGCGTGGATCAGTATTTGGTTGTATTCCTCAAGTTCATCGCCAGTGTGACACCTGGTATTGAGCACGACCACACGATGGGAGTCTAAGTGGAAGATTGTCTGGTGCTGATTTAAAGCCCCTTCTCGTTCTCGTCCCCACGCAGCCAAGAGCTTGGTTTCGCAGTTTGGATGAGCGGGCTAGTTCTCGCCTGCTAGTGCATGGGACTCAGAGGTCTAGGCTTGGATATTTTACGAAGCACCTCCGGGAGAATACGTGATATGCATGACATGACATGACTTGGCGTTCGATATTTGCTGCTGGCCGCTCAAATTTAATTATCGGTTTTGTGGTTTGACGTTTTGCTCCGTATCAGATAATTAGTTGTTGCGCATTTTGCGCATTAGAGGAATTCACTGTTTCTTTTCGTCTGAATACCTTGTCCTGGTACCTTCTATAGCCTATTATCGAATTTCCTATTCCTGGCTTTGCAAGGGATGCATCGTATCTCCCAAAACCATACTATGCTATACAATGCACTACGAGATAGTCCCTCGCGTCGACTCCCCGCAGTTTCTTGAGCTAGTCCTGTGGGGGATCGGCATTGACTCAAGTGCCAGTTTCTGATTGGACAGCGGGAAATTACCATCTACGCAGAGGAGGCCTTGCTTCCTAAGGGGTATAGACTTGAAAAGTTTACTTTGCAAGGGCTACTTCAAAATTAAAGATGAATGCGAGTTCTCCTCAAGTAAAGAAGATTCAATGTATTCAAAGATCACAATCACACAAAGAAAAATTGTAATAGTGCAGTGTCCCCAAGACACGGTGCGGAATGTGCATAGCACGTCCGGACTCCCAACAAGAACAACCACCCAACCGTATAGTACCAAGTAAGGCTCTCATATATCAGCCTAGATACAAGCATTTCGGTACGCCAGCCGGAGACAGGCGACCACATAATAAATAAAACCAAAAGTAGACATGAAAGAGAAGAACATGTGACAGGGAGAGGATAGCCAGGATAGGCAAAAGATACATCAGAGACTGAAAATGACATGAAATAGACGCAGGACAACGTGTAAGTAGGATATGAGGATATCCACGAGAGAGACTTTGATCACATCACTGCATCATCCGTAGACCGAATCGTGGCTTAGTAGAACAGACCCAGGATGATGGGGAGAGCGGCGGCCAGGAAGGATGAACCGGGAGCCAGGGCGGAACCAGCATTGAAGACTGGCACGGACGAGGGTGCGGACGTGGGAGCCGGGTGCTGGATCAGAGGAGTCGAGCGGATGGGGACCGGAGCAGGAGGCGTGTAGACAGGGACGGGAGTCACGGTGGGAATCGAGATGGGAGTAGTGTAGGTAGGAGGAATCATGACCGGGACGTAGGTAGAAGTGCTAGTAGGAGGGATCTCGAGAACCTCCGTGGTGGAAGGCAACACGATGACCGCGGTGGTTGTAGGAACCTCGATGATCTCGGAGCAGGGAATAGCCTGGTGAGCATCGTGGGTACCGGCACCGAACTTGACATAAGGACCACCCGGGATGCCAATATCGTAGCCAGCACCGGCATCCTTCTCGCTGCTCACGCCGGGACCGCAAGGCCCGTGAGACTCGCTGTGGGTGCCAGCGCCGAACTTGACAGCAGGACCGTCGGGGATGCCAATATCGTAGCCAGCGCCAGCATCGTGCTCGCTGTCACCAGTGGTGGGAGCAGCGTCGTGGGTCTGGTCACCACCGAGAATAGGGAGACTAGGAAGACCGTCCTGATATGCAGTGTGAGGTTGCTGATCTTGGATATTCATCGGAGTCGTGATGTCCATGTGGTTCGGAACTTACCAGATTGGGGGCAGCCAACACAGAGGCGGGGCCAATGGCGAGAACGAGGCACAGAGCGGCCGAGAGGGTGAAAGACTTGGGAGACATTTTTGACAGAGTATAAGGCGCGGAGGAATGAATCCAGAGAATGTATTAAAAGAGTGTTCGTTTGAAGAGTGAATGCTGAAGCGAATGTCAAGAGAAAGAATGACTGTCCGAGACTCTGATGTCGAATGGATGAAGAAGAGAAGGTTTGGGACCGCAATCCATGGTCTTTATGTAGTTTTGGAGAGACAATGTCTTTGAGTCCTCATGAGAGGGTTCTCAGCATCTCGCACAGAGGAGCCAAGGGCCTAGCCAGGAACCAGGACGCTGCAAGGTTACAGACTAACCCTTTGGTGGCTTTTTGCTTGGAGACCGCCACAAGGACGGCGATCGGCAAGGTACCAGGGGTAAATGAACTACCCGCTTCAGAATCACGAACTGGATCGGAGGTGTCATGTCTTTTGGGTCTTTTCGGCGAGGCCACGACGACGGTGATTCGTGCGCATGGACGGCGTGAACTGGAGTATGTATGCAAGCCCTAAAGCGACCAAGAAGCTTATGCATGTGCCTGGAATGGCCGAGTATCCGAGCTGTCGAGCATCTCTGCTGGGACAAGATTGTCCTGATCCTCGCTGTCTGTGATTAGCATAGAAAGCCAACGACACGTGGTGGTTGGGGGGAGATGAAGGTTGCAGCGACAATGCAAGGGGCGGGCCAACCGGAGCAGAACAACCCCAATCCCCATTGCAGGAGGTGCCTGCGCGGCAAATTGCAACTGAAATCAGTAGGGCTACTGGGACAGGGTTGACGCATCATACGCAAGGAATATTCAATATCAAAGACCGCAGGAAGTTTCATACGGACCTTGCCAAGAGCCCTCTAGGCAAATTCAAGACATCAAGGCATCATCACCCTGGAGACACGGACAACACATGTGGAAAAGAGTAAAAAAATCATATATTGCAAATATTCAATGTATCTTCATCAGTTCATCATGCATCGCCGCTGTTAGAAACATCAAAATGGGGTAGTCGCAACGGTGTGCATCACCAAAAAAACCCAAGTAAATGAGGATGAAATGAAACCCAGATGAAAAGCATCGATAGACATGCTAGATGCAGAGAGATCACAAACTTCAATATAAGATGGTAGGTTCAAGATGGTTCTTTTCAGATTTTCCCAAATTTCGATATTCCAAATGCCGTGCCAAAGTTGGTAGACTTCTTAAATCTGATTTCCGGTTCCGGTTCACCTTTGTTAGGCGCTTCAGCGTCGTCGTCATCCTCGTCGGGTCCATCGGATATCGTCGAAGTAGACAGGATGCGCTTGGCCTGATCCAGGAGCCGCGAATCAAGTTCGTTCAGGAAGCTGCTGTCGTGTTCTTCATCATTAGTCAGACCAAGGGGCCCCTTGAGGGCAGGATCGTCAGGCACGTCGGGAAAATAGGACTCCGCGTGTTCGGACGGTTGATTGGCGTGGGTGACCATAGGCGCCAAGGGGGCTTCCTCCTCCTCGGACGGGAGTATCTCGACAGGAGAAGCATTCTGGGTGGTCAGCTGGCTGACATCCAACTCGATGATCGCCATTGGGGTGTGGCCAGCATCCCTGACAAGATTCTCATTGGGTAGGCCGAGTTCTGACAGCTTCAACTTGAGACTGTTTCGGTGTTCCATCCCCGGCCTTGCAGGCTCCGAGGGGGCGGAGGCTGGAGCCGGGGAGGAGGTTTCTAGGGGCGACGGTGAGGGTGGGGTGATCACTCGAGCAACGACCCCAGGTGGCAAAGCAGTGGACTTGAGGGTGATCCCATCCAGTCTGCTGTCAAGCTTCTCGATGGGCACGGGGATGCTGACGATCGCGCCAGAGGCGTCTACAGCCCGTGCCCGTGGTGAAAGTGCCGCATCAAGGGACGGAGGGTTACTGCCGCTGCCTTCGCTGATCGGCGACAGGTGAGCATTATCTGGGATCTCCTCGTCGCGGAATACCCTCGTGGGTCGACTTCCTGGACTTGACCCTTCCCACACCTGTGCCGAGGAGAGATGATCATTGGAGTCCAGGTACTGCGGTGTCCCAAATGAAGGCCTGGAAGGATGGGAGGTTGATATGATAGACTGGCTCCGTTGAGATTTCAACAATGACTCTAACTCTGCAATCTTGGTCCGTAAAAGCGCCCGCTCTTTCGCCCATAATTGTCGTTCCTGGGCGAATAGTGCCCGCTCACTTTCAAGATGCGCCCGTTGATTCTCAAGCAGTTCTCGTGATTGTTCGATATATGATGTGTCTAAGCCAAGGTCCAGTGCCTTGGGGACCTGAGAGATCCGCGGTTGTCGATATTTGGAGTTCATAGAAGGGGTGCTTGTAGAAACCGATTGCGCACGACGAGCAGGGGTTGCCGTTGGTGAAAAGCGCACCTCCTTATAGACACAGCCATGGCCGTCAGGCAATTTGGGTACGGCGGTCTTCATGTCGAGGGAGGACCAGGATCGTACTGGTAGTGAGGTGCGGTGTAGAGCGAATTCTTTGGGCTTTCAAATGCCAAACGGACGGCGGGTCTGGGGATTCGGGGGAGGGGGATGTGGATCCAGGTCACCACGCAACGTAACAAGCACCACGTCCAGGGCAGTTAGTTAGCTCAATAGCTCAAAATTTTGCAGACCAATTGCCGAGGAGTATGCTGGCTTATTCTGTGAGTAGTGTCCAGTCCGTCGTTAGCTGTCAATGTGACGAGCAGATTCGCATCGCAGCAGAGCTGCAGTGGGGACATACGGGGAGGCGGTCAGGAACGGTCAGGTAGAACATGCAGATGAAGGGTCTGCCTTCAAATGCCCGTCGATATAGATTCGATATAGTTGAAAGGTACTGTATGGATAGTATGGTCGGACTTCATGTGCAAGTCTGCAATGCGACACCGGTGAAGAACGAATGGCTCGTGGACGGGATTTGTTGCTCAGAAAGCCGACCACGCGTCCCTCGACCACTGGGTGCTCAGTAGATCGTGGGAACAAGCAAGAAAGAGAGAAAATTGGGCAGCTTTCAAATGGGCGCCAGACTGTTTAGTTTGGAGATTCGTTCCACCAGTGGCAAGTCACCCCACTATGGCCATGAGGGAACGGGTCGTTCCTGTGGAGGTGAAGCTTAATCGGTTTAATAGACTGTCAGGCCACACCCCCGCAGAGCCGAGGTTGACCATATCACCACGACAGGGGGGAGCCGTAAGCAAAAGAATAATAATGATAAGGATGATAAACTAGATGGGGTCGATGTAGTTTAAAGATCAAAGTCCGGTCAGAATCCCAGCAGGCGAAAAGGGACGAGACTTTCAGATGACCAGGGCCAAATGACGTCAAAGGGGATGTCGGATGTGACCCCCATTCTCCAGGTTCTCGTCTCCAATAATCGATCAAGAATCTCTCCCGACTCGGACGGGACTACTCCCCGCATTTACCGCGGAGGATCGTGCGAGGAATGTTGGCGCTGGAACGAAAGCGGCCGTCCGTATTAGGCTATACAGCATTGCTGGTTATATATATCGTACGAGTCAGACAGATGAATAACTATCGCCAGGTTAGTACCCAGTTTCCCATCTCTCTAACATCGTCAATTATTTAGATATTTCCAATCTACCATAGTCACATGCTGCTTGAACGAGATATTCCCCTCAGAACTAAATTTATTCAGTTATCACATGTCATTGCGCAATGTGACGAGTCGCAACTCAAACATATCCCGAGTCATTGCCGTCCACATCGGGCTGTATACTTACCTATCGACCCGACCAACCATGAAATCTGGAGATATTTATTTGTACAACTTAAAGTATCTGTAGAAGTATCTGCCCCCCCGTCTAGGATACATCTCTCAATTCCTTGATTTTCTTGCCTCGTGTGCTAGTCACACACCTCATTACCTAGAACACCAGTCCCGTACATGGCATTATAAGGTTGGTCGAAGACCTAATGACCAAAATAGGTCTAGGAGGTAAAATGCAATAGCCCGCAACCATCCGATCTCTCGCGAGAGTTGATTGATAAGATAGATGGACAAGGGTAGCTCCGAACTGCTAGAAAGGGAATCAGATGTATACTTTGGTCCCTTGTCGACCTCCCCGTACTTAAAGGTCATCTAGATATTATGTTCACCCTCTAACGCCGGCTTGCAATCATTTAAACTACTTGACTAAAATTTACACACCAATGAGTTACTTGCACTCGGATCACAGATTCAGATAATGCCTGTAGACAATATAAAAATCTCACTCCGGTGACATCATGAAATGAGGTTCTTGGAATGAGGCGTATCTCGAGTGGCTGGGCGGATCATTAAGGTGATCTCCACTAGATTGTATGTCTACTTAGCGTAATACCCTCAAGACAAATACGTCGGATGTCCTCCGTATCCTAAATAACATACGACATAGATATCTGATCTTATTACTTCGTTGTACTCGATGATCAGCGTCTGGCCCCCAAACTTCCCAAGACATTTCCAGCCCCTCACAGCCTCACCAGACCCATTGCCCCGTCCTACCCATCATATTTATTGCTTGACTGATCAATGATGAAGCCTAGATAATGCCTCAATTCCCCACTCCGCAGATTTATTTAATCCTTCAATGCCGCGTTCATCGTCATTAGGGTCCATATTTGGTGCCCTGGCCCCTCGTTGTGAAAGCCAAGGATGGTTTTTCGAAGACCATAGTCCAAGAATAGTAATAGATCGGTCAGGAATTAAATAAGATACAAGTATCTGAACATTCCCATTCAATGAATCATCCCACCTGTTGAACAGCCTTCAACCCTTCCAGCCATCCATCAAAATGACAACCCTAGAACCCCTCAAACAACCCATCGCCATCCGCCCAGACCTAATCGCCACAGCCCCAACAACCCTCATCGTCCACCCACACAGCATAAGCTTCTCCGGCAGCGACTTTACCATTTCAGTCCTCAACAATGCCAACCAACCTGGAGCCTCCTCCTCATCCTCCTCCCAATCAGCCACGGAACCGACAAAAATCTTCTTCGTCGACGGCAAAACCTTCTCCTGGAGCAACAAGATGAGCTTCCTCGACGCCTCAGGCCCGGCCTTCGAACTCCATCGTAAAAAGGCCGGCGTGACGTGGTTCGTTAGTTTGCCGAATACGAGTGATAAGAGTATTGCTACGATTGCGCCGCAGGGACATCTGTTGAAGGATAAGTTTGATGTTTATATTCGCAATGTGGCGGATGGGGGTGCGGAGGTTAAGCTTGAGGTGAGGGGGAATGATATTTGGAAGTATAGGACGAGTGTGTATTATGGGGGATCGCTTGTGATGATGATTAAAGTTAAGAGGTATTATCTTGTTTATGTGGGCATGGGGAAAAGGCCCGAGTGGGAGGTTAATGTTACGCAGGGGTTCGATTTGTCGCTGGTAAGTTGTTGTGGTTTATTGGATATGTGGTTGGATGCTGGCTAATCTGTACCAGGCTTCTATCATTGGAGTTCTTCTGGTCCATGTGTTGTATAAGCCGAGTTATCAATCGTCTTATAGACCTGCCGAGTCGAGCTCAAGCCGGGATGTCGATGCAAAAGACCCAGTGAAATCATGATTGGTTTGTTCGTGACCAGAACGAAAGCCACACAGAGAGATTGATAGATTTTGGACAGGCGGGAGTATACACAGGCTTAGCTATTCTCTTCTTACAATGATACCACGTACTGCACAAATTTATCAAATCGTGGGAATGAATTTATGACAACAAGAAATCGGGCTAGGTATATACTTGACACTTTTAGGTACGGTAGTCACCGTTAATAGTGACATACTCGTGGCTGAAATCGCAGAACCAATAGACGGCATCCTCGCCACCGCATCCAGAAGAACCCTTCTCACCACCACCAAGGTCAACCTCAATCTCCAAGTCCTCATTCTGCAGAATGACGCTGGCACGCTCCTCATCGACAGCCTCAGGCTCGCCATTCACAAGCAGCTTGAGGATGGGGCTGCCGTCCACGGGGCGGAAGCTCACAGATGTACGCTCAGGCACGACAACGCCGTCCTTCACACCCTGAGTATAACCAACGGCGCAGAGAATACGACCCCAGTTAGCATCACGGCCGTACAGCGCAGTCTTGACGAGGGGAGAGCGGGCAATGGTAGAGGCAATCAGGCGGGCAGACTCATAATCGGGGGAGTTGCGGACGCGCACAGTCACGAACTTGGTAGCACCCTCGCCGTCGCGGACGACAAGCTGCGACAGCTCCTGGGCAAAGTCGGTGAAGATGGTCTGCAGAGCCTGGTAGTCGGCGCTAGCCTCGGAGCCGGCCGCGGGAGCCTGGACGGTCTCTCCGCCGGCGGCACCGTTGGCAAGGACGGCAATGGTGTCGTTGGTGCTGGTGTCACCGTCGATGGAGATCGAGTTGAAAGAGCGGGAGATAGAGTGCTTGAGGATGGACTGGAGAGCAGCGGGCTCGACGGCGGCATCGGTGCAGAGAACGCCGAGCAAGGTGGCCATGTTCGGGTGAATCATACCGGCACCCTTGGTCATACCGGCCAGGCTGTAGGTGCGACCTGGAGAAGAGGGCAGGGTGAAAGTGCGAGAGAGCAGTTTGGGGAAAGTATCGGTGGTGCAGATTGCACGAGCGGTGCTCAGCCAGGCATCGTGTGTCGAGTCGAGATTGGCGTGCGCAGTAGGGATGCGGTCGAGGATCTTCTTGATAGGCAGGCTATTGCAGAATAAAATTAGTATATAGGAGCATGGTATGTTTTGTTTCTCTGGGGAAACACTTACCGCTGTCCAATGACACCCGTGCTCATGACCAGGGAGCTGTTCTTCTCAGCGCCGCTGCACTCATCCACAGTCTGGCCCATCTGGACTGCATCCTCCAAGCCACCCTTGCCGGTCACGGCATTGGCGCATCCAGAGTTGATGACGACAGCCCGGATACCCTCGCCCTTACGGCTCTTCAACGTTTGCCGGCTAACCTGCACCGGCGCAGCCTGGAACTTGTTGGTCGTGAAAACGGCAGCGGCCGCGCAAGGCGTGTCGGAAGCGATGAGCGCAAGATCGGGGAAGCGGGTGTTGGAGGCCTTGACACCGACATGAGTGCCAGACACCTTGAATCCCTTCGGGTACGTGCCAGACGTGGGGATATAGCGCTGCTTGGAGGCCGGAATGGCCATGTCCAACGGTGCGGAGTAGCATCGGACCTGGCCCTTGAGCATGCGGGCAAAGGAGCTAACCGCCATTGTGGCGGGCTGGGTGTTGGAAACCATGTAACCGGACTTGAAAGATATCAAGGCTGAATCACAATGGCCTGCTCAGTCACGACTTGTGAAGGGGGAAGCTCAAGCTGATGAGTCAACTTACTGCGGGCAGAAAAAGATAACCTTAACCGGTCTCGGAGCTACGGACTCGGCACGAGATAGCGCGGTATCAGTCCACTGCCTGTTTGCGACCGATAAAGAGAGAAGACAAACAGTAAAGCACTGTGTTGTAAAAAGAGTGAGTAGTTTCGATGAGAGTAGAAATTGAGTGATTTCATGCTCGACAGCGTAGAATTAGAATCTTTCGATGCTCACATGATCTCTACTTATCGCTGTATCCATGGATCTTCTCGAGTCAATTAGTGGATTTATTTACGCAGTGTATTTTTGGAACTAGAAATCACTCTTATAATTTCTAACCAGATGATGACAGGGCAAGATTAAATGCCTCGCGCAGACTATATCTCTACCACTCTATATACTGCGCTCGCTCCATAGTTGGGGCGGACTCGGAGAAACTCCAGGGGACCCGCTGCTACTCAACTTTTGAACCTCCGCGGCTTTGGACTCGAGACCGACAAGACCGCTCGAACGATCGAACCATCACGTTTACAGGGCCGATTAATAAGTCAAACTACTTGCCCCCCTGTTTGGTAGTGCATCAGACACTGCTGCAGCGCCCTTTGGCAGGCACACCCCCAGCCAATCCCACCCCTTGCATCCGCGTCCCTGTGCACATTCTCCGGATCTAATGGTATTGTTGATTTCCTTCCCTCTGCTTCTCTATCATGGACTGCCTGCTGACTCGCCCATAATGAAGCGCAAGCTTTCGAATTCCGGTCTGGAAAATGACCACCCTGAGGTCTCGAGCCCCAAGAGGCCACGAACCGCGCTATCGCAAACGAATGGCGCGTTGAACGGCGACGCGCCGAGACTTCCTCCTCCGAACGGCGATGCCACCTACGAACTTCCCGAGGCACCACGAGGCCAATCCACCCCGAAGAAGACCAATGGAGTGGCTGCGACACCATTGAAGGAATCCGGGTTGAAGACGCCGACCCATAAATCCAAGGCTCGATCGCTCTTTGCGACACCCACGAAGCCCAAGTCTGCGACCGCCGCGACGCCATCTCGAATTAAGAACGCCGATCGATCTGCGAAGAAAAAGAGCGCTCGAGTCCTTTTCGAACAGGATGAGGATGCCGCTTGGGATGGCTCGGAGCAGCTTGCGGAAGAGATCCTGCAAGATGACGAGCCCGACGCCGACGAGGCTGCCGAGCCAGCGGTGGAAAGCGTCGAGGGTGAAGATGCAGAGAAATCAAAAGAAAAAGAGGCCAAGGCTCCAAAGCGACGGGCAGGTCGACCCAAGGGTGCGAGGAATAAGCGATCACCGACACCCGAAGGTGAACTGCCACCTCACGAACGCTACTTCTTCCAGAATCGCGCTGGTACGGCGAAGACGTCAAACACCACTTTGAATAAGGTGACTCTCTTGACCCACGAGGAATACTTTGAGAAGCTTGGCCAATATGCGGACCCGTGCAAGGACGAGAAAGAATATCTACTTTCCTTGCACCATCGATCATTTCCACAGTGGCATTTTGAGTTCGAAGAAGGGTTCAATATCTGCTTGTTTGGATACGGCTCCAAACGCAGGCTTGTGCAGCAATTTGCTGATTGGCTTTACCACAAGCGCTCCGTATCTGGAAGCGCTCCATCCATCGTTATTGTCAACGGATATACTCCGGGTATCTCGATCCGTTCGATTTTTGCTATGATTGCGACGGCCATTCTGGGTGAGGATCTGCCATCCAAACTGGGTGCACAGCCAACCGAGGTACTCGAACTTCTACAATCAGCGCTCAAGTCTCGACCCGCCACGGAAGAACCCATCACGGTTCTAATCAACTCGGTCGATGCACCGCCGCTGCGTCGTGCCGCTAACCAAGCCCTACTCGCTCGTCTGGCCGCTACACCTCGAATCCGCCTTCTGCTCACTGCAGATACTCCTAACTTTGCAACGATGTGGGACATCAGTCTACGTGATCAGTTCAATCTCGTCTTCCATGACAGCACCACGTTCACTCCCTTTGCCGTGGAGACCAATGTCGTGGAGGAAGTCCACACCCTGCTTGGCCGCAAAGGCCAGCGTGTTGGCGGAAAGGATGGTGTGGGCTTCGTGCTGAAGAGTTTGCCCGAGAACGCACGCAACCTGTACCGCCTCTTACTCACAGAAGTCATCACTGTCATGGATGACGGCCACCAGTCAGACGACGAAGGTGCCATGGAGAGCGGGGGTCGAAGCGGGGAGGAACATGGCATCGAGTTTCGCCTGCTGTACCAAAAGGCGACAGAGGAATTCATCGCATCTTCAGAGATGATGTTCCGCACTTTGCTGAAAGAGTTCCACGATCATCAAATGATCACTTCCCGCATGGACCCCAGCGGGATGGAGATCCTCGGCGTGCCACTGTCCCGTGATGAGATGGAAGGCGTGTTGGAAGATTTAGTGTTAGGATGAACGATAACCTCGGTGTGCGTGTGCGATGTATGAGTAGGATTGATATAGCGATATTGAAGAACATCATGATACCCCTTTATGAACACCATATTCAATGATCACCAGTTTGCTTTGGTAGGCAGTGTCATGTCACGCATGCACTATGCTATGAAATGTAGTCTTGAGCTGTAACCTGGATAGTAGTATGTCTTGAGAGTATCGAGGAGATTTTTATTTACAAAGTGTATCCCTCCGTCTATTCCCCTCTAAGTTACACACCAGAAGAGGACTGTACCTTAGAACTGCGCAAAGGCAGCCATTGCCATCATGGCACCAAAGCTGATCTTAAACGGCCGATGCTCAGAAACCATCCGGCCCAAATCAGCATTCTTGACATATTTTTGCAACCGGTTCAGAGGAAGGATGTTATAGCCCTTCGACGCAGCCCACTATGCATCACATTAGCACACCCTCCTCTCGAGATCGTAACGAGAAAGGTCTCCACAAACCTCAACAAGAACAACACCCATGCCCAAAACAACAACCAAAACCCTCGAGAAAGCCCTCAGCCCCACACCAGCAACGAGACCCAACACACTCCCCAAACTAATCTGGCGCATATTATCCGGCGTCAAAAGGGCATTCTTGGCTTGCGCCGCGATCCCCGTTCGACTCTGTTTCTGCAGAATGGGGTCATTGGGGTGAACAGCCCACCCGGTCTCTCCGCTGGCCTGGCCGTCCGTTCGATAATTGGGGGCGCTGTATTCGCATCGCATTGGGGCGGCGCGGAAGGGGGAGAGTGGGTGGAGGGTTGCTGCGGAGAGACCGATGCCGAGGCCCAGGCCGAGACGGAGGATTGTGGATGGAGGGGAGAAGAAGGGGAAGGCCATTGTGGTGGAAGAGGTGTCAAAAGGAGGCCGGAGGGTGACTGAGGGTTGGAGGATTGTAGATAATTGCTGAGTAGATATTGAGTTGCTGTTACTCTGGAGGTTGGAGAAAGAAGGAGTTGAAGCATGAAGATACTCCGAAGGGGAGAGCTTGTCGATAAGATACCGGGTGATGTCATCGCTGGTCACTTTCCATGCAGGTGCGCCTGGAACTGCCTCGGATTGGCCGGGTTGGGGTCAATCGTTGTTTTGGACTTGAAATTGTAAGTTCCGAATTGTAATTATCATGCTTGCGATTATTCCGATGAATAGCCTTATGGGAGACTGGCTTTCTCGGACTAATCGCGTGGAAAGCCATTTCTTGAAAGTGGGTTTCTAGCTTGAAGGTCGCAGCTCCCCCAATCTAGTTCTACCATTTCTACCAGTTCTAACTATATCAGAAATCTATGCAGCTCTAATGCCTTTGTCTGATCTGTGTATGAATTGGGGATGCCTGACATTCACAGGCTGCCCTCATCGCGTTCCATCAACCTCGGTCCGGCAGGCCGTGACTTTCGTTTCGTTTCATGCTTAGATTCGGCGGGAGATCACTGAGACTCCCAGGTTCACTTTTTGGCATGAGCAAGAAGAATTTGACACTGACAATGTTACGAATTTATATAGATGAATAGTGGATCAGCAGTTTAGCGGTCGAGCAAGAAACGTGATGAAAAATTGGAGCCAAACAAGCTCAACTGGCTATTGCGCACTTGAGTACCAGGTTTATCAGTAAATCAAATTGAACACTCTACGCTCCTTCTTACCTATTTAGCTATTAGAGTATTGTTGTATAATAGAATTGCTATACTTTTGGCGCCACGCGGTATGTATACCCCCAGCCCTGCATTGCTCGCGCCCACACCTTTCTCGCTTGCTCAGCCTTGTAAACCCTGTTGCCCTTGGATGATTTGGAACTTTGATCGTAAACTCCGGGGGGATTGGCATATGAAGATTGGAAGCTTGGTATCGTATCATAGTGCGTATATTGCCCTCTCAACCTTGAAGCTCTCGGCCCAGTGTGGCATACCAATCAATTGACCGTTTGACATCCGCTACAGCTTCGGTTTGAGGGTCAGATTGATGCATGATCAATGAAAACCCTGGCCCTTCTCATTTTGAGCTATTCTGATGACTGGCTTACACAATCTTCAAATTTCATGGTTTTGGCTCCAGAATGATAGGTAAACGGTAGGTACGAATTTGCCAAAGTGAGCAAGGGGCCGAAAGGCCTCTAAACCAGGATGAATATGACACGCATACTGTGTTTCCTATATTCAGAGGACAGAGATGCCTTATACTCGATTGAGGCAATGGGAAAGCTCGAACTAGCTCTAGACCTTCACACGTGCGGCCCTCAATTGGGGCTCTTTCCAATCGACAGGCTTTCTTTGCATTCCTTTAGTCCTTCCGGAGCTATATCTCCGACTGAGCTCTATGGAATAAGCCTAGCTTTACTTTTTATTTTTTTGAGCTTTGTAGCGCAGAGTATGCATAGATGGCAAATTGTTGTTCCTGATGAATGATTCAGAGCTGCTCGAGGCTTGATCTCTCGATTTGAGATGGTTTACGTTGGACCTCCCCTTCTTCCCTTCCCGTCTCCATGCTTAACCGAGTAAAAATAAGCGTCTACGAAGAATGTACCAAGTCAGCCACGGATACATTCCATTTTATCCCAGTAATTTAGGCGTTCACGCAGAGTTTAGTCTTGAAGGATAGTCTATTAACTCGAGAGAGAATAATAGCCGAAGGCTACAGGGACAAGAGTTTATAAAGCGTCGGCCTGCCATCTAGAGATCTTCACCTCTTATTGCCCAAGCAGTGGCCAAAGCTTGAAATTCTGCCCGAGATGAGATATACCTGGGGTTCGCTGATTTTATTTGGTGGCATGTCATGCTCCATCCATTTTACCATCTGTCTAACACATAAATAGGTCTGATTGCAGGAGTTGTTGCCTCGCAGGATTCCGATGCAGTTGATGTGACCCGAATTGAAACCTGTGTCAAATGGTGTGTCGCAAACAACCTAGGCGTGTCCGACTGCATTGTGCCAGCTGTGAAATACCAAGGACTCTGCTTTGAGTGCGGGCCCGCCAAAACCAACCCTTTTGAGCAGCTCTGCAGCGGGAAATGCGTGAACACCGCAACCGATGCGGGCAATTGCGGTGGATGCGGCAACACGGTACATCTGCCATATTTCCACTGGTAACTTATCCTGTTAACGTGTTTGAAAGTGTGCCTCTGGAACTTGCTGCGGTGCTAGCTGCTCAAGCAATGCCGGCCTCCAATGGGCCCACTATCAGAATCTGTACCCTCGAACGCAGTCATATTGGCCCAATTTCGACCCCACGGGAGTAAAGAGCTTGACAGGAGACTATAACAGCACCACAACATCCGTTGGATTGTACGCATATAACCCAAGTGCGCAGATTTCCATCTATGGCTCTCAACAAACCTTCCCGGCTACCGAATTCATCCTTAACCATCGCGGATATCTCTACGCTCAGCAAAATGGCACTTATACTATTTCCACCACAGCAGACTATGACATTATGATCGTCTGGTTGGGTCCACTAGCATACAGCGGCTGGACTAGGAGCAATGCCAACCTTGAAAGTGCCTTCCCCACTGTCCAAACAGTCACCTATACATCGAGTTTGGTCCAGGGACAATACTACCCGCTCCGGCTTATGTTCGCTAATGCTGGAGGTGCGGGTATTGAGAACATCACTATCACGGATCCTAGTGGAGCGGTCATTCTGGGAGCAAGCACGACTGCCAATCCGTCCGTGATTCAATACTCGTGCGATGGTACCACGGCTCCTCGTTACCCACTTTTTGGACAGGAAACCTGAGAGAAGTGCCGTATGAGATGTGGCAAAATGGATACATAGCTTCGAGTCTGGAATAGTGAGAATGAAACTTGACAAAGTTACTAGTTTGACCTATTGGCAGATATTTGACTCTGACGTCCTGTTAAAGTGTTTGAAAGCGTTCTCAACTGCCAAACCGACAGCGGGAATGATATCGTAGGAATCGATAGAGAAGCGAACCTCAGTGAACCCCATAGGTGGTATTGTCGAACTAACAAACAATCGCCTGCCTAACTCAAAGGATCCGTATAAATCTCAATGGATGCCTTTTCGACAAAATTTTGCCAACCAGGAAAAAGCGCCCTCGGAATGATCGAAACCCGATCCTCAGCTTGAAGACTTTGCATCCAAGGCAAGTCATCCTCTGCGCGATACACTAGCTGGTGATTCTGAGTCACTCTGCTTGCATGCATATTGGTCGCAAGGCGAACGCCTAGATCCTCCGAAACATCTTCTCTTTCAATGGCTCTTTCAATCCCCAAATCAAACCAAGTCCAGGAATTTCGGTAGGTGCCATGATCCTCAGAGTAACTGCTCCATCCTTGGTCATGACTCCATATTTCCATTCGAATCTCTCGGACGGGGGATCGTCCGCCTTGAATGGGATCTGATATCAGGTATGGCGTCCTGTTGCGACAATCGTTCTCTCCATAACTAAGTGCTTGCTCCCTTGACACCTGGGAATGAACCCAATACTCGGCATAATGTAAGATCTCGAGGACGAGTTCGGCCGGTAGTTTCCTCTTTAGAACCTGGAGGGCCTCGAATGCATCCTCCGAGTCCCTTGGGTAGTGAATGGTTGAGGCCGAGGCTCCCATTCGCAAGATATTGTAGGCACGACGTCTTTGGCACTCCCTTGTTGAGGAAGCTGTCAGCAACTACAGCGGGATGGACCTCGGTCTGCTTGTCTCCTGCCGAGATGATGTCGCGAATATCCTGCAGGACTCCCTATTCTGGGCCCTAACGGATATGTAGGTAAGTTTGCGCAAGGCTGTTTGGCAGAGTCGGCTCTTGATTGCTGATTTGCGGAAAGATAGCTGCCCTGGGTGGACCCGTTGATTCTCGTCAGCTTAATCGGGAGGGGGGCGTAAATGACAACGCATGCTTGACGGAGTCGTGTAGCGGGGGCGGTCAAGCAAATAGAGCCATTTCTGACGAAGCGACATCCGGAATGATTAGCACTGTCGACTGAGGCAGATGTTGGTAGTTTTTTGGGATTTTCTTGATTCTTCCAAAATTCATCAAGGAAAAGTTGATGGCTGGTGATTTCAAAAACAAAATCGTCCTCCGTCGAGGGGCTAAATGCATAACTAACTAGAGGATTTTAGACGCATGGAACCCACTTTCAGGACTCGAATCCCGCTATCTCCGTAAATAGCATTGTAAATCACCCGGAGCTCCATGGAGTTGGAGCAGTGACGAAAGCTGAAAGTCATATCATTTCGATACGTTCGGCCCCCCATTTGTGGACATGATCTGCAAGCCTCGCACTGCCTCGCTCCCGACGTGTTTCATTAAACGCAGAGGCTCTTCCTCGTCTGCTTGCAAAATGGGCCGTGAAGATTCGTCATCTTCTTTGCTACAACTGTGATCAATTGAGGGATATTGACCAAGATAGCTCTGTTAGTAAACGGGGTTTGACAATAATTTTGCCCGAAGATCTTCAGTTTATTAGTTCTTCATTCACTTCATTACTTCATTACTGAACATATCAATACCTAGTCCCTTCATACTTCAGAAATCCGACTTAGTCCAAGTAAGCCGGTAATTACTTGTAAGATTAGCCTCCTAGCCCTACAACCTCACTTTTCGCTATATCTACTATCTAATATATCGTCCATAGATACTACTCCCTGCCTAGATGTTTGCTTTTCGGCGTCTAGTTGAGCGTCTCGCTTCACTCATGGCATACCGTGGAGGAGATTATCAGAAGGCGGACTGGAAATTGTAGAGGTGAGAAGTCTGATGGTTTTGTAGTAATCAAAGTGGATGTTCAAGCTCAGCTTCAACAAATAAATAAAAGGGCTCCAAGTAGAAAATGGTTCCAGTTCTTGACACCTGTTAGGTCCTGGACCTCTCTCGACTCGAACATCACTGGGGCTTAGTAGGTGGTGGATCTGCAGGTGGATTAGGACCGCCACCAGGACCACCACCACCACCAGGCCCCATTTTTCCTCCACCTCCTATAGACATTGCCCTGGATATGAAGTCCAACTGATCTGGATCTACTTCACACTAAGTGCTCACTTGCGATCCACTTGGGCAATTCTCGCCTCTGCCAGAGTTGTCTTCAAGTGGTGTATATTCCGGGTAACTTGACTATGGATCAGTTTACGAACTTCACTCTTCTTGTAGAACTTGAGCAGAATTAGTCTTACCGATCTTCCTGGAAGGAATTGCACGTGTCTGAGACGCCTCAAGATGATCTTTGATTCGATTGGGAAAGACGATCGATGAAAACCTTCATTAAAGGTAGTGCAACAGGAAGGTGGAAGTCAATGAAAAGAAAGATGAAGCGGAATCACTGGAATCAGCCTTGGAGAGGGGATTTGAGAGCCTTATATAGATGACCTCCCGTCGCAAGCGCCCGGCCCCTCGAACGTGAACTTGACTATTCTCTGCTAGTACAGGATCTTCTTGTGGAAGCATCAGACCGGCGACTGTGTGGGACTGAAATTCTCCAATAAGCTGTCTCTTCCCATGTCCAGTGGACAAAACCCGGGCAAAGCCAGTGATGTGGCTGGACTGGGCTCGTGTCATTGGTTATTTTATGCAGTAGACTTGATGCGAGATATATATGGAACTAGCTAGCATGTGCATTCCGAGAGGGGGTGTCACTTATTTCATAAGACCGCGCAATGTGGCAGATGGAGAATGGATGTTAAGTTGGGAGCACCGTTTCCTAATTACAGGAGCGGGGTTCGGACGTACTTGTATAAGGGCGAATTGACAGTATACCATTTTATGCTCTCTGAAAACTTGAGAAACCTTTTGATCCTACAACCGTGAGGCTCTTCAGAGATGCATTGAAGCGTTAGATAAGTTGTCCATTTAACGTGGGGGCTATGTCCATGGACTATAGTCATGTTTAGCGCCCGAAGTCAAAGCCACCGGCGGCTCTAGCTCCGCCTCATGCACAAGGGCACACATGAAACAGCCACTTTCATGAGGCTACGCTGGACTGACCCCCGCCTTCGAAAAACTATTGGCAAGTGGTTTTTCGCCGGGCGCCTGGCTAATCAGCGGGGCTTTGCAATGGGGATTACGACCATGGCTGCAGGGAAGAGCCGCCAAATCTGTTACTACGGCGCCATTTCCTACATATAAGCCCATAATACAGTGGTAGGCAACTCGTTGATTTATCTTTCCCAGGCTGAGCCTTTTCCCAAGACGTGTGAGCAGTCCGACCGGAGGACAAAGATATTGCCGAAGAATGTCTACAGTTCAACAATCAGATTCCGAGAACCCGAAACAGTTTGACCTATACAAGAGACCATGGCAGTACCTTGGGTATCCAGCCTTCTGCGAATGGTCAGCTTCCGATAATGACTTCTTTGTGCTTCGTCGATTTAAAGTGCTCAACAACCGAGTGCTATTGAGAATGCAAGATTCGATATCTCAGTTAGAAGAGGAACTAGCTGCGATAGATGCCAAAAATTCTCGATTGGATATCCCGCCTGTGAACAATGGGTCATTCAGGAATGATCAGGTAGAGAGAAGGGAGGAAATCCTGACCGAGGCACAATCGAAATTGAAAGAGTATAGTACGTTGGCATTCTTTTCTCTCGTCCCGTCTCCAACTACAGTCATTTCGGTGATTGGCATAGCAGTTCAGCCTAACGATCCAGCTCAGATGAATATATGATCTCGTACTCCAACCTTAGATCACGGCCTCCGGCTGACGAGCATGAGATATCCAATGTGAAATATTGGCTTTTACACCGTTATTCAGATGCCATACTCCCGGAAGAAAGCAAGTATATCACATCAGAGGACGATCTCATACGAGTTGTGGAAGAGAAGAAGTCTCCTTTGTTGAAACGAATGGAAAGGTATTCGAGTGTTACTCGAAGCATATTCTTCAAGAAGAAGCCCGTGAGTTTCCTTTCCTTGTTTTTTATCTTACGAAATCAGTCAACCTCGAGGAGTTCTTGGCAGATCATGCAGGCTAATTGAACAAGGAAACAGATATTAAAGGTTACGATCCTGAATCCATGAGCTATTACGACGATAGTTCGATGGAAGCACTTGCCCGCTCTATCATTGTCATCCTTGGCCTAGTCATGCTCGTTGCACCACAATGGTGGTTACTATTCGTCCAAGACAAAGTCTATCAGCTTGGGATCATTACAGGCTTCATAGTGCTCTTCCTCGCACTGGTTGCGACACTTACAGGAGCAAAACCATTCGAAAGCTTAGCAGCAACTGCGGCGTATGTATATTTCACCTCCTGATGTGACTTCTATTGTATTTGACAAGACGCTGATTTCCTCTTCTAGCTATTCCGCAGTTCTCATGGTGTTTATGCAGGTTGGGGGTAATATGGCTCAAGGCTAGTTGAAATGGATCCATGAGAAGCATAAGCAGTCCACGCTAGTTTGATACTTCGGCCGCCTAGAGCAGGAATAATTAGGCATTAACGTCAGGCAACCGAGTATATAAACTATTCCATAAAATTATCCCAGGTGTGAATGAACGGTTAATTTTGCATTGATCGAAGGTTTGGTCGGGTGGGTGGTCCTGTTGGGACTTGATTATGTGAACTTGACTGTGCGCCGGACAGTTTAAAGATATAGTGGTATTACATTCAAGCCTTTCCCAAAGCCACAAGAGTCCCTAGTAACCTTTAAGGAATCCATCAGTGGAAGCTTACCGAGTGCGCAAGGCTAGGCGAGCCATCCATATTGGAGAGAGACCAGCACTGCTAACAGTGGAAGAATTCATTGAGGTCATCTGCAAATTGATCGGACAACTCATTCACAATAATCATTGATTTATTGGATGAAGGTGGTTCTCAACAGCGGCAAAGAATTCTTGATGCTCTTGCGGAAATTTGAAGCCGAGATGCTCCTTTTAGCCGGTGCAGATGTCAATACCCAGGGTCAGCGGGTTAGTACGCCACATATAACAGTGATAGCACAGAAATAGAAAGATCCCTGCTTCATCGCTACATGGAAGTTCCCGTGTTGTGATAGAGTACTGTTGGATTGGGATGCGGATGTTGATACCAAATTTGGAGTTTTTGGAAGTGAGCTACAGGCTGCAGAGAAGTTTGAAAGCAAGGTAGGGCTAGAGATGTTCCTAAGGGAGGAGGGATTCGGTGAAAGTAGCAGTGATGATTTATATTAACGCTGTCTAAGAGTCTTGATATTGATACAGTGATGCTCCATAAACTTGTAACTCCCGACTTAATCCTAGATTGATCTCGTGAATCATGCTTCGAACCCTGGATAACCTGATAGGTGATTTCTAAGGCATTATAAAGTCCACGGTGCAGTTAATCGCTTCGGATGTAACTCTTATGCATACTCCCAAGGCTCCGACTGCCTTGTAACCCCATTCATCCTGGGGACCTCAAGGCTAGAGTAGTTTCTCCTTCGCCCAGCGCTTAACCTCCTCGGACGTAGTCTGTCCAAGTGAACTGGTACACCAGAGAAGCTGCTGCGCCTCCCACAGGAGACGACTATCGCTCGCCGGCAAGGGGTAGAAAGTAACATCTCTACACAATGGACCAAACTTCTCAGCTAGATCCAGCACACCTCGCACCGCACGTTCCCGACACCCCACCGCAGCACCTGGATAATAAAACCGCGGATCCAAATAAAACAAAACATTTCTCCACTCCGGCAACTTCACAGAAAGCAATCTCGCAGCACGCTCATATTGCTTAAGCGTCCGTTTCGGCACACCCATCTGCGTATGCACGAAGAAGTATACCTCAAAACCAACACTGCGAATCCGCCGACATGCCGTGGGGCTAAGCGTATCAAGGAAATCACCGAGTCGATCTAGATCGAAGGAATTCCGGAAGAACAGCGTATGATGGGAGTAGAGATAGTCCTCTGCTTCATCGTGGATTTGATGGTTCACTGCGAGGAGTTTGCGTGCTGTGCCGTCTTCGCCGACCCAGCTGGGACACATTGAGAGGGCTCTGTAGCGATTACGGGCTGTGAAGACGTTGCCACGGTCGCTGATGACTATTAGGGGTTTGTTGATGTACTCGTTTGGTACGGTGAGGGCGTATTCGTAGATTTTGAGGCGAAGTTCTGGTGGGAGTTTGAGGAAGGAGGTTGTATTGAGGTCATGATCAGATGTTGTTATTGGTCTCATGTGTTCCGGAACTGGCTGTCGGTGGATTGTAGATTCGGTAGTCGTGTTGTATCAAGTAGCGATGAGCTTTGGTTGAGGGATGTCAGTCGTGATTTACAAGACGATATAGTGGTCGTTCCTGAACCGTATGGAGAGCGAGAGTAGAGACGTATATAAGATTCAGTAACGTATTAACAAGCAGCACAGTCAGTTAAAACTAGAAGAAGGCCGTTTTCTTGCCAAGGATACAGATTTCTCGGCAGTCATGCCATGCTTCTTGTATCCAGCAGAAAAGCATCTGATCGACATCATCTCTCCACCCTGTGGCGGGCAATATAATCAGGATCGGATAAAATGGGTGGCGAGGCCAGCTCAAATCTAGGCCGGTGCATCTTAAGACTCGGCAACTAGAAACTCCCATGGTCGGCCTATGGATCCAGCACGACGGTCTCCACAATAGCTATAAGCAGATCGGCAAGTTCGGGCGTGGATGCCTAGACAATTCGGCCTGGTGGTTCCACCGGAGCAGATCAGATCCCGGACATCGGGAAGACGGGATAAATGGGTAGATAGCTGATTGATCGGAATGAATCCGATGAGGTTATCAATCCGAAGTGTGATCTTGGGATTTCTTCAATTTGCCTTTGCATATATACACTAGTCTAGTAGTCCCCGTGCCCCAGTAAGTAGATAGACAGGAATATCTCAAGGGTATAGACTCGCAAGCACGGGTGACTACTTCATTTGATTTGGAAAAAAAAGACACCAAGAACGCCCGAGGAATAAAAAAGAATCACCGCAGAAGCCGCGGTCTATAGATAAGGGGTAACCAATAGGGTAGTATGGTTCCATGTAAGTTATTTTTTCTCACTTCTGCCGATAAATGCCAAGCGACCACGCTGCCCGCAAGACTGCTAGGCCCCAGGCCATGCCGATACTGTCGCGAATGACATTCAGCTTACTGCCTCCGACCTCGCGCCATCCGACGGGCACTTCTGCCACGGGGATGCGAGCGAATTCGGCCAGCATGAGCATCTCCACGTCGAAGATCCAGCCCTCGGAGTGCATGTAGGGAATGATGAAGGGCAGTGAGTTGCGCGAGAAGAGCTTGAAGCCACACTGGGTGTCCTTGACGGTCGCAGTCTTGGGCGGCGTCATGAGCCACAAGATCAAGTGGAAAGAATGCATGAGGAAATTGCGCAGCTTTGACCGCTATTTAGTCAACGTTAGCAATATATTCCATGAAAGGTCGTCTCCAGTTTGGCTTTATGACGCCTAGCATAGTATTACGTACCTTGACAACGGCCTCGCTGCCAACCATGTGCGCACGCGACCCAACTGCCACGCCACGCCCACCGACATCCTCGACCTCCTGGCACGCAGTAACGAGTTTCCCAAGATCCTCAAACTTACTCGCCCCGTCCGCATCGGCAAACACGACATATCGACCGCGGGCGTGCCGCATACCATGCGTAACTGCGCCGCCCTTGCCGCGGTTGTGAGTCAAGCTGACCACGCGAATCGTCCCAGGTGGGATATGCACGCCTTCATGAGCCTTGGGCGTCCACGGTCCCGCGTAGCCCTTAGGGTGCAGCGAAAGCTGATGGTCTCTCGCAAAGGTGAAGGCGACTTCCTCCGTGCGATCTGTCGACCCGTCCGATACGATAAGAATCTCCCATCCGCGGTCCGAAGCCGTACTCGTGGCATGACCGTTGGTTGCCTGGCCATTCGACGCGGGCTTACGCTTTCGCATGGACCGGGTTGAAACAGACCCATTTTCCTTCTCCTCACCACGGCCCAGAGTGCCGTACATATGCTCCAGGTAGTTGACAGCTTCTTCCAGCATTCCCGCAAGCCGGTCTTCTTCGTTGTAGGCTGGGACGACTACGGACATGAAGAGCTCCGCGGGTTCAACTTCGGGTTTCTTTGAGGCGCGCTTCTGGGCGTCCAGGGCGTCGAGCCAACAGGGGAGTGGTTCGGGGTCGGTGATAGCGCCATCTTTGGCGAGAGTCTTATACTTCTTTTCTTCCGGTAGGGACTCGCGCGGGGTCGGCGCAACGAAGAATAGGAAGGTAATGAACTGCAACCCGAGAAAAACAAGTAAGCAATTGTCAATTGGTAGTCTAGCATGAGCGGTCAGACAGCGCAGAGGCTATCGCGCATCACCCTAACGGGCAGCACAGTCGAACTCACTAGGACAAACAATCCCAGAGCCGTAGCTACAACGGAAGCAAGTAAAATGGAAGCTGGAACGTCGGACACAGCGGAGATGCATTGTCGACAGACAATGCTCCAAGGTTCCGCCATGATGTTGGGGGGGGTTGGCAGCTCAATTGTCGAGCGCGGCGACGGGCAATGCGGAACGATACGAGGGAGACTCGAGGGAAGCCCGGAAAGTAGAAAAGGCAATCACTCGGCCAGCCATGCAAAAGGCAATTAAGATGAACACATGGAAACAATCATGCGAAGAAATCCTGGAACCCCATCAAGAGAGGGGAAGAGAGAGAAGAGGGGAGGGGGAGGAAAGAGAGTTGGAGAGAGTGAGGAGAGGAGTGGAGGAGCACGTTGATACTGTAATCGCCAGCTTGGCCTTTTATCGGCAACGCGCAAGCGTCTTAACCCCGAAAATAAACTATAGTGGGGGAGGTCGGCCGAGCTATTTGGCGAGCACTCATGTCTTTTTCTGGATTTATTATTCGCTCAAAATATTTATCCGGATAAAAGTTACACTCCAACCTTGCTAATCATTTCATGAGGCTACGTTGTAGTTTCTTGTAGTTTACTGCGTGGCCGCCATTACGCATGTTGGCGGGTCTCCCATGTCGATCTTGACCAGCTCCATCGCCAATTCCGACCTCGAGAAAAAGGCTTCTAGCTAGTATTTAACTTTCCAGGTGTTATTTTTGCAAATTTAAAGCAAGGATTTTGCCAATTCTACAAATGAAAAAGCGCGTCGGGTATAGAAGAGGCCTACCATATGAAGCATAAGATCGGAGCCTACAAGACCAGACAACGATCTTCTGAGTGCTTCAAGTAGTCATACTGTGTATAATAATCATATCCTAGTAAAGGACGAAACTTCGTTCTAAGGAGAGTCGGACATTGCAAATAATCAAAAGACGACGAAGGAAATTAGAACATGCACACGGGGTTATCGCTCTATTTGCATCCACCATGACCAAAAGACCTCTCTTGCTTGCCAAAAAGAAAATAATAAGACCACCTCCTCCTGCCTATGTTCATGTGCCTAGAAAATTGCAGAGCAATGGCTGCTCCAACCCGTCAGATCCCTGGTTCGAATGACATCTTGCGGATGCAAAACGCCTCCCAATCGCGGCAGAGACCCGGAAAAACTTTAGGGGAGCCCGTGGCCATAGGTTATCCTGGCAGAAGGACAAGCGAGATGGAAAGCACGATTTCGAACATTGGGCCAGCTCCGGCATCTAGGCAGCAAGTTCCGGGAACGCAAACTTCGAACGGCATCCAGTCAACCTGGCTAATATCCATGGCAAGTTCCTGGTGGAAGGGTCACGGACTCGAAAAGCAACGCACATAATCATGTCCCGGTTCCAGGCAGAACCGAATCAGCAGGATGATCCAGTGGGATTTCGTTCCAAACCTCGGGGCGAGGTCTTCCATGGTCCTCGTTCCATTCGCGCAAAGATAGACACTGTTTTGTCTGAACTGTCGTATGTCACGGCAGACCTAAAAATCTATTCGAGAGTTGCATCGTGTCTATAAGGAAAAGTGAAAGAAAGATCCGTTGCTCCGAGATGTACCCAAGATGGCCAGTTTCCGACTGGCCCCATCCGTGATCCATGGGGAAGAAATTTCGCATCCTTCCCCGATTCTGTGGCTGCCGCATGATCACTGTTGAAGGCCACTGTATTGTTAGGCGCCTCGCATTTCGTGTTATCCAAAAGACGGTCCAGGTCCAGGTGTATTGCTATTCAGGCCTCCACAGGTCTCCGCAGTCGCCGCATTCATAAGTGCCCGCTGAGTGCTCTCGAACCTGCGATTGTTGTATATCATCCAACGGCCAAACTGCATGTCAAATCGATTAGCCTCGTTTCTCGTCACTATGACACTTTTCTGCCACGCTAGAACCAAAGAAAAATTGCTACAAACCGTTGCTAGTCGCACGCCCAACCAGAGGCATCTGTGCTTGCGAGGGATGGCGGTGGAATCTGGTTCAACGATAGGCCTGTCGTCCTCCGAGGGGGCTCCTTCGAAAAATGTTTCAGGGAAGTAGAGTGTGCTCCAGGATTGACCGCGAATGAGAAAGTCCTCCGGTAGTTGTCGTAGGGTTTCGTTTTCGTCCAGTGGGAATGCGTTGTCTTCAATTTTGTTGAAATCAATGCCGGAATCAATCAGGCTGTTGAGGAACCTCGTGATGTTGACCCAAGGAATAAATTTGTCGACTTCTTGCATGGCGAGCGGGTGTAGAGCCAGACTCCAGATGAATGAGAGGGAGATATGTGCACTTGGGTATATAGTAGGTTTGTCTAGATGATCGAGCAGAACCGAGAGTGTGTGGAAGGCAAGAGAAGTGCCTTGTGAGGCCATTAGAGGAAGATGGCCACTAGCATCTGTTGGCTCCCCGCCCTCCTTGCTCTTAGCCTCCAAGTCCATGTCTAAGCCTGGAGTCCAGTTAAGTGCAGATTCGTAGGCTTCCGCCGCTGATTCATATTTTTTCTGGGAAAGTTTCAGCGTCATGAAAGCCTCAGAGTCGCCATATTGAAGTATAGACGCGAAATTACACGACATGATATAAACTCCTGTTTGACCCTGACGACCCAGATTGCGGGCTTCTTCTCGCAGGAGTATCAAGAAGTGGTTTGCCAGGGTGATAAACTGGTCAGCTGGCCATTCGTTGAACAGAGCGCTATGAGTAGCAATGAAGGCAGTAACCATTGTATGTTGATTCAACGCTTGCTGTTGTCCATTATACGGACTGAAGAGGAGGTCCACACTCTCACGCGCATTATGAAAAGGGCGTACACTCACTAGCGCCTTGGTGTAGTGGAAAAGCTGCTGAAGCACGTCTGGACGCGCTAACACTGCAAGGTGATGTTGAATACGGCCCACTTCGGGGCTGTGATCAGCGTCTTGATTATACCAATATCGCGAGACTCCAGCCCAAACTTCCCGGTCTCTCATATCAGACTCTTCCACAGCCATGCGATATCGTGCTAAATCTCCAAGACACTCGATCCAGGTCTCGTGAAATGCCGGGACGCTTTCAAGTAGTAACGTCATCATGGAATACGCGAGGTAGATAAAGTTCAGCATATAATCCAACGAGCCCGGTAGCTTTTGTCGAAGCAGCTCTAAGAACGAATGAATTCCATATCTCCACATTCGCGCTGGCATAGCATATTTCTCGGCAAGAAGTCTCAACACGGAACTTGCAGAGGGATGTTGAGATGCAAGAAAAAAGTCGTGGTGTTCATAAAGTAATGTTCGATGCAGAGATATCAGTGCTTGCCATTGAGTGCCTGATAACTCGTCTTTGGACTCTGTTTGTTGCTTGTCGACCTCGATGCATTTCTTTTCCACCATGACAAGGCCGGCATATATCATGCGCACCTCATTGATCAATTGATCTTCTGTGATCGCGTTGGTATCAAACTGCTTAAACATCGGTGGGATTTCCGAGTCCTGTGACTCGGACGACGGCCCCTTTGAGGAAACGGATGGATACTGGTCAAGGGGGGGCTCATGATTGGATTCATTGCCTGAAATGTGTTCAGGAGCAGGAGGCATATCGAGATCCATTATACCATTGTCCCTATCCACAACCCTTTCCTCATCTTCATATCCAGCATGACCGCCGTTGCCGCCAACTACTTTCTTAGCAGCCGTGGTTTGAGGAACTGCAGGATTTGAATGAGATCCCCGCAGTCCCGCTCGCACATTCTCATCTAATGTTTGATAATCAGAATCTGGGGTCAACTCCGATTGTTCCGTGGGCAAGTTTTTCGACAGGACCCCAGCACTGGTATCTTCAAAGCTGGCAGGCTGGTTCGAGGCGGATGTAGATCGCCCTCGATCCCGGTCTCTTAAATTTCTTGAGCTGTCTCTGCGATGATACCTCTCCCGAGCTAATTTCGTGCGAGAAGATGCTTTAGACACTCGGGCTCCTTGACTACTGGAGGTATCCACAGTACAGTCATCCGGGATTCTTCCGGTAGAAAGCGATAGGCTGGCTGAGGAGTACATGCGATTGGCTGTCGGCACCTCAGACGACAGCTCGTCCAAGTGCAGACGGCCTATGGAATGCCTAGGATACCAGTTAGTTGGGAGGCCTAGCAGTGCCACAAAAGTGACTTGCCTAGGAGACAGATTGCATGGTAAGGACCTGCCTGTACCTCGCCAGCCTTTGGTTCCATAAGAGCGGCGTTCTCTACGAAAGGATGGCCTGTCCATCGTGTGTGTCTTGTGTAACTTATGATTGTTTCAGAACTTCCAGTGCATTGGCATCATCTGACCTAAGCGATGCGTATTAGCTAATCAATTTCGCTTGCAAGATCCATATGTGTGTTGTGCTGGCAATTAGCCTGCAGGTGTGTATAGAAGAACCCAGGAAAAGTCAAAAAAAAGCAGGCTAAAAGGTGGCGGGTAACAAGGCAGAAAATAGGGTGAAGGTTGAAAGGGGGCTGGAGACTGACGTCGTTGCTGTGACAGTATGGAGCACCATAGAAGGGCAGTGACCCGGGTGTGGGCTCGGGAGTTTATAAAGAATATCGCTAGGAGCCCATCGGAGCCCTAGGTTCGCCCTAGGACTAGGCATCCAGCCCCTATATATGTATATAGAGAAGCTGAATTAGCATAATAACAACGGTCTGGGCGCAAGGATGGTTCTAGTGCTCCCGGGCAGAGTTAGTACCCGCTTTGTTATTTATTTTTTTCTTCGTTTTCTGTTTTCTTAGCGCCGTTGCCTCTTCCCGCGTCGCATTACAATTTAGCAACCCTTCAACCCCTGGGTTGAACCCCAAATCCAATGATCAATCGTAGTACAAAAGCTCCTGGTCACATTTCGCCATTCTAATAATCGTACTCTTTACATCTGATCTGCCAGGATCATGATTCACTTAAATTCACCGATCGCCTATCTTAGCATCAAGAAACCATCCGGAGAATACAACCCCCGAAAAAAAGGTACTTCAAGTATGTACCTTTATTCTACCAAGCACCACTCTTTGCATTAACACTCTCTGTTCTAGCAAAATTCAGCTTCATCCCGCCCCAAAAAAAAGAAAATAGATGATGCTGCCCTTTGGCATATCAGCTTCAACTTCTTGGCCACGGGGCCTTTCTTTCAGGCTTCCCTATACGCACTGAGGGCCTTAACTAGAGCCCAAGAACCCTCCCAGCCCCAACAAGGCTGAAGTCTTGTTCGGAGAATATGTCCTGGCGCTTACGGGAGATCATACCCCCAAGTGGATATACCATCATTACCTCAATTTGTCTTAGGAGACAGAATAGAGCGAGTTAACCACCAATTATCATGCAGTGTATCGCCAACCCCTCTGAGACCCAGACGAAACAGACTATGGGTATGTCGGGACATAATTCATATCCTGGGGTATCTGCAAGGTCGAAAAGGAGAGACGCAACTATGCCGAAGCGCCTTGAAACATGCACTTGAACTTCATTTCGGGATTCTAGAAACTATGTTTCAACGAGGCAAAGCTCGTTTTTGGGCATTACCAGTCCTAAACGCAAAGCCCTTGCGTGTGCGAGTTTCTTTCGAGCCCAACCCGCACAAAGACCACACCAGACCGCTCCACGCCATAGCCGTTGGCACTGCTCTCTCACCGATATTTCAGAGGATCCCCAGAACCAGGAAAAAGGAAAACAACTACGCCCAACTCTGATTAACCGCGAAAAGCCTAAACCTGGAAAGGCATCTTGAAACGTTTTTCCCCAACTCCCAATTTCCCCCAAAAAAACACCCCAAAATTGGGGTTATCGTCAGGCTGCCAGCGAGCCGTTGCTCTCCTCCCCACTTTGCACCCCCATTCTACCAGAGTTATATTCACGTTTCTAGATGTTTATTCCAAATTCCCGCATATAATGATATCGCTGATCTACATCTGTGCGCCCTCAAAACGACAACAACCCAGAGCCCAACCGTGATCGGACCACCCCCGAGGGTTGATGCTAAAGTGGGACGGGATAAGTGCCCGAGGCAGCAACGACTACCCAAGTCCACGATCAGTGGCCAGTTTTTGTTTTGTGATACCCGAGTAATCAAGATCGTAGGGTCCTGCTGCCCGTTGAGGTCAGTTGATGCCTTTCTCTACTCCAATTCAAGCCCAACACATGGCCCTCAGGGAAGCTTGGAATGCAATGCCACGTTGATGCCTGTCATTGCAGCTTTCCGTTACTTTGAACTCGAACTGTGTGGAGGGTACAATCCCCCTGTCAAGTTGGCCTCGTTAGTATGGCATGATGGTTCCAGAAGACAATCCCTGATTGCAGGATTCACCCTATCTGTTTGTTACTTGTATTGATCTTTCATCCCTGGGTGCTAGACGTTGTTTTTCTGCCGTCCATCGTTTCCATAATAGGTTTCGATTTCCGAGGCTATGGGTCAGTGATATACGAGGCTCAATTACGTATCAAAATTGGTTCATCTCGTGTTCAAACCATCTTAGTAACTTTCTCAGAAATATACTCCATATTGACTTTCAGTTATAAGTGAATAGAAAATTATAGAAGACGTCCGAGTACTCGGACCTGAGGCATCTTGCAAACAGTTTAAAAATCAGGAGACGGCAGATGATAACGGCTGCTGCAGGGGTAGTTATTGGTCGGGGATGTGAAACTTGTTTCCGGAGTAGGTTGGTCAATTTCAATTGGTGATTATAATGATTGCTAACTCCTCGACTAGCCGCATAGATCCGGGAAAAGTGAAGATAACCATTGCAGCACACGGTACCGATTGCCGATGTATAACCTGTAGCCATATCGCAATCAATCAATAACCCGCTTCACATTTGCATCTACAGGCGCAGACTGCCTCTCCAAAAGCAAGGCGGTATAGTTATTTCGACTGGTTCAGGACTAAATCCATGATAATTTTTTTCTGAATTCGAAGCTTACCGACGTATATAGAAGCTATGCAGAAGATCCATGCATGGGTATAGTCTACCTGGGGGATATCATATTTCTTGGGTGGCCAAAATACATGCGAGCCAAAGCTGTATCACTTTTTTGTATACCAAGATCGAAAATCAGAAACGAATCCATGTCGTCTAGGAAAAAGGAAAGCACTCGACGTACACCGTTGTTGGCCTGGCTGGTCCGCATAGAACAGAACAAAGTTAAGGCAACCGCCCTGTCTAACCCTTCGACGATGTGTGAATGTTTCTTTGACCTCTCGCTTAAATGTGAAAAAGGGGGGGGATAACGAGTTGCCCCTGATTAGATTGAAAGTATAATTATGAAAGCAAAAAAATCTATGAGGGAGGTTCAAATGATGTAAGGGCGCTAGGGGTGGGATGCGGTAGGGATGAAAATGAAGGTTGTTTGGGTATGGGGAACGTGCGATATCCGCGGTGGGTTGCACCCGGGTTGAGGGTGAAAGGGCCCCCGCGACTATGTTCCATCGAATGAACTTCCGCGATGACCCGCTGTATATTGTAAAACGGCTAGGTTTCGGGTACTTCTTGAAAATCAATGCCTTAATCAATATGGCATCATTGATAGGCCTGCTATGATTGAGTAAGTTAATAACTGTGAGGAGTTAATGTGGGGAGACGAGCTTGTGGTCTAGAAGGGTTCAACCCGGGTTGTGTGCACTAAAATACCAGCTAGTAGCTTTAGCTTGTCTTGGTTGCATTCGAGAGTATTCTGGATTACGCGCGAAGCGGTTCTAATCTGGAGAAGACAACGAGCTGCATCGACTTATGCACCCAGTGCATGTGCCAAAGGTTTCCTATTGGTTTACACATCAAGATTGTCCTCAGGAGCCAAGTTGGGGGCCAATCCTGAGCTCTCGAACTGGCCCGTCATCAGGGGTATTCGAGCAAATGATGATTGACCCGGCCTGCATAGCCCGGATTTGTGCGGGACGACTACTTGATGCTTACCATCTTGGCTTGTTGGCGATAGTTATCGCGCTAAGTGGTGAGGGGTTTTTACGACTCACGAGGTTAGGTCGGGTTCCGAGGCACTAACAGGTTGAATTCATGTATCCGGGATTTGGTCGTTGAAGAATCCCGAATTCCACTGTTTCAACGGAGTGTTAACTATTGCCTGGGCTTTGCTATTCCTGAGCTATTGACTTGGTATAAAGCTATATAGAAAAACACGTAGAATGACTCGACTGTGATTTGTAGATTTGTCGATATAAACTTGGACATTCTCTCTTCGCCTCGTTTCCATATCAGATCGAGCGATCACATCACCCTCAGGAAAATATTGTCGATCTATCGAATACGTAAACTTCCGATGAAGAACCCGATCGTAAATAACGACATTGGCTGCTTACGTTGCCTACACACAAGCCCCGTTTTGCACAGACAGCATCTGCGATCGCTAACATCCTATAGATCGTGAAAACAATAAGTCCGCATCGGCAAGACGTCATCAGACACTGGGAATCAGCGATAACAAACAGGCCAATTACACCCTCAAACCTGCAAATCACCCTGGAAATACTATGTCTAATCTAGGTAATACTATACAGTACATCGCATTGACACCTACAAACAATCAATAAACGGGCTACCACATGCACACTCCCATCCTCATCGGATCGATCGAGCATCACCCCTCACCGCCTCGGATCAGCCATCAGCCATCTGACCAAGTGATCCACCGATAACTGATCACTCCTCCAGAATCGGGGCTATCCATGTACCATCGACTACACCTGCACCCTCCGACACGGCGTCTAAAACCGAACCCGGGGTGGCGGAGTCTCGGACATTCACCAACAGGAAGCCTTCCGGCTATTAAGCCCAGATCCATACGCGCCGGCTTCGGCGTCAGCGCCATCATGTCCATATCGACCTTCACCTTGCCCGGGTCAGACCTGCGCATTAACAGTACACCGGATCTGGCTCGTGACGAGTTGCTCTCTTTCCCCGCCTTCAAGACTTGGCTGTCAACCCTGCAGAATTCACTTGCTCGGCAGTCGAATCCGGCACATGAGTTCCATAGTGACCCGTATGTGCTCCGTCAGATCGATGTCCAGGCCGTGGACCGGTTTGGCGGTGGACGGTTGGGGTTTGTCAAGTTGAAGGCCGACGTATCGAATGGTCAGGGCGAGAAGTTACCAGGGAGCGTCTTCTTGCGTGGTGGAAGTGTGGGCATGCTTGTATGTTTATCTTTCCTTCTTTTCTACTCTCTTTTCGTACATTTCTATTGACAACTATCTTTCTAGCTCATTCTTCAACCAGATGACATTCCTTCATCTGAGGAGAAGGGGAAACGGGCTATTCTAACTATCCAGCCTCGCATCCCTGCTGGATCTCTAGCATTCGCCGAAATCCCTGCAGGCATGCTCGATGATAGCGGGACCTTTGCTGGTGGTGCAGCGAAGGAAATTGAAGAAGAGACTGGGCTGCAGGTCCAGCAAAGTGAATTGATTGATATGACCTCTTTAGCTTCGGAATTGACCGAAGGCTCGTCGGAGAATGGCGAAACCCTTCAGAAAGCGATGTACCCCTCTGCTGGGGGCAGTGACGAGTTTATTCCTTTGTTCTTATGTCAAAAGCGCATGCCTCGAAGGGATATCGAGGAGTTGCAGGGCAAACTGACTGGGCTGCGGGATCATGGAGAGAAAATTACTTTGAAGGTTGTTCCTCTGGAGGATCTGTGGAAAGAAGGGTTGCGAGATGGGAAGACGTTAGCTGCTTGGGCTCTCTACAAGGGCCTCAAAGAAGCTGGGAAGATTTAAGCACGATTGTCCTTGAAGACAAACACACATCATTGAAGCATGGGTCATTGTATTGATTGACATGTACACTGTAACTAATATAACCACTCTATGCAGTTGACAGGGAGACTTCAAAATGCTTCTCATCCCATTTCAAAACTCACAGCTTCCACTTCTTCATCAACTCCATTCCCTCAGCAAGAGTGCCAACCCGAGCATCAATAGCATACCCCTCCCGCTCAAGCCTCTTCATCTCCTCATACAGCGAAGCCATCGGCACGGAGAAACACTCGATAAACTCGTTATCCTCGAGTTCCGGCTTAGGATTCTGATTCTCCGGCAGACTCATGTCCACGCGGACATGGACCATGTTCAAATTCGTGTTACAAAAACCGGGATCTAAACAAAAGAACAAGGCAACGAAGCAAAATGGATCAGCTGCAGCACGGAAAACAAATATACACCGAAGAAAATACGCCGAGCAAGTAAGAAAAAAACTTAAAGGGGAATTCATGCGAACGCACCGTTGTACATGATCGGACTCGTCAGCTCCGCCACACCCACGTAGCCCGTTTCCTCCTTGAGTTCGCGAACCGCGCACTGCTCGGGAGTTTCCCCGGCATCGATCAGGCCGGCAGGTACTTCGATGACGACTTTGTCGATAGGAGGACGGTATTGCTTTTGCAAAAGTAATTCAGGCCCCGTGGGCTTGTTCAGGATAGTGACAATTCCAACGCCATCGATCTCGCAATTGGCGGGACGAGTCTAGATGTGATGGGTTAGCCAAGGGTCCAAGCAAGTGTGTGACGGCTTTCCAGGATCATAAAGGGTGCCTAGAGGTCGAGAAACGGGATCGCGTGTTGCTGCTTTTGGTCAAGGCAGCCAATCCACAAGGCGGTGCATCACACCCGCCAATGATGCACGGCCCGTAAGCTTATGCCGAGCTCTGTCGTCTAAAGGACACTTGCTATGGCTGAGCTGTCTCGCCATGATGTGCAGCTGAAGAGCTATAAAGACATGACAGGTGATAGATCACAGACGTCGTAGCCCTGAAACCCGGGTGCGGGATAGAGCTACGCCAGATGTGGGTGCACAGAGCCTGGTAGGCCCCCCCAGTATACCAAACTGCAGAAACACCCGAAGAGAACCCGAACAGTGAGGCATGGGTTGTGAGATCTTACCTGCCGTTCCGCGGACTCCCAGGTGCGCTCAACACCTAAGGGATCTGTGTAGGTTGTCCTGACCAATCGAGTCCAGCGGGCATCGACATTTTCCTGAAGTTGATACTCGGTCAGATATGAATGGCCAGATAAAATGCAAGAGGGTCAATGTTTGATAATCATCTGGTTTCTTACTGCACGACAGTATCGAAACTAGCAATCATCAAAAGTGACATTTGAAATTGACATACCAGAGGACCCCGGGAAACGTGCTTGGATTTGGCTTGCGAGCGTTCCGACATGACTGCAGGGGGTGCACAAGAAGTTTTGAAGAGAGCGGGTCAAAAAGGCCTTCCTGGTTATGCAGGCTCAATACGAATGAGCTTTGGGCAGCAATTGTTTGTGTTTGGAGCTTGTTTCGGAGCTATCCCCAATGTTGACGATGATGAGGGAGGCGCAGTAGTGGAGAGGGAAAAGAGAGGGGCTTACCTGGAGGCGGGGCGGTGCGCTTACCTTATCACGGTGCCCACGCAGATACGATCTCTAGGGAAAAGTCATCGAGGGCCAAACAGACCCAAATAAGATAATTTTGTGCTCAATTTACAATATCAGGTGATTAGTGTACTCTTCAAACAAGTTAGCTCTGGTTGAAATACGTAAATAAACTCAGTAAGCATTTTAAGTGTGAAATTGGAACCAGCCATACTTTGGAACTAGACGACATGGTAAACAGACTCAACGAAGACAGAACTATTCTAAGTCTTCCCAATGCCAATTTCCCTGGTAGATAAATCCTAGGAAAGGCTCAGCTGACAGAATAAAATCATCAAAAGTAAAAAGGACAAACAAGTTCCAATCGGCATCATTTCCACAATACCTCCAACCTAGTCCTCTATCCCAATCTAGGTAGACCAGACGTACTCATCAAGCAATTGAACCGAAGAATATGGCATGCATTTAACTTCTTAGTATATCTCATAGTATACTTCTAGACAATTGACACGAGTCAATTCACCCCTCAAAAATCCACAACCAGACCAACTAACCTTCGGACAGTCCCGGATCTATACAAACTAGTCCAAACTCTGGACCCCCCCCCCCCAATCACAACACAAAATGCAGACATGCTACAGGGATCAAGGCATAAATCTGCGCAAACAAAACAAAACATAGAAGTGTATCGTAGGACTCAACCCCTCGATACATTGCGCGGTCTGGGCCGCGGTCTGCAAGCCACACTACTAGATTGAGAATCGGTCAGGGTGCGTAGATATCAACCCGGGTGACTGGCAAGTCTGCCTTGCTGAGTTGTCCGAGGCAGAAACGCGGGTGCTGGGGTGTTGCAGGCTTGCAGCAGTAGCGTGGTTTATCTTTGTCGAGTTTCCGGGTGCTTTCCTACTTCCCTGAGAAGTTTACTTGATCTTCTTCCGAAAAATAGATTGCTATTGCATACTACTCGTATTGATATCGCTTCAGTCCGATAAAATCTTTATAGTATGATCTTTGCTGGCTAACAATACAGACATGATATCCTATTGCTCATGAAGACCTGTCTATACGCAATAAATAAAAGGTACGGTGTACTAATGCAATGACAGTGAACAGAGGTGACTAGCACACAGCAATGGTCCGGTATGAATGCTTCCCGGCCCTTTCGTGTCCACAGATATAAGATATAATGGAATCTGGGAGAGTCCTCGAAGATCGAACGAGGTAAAAGAGACAAGTAATAAAACAGCAAAGCTCCGAACGACCATTCGCTTGCTTTCATGATATCGTGCGGATATGGGAGATCCAGTGACGAAAAGTAAATAGAAAGGGAGAAAAAGAGATCACAGGCTGGACTGAGTGACCTCAGCAGGGCTGTTCTCGATGAACTCCAGGCACTTGGGGAATTCGGACCAGTGGGTCATGATGATCTTGACACCGAGATCCAACAGGCGAGTGCTCATTTCTGCGTGCATGTCTGGAGCATAGCTACCGACGTAGCCAATAACTGGAATACCAGCACGAACGGCCGAGAGAGCACCAGACTTGCTGTCCTCGACAGTCACCGTCTCTGCAGCAGTCTTTCCGCACTTCTTGAGCGCATGCAGGTAGATGGCAGGGTCGGGCTTGGAAGTGGGCTTCTCCAGGGAAGTAGCAGCGCTGAAGACCATGTCCTCATCAAAGTACTTGTCCTGGTCAACCTTCTTGATAGAGGCAACGACGCGGCGAAGAGCCGAAGACGAGACCACGGCCATGTGGTACTTCTTCTCAGCGAAGAGCTTGTCCAGTTGCTCGTTGGCACCGACACAAGGGACAGCCTTGGCCTCCAGCTTGGCAATGACCTTGTCCTCCTCCTTCTTAACGTACATCTCCAGCTCATCCTTTTCCATCTCAAACTTGTACTTGGCTTGGAGGGAGATCATCATGCCTCGGAAGTTTTGGCCGACAAAGTCCTTGATCAGCTGCTCGCCAGTGTAGCGATCAGGAATGTTGCGAGTCTCCAGAATCTCGTTGGCCAGGTCGGCACAGGCCTCGAAGGCCAGCTCCTCCGACAACACCAGAGTGTTGTCGCAGTCAAAGAAGATTTCCGTGATCTGCAGGAGAACCGGTTAGCATCGGTGGGTCTGGAGATGATGAGCGGGTAACAATTGGGAGCAAGTTTGTACCTTAGGCATGATGTGAGACGTGGGGTAAAGGTCCGTGAGAGGTTCTTTTGTTGGCGGGGTAGAGGGGTATAGTTGCGACAGGAATGCGCCGAGGTAGTAGAGAGCCAAATATGACCGACTTGGATCTCGAAGACGAGGAAGTATAGAGCAAAATGGAGGGTGAGGAGGTGGAAGGAGAAGTGGAAGTGAGAGTTGAGAGAAATTCCAAGTCAATTGAGGGAGCGGGTATCAAACTAAAGGAGGGGCAGGGACAGGAAGTCAAAACGTCAGGGCGCGGTTGCTTTTAAAGGCAGGAGCCCCTTTGGTTCTGGCATGACGCTGCCATAATGCGAATCGCAGGGAACCGGGCCAGAGCGGGGCTGAGGCCATTGGTGGGGGTGGTACAGTCGGTACTTGTTTCAGTATGTCATGTCACATATAATGTCAGGTACCGAGAATGCTGCACCCCAGGCACGCTCAGGGACCTCGACCAGGTCGGCGGCCACCACTCCACCAATCACATGACATACAGTGTACAGTAAGCACAGGTCGATCCATTTTGGGAGTAGCGTCTGTCTGGGAATCGTGGAAAGTCGCAGAAAGTCGGAGCTCGCTGCATTCTGGTTTCACGGCCCTGAGCTCTGGGCATCGGTGTTAGAATTATCAAGGCGAAGGGCAGCATGAAGTCTAATGCAATAGGGCATATTATTGACAAGAACTGTACAAGCTAAGCTACTATGGTTCTTGGAAGAAATGGCCGTGCCGGCATCCACAGAAGTACACCACCACGGACCGCGCATTCAACTTGCTATTGGGTCACCTTGAGAGATACAATAGTGGCCTAACCTCATACCGCACGGTCGTACATGGATTAGTCTGAGGATCCTAGCCTGTTCCTTGCTAATTTGCAATATGTCCCGGTCTGCACCGATAATCGGGGCGGGCAGTGGAAGAATGTTGAAAACATGTAGAGCTTGCTCGGAGAGCTTTCTCTAGTAGTGGTTTATCTATCTTGACAGTATAGCCAAGACGCTTGCAAGACTACAGTCTGTGAAACAGAGAGAGTCTGGATTTATTGACTATGGAAAAATACTGGTAACAAGATTCTAAGCATCAATCATGGTGGGGTATATCATCGTCAGCGCTTACTTCCTGTCTACGTATTTCTTTCTACGACAATATACCAAGGTAAAACTATAGGCACTAGATACTAGACTGTTCAAATATGTCCTAAAATCCCTCATAGCTTCCTGCCTAATTATCTGACAGATGATTGGGCGATTCTACCCCGTTGTAGAACAACTGACTACCATATACTCGGATAGTTAGACATGAGAAGATTGATAAGTTTTCTTCGCAATCCCCACCGATAACAAGTTCCGTGCCTTGCTATTCTATCCTATCTCTCTTTCGGTATCCTTCTCTATTCTCTAATGACCCGATATTAACCCGGGCTAGGTTTCAACAGGACAGTGCATTCCATCCCCCCCCCCCCCACTTCCATCTACCCGTTGTAGCGTCGATTGGGCCCCACCAACCAGCGGGCGCCATTAGAATCACATCTGCCATTTTCGCAACCTTCAATATTCGAAATCCCACCTCCACTCATAGACTCCGAGACCGCCGAAATAGGCTGGCCTCTGGCGGAACTCCCGGACAAAAGAAATATTCTCCGTACTACGCCCGGTGAACCAGTGAAAACTGTAAGGGCCAGCCGGAAAAGAAAGAGAATCTCCGAGACGAAATATCTGCTTGGCAGGCCTAGTCGCAATGGCATCGTCGGGCTCCTTTCCGACCCTAGAGTCTCTGCATTTCCCGTCTGCACAGACGTCTATATCGCAGACACTTTCTTCTCTCCGACGTTCGGCCTTGTCCGTCTCCAACCGGCTCCAGTCTATTGAAACGGATGCCGTGTTTGTACAGGAGGTTGCGGAACATTACGATCTGCCCCTCGTTGCGAATGAGCGCTGTGGGAGTTGGTATATTGATCCGGAGGGCAAGACGGGCAGTGCCTATTTTAAGAGTACGGATGGTCATACTGGACAATGGGATTTCAGCTTTCGTAGACTCAATCTACAGCTTCTTCCTTTGGCGAATCAATATGGAGGGTAAGTCGATCAGTCCTTTATCTTTGTGATTTTTACAACGAGATACCTATTACTCGGTATACTCCTCTCATTAATGCATACTATATCCCTCATATCTAACCATTATCCAGGTGTGTAATCGTCGACTCAACCCGCCGAGGTAAACGTACGTTCTCCCCTACACTTCCTCCAATCCCAAAGCTCCGGGTCAACGCCTAGTCGGCGCCAGTTCCGTTTGCCTTTCTTCTAGCTCACCGTGCCACCCCGCTAATGTATGCCACTAACTGACCCGCCGCTAACGCAACTACTCTCCAGTGATGCCAGATGCCTTATCCAAAACCATTCCCATCTGGTGCGCAGTCCTCAACCGGGCCTTGTTCCCGACGCAAACAGACTATCACGCCGTCCAGCTGCCCCCAAACTACCTCGGGGAATCGGAGGAATCACAGATCGCAAATCGGATTGATGGGTTTGTCCATTCGCTTCAGGTATGTGTGTACCTGTCCAGTATGACTGCATCTAATCCCTGCACTTATATGTCAGGGACCGGCTGTTTCGACCCCCTCTCCCCCTCTCTTATCTATTTCACCCGGGTTGAACCGCACCCCGCGGGGCTAGCATGGCGGGCTGACATTTTCTCAAAATCGCAGAGTCTCAAGCTCGACCTCGAGCATTTACGGGAGCAACTCGGCAAACCCATGCAAGTAGCCTGGGCTAACCGGTCATACTTCCATCCAACGGACCTACGCAAGAGTCCCGAGTATCACCTGCTAGTGCTATGCTCTGCATCAAAGCGCGTGCATGGGGCGGAAATGTCGGAGGGCGGATACATCCAGGGTGCCGGTGATGACAGCGAGGCATGGGCGCACGGGCTAACGCCGCCCGTTTTCTGGGTGAATCGGCCCCTTCTCAAACGGACCGCTGAGGAGGATTTGCCTGGTGTGATTGGGGAGTTGGTGCGGGAGTATACACGCGAGAACACTGACAGTAAGGCAACCGTCATCTCGCCGACGAGGAATTTGTATATCAGTCAGACTGATGCACGTGTCGATGTCGGCGGGAAGTATGACCTCGTCATCGACTGTAACGGTGACCCTGCCGCTGTAGCGGAAAATCCAAAGTGTTTGAATTTGGGCTGTGCGTCCGCGAAGCTGGGTAGTCGTGACCTGCGGAAGTCGTTGGATAAAGTGCGAGACTTTGTTGGTGCACAACTTGGCGCTGATCCGTCGCGCTCGTTGCTGGTCACTTGTGATACGGGCAAGGACCTCTCGGCTGGGGCATTGTTGGCGATTGTCTGCCTGTTCTACACTGAAGATGGTAATGCGAAAAACACCCCTCCCGGAAGAAGGAACATATTGTTCAATGAATTTACACGCTAGATGGAACGGCAAAAAGGGAATCAAAATAACTAACTGCGTCACCCTCCAGGAACCTTCGATGCCTCGCTGACCAAGCGATCGATCAGCAAGCAGTTTATCCGACAGCGTCTTGCGTGGATCGTCTCGTCTAAACATGACGTGAACCCGTCTCGTTCGACGCTGCAGTCGGTAAACGCCTTTCTGATGCAGCCGCCGGATTATTGATATCAGCCGGCGGATCTGCATCAAGCGGCCAATTAAGCATGGCTTTGCAGCAGTGTTGGTAACTTGGTCCTGGGACACCGGTGGCTCAAGGACACCATCTTTTTACTCGTTGGCCACGGCCTCCACGATGGCGCCCGCATCGCCTTGGTCGAGCGAGTTCAGAATATCCATATCCTCCGCGCTGATATCGAAACCGAACACGTCCGCATTGGAGGCGATACGCTCTGGGTTATCGGTCTTGGGCAGCGGTACCCAGCCCTTCTGCAGCGCATAGCGGATCAAGACCTGCTGCGTGGATTGATTGTAATTTTGCGCAACCTCGACGAGGGTGGGGTCATTGGCTTTGTAGTTACGAACGATGGGCGAGTAGGCTTCGACGATGATCCCGTGTTGCTTGCAGTATGCGTCGATGGTGCGCTGCTGACACCATGGGTGGAGCTGTATCGCAAGAGAACAAGCACGCGTTAGCTCATAGCTTCGATAACTACCAACCTAACCTCTATCGCATAGACAAGCAAAATGCAGGGAAGACATACCTCAATCTGGTTGACTTGTGGTGGCCACACCTGGGCATACGCCTTCATCTCCTCGATATGCTGCACACCGTAATTGCTCACACCAATAGCCTTGGCCTTGCCCTCGGCATGCAACTTCTCCAGCGCCTGCCACAACTGCTTTCTCCCCGCAGGTCCAGAGCTCGAACTGTGAATCAGGAACAAATCGACGTAACCGCCCGGTCCACCAATCTTCTCCACGCTAGCCAACAGCTTGTCGTAGGTCTGCTCGGCCGAGCCGGCGGGGCTCAGGATCTTGGTAGTCACAAAGACTTCGTCGCGGGGGATCCCAGAAGTGCGCAGAGCCTCGCCGACTTCGCTCTCATTGCCGTAGAATTGCGCGGTGTCAATGTGTCGGTATCCCACTTCCAGGGCCTTGAGGACGGATTTCACGCATTGGGAGGTTGGCGAACGGTAGACACCAAAGCCGAGGCGCGGGATGCGCACGGTGGAGTTGGGGAGGGGGAGGCGGTCGGTGGGTTTGTAGGACATTTTGGAGGGTGGTTGTGTTGGTTAGGAGAGGAGGGTAGAAGGAATGAGCAGAGGGAGAGGAAGAGAGAGGGTTGGGGATGCTGAAGCTGGAGCTGTCGAAGAAAAAGCGAAATTGGCGGCTCGAAGGCGGGGCGAACCGAACCAGATGGAATGATATCATCCGCCGATTACTCACGCCATGCGGGCTGGGCTGGCCCTGTGGATTTGTCAGATGGATACTGCTGAGTTATTGAAGTTTTGTAATATATTATGTTGAATATATTGAGGATCTATTGCACTTGATGATTACTATAGAAGATATAAGATATTCAAAGAATGATGGTGGTGTCCCGGAGGGTTGGGCTACCAAGGTAGAGGGCATAGTTTATAGTTCATCCAGGTATACGGACATGTCCAATCAAAGCAACCCAATCTAATCTATTCATATCGATAGCAGGTCCTAATAAGACTGCCTCCATCATTGGCTACGCTTGGCCAGATCTCCGATTCGTGGGGCGCGATCGCCAGAGATGAAGCATCCATGGGTTGTGCATACCACCAGCCAGTCGATTGGTTCCCAACAGAAAGTAGGGAACAAAGACGGGGATCCTATCAATTCGTGGTATTGCAATAGTAATATCAAACAATGAAACTCCCTTTCAAAAACACAGCTCTCGAGGAAGATCCCAAGTATAAAGTCCCGAGAGTCGCGTTGCCAGGGAGACTTGCGGAAGGACCGCGATAGAACCACAAAGACCCCGCCCCTGGCCAGCCCTGCAAAAGCCCTGAGCCACTCCGCTCAACTTGTCCAACTAGTCGCCCTTAGCTGGAAAAAAAAAAGCACCGACCATCATTCCTTGAACTTTTCTTCACGGCAGAGTAATCTATTCTCCAAACAACTACCGCTAGCTTCGATCTCCCTAGTCCCCCTCTCGGCGCGTTTGCAATTAAGCAAGTGATCGCCCGCACTATCAGCCCACGCCAACCGCTCGACATCCTTGAACCCGGACACTCTCCAACCTCTCCCCCGCCAATCGGCCCTGGAATGTCTTCGCCCTGATTGAAGATGTTAACGGTCGAGAAGCAGTGGGTTAATGTGCAGCAGAAGACCTTCACCAAATGGTTCGTCCTCTCGAGGCTTCCCTTAACGAAGGGGCTTCCCCCTCCTTGCCTACTCGCAATCGTGCATGATCACATCTAACGAATACCCCAGGCTGAACGATAAGCTAAAGGCCCGCGCCTTGGCCATCGAGGACTTGGTGACTGATCTCTCTGATGGCGTGAGTTCCCCTATTCTCCCCCTAGTTCGCCGTCAACGCGGAGCTGGGCATACACGCCAAAACATTGCGGGACCAGAATCGCTGACCTGCCCGTCTTCTCCTTCCCCGCAATAGGTTATCCTCATTCATCTTCTCGAAATCCTCGGAAACGAGTCCCTCGGTCGGTACGCGTCGAAGCCCAAGCTGCGGGTGCAGAAATTCGAAAATGTCAACAAAAGTCTGGACTTTATTCGAGGGCGGAGGATCCAGATGACCAACATCGGTGCGGAGGATATTGTCGATGGCAACCGCAAGATTATCCTCGGTCTGATCTGGACTCTGATTCTGCGTTTCACCATCAGCGACATCAACGAGGAGGGTATGACCGCCAAGGAAGGTCTGCTACTGTGGTGTCAACGGAAGACGGCTTGCTACGAGGATGTGGAGGTTAGGGACTTCTCCTCTAGCTGGAATGACGGATTGGCGTTCTGTGCGCTGCTAGATATCCATCGGCCCGATTTGATCGACTACGATTCCCTGGATAAGAGTGACCACCGTGGGAACATGAAACTCGCGTTCGAGATTGCCTCTAACGAGATTGGCATTCCGGATCTGCTCGATGTGGACGACGTGTGTGATGTCCCCCGACCTGACGAACGGTCTCTGATGACCTATATCGCCTACTGGTTCCATGCTTTCTCCCAACTGGAGCGAGTCGAGAACGCTGGACGTCGAGTGGAGAAGTTTGTCAACAACATGCATGGTGCATGGGATATGCAGTCTGGCTATGAACGCCGGATGCGTGAACTGTTGCGACTGATTCGATCTCAGCGGGAATCATGGCAGAATTCCTCATTTGAAGGAACGTACAAGGACGTGAAAGAGCAGGCCCATCAATTTGCGCTCTACAAACGAAATGAGAAACGGCAGTGGGTGGCCGAAAAGTCGGATCTCGCGGCCTTGCTGGGTAACATCAAAACGAAGCTGGGCACGTACCGTCTCCGCTCGTACGAGCCACCAAAGGAATTGAGCACGGAGACCTGCGATCAAGAGTGGGAGCTCTTGACCAGGGACGAACACCAGCGCAGCCAGCTGATTAACGAAACCATTCGAGATATCAAGAATGCCCTTCGCAGGTCATTCGCCGACAAAGCAAACGACTTTGCATTGACCCTAAAAACCCTGTCATTGGCCATCTCCGGACTCGATGGTGATGTCGAAGACCAGCTAGATCATGTCAAGAAGCTCAATGATAATCTCCCACCCCTCGATGCTTTCCTAGACACCATTGCCGAGCTGGATGAGCAGTGCGCGGAGGCTAATATTGAGGAAAACGACTTCACCACATATACCCTTGATGAGCTCTCATATGAACTCAGTCTGGTGAAGTCCAGCATCTCGAAGAAGCTGGCATTCTTGGAGAATCAGATGGTTGCTCGCAACATGACCAACCTCACCCCGATCCAGCTAGAAGAGTTCGAGTCGGTCTTCCGCCACTTTGACCGCGACTCGTCCAATACATTGCACGAGCTTGAGTTCTCTGCCGCATTGGCCAGTCTGGGATTGGTCTACGACGAAGAGGAGATGCATCAGGTCTACGTGGAAGTTTGTGGGGCGAACCGACTAGCTCAGAATGCTGGTGTCAGCTTCGAGCAGTTCATTCGGTTCATGGTCAGTGTGACGGAGGATCAGAATACGGCTGAGCAGGTCTTCCAGAGTTTCAAGGAGGTTGCTGATGGCAAGGTTCGTTCCCATCTTACATATAACTGTGTTTTCTCTCTTTTATTCACCAAACTAACGCAATTGACAGCCATACGTTACCGAGCTCGACCTCCGACACTCGCTCATTCCAGACGAAGTTATCGAACATCTGGTCAAGACAATGCCTCAACATGAAGGTCCGGACCTTCTTGAGGACCGTGACTTGCCCAAGTTCGACTACATTAGCTTCATGGAAAAGATGATCCAGGACCAGAAGAGTAACAGCGGAGCAACGCAGTGAGCGCATCTCAATAGGAAGGCAATTGGTTTCAGTGGTTCTATGCACAGCGTCGCCGGTCATACTGGGGGTTGTACTGCTTTGATTAGGTGCGTGGGCCTTTTTTCTGGTGTGGTGTGGTGTTTCTCTCTCTGTTTTTCTTGCCTCTTTTTTCCATAACAGCATGCATCGTGGGGTTCGGCGGTTGTCCCTCTTTTCTTTCTTGTGTGTATTCTGCTTGCGAGTCTGGTTTGTAATGTATCAGGATACCATGGAATGACATTGAAACAAATAAGGTTGGAGAGTGCACAGGTTAAGATAAGTAATCGTATACAGAGTGGTTGTAGAATTGACTACCTGAAGACAATACCATTGTAAAACCAGTTCTCTTGGTTTCGCATGTTTCAATTCATACGGATAGCTACTGCTCTACGTTCACAATCAGACTGTTGTCTTCGAGTTCTCATTGTACTATCTTTAGAGGCTGAATGCATTCACGTGACTGGACCCTCCGCTAGATGGAGCCAAGTCGTCAGTCCGCCAGGCGACCTGCAGATCATCCAACCACTTCTTCAATCCTTACTTCGACGTTACTCTGCGATTGAAATATCACCACACACACACCTTCCTCCCAATTTTTCTCCCTCTCTCTTTCCCTCCCCCACCTTCACTCACACCATCCATCATGGACCGCAGCCTAGACGAGATCATCGCCGAGGATACATCGGTGAGCACTCAAGCTACCCCGATTCGCTTTAAGTCCGACCAGGAAACTAACACGCCTCTTCCAATCGCAGCGGAAACAGACCCGTCCCTCTGGCGGTCGACGCAACCCGCCCCAAAATCGCCGGCGTAACGATCGCGATGGCGTTAGAAAGGTAGCTACATTGTCCCCTGCGCTGCGCCCGAACCCTCCCAGATCGATCTCGGTGTCGCACGGTTCAGAAAACAAATTGTCGCTGACTTGTCTCTCACTTCCGTTTAGGTCCGCCCTCCTCTTCCTACATCGAATTCTCTTGCGCCGTGACACACACAATCGTTTAGCCAGTCCCCTCTCTAGTTGGTCGGAGACTTCGCCTTCGATGCGAGGCTGGCGGCGGAGACTTGGAAACGCAATGCAATGTCCACGCTACATAACCCTGACTTGGAGCTAACCTTTGACCTGTTCTTTTGATTGCAACAGCCTTATTCGCAAGACCGCGTTGACTTGAACCTGTGAATATCCCTCTCGTCTTCTGCTTTACTGGGCCGAATTGGAATGCTGATGGACATGTGTTGTTAGTGACTGGGTGCATGACAAGTTCGACGATGACCGTGATGGTATGTTTCAATGTGATCTTATGGTTGAATCTTTTTGATCTGACTGTTCTTTAGCGCGCGGATCCCGTGGCACTCGCCGCCGCCGTTCAAACTCGCCTGATCGGTATGGAATACTTGCGTCTGGAACCAGGGGATGAAATGGTGCTAATGGCACAGCAGTGGTGGTCGCACCTTGACCAAGGTTCGCGTTGAGAACCTTCATTACGATATTACGGAAACAGACCTTGAGGTGAGTTTCTCAACTCATCCGTGTTTAAACCAATCATAAAACTGATTGCTTTTGCAGGACCTTTTCGGACGCATCGGCCCCGTTTCCGCCCTTTCCCTTGTCTATGACCGCGCTGGACGCTCCGAGGGTGTTGCCTACGTCACATACCAACGCCTGGGCGACGCTCACGAGTCCATCCGCGAATTCGACGGTGCCAATGCCAAGGGCCAACCCATTCGCCTCTCCCTCGTGCCCGGCCGTCGTGCGGAACGAAACACTGATCGCAACACCCTTTTCGACCGCGTAGAGCGCCCTGGCCGCGACGCGCGCAGCTTGAGCCCTGGTGGTGATGAGGGCGCAGATGGCTCCCGCCGTGGCCGTCGCAGTGACGTCTCCAAGCCCGCTCCTGATGGAATCGACCGCTACGTTCCTGGAACTCGCCAACGCTCGCCTCGTCGTGGTGGAGGTCGTCGGGGTGGCCGGGACAACCGTGATAACCGGGGCCGCAACGAGAGAGGAGGTCGCCGCACTGGAGAGGGCCGTCCCCGCAAGACTCAGGAGGAATTGGACCAGGAGATGGATGACTACTGGGGTGGAAACAATGATGCGACTGAGACTTCTGAGAAGCAACCCGAGACTGCTGCCACCCAACCGCAGGCTGCCACTGCCCCTGCTCCAGCTGCTGCGCCCGCTGCACCTGCTGCCGCAGACGATGATATCGATATGATCGAGTAAATCGCTGATGGGCGGGGACTTCTACAAAACTGGGAATTTGGGTCGCTACTTTTCATGAATATGGCTGCATAGTTTTTGGGTTCGTTTTTTCCCTTAATCAGTTGCTGGCTTGGTTATACCGGGCTGGGTAGAGAGGGATCTGTAATTTTACAATCATCACGAAATTGTCAATGGAAACTCTATCTGGGCCATATAATCCTTTTCTCTCATAAGTGTGAATATCTAATACTTATCAATTGTCTGAGGGTAGCTCTATCTACGGTAGACATTGCGTTTGAATGTAGAATGCTCTTTTCCAAATTACAAATTGCAAAGTCATCCCGTCTCTACAATTAGTAGGTCTCCTACGACGAGGGTTCTAAAGTATGATCGATCATCTTCGAGGCGAGGGTATCAGATTACTATAATCCACACTAAAGCCACCGCCAATAGTGAAAATGACTTGTCAGTAGCAAGGAATTTGAACGTTGAACGTCTTCTCTGTACAGAGTTTTAATCCTGTCTTCGTTCTCGTTCATCGCCACAACCCGTACGGTTCCCGACATGCCTTCCACAGCTTCACAGTACCGTCCTCGCTACCAGTGCCGTACAGCTTTCCATCAGGCGAGAAGCTCACAGACCAGATAGGTCCGTGGTGACCCTTTTGCACATCTGTCAAACAACCATTAGCCAAAATCTCCCAAGCACGACGGGGAAGTCCCCAGTTCAAATATTCGCAAATACATACCCAACTCCTCGTCCGTGTGCAGGTCATAAACCCGTGCCCACGTATCATTCGCACTACCAGTAACCAAACGGCCCGAGTCACTGTTAACCGCGGCACTAGCAACCTCGTATCCGAAATCGGCCTTCTTCAAGAGCCGTCCCGGCTGCACGGCATCAAAGAGATAAACACTCTTGCCCGCGGCCACAGTCAAAATACCGGGATCATTAGGCCGCACGGCGAGACTATTCAACTCGCACGACCCAATCGTCCCATCAACGGCATACTCCTTGACAGGATGTCTAGACCGCAGATCCCACCAGCGAATCTTACGATCCTCCGCAGCCGTAGTCACGATATTGTAATCCTGGTTCCAGACGATAGACTTGATCGTGCCGCCGTGCACGCCGGGGCCGATCTCGTAGCTCGTCACATCCCCTCCGCTCTGGATGGGACTCCCGCTGCTGCTGGGGGTAGGCAGTGGGGGCGAGGAGCCGTTGCTACTGGTACCACCGCCGCCGCTGCCGTTGCCGCGGGTCAGATCGAAGATGCGGAGCTTCTTCTCTGCGCCGCCGGTGGCGAGGACTTGCGGGTTTGCTTGGATGGGGAAGGCGATTGCGCGCACGATGTGTGCATGTTGCAGCGTGTGCAGACATTCGCCGGTGTAAGTGTCCCATACCTTGGCGGAGAAATCTGCGGCTGCTGTTGCGGCGATGGCGGCGTCCGCGGAGAGCCGGGCTTGCCAGACGGCGCCTTTGTGGCCGAGGAATGTGCCAATCCTGGAGGTGGATGTGTTAGTTCAAGTTGGTGGGGTTTTATATGGGGGAGGGGGTTACATACCAGTCACCGGTGATACCATCCCGGAGCATTGGGTTGTTATCTGCAAGAAATGGTTAGTCCTCTTGTACTTGGCTGTGGTTTCATGTTTTTTCTGTGTTTCTGGGCATGAAGTTTACCTTTGCAGGCTGAGATTAAATAATACTGGTCCTCCTCCACAGTCGAGGAGAAACTCAAGTGAGTCACGGGACGCGAGTGCCCGTGACAAGTCAGAGGGACGACCTTGGGGATATCTAGACTTGATTAGCCACGAGTCATGTAGTGTATCAGAAAAGGACAGCATCACACTCACCGGAAGCCATGGTGTCCAGAGTCAAAGTTAAAAACTTTCAAAAGTTTCAAAAGATCAAATCCAGGGTTAAAAATGTCTGGAATCTGCCATGAACAGTCGTAGCAGGCGTGAGATGTCCAGCGAGGAAATGAAGAGAGGCTGAAGTGGGTGAGGCCAGGAGCGGGCGAGTCCAAGGTCGTTCAGGATCTTTTTTAAGGAAAGTACAAAAGAGATTCGTCAGGGTCGTCAAGTCATCAAGTCTTGTCTGTAAAGAAGGACCGAAAGGGGGCGCATTCAAGACCCCGCGAACGACAAGATTTCCTGGCGTGTTCACAAGTCCACAATGCGCAGTTTGGGGCTTCTTTCGATATTGAAATCACTCGAACTAGCGGGTCACCTGCAGCCCGCTGGCTTACCTCAGCTTGCCCCGCTAGGCCGAATTAGGCTAAAACACGTGCCTCTAGTTGAACCTCGTCATTTTAGAGTGTTGATACATCAACTGGTCGTCCACCAGTTGATTAGGGAGATCATTTACAAGATATGAGTGTATTTTAGATCTATGAAGTCGAATGGTAGCCCTTTTGACTACCAATTTTGATTTTTTACATCGCATCGAGGAATCCCGCTTTGTTTTCACCGCCAAGTTCAGCCACAGAGTCGACAGGGCAGGGATCTAACTAACTAGTGAATTTCCAGGCCTGTTGGTGGCTGGTACACCATTGGATGGGCCTACTCTCCAGGTTATACAGTAGGTTCAAAAAGCGTGGTCTCATAGCTACTGAATCAAAGCACGTTTGATCCAGCAATGCTTCCATGGAGAGATTCATTAAATAGTCACATCCAGCAACTGCACAGTCTGTATTTCTCAGAAATATGAGGCTCTCAACTACTGGTTACCATGAATCAACTCTAAAAAACAACTAGCGAGTAACGGCATCTCACCAAGGCCAATTGACTGGAGAACTCCATCTTTTGTCTCGCATTGCAAATCAACTTCTAGCATGTTCGTCATAGCTCCACCGCCCACGTGATATGATGCGCAGGCGGGGACCCCAGAACGACTAAAGGACAACAACTACCTGCTACAACTACAACAGGGGAAGGAGCTTTGCTTGATCTTTGATTTCCTGCCGACTTTCTCTTTCCTCTTCACTCACTTCACTCCCCCAGGTTGTATGTATGCCTGACTTCAAGCTCTCCGCGTCTCTCGAAGGTCACGGCGATGATGTAAGTGCCCTCCGCGTCCCCGCTCCTGGTCCGGATGCCTTGTAGGCGCATATGAATCTATTCACTGACCTCGCATTTCGGCTTCAGGTTCGCGCCGTGGCCTTCCCAAACCCCAATGTCGTCCTCTCAGCCTCTCGTGATGCCACAGTTCGACTTTGGAAGCTTGTCTCCTCCCCTCCTCCAACTTACGATTACACAATTGCCGCACATGGCCAGGCCTTTATCAACAGTCTAGCTTACCTGCCGCCGACACCCGAATACCCGGAGGGCCTAGTGCTCTCTGGTGGACAAGATACAATCATCGAAGCACGGCAGCCTAGCAAGTCTGCCACGGATAATGCGGATGCAATGCTACTGGGTCATGGCCACAACATCTGTGCTCTGGATGTCTCTCCAGATGGCGCATGGATTGTTAGTGGCAGCTGGGATTCTACAGCTCGTCTCTGGAGAGTTGGGAAATGGGAGAGTGAGGCCGTACTGCAAGGGCATGAAGGGAGCGTCTGGGCTGTCCTAGCCTATGACAACAACACCATCATCACCGGTTCGTCGGCTACGTCCTGGGAAGCTCGGGATGCAGATTCCATGATGCTAATGATACTTTAGGCTGCGCCGATCAAATGATTCGCATATTCAATACCTCCGGCACCCTCCTCGGAAGCATCAAGAACTCCAATGACGTCGTACGAGCTCTCTGCAAGGTCCCTGCCTCAAATCCCACCGGTGCCCAGTTCGCATCCGCCAGCAATGACGGCATTATTCGACTTTACACCTTACAGGGTAACTTGGTTGCCTCTCTTCATGGTCATGAGAGCTTTGTTTACTCCCTTGCTGCTCTGCCGTCGGGTGAGCTGGTGAGTTCGGGAGAGGACCGTACCGTGAGGATATGGCAGGGCACCCAGTGCGTTCAAACCATCACTCATCCGGCCATCTCTGTCTGGAGTGTTGCCGTGTGCAACGAAAGTGGTGATATTGTTAGCGGCGCCAGTGACCGTACCACCCGGATATTCAGTCGGAGCGCAGATCGCCACGCCTCTCCCGAGGTCATTCAACAATTCGAGCAATCTGTCAAGGAGTCGGCCATCCCTGCTGAGCAGGTTGGAAAGATTAATAAGGAGCAACTGCCAGGTCCAGAGTTTCTGAAGGAGCGATCCGGAACGAAAGAAGGACAGGTTCAGATGATTCGCGAGTCGGACGGGAGTGTCACTGCCCACACCTGGTCATCCGCAACTCAGGAATGGATTGCCGTTGGTACAGTGGTGGAGTCGGCAGCAAGCAGCGGCCGGAAGACGGAGTATCACGGACAAGACTATGATTACGTCTTCGATGTCGACATCGAGGATGGCAAGCCACCGTTGAAACTCCCATACAATGTCTCTCAGAATCCATATGAAGCTGCAACCAAGTTCATCGGGGACAACGAGCTACCCATGTCCTATCTTGATCAGGTCGCGAATTTCATCACACAGAACACCCAGGGCGCCACGCTTGGCCAGTCTCAAGACAACGGTGCAGACGCTTGGGGCTCAGAGCGAAGATACCGACCCGGTGATGCTGCCGCTGTCAATGAAGCAGCACCACCACCACCACCCGTTCCCGAGCCACGACCTCAGGTGCTGCCTCAAAAGACATATCTCTCCATCCGCTCAGCGAGTACTAAGGTCATTGCCAAGAAGCTCAATGAGTTGAACGATAAGATCCTAGCAGAGGGAGACAAGGACGTAGCTCTGAATTCTTCCGAGTTGGAGACTGTCGTCGCACTTTGTGGGCAATTAGAGACCTCTCAGAAGCTGCCAGACTCCCCAGCCGTCCAGGCTGGACTTCCCTTGATCTTCAATATCGCAACCAAATGGCCAACAGCCAATCGACTCCCTGGACTGGATCTGCTTCGTCTGCTGGCTGCTGCGGCCCCGCTACCGCGACCATAGAGTACGACGGCGCGGATCTCATTACCGGCATCCTGTCTAGTGGGGTCTTTGATGCACCTTTGAACGTCAACAACGCCATGCTTTCAGTCCGAACATTTGCCAACCTCTTCGAAACGGATACAGGCCGTAGTTTGGCAATCCAGGTCTTTGACCAGGTGCTGGCTGGTGTCAAATCCGCACTAGCTAACAGCGGAGACGCGCCAAACCGCAACCTCACCATCGCCATTACGACTCTCTACATCAACTTTGCAGTTTACCTCACCTCCGAGGGCCGAGCCCAAACTCCCGAAGCCGCGGAGCGGGGCCTAGTGCTCCTTGAGGAGCTAACGAAGATTGTCTCCGGCGAGAAAGATTCCGAAGCAGTCTACCGTGGGCTTGTTGCGCTGGGCACACTTGTGCAAGCTTTGGGGACCGAGGTTAAGAGCGCCGCGAAGGAGATCTATGAGGTTGAGAAGGTTCTCTCGCGCATCTCGGCCTCGGGGCCTGGGAAGGAACCGCGGATTAAGGGTGTGATCAGTGAGATCAGGGCAGCTCTCTAGTTGAACTTTGATATCCCGTCCGAGGGCTACTGCATAGATAGACTCGTGCTACTTATTCTTAACGACGACCACGCAATTGCTAATAATTGCCATGCCATATCAATCTTCCTATCTCCTCACAGTAGAGACAATATTCATCGCAAACCCCCCAGTAGAATGTTAGTACTTGGACTCTCCCTTTGGAGCATACCGGAAATCCCCATCCCCATCCTCAAAAACTTCCACCACCTGATCGATACCCTCATAGGCCGGACACACCAGGCCATACTTCTCCGCAATACTCTGCGTCAAGAACCTACCACCAACAAAATGCCGGCCCTCATAAAACTTCACGCAAGGCTTCGGCGCCGTCAAACTGATCAACCCCTGAGGCATAAACTTAGCACCAGGTCCAGATGACGGCGGGCCGGAGGTAATATCCCATGAACTAGGGGCATCTACGCTTAGAACCGGGATAGATGCTGTTTCAATTTGGGAAATGATGGATGGGAAGGGTTCGCGGAGAGGCCCGCCGAATGAGAAGCCGAAGATGGCGTCGATTAGGAGGTGGGAATTGGAGAGGGTCATTTCGAAGTCCGTTGTGAATGGGATGGAGAGGTTTTGGAGTTGGGTTTTGAGGCGCTAATCATTGGTGAGTTTGAATTGGAAGAAGCTTGATGGGAAGAGAGGATTTGAGATGGACGGACTTGGTAAAGCTCGTTTTTGCCTTCTTTGGGGTAGTAGACGGTGGGGTTGTAGCCGTAGTGTGCGAGGTGTCGTGCTGCGACGAGACCGTCGCCACCTTTTGGAAGAGCAGTAGATTAGCGTCTGGTAGGGACTGACTCGTTCATATTAGGTTATCAAGAGCATACCGTTGTTTCCGGGGCCGCATACGACGAGGACATTCTTTCCTTGACTGAGTGGATGCATCCTCCAGACTACATTATTCATCGTTAGTATCCTTGGTATCTTCAATTAGGAATTCGAAGCTGCGATAGCTTACCAGCTTGAGAAACCGACAAGCCCGCCAGCTCCATGAGCTGGTCTAGCGACCATCCGCCGATGTTCACGTCCATGAGGTCCTTGTCAAGGGACGCGGCATCTGTGGCCGAGATTGCCTAAGAGCTCAACTCAGTCAATCTGTACAGAATATATTACACTTGAACATACCTTCAGCGACATCGTTGCAGCTTTACCGTATCGACGAAGAGCGGGAAGCGGGAAGCGTCTAGCACAAGAGACGCAGAACATGCAAAGTACCAATGCCAAGATACAGGTCTCCGTAGCAACCTGTCTGTGTCAATCACCAAACTAACCTCCAGTGAAAGAGAATGAGAAATAATTTCAGAAAATATAGGATGAAGGGACCCTGGGAGAGATAAGTCGCAGCAGCAACTTGCTATACAACCATATTGCATCATGGGCCCCGCCGGCGCTAATCCACATCAGGACTTCCCGGAACAACTAATCCTCCGCTCCTCCTTGAACTTTTGCGGAGCGCATTTTGGACACTCGGAAGTCGACGATAAACCACGGCCCAACCAAGCAGAGCCTATACAGTTTCGACAAAATGGTTCTTCGGATTCGTCTGGCCCGCTTTGGCAACAAGCACACGCCTTTCTACAACATTGTTGTTGCGCAGGCTCGGTACGTTATCTGTTTTTTCCCGGCGCCCAATCTCCCCGTCTTCGATGCCATGCCGAAGCCCTTGCCATTGACATTGTCCTGGTTCATATGATGGATTGTTATTATGGGACCTGAACGAGACAGATAGCTAATTGTGTGGCTTCACAGGTCTGCCCGCGGCGCAAAGCCCCTCGAGGTTATCGGCACCTACAACCCCATCCCGAAGAAGCCGACGAACCTGTACGACGACAATGCCAATGCGCGCCCATACAAGGAAATTGCCCTTGACCGGGCGCGTGCCAAGTACTGGCTCGGTGTCGGCGCACAGCCTAGTGACCCGGTGTGGAAGTTGATGGGCATGGTGAGTTGGAACCGCTTGATATACCTGGTTGCTTTCCGAGGGAGGATGTGTGGACGAGTGTGGCTTCAGATGGTTTTCACACTGATTCACACTTATTTCTTTCGGGAAGCAGCGTGTTGGTTGCTGCTCGAATAGACACATTTGCTGACATGGTTTTTATGTACAGGCTGGTCTTGTTGAGCCGAAGCCCACTACCTTCCACAAGGCATAAATGCCGAGTATTCACCCGCCGGGACTGTTCAGTCTTACAACTACTGTTTGACTTTTTGGTCATGGATGTGCCATGAATCCTCCCCCGGGATCATGACTCGAATCCGCTAGTCTCGACACCTCCATGATCCGCTGTGGTTGACCAAAGAATAGAGTGGTAACCCCTCTCTAGCAACAGTCCCAGGAGACCACTCGGTTCCTGTAATTTTTCTGACTGATTTTCTGGCATTTGCGGCGTTTATTGCGAGTTTGGACCATTTTTGGGAAGGCTCCCTTCCCCATGCTCGGGTCATGTCCGGGCCTTGACCTTCAACCTATCCCCCCATGTACATTACGTGAACAGCCTTGCCGCGACAGCTTGGGCTTTTCCAACCCAAGCTCATGCAGCATGAAAACCTATCCAACCTATCATGACTACCTTTAGCCCACGAGACTCCATTTGAACCTCGCGTCTTTGCACAAACCATCTCCCAGTGGAGCCCCTGTAGATCTTCACATGACAGGAGGGTCCCCGACGCTGATTCAAGCGCGAGTCGAGCGTGGCTAGATCCAGGTAAGCTTTTTCACACGCGCGATCGCAGGCTACCGTGACAGTCACAGTCGCGACCGGACAGATATTCAGCAACCAGTCAGCAACAGGCAATAACACCAGAACGCATTCCGGGTGCTGCACCTCGAAGGGGCTCGAGGCCAGGTCCCGGAGGCTTTTCCCCCCTTGTCTAGCCCGATGCCCCGAGTTGGTCTAGTCCGCGGCCAGCTTCAGGGAGGTTAGTGTGCTTCCCTCTCAGGGTGACGCGCCTATGACCGCTGCTCCCCAGGCACGACGTTTGAAAAGCCCGACCAAGTACTAGGCTTCATCGGGACTTTGGCGGTCCCCCCAAGACTGTGCCATCGCGTTATGCTTGTGGCCACGGCCCAACCAGAGACCCGCACCGCCCCCCAGCGACCCTCGATAAGCCCAAGCCATTTCCGCGTGCCAGCCAATCCGCTGCGCGACGGGGGTCGGACCCGTGGCAATTGGTCAGCGGCCCTGGAGGATCGCCCGCTTTTGAGTTTGGAAATACCATGGATTGGGTGGTTTGGGCAGGCCCCGGGGGGCGTTGTTGTGGGCATAACAATGGGAGGGCTTTTAGAGGTGTTCCTTTTTGGTACTTTTGTCGCGAGATGAGTGTGTGGATGCAGGCAGACGCAAAGAAAGTAGAAGCCGTCAAGCCGTTGGGAGATGATCGTATGGACTCGACTGAAACCGGTCAGTCAACTGGTGCCTGAGTCACCATCCCCAAAGATGATCGAGGAATGCGCACGGATGAATATAGTGCAACAGTGCTAGGCTGCTATTAGCTCTGCGTTGCTTTCTTCTCTCTTTCTCTGGTGCAAGGGATGGATGACAGACTGTTGAACTTTAACAAACCATGGGGTAAACGACGCTAAAAATGTATAATACCTTGATTCTATCAATTATCTCCTCACAGGGCGTGATTACGCGTTTTATCTAACTAGGTAGAACTATGTAGTCAGCTGTGACTGTGAGTCCGAGTAGTCCAAGGAAAGATATGAAGATTACATTCGCAACCAAGAGCCCTGCATGTCCGTTGTGCGAGTTTCATTGTTTCTCAAGTACCGACTGCTCTAGTGGGAACTGGGGGTTGACGGGCGACTAGGATGACCAGGATAACCAGGGGGGAACCAGGATGACGCGTAGCCATCGGTCTCCGAGCTCAGTATGGAATGCATCGTCAAATATGAGAGAGGACATACAATACCTGCAGATGGAGGTCGTACACAGTCTCGTATATGGTTCTTTAGAGTCATATCTAGCAGGGCTGGCCCTGGACCGGGAGCTGCAAGCTTTATGCGGGTGGCTCGATCAAGCAGTTCCTCCGTAGATTGTCTTGGTTCTCTAGGTTCTCTAGGTTCATGTCGAAGCAATTGCGCTACGAGTAGTGTGCAGTATATGCAGTATGCTCCTTAGTATTCTGGTCTAGTATGGCTTCGACCCTAAGTATGTCCCCCATTCTCCGTATCCTCCAAGTCGTATGCAAGCGGCAGGTGCTCTAGAATAGGGACCGAGGTAGTTTACTCCGTCCTCATTAGAGCCGTGATTATGAACCATGATATCGGGCGTGTGCAGTCGGAGATTGAACGAGAAGCCGCAGTAGACGGAACGTGTTTCTAGAACCTCAACTTATCAGGAGGAAGGGGTTTAAGATATATAGGTCATGCAAGAGGATAACGGCTGACAGCCTCAAGACGAGATCAAAAGAACCGGACATTCCCAGGTTTCGGGGCACGCACTCCACGTTTCTGCAAGCGGCGTTGAAGGTGGCCAGCACTGGGTAATCTGCTGACGGGGTATGGTAATTTATAACCGGGGTACTTCCACGGTCCCCATATTGCCCGCAATTCTCTCTCTCTACACTCTGTACTCCCCCAGTGACTTCCCCTGTATCACCCCCGTCCCATTCAGTCGCGTCGTGAAAGCAGATCCATGGATCTGGCACCTGTGGACTGGCACTCGACCGTTCCGGACTCTTTTCTCTCTCTCGTCTTTCGTCTCTCCCCCCCCCCCCCTTCCCCCCTTCCTGCACTTCCCACTCAACCCCCTCCCCCTCTTGCCCTTTCAGCCTCGAAACCCTCCTCCGCCTTTCAACCCTTTTCATCCTTTTGCATCCCCTCCCTCCCTCGACATCTTCCCTTCCTCACCTTCCTCATCCACCACCCCCCCCCCCCACACCCGCGATTCGCCCGCGCCCATCTGCCACCCGATCGCACCTTCTTCAGATAAAGGAGCAGTCGTGATAGCCAAATTCATACGCGCGCCACCGTCGCAGATCCGATGAGGAGCGAAGATCCTTGCGAACTCGCCATCCGATTGAATCGCTAATCTCGCCTTCGCCTCTTTCCTGCATCCCGCGCTTCATCTCCCCCTCGGTCGCATTTATCGCGCGCTCACTCGTCTCTGCCGTGAGACACCTTCCATTCCCTCGCGCCGTTCTTGTCGCCTCTTCTTCATCCGCTCTTTCGTGTCGCGCAACCCCCTGATCGATTTCACTCCACCGATGAGCGGCAGCTCGAACCAGTCCACTCGAACGAGTCCCGGCTCCTTTGGCACGACACAGCGCACCGAGTCTGTGTCTTCTGGTTCTTCGCCACCACAGCACCCGCTCTCGCATTCTTCCTCCCAGGCGCCCGCGACGACTCAGCATGCGATGTCGACCGACGTCTACAGCCCAACTGTCTCGCAAGCGCCCACGTCTCTAGCTCCTACTTTCACTTATCCATTCTCGCCGCTCGGCCCATCCTCCTCCTTCGATAGCGGAATGCGCCTCGGCGAGTCAGACCGTAACCTCCAGGGCCTAAATGGCCTGGGGCGCGCCAACGGAGGTGGCGCGATTCTCATGCGCAAGTTGCCTCGTAACACCAGTCGTGAGGCTCTGCGCAGCATGCTCCTTTTCGCCAAAGACTTTGTCGATGCCGATTTTGTGACCTCTGATTACCCGGAAGATGACGGGTTCCTGAGCGCGATCGCTCGATTCAACACCCTGCCCGCCGCAGAAGAGGCCCGCGCCCTTTTGGATGGCAAACCGAATTCGAAGAACGACGCCAACATGGTGGTGGAAATGTACCCGGGTCCCGTGGGATCTACCTTGTCGAATGCGCGTCGCAACACCATCGATCATACCAACAGCCGGGGATTACTAGGTGGTGTCCCCTCAAACGGCCCTCTGTCGCGCCAATCCTCCCGTTTCAACGGCACCTTCCAGAGCCTTGAGCGTTTGTCGGCGGCCAACCCCTCTACACAAATCATCGGCGAGGGCCTGCCTTCGGCATCGGAATCCGGCTCCCGTCTTCACAGTCTCTTCTCCCCGCAATCACCCATCGGAAATGGAGTGGGTGACCTGCCGCGCGTGACGGGCAAGTCCATGATCGATGAAGATCCGGACGAGGAGACGGGCGAGCTGCTCAAGGATCCCGTGGGCTACGCAGAGAACGGCCACTCCGCTTCGGTCTCTGTCCCACGTCGCTCCACCAACCCTCAGATCCCGACCAGTCGCTTTGCCAACCTATCTTTGTCTACCACTATGTCGTCTCCGCCTTTGCCAAATTACGCCTCCAACGGTCCTGGGCAGCGCATGGGCAGTGTCAGTGGACCATCCTCGGCCTATCCCGGTGGCCACGGCCACGGCTTCCCATACGGCGGCAGCCAGCACACTCCTCGCCATAGCCTCCCTGCTGCGAATCCAAACGACCTGAACCCCCCGTGTAACACGCTTTACGTGGGTAATCTACCACCAGACACCTCGGAGGAAGAGCTCAAGGCACTGTTCTCCAAGCAGCGCGGCTACAAGCGACTGTGCTTCCGCAACAAGCAAAACGGGCCCATGTGCTTTGTGGAGTTTGACGAAGTGGCAATGGCAAGCAAGGCACTCAACGAGTTGTACGGCTACAAGTTGTCCAACAGCGTCAAGACTGGCATTCGCCTTAGTTTCTCGAAGAACCCCCTGGGTGTACGTTCCGGTCAGCCAGGCAGCATGAGTGCATCCAACCCTCTTCAGGGCCCCGGTGGTGTTCCTGGAGGCAGCAACTTGAGTGGGATGCATAGCCACATGTTCTCCTCGGTCAGTGGGCCTCCTCCGGGGCTAGCTGCTCCTCCGGGACTCGCTATGCCCATGCCCTTGCGCAATGGCAACGCTCTGCACGTTGCACACGGCAATGGGAACCCACACGCTATGGTGGGCAACGGCACTTTCAACCATAACTCGGGTCTAGGGATTCGCACTAGTGGAGGTAATGCCATGATGATGTCGCCGCCGCCTCCTGGAGCTGCCGCTGGCAACAATGCGGGGCCGAACATGAATGGCTACAATTCCTTCTACCCTGACTACATGATGGGTCGCTAAGGGAAATGGTCCCCGAAGCATTATATTCGAGATAATGTCCGGCATGTTTGATGAACGAACCTGGGGTATCTGGCGCATTTGGGGGTTCCTTTCGTTTCGCGAGCTAGAATCAGCATTCGGCGGCTGCATAACTCTCGGGAGTATTGAAATTTGGGACTCTGCTTTCTTTTTGTTTGTTATGGTTTTCTTCGCGTTACGGTTCTCTTTCCCCTCTTGTGTTTACTCCCTCTTGTGTTTACTTCTGATCCCGTTTTTTTAATGGTCTGCGTGACGTGGCTTGTTCAGGTTAATGTGTTGCTGTTGTTGTCTTCTTTTTTCCTATTGCATGGGGACTCGGGCGCTCTTTTCTTTCACATTCCTTTTTTTTTATTTCCCTCGGGAGGATTGCATTTCAGGTCATTGCAAGCTTGTATTCTTATTGTGGTCGGGGCACGGCGGCGCGAGCACAGCGCGTTTGAAATTCTGTCTCATTGCGTTCTTTCCATTGACACCTTCATACCCTTGTGCTATTCCTGTTTTTGCTGCTTCTGCGTACGCTTATTCTATTCCTCTTCCCTATCCATTTTCTGGAGTTGTCAACCCACTCGATCAGCCTTGTCAAAAAGGGCCGAGTCGTCCTCCGGGGATTGTGGCCCATGGGGTTTGTCTTTTAACCCTTGTTTTCTTCGACCGTGATTCCCCTTTACATCCAACTGCTTTATTGAGTGCATCTTCATGTGTGAACCGGAAATTGAACTTGTTAGCTTTTTCTTGCTCTTCTATTCCTTACACTTGCAATTATTCGTCATTTTTTTTCCCATTCAAGTACCCAAGACGGTGTCTTATGTGGCTTTATTCTATCAACTCCCTTCTTCTATTGTCCCTTTTTAAACCCATATTTCCACTTCTACACTTCTTCCGCCTTCATAATACCCGTCCACTCGCGCATGAATCTTTCGTGGCTCGTGGCCTCGGCAGCAGTCGAATCGCTGGCGTTTCTAAAGGCTTTTTTCCTCATCCAGTTCTTCGTGTTCACAACTCATCACCCATCATACAAGTGTTTCTCCCCTTTACTAGCGACGGAGAAAAAGAAGGCGTCTGGCTCACGCTCGGTCTATTGGTTTGGTTTCATAGCCGGTTGTTTGGTTTCTTTGCTTGAGATTAAATGGATAGGCTGGCTTGCATTGCCATTGGGATTCGCTCTTCATCTTTTCATGGTCAAGGCTCCATCGGCTAGGGTGTTTTACTGTGGATTGGAAGGACATACCTAGGATATTCATGAGTTCTGGATTCTGGCTCTGGTTCTGGATCTGCTGGCTTAAGGAGGTTATGGGTAAACTTTTGCCAAAGGCTTGGAGGATATTGGCGTTTCTCTTTTCTTTTCTCCTCGAGATCATACTCTATTTTTGGGACCTCGGGTGTCTGCTTTACATTCTTCACTCATGTTGGTTGCTTGGTGGTGCTGAGATTGATACCTTTGCTTCGATTCGTACTTGATGCGATGGAATGGACTGGTTGCAATTTAGATTGGTGCTGTAAGCTAGGGAATCTTCTGTATGCGAAGAATGTAATTGGGAATTATGTTCGTTGAATATCTCTTGTCGTGTAGGTCTACTTGGGATGTAAAACTGGTAGATATCGTTACCTGTAGGTATGGAGTACCCAAGCTAGAATATATTCCAACGTGTTGGCCGAGGAATCCAAAAAAGGTCGACTCCAAGCTTTTGCATAGATCGATATTCATGAGGGGGTTGAAAAAAGAAGAACTTAAAGGAACTGTACGAACTTCACGACTTCAACGGTGCTGCAATGTTATTTCCAAATATCCATGTGGCTAGATACCTCGACACTTCCTACCCCGAGGAGTTGTTGAGGGTGCTATATCACGTGACAGCACCGACAACCTTCCCTCGCGGAAAAGTTTCTTCTCCTGCCACAAAACATCCTCTACTCACTCACGATCCCCCAACCCAACAATTGCAGCGCCAGCCCTTAATTAGCCGCTGCATTTGTCTACTGCTGATATTCCCACTCCTTTATCAATTTTAATTCTTCAATTGCCCCAATCCCTGGGTCCGGGATTGCCGGGTCTCCTCTCACGTTAAGATGGCACAACGGATACAGAGCCGGCGTGTCTCCAATGCCCTCCTCCCCTATCTCACATCCTCTCAATCCTCCTCCACATCCTCCATCTCATCCACATGCCCTTCATCACAACTCTTCTCCCGTCAGTTCTCCGCGACGGCGGCTCCACAGACCAAGCTTCGTCGGCAAATGTTCCAATGGCTCTCTACCGAGGGAGCTACATTGAAGCATCACATCCCTGGCGAAACAAACTACCTGTCAGGCCGGGCAGAACGTGATGGCGATAGTAACGAGGCGCCGCGCCCGTTCCCGGGTAACCGGAACTTCCTTAGCGAGACTGTCCTCAGCGAGGAGCTGCGGAATGAGGTCTACGTGCGGGTCGTCGAGAAGAAGAAGAGTTTGCGTGCTGTAAGTGTCGAGCTTGGTATCGATATGAAACGCATTGCGGCTGTAGTGCGGTTGGTGGAGATGGAGAGGAGACAACGAGCACAGGTAAGGATTTTTCGCACTTGTTACTGTTTTTTCGGATCCTCATTCGAAGCCCTTTTCCCCCCCCACATCCCCCCGACGCATATGATGAGACAACAAAAAATCGATTAGTCTTGAAGACACAGGCTCTAGCTTGACTGGTTAAAAACACCCTTTTTCCTGATCCACTTGCTGTCAACCTTCTTTCCTTGGAAACTCGTTTTTATGTGACTTGGCAAACATGACTGACACAATCTGTCAACTCAGGGCAAACCCCTCGCATTGCCATATGCTCGTGCGGTCCATGAAATGATCCCGACCACCCCGCTTGCCCAGGAAGGCGAGCGCCAACCCTTCCACGAACCTATTAACGATCTTCCCGCCCACCCTTCCACCGGCGCCCAGATCTTCTACCCCGTGCCCGAGTCACGATCATTCACTCGTGTCGACGCCGGTCGCGTCTTCTCCGGCGCTCCAACATTGGAAAAGGCGGTTGCCGACAAGATCTCCCACCCCTCAGACCTGGTCGACGACATCATTGAGAACCCCAACTCGATTGAGTGGGTTGGCAAGGGCAAGAATGCCCGACAGGTTCTTCAACCTGCGGATGTGCGTATTCCTCACCCGCAGTTGGTCAAGCTGGAGCTTGACCGCAAGGCCTTCCCCAACGAGCGTCGCACTGTGGCACAGCGTCACGCCGAGCGTCTCGAGAAGCAGGAGGCCGCCGAGAAGCAGCGCCGTGAGCTTGCCCAGGCTCGTCGTGAGAAGAGCATTCAGCACGTCGAGCCCGAGCGTAGCCGATTCGAATATCGCATCCAGGATGCCAAGTTCACCAAGGAGACCGTTGGCGTGGATGGCCGTGCTCCCTGGGCTCCTGGCCGCCGGTACGGTATTCCGGCTGAAGACCGCAAGCGCGGCATGGTCAAGATTCCTACTCGCGTTGAGGCTTAAGCTTCATGCAGGGGATATATTGGTCGTGTTTTGGCCCTGAATGTGGGCGCCGTCTTCCCGCATGATGGGGAGACGAGCAATTGTACTTGTACTTATACATCTGTTTGGCGATGTTTCTATTCCAACCCTGTATCTATACCATAACATACCATGGACTGTTTTCATACTTGACACGATATTTGTCATTGTTCTTGTATTGCCATATCCCTCGTAAACCATTTGATGAAATCCAGTACGTGTCAAAGCCAAACATCAATTCATTATGCTCATGATCAGAATCACACCAAACACCGCAGAAAATACCCCCGAAATAGAAAAGTCGATATGGGACGCCGTCATCAAGTCACGAATGGATATTAATGAACCTCCCCAACGGAGCGACACCTCCCTCGACCACTTCGCACACCCACCCATCCCTCCACGGCATCGGCGTCACTTTCCTGAGAGGAAGGGCTGCCGATGAAGAATTCTCGGATTGAGGTTAAGAGGCTGTGAGCCCAGGTTGTTTTGTTGGAAGATTCGGATGCTGGCTGCATAGTTGAAGATGTTGATGGAGATTTGGTGGAGGTGGATGTAGATAACGAGGGCATGGATTTGGGCAAGAATGCTTGGTGTGGTGTGATTGTGGACAGTATTATCTGTCGTAGCTGAAGTAAATGGCTGGAATGAAGAAAATTTTGTGGATAGAGGATGTGTAGGTATGTCGCGATCGAGGTTTCAAAGGATGGTTTATTCAACAGTAGGGATATGGTAGGGCTGGAGATGGCGCGCCTTAGAGTAACCACCCAGGCAGATCACCAGATGTATATAAGACTTTAGCCAAGTCCTCAGAGCCTTGAAACCCTGACCGTACTGTAAGCAGAACCCCCCCCACCACGCCAGACAAAGCAAAAAACCTTGTAATGGAGAACAATATGTAGCACAATCCCCGCACCTAAAGTCAGCCGCTCCGGCCCCAGGATGCTGGTTCTTTGTTACAATGCAGGATACGGCAGTACCCATGACCTAAGTGACTTGCTCACATGAATGGAGAACACACACCCCCGCCATCATGGTCTGTACGACTGATACCCCGCCCTGCCTTGGAGATTGTCATGCTAAATGTACTTAGTACTAAGTGTGCTGGGCGGGGGACTTGGCCTGTTGGGCACTGCAGAGTTCATGTGCTATGTGGGCGGTTATATGCGGCGTGCGATAGCTGCGCAGGGTCCGCAGGGTGATCACCAGTGATGGCTGTATATAAGACTTAATTGACAAATGGGGGTGCAGGTTTTGCTTATGGATTGGGTCTTGCTTTTATTGGGGGTTTGCTGGCTGGGTGCTGCCCGGTATGATGGTTCTGTAGGTGAGTTGTTCTTTGTGGATGGTTTGTGCTGTGGTTGATTGGTGCAGGGAGACTGCAAACTGCAAGCTGCAGCTGGTGGAGGTGCAGAGGTGGTTGCATGTGACGTGGTTTTGGGTAGCTGAGAGTAGCTAGGATTTGTGAGAGTACTGCAGCTTATTCGGTTTCTTAAGGAAGTGCCCAAGGAAGCTATAATTCAGTATCATCTTACTTGGCTACCAAAGTGGTTGGAGATAAGGCCTTTAATGACGTTCCATGAATCTAAGAGGCTAATAAAATCCAAGACCCTAAGAGTCTTGTTGTTTAAGATAAATTATGACATATGTCTAAATCGTCCAGGTAAATAATCAAGACTTTCAGAATAATCTTTCAAAATTGAAGAAGCTGGAGCATATCGCGATGCAGACTTTTCAACTGCTACTATATACCTCACAGCTAGTCTTATTTCCACTTCATAGTATAAAATACATCGACGTTGTAGATATACACAAATAAAGCAATTCCATCCGTCAGAAGAACCGATTTCCTTCCGACTGGAAACGTCTCAAATTAAGTCACGTCGAGATGCCCTCTAATAGGGAACCTGTTGATGGAAGTAATCCATAATCAACTTGACCTGCTTCGGCTTCGCAATGGGAACATTACCGAAGTAATTACCCAGCTCCATGACAACCTGGGTGCCATTCGCACTGCTGGGACTCCACTGAGGCAGCGCACCATTTCCAGCATACGAACCACCCTGATTTGGATCCAAGGTCTTCGCAAAGTTGGCCCAGTACGAAGACATCTTCTCCTGAATCTTATAGTCCGTCTCGGTGAAAGGGTAGGTATCGGCATTCGCATAGAGAGCGTTGAGCGCATACATGATCTCCGACTGGTGGAAAGCTCCCTGATCCTGACCGGGAGGCGCGTGGGTCCAGTAGTAAGTGTAGAAGGACGACGAAGCGGCCTTGTACCAATCCGTTGCGTAAGCCCAGGAACCGATGAGGGAGGTGTCGCGAGCAGCGGCGTTCCAGGCTTGGTCTGCGATAGTCTGGTTCTTGTGGTCTGGGTAGAGCTGGAAGTAACGGCTGGACAGGTTGCCGTACTTGAGAGTGCAGTAGTACTCGTACTCGGCGATTGTGTAGTCGGTCTGGGGCGAGGCACCGGATTCGTCCTTGGTGTTGCCGGTGATGACGGGGACGTCGTTGGCGGGTCCGTTGAGCAACGTCTCAATGTACTTCTCTGGAAGGACGTAGCCGTCCAGCACGGGCTTGAAGACGAGTGGGTAGCCTGCCGACAGTGCGGTCACCCACCAGATAGACTCGTTGCCGACACGGTCCTGGGAACCGATCAGGAGGTCCTCCATGGAGAGAGTGCGCAGCTCGGCGATGGTTGATACGTTGTGGTTGGTGGTATAGCTGACTCCGTGCTCGATTGCAGTTGACATGTTCACGTAAGAAGTAGCTAGACCTGCCAGGAGGGTATCGTAGGGGTATCTGATACCGGACTGGGAGATTCCACCGTGGAAGTATCCGGTGAAGAGAGGGCTGTTGACGGCGTGGTAAACCTGAGAAGAGCCAAAGGACTGACCGGCCACAACGACACGGTCTGGATCACCACCAAACTTGGCAATGTTCTTCTGCACCCACTTGAGTACCTCCAGCTGGTCGAGGATACCGTAGTTACCGGAGGTCTTGTGTCCGGTAGCCTTGTATCCTTCCTCGTTGAGTTCCGGATGAGCAAGGTAACCGAATGCATCATCACGACGGTTGAAAGTGATGAGAATGACATCCTTCAAGGCCATACCACCGCCGTACCACCAGTTGTTGTCGCTAGTTTCATCCGAGCCCTGATTCCACACCATAACAGGGAGCTTAGCATCACCAGTACCAGCATTGGTCCAGATGTTGAGACTCAGACAGTCCTCACTGATGTCGGACGCATCGGCGCTTGGACAGGCAGGGCCAAAAGCAGTAGCCTTTAGGGTTTGGTTCCATCGCTCGCGAGGCTGCGGTGCCTTCCAGCGGTTTTGGTAGCCAGTATCGGCAGCGAAGGGAATACCCAAGAAAGCTGTAACGTTGGACTCGGAAATATCGAAGAACTTCTCCAGAGTCGATTCGTTGAAGTACTGATATCCCTGGACGGGACCGTATGATGTCTCAATGACCTTATCCCATAGCTGTGCCTGGGCAACTGTAGCAGCGACAGCCAGGGACGCGAGGCCCTTTGTGACGAAAGAAGCCATGCGTTGATCGAAGGGTTCAAAATGAATGGATAAAGTTCTGAGAATGGAAAACTGTGTTATTTCATCAACTGGATTGATGGATATTCGAGTGCTCTTATATACTCAAGACTCTAAACATAGCCCACGCAATACCCATGGTGATCCTCACCGAGATAGGTAGTGCCCCTGGCTCCACTAGGTAAACATTCGTTGAATATGGTTGGCCGAGTATCATGTTTAAAGGTTAGAGGTGAATTGATCCCGATTTTCCCGGAGCTACAAAACCAGCAGGTCAGTGCATGTGGAGACTCGAGGGCGTGTTCGGATGACGACAGTGGTTCAGGTGCTAGATCACTTCCCCAGTTAAAAGTTCTAACAGGATTACCAGAGTACTCAGACCAATTAACATGATTCTAGAGGTTTACATTTCATGTCTTGAGAGCAGCTATTGAATATATCTGCAGAGGGCGTTTGTATCGTTCAGGTTATTCGGATAATTTGGGAGGGGAATGCATTCAATATGGGGAAGTATCGGACGATCCTGAAGAAACTCAATTACCGAAGGCTCATAGTGAGCGGGAAGTCCAACGACGATCCTGACTGATTCGTACTCAAGCCCCGAGCTAAGGGATGGGCCGCGTAGGACAAGAGCCTGGGGTTTCAACTGAAAGAGAGGCCAGTGTGCCTGGTGTTCGGCTTGGGATTCCCAATACAGAATCTCGGGCCGAGTTGACACCTGCAGGTACGATCTCCGAGGGGGCTGTGTGTGAATGTGTCGAGTTGCAAGTTGCAGATCTCCGAGGTTTCAAAATAGACACTACATATTCTATCCCCGAGGACTACTGCCTCCGCACCTTGGCACATTTATCCAAGGGAGAGGCGCACGCTAAGCGGGGCGGCCCTATGCACCTAAAAGATCGGCTGTGCTGTGAACCGAGTCGGCCGACGTCTAACGTGTGACAAAGTTAATTTTCTCGCTGCTATTGGAAATTAAGACAAGCCATGACGTGGAAACAGGCTAAACGGCCTTTTGCCGGGGATTTATTTGGCGGAATATCCGAGCAGTCTTTCTAGGTATTTGGCTTCGATGTACTATTTTGAGATTTAGCAAACATTAATTTGTAGGATACAGAATTGGAAAGGACTGCACAACGTAAAAAAGGCATGGGTAGCGTTACATTAGTGGGCGTTGATTATTTGCTGAAATAAGTGATGATTTTAGGTTAGCGTCGGTAGGAGTGCTCCGTAGGTGACTGGACTATACCGGAAATATAATGCTGGGGGAGTGGAAGGATAACCAAAGATGAAGAATTGACATCATGTCAAGACACTCAGCACCGGATGAGGTTTATTCAATTTAATCTAGCATTCTCCTATACAGCGACAACTTCACCCTTCATCCTGCGTAGGAGTGCACCACCGAATTCCTAGTCAGTCGTCGAAGTGTCTTGCCATAAAAGTAGATAGGAATTCCCAGCAGCAGGGGGCCCACAGTCAGAGCAAACTCGACCATCGCAGGCGTAAACCACCCGGTACGTGCAGCTAGCGGAGATACCCAGTAACTCATCGCGAATCCGCACGTGTTTTTGATCACAGTTGCAACAACCATGATTTCTCCCGATATAGGCTTGTAGCAATCAACAGCGTAAGCAACCGCGATAGTGGGAACTGCCGTCACGCAAAGCCCACTGAATCCATATCCAATGACAAGAATTATTGGCCAATCCCATACCTTCTGGTAGCCGAGCCCACCAATGACGATTCCAATGACTGTAGTGATGCAGTATGGAATCAAGGCAGGCAGTCGCATCTCGGCTTCCCGGATCCCACCATTTCTTGCGGTAGCTTTCATGGCGACCCAGTCGGAAAATGGCCCTGCGGTCAGCAGACCAATGATACCGCCAACCGCGAATGCAAAGTTGGCATATCCAACTGCCGCTGGGTTAAAGTTGTACGGGGAAGTTCCAAGCACGGTGGATTCCGTCAGGTTCCAAAATAGTAGAAGGTTCGCTGGACCAGCTACATTCAGACCGGCCCAAAAGATGATTGGGAAAGGGAAAACTCTCAAGGGGGAAATAATATCACGAATCAGAAAATCTTTCCAATCTTCTGCAGGAGTCTGCCATAGTCGATATTGGGCCTTCGAGGGCCGGCCATGGCCGACAGCTGTGGCGTGGCCCTCGACGCTTTCCAGATGCTCAAGCGCCTCCTTTGGGGTGGAATTATCTGCATCCTCGGGAGACAGTGAGTGATTTGCTTCTCGAGTTCCCGTAGCAGCTACTCGGCGGTTGAACTTGGTTTCTGGAAAGCAGAAGAGAAGGTTGAAGAGATTGAAGCAGGTCATGGCAAGTGAAAGCCAGAAAAAGCTTCGCCAACCGAATCTGCGTAGTATTAGTAATTGTACAAGAATTCATTCTGACTGAGTTCAAGCATAATTTGTGACAGAGGACTCAACCCCCTCAACGTACCTCTGGGCAATATTTCCGGCAATCACAGGGCCAAGGAATAATCCGAGGAAGTATCCGGTGCTGGAGTATCATTTAGTTAGTAAACAACAAGGCGGGAAGAAGCACATCAAAGGTCCTACAAATAAACGCCAGTCCAAAATCCCCTCTCATGTAGAAACAGCATATCTGTGACAACCTGAACCAATAGAGTCTCGCTAGTTGCGGTAGCAACTCCATTAACTGCTCGAGCTGCTAGAAGGCTCGAGTGGCTTTTGGCCAGAGCTTGCCAGATACATGTTGCAACTCCCAAGATGCAAAACACTAAACTTGTCAAGCGACGACCGAATATATTTGAGCACGGCACAATGATAAAATTCGAGTATCCGAGAGCCAGGACGCAGGCTCCAGTCAACAGACTAAGTTGTGTATCGTTGAGGTGAAACTCGGCCGCGAAGAAGGGAAACATTGGGCCCATGGAAAGAGCCGACTCGACCGATACGAATAGGAAGAGAAACTGTGTTGTCATCACCAGGTCTACCCTCGAATTTGGGTTAATTCTGAAATTCCTTTATCATCTCGAAAGTCAACGAATGGGTATCTTACACTTCCAGGGCTTGGACCAGTTGAGAGGATCGCTTGGGTCGTTTGAAGGATGTGGAATGAGCCTTTTCTTAGTGAGCCAGGGAGTCGGAAAGAGAGCCAGTGAATATGCCTTACACGAATCCATTCTTAGAAAGGGTTGTTATATCGTACTCCTCCGATTCCCTCATTATCTCAGTGCCAGGGATCATGTCCTCCAGTGACAAACCGTTGCGAGATCTGACTTCAGGGGCTTCATTATGCTGCATAGACAACATGTTGGTGACCTGTGCACAATTTTGTAACAATCGAAAAGTAGAGACTAGGAAAGAAGGCGTGTTTCATGCCGAGGTCGAAAGAAGGTACAAGAACAGGGATGAGAGGTAGGAATTGTTTGAGCCTACTAGAGACATGCTGTATATAATGAAACAAATCAACACGCTCAATAAAGGCATATCGTCCCGTCCAGAAAATGCGGGGAAGGGAAGCGTCCCGCAAGGGTCCCGCCGCCCACTCGAGTAGGTCGGGGTAGGCAGGGGATATGCACATATTCGATAATTCCGAGCTTTTCAAAGCGCTGAAATCCGATTGGCCAAGCTTGATGCATTGCTCTACGCTGAGAAAGATTGCCGTGGACTTGTCGTTGGCGCATCGCCCTTGAGAATGTTGTGGCTATCCACAAAGAAGACTGCCCTTGTTATCGTTAAACTCTCCATATTCCTTGTTCTAGAAGAATTTATATCGATCCTTTGAGATTATTATTACTGAATATAAGCTTAATCAAGAAAGACACAAAGAGTCTCCCACTATCCTTTATTCAAATCGCCGCCATGGCGACACCTATCAGAGCACAACCCGCAATATTCATAGGTGTTGAATGGGGATATTGATTGACTAGAACCTAAACAAATGCCACGAATGGCCAAGAGAAGGCAGAAACCAATGTCAAGGGGCGCAGTGTATTCTTCTACCGTTCTAACGTACCCAGTCTAACAAGCCCAGTCTAACAAACCGCCTCGAATTTCCGAGAGACCTCGCATTGGTTGGATCATGATCCGAACCCCCCAAAATCACTTAGAGTATGACTTTTACTTGCTGCTGGCCACAGGAGTGACAGGATTGGTTTCGTGTTGGAGCTCGGTCGGCTTTGTCTTCCTCTCTTCCTGGGCAGCCCCTCGCCAATGTCAACAGAACCCCTTTCAGGGGAATCTGGATCTTTCTGTGACACCTCCTGTGTGGAAACTTCTTTTTTGCCCACAGCGCGTACAGATCATCGGGAAGCATCTTCCTTCTTTCGGTCTTCTTGATCACCAAGGTGTCTTCCACGCGATCGTACTGGACCGTTGTACTCCCACCAAAGTTCTTGGTTACTTGAATGATTCGATTAATCAGCGCGATAAAAAGAACGATATCATCTTGGTGGGTTTTTTCCCAGTGTCTCAATCGGGAGGTGAAATCTTCCACCTCTGGCGTGGAGAATCTTCCACGTTCATGATAAGCACGAACGATATTCGGGGTTTGAGAGATCCAGAGCTGGGGAGCAACCTCTCGCGGATCCAGGACTTTGTACATCGACCGAGTTTTGATCTCCAAGGTTGCTTCTCGTAGCACTACCTGCCCCTCTCTCTGGATGGTCAATTTAGAAATGGGCGAAGCTTTTCCTGTGGACGCTGTTTTCGGCGAGATGGTCAACGAATTCAGCACATTTGGGAGACTGTCTTCTGGTGTCGGTATTTCACCAACAAAGCCATCTGTCTCATGACGCACGAGGAAGTGTAGGCTACCCAGTTGATAGGAAATGACACGGAAGTGGCCGGTGCTACCTTTGATCTGGCAGGTGGTGTATGCCTTCTCGAACTCATGACCATAGCCACGGAACTTTCCTAGTCCAATGACTTCGTATGCGGCCGGTTCCTCACGGCAAAAAATCGCAGTATGAGAAGCCATTTCTACCTGAATAGTAAACGGCCCGAGAGATTTGTCACCCGAAAATGGGTTGATGAATGGCAGAAGCTTCCGAATGTTGTTTCGGTCAGTTACAACGTTAATCAATTCAAGTCAAACGAAGGCTGCTCAATGCAAAGTGAGCGGAACAGCGGTTCCATAGGACTATCTGGAAGACGAGCGGCATTCTGGGCAATGTAACCAAGACCGCTATCTTGCTGTAGCTGTCGGGATCCTTCTGGGGCTCACCACTGAGGGGGACATCCTGGAACAGCAATGGTGGGTGTGAGTGCCTCGATCCAGTTGTAAGAGGCCAAGTGCTTCACATCAGTGATGGCTATATTCTCGGGGGGATCGGGCTCTAGGTCCAAGCGGTGTATCTCCACAGAATCCTGGGAGTGGGACTTGGTGTTCTCCATGGTTGAAAGTGTAGGCGTGGCTGAGAATAGGAGATGAAGCGGTGGACAGAAAAAGAGACTCAGAGAGGGGCGGAGCCTTTCTAAAAAGAACAAGAAGGAACTTTCCATGGCAACGGAAGAAACAAAGAAGCAAACGTCTGCACATCCTGGTGCTGCTCATGGAGCCACTTGACAGAAAATCTCGAACACCCACCAGCTCACAAACAAGAACTTTAAAACATCAGCCTCCGAGCACCTTGGGGCCGGAATGTTGCCGTTTACGGCGTATGCCATGATATGCCTCGAAGCCTGAAGACCTGAAGAACTATTCATAGGACTGTTACAGAGTGGTATAGAGGGGGTTTCTCCCCAAAACTCTTTTGGTAGAGATAAGTGCTCGTGGAGTGATCAAGAAATATGTAGTCATTGATGGAAAGGCTGAGCTAGTGGACGAGGAACTAGTTGAGCTAGATAAGCGAAGTTCCACCTAGCAAAAGTAGTTGTGATTCCTTATCCCCTTCTAAAATCACGTTGTAGACAAAGAATGATGATCCTTTAACCTAAGAATTATTCTTTTTTCCCAGACAACGCGACGCTATGTTATATATTTCGTTCGTCAATCCCATTATTTGTAGGTACCAGAGAGTCACATTGGTCAACTAGAGGGTTTTAAAAGTAAGCTCTAAAATCTTTTATGTGCAATTCTAACTTATCTCCAATGTCATTCCTCAATTTCTCACTCACGTTCGGCTGGGACATTTTTGAGTTTGAGAAAAATGCGGGACCTGGGGTACATAATGCGGGGCTGCCAACAGGTCCCGCAGACGTCCGGTCCCTCAAAGGGTTCTCCCTACACCTCCCACTCGCACTAGAAGTAGCTTGTATCAGTCGGATCATGATGCCAAAGACACGGAGTCGGATTAAGCGACAGCGAATTTGTCCGTGGTGCTCGTTGTCGTTTTCTAAGGAAGAACATCTATCTCGCCATATCCGGTCGCATACAAAGGAGAAGCCATTTGGCTGTGTGACATGTGGCAAGACTTTTAGTCGCCAGTCAGTATTTCAACAGGGTTGTCCACTGAGAGTATATAACTGATGGGGCCTTAGTGACTCGCTTCTGCGGCATAGCAGAGTACATTCCAACGAAGGCAAGGATAATCCGATTCTTGACCTAGGAGCTCCAGCTCTAGAGTCCTATGGGAACTCTGATCAAATCCTTGAAGCCGCACAACCGCTCTCCTCAGAAAATGACTTGGATCAAGTCTCATCATTTCCAGCACACCAAGCAACACCGAGCTCACTGTCGCCTAGCCAGAATGCTACTGCTGCCCACCCCCAAGCTCGGCTACCAGGATGGCTCGAAACAATCGTGCAACCTCCACGGAATGCCCGTGGGCAAGTCAACTCTCAGGGTCCCTTATTCACACCACTCGATAGCATCTTCGATTCAACAATGGAGGAAGCTCTAAATTTTAGTCAATATACTCAAGCTCCAACCTGGCTTGCTGACGAGCATTTCGACCTAAATGCATTGAATTCTTCGGTGATGGCAAGCACGCTGGGTTTCTTCTCACCCGAATACACAGCAAATGAGGATGGTACCGATATAACAATACAGATAGTGGAAGAATCCCATCCAGAACGCAAGGAAGATCAAGTCCGGCTACTGTGGTTCACCTATGTTGGGACACACAAGTCTGGCTACATCACGCCCGAGGGTACTCAAGAACAAGTGGAATTAGATGAGCAATACCGGCAAACACTGTCGCAGAGGCTTCAACAACGTGTTCCAACCGAGCCATTGCCGTCTACCGATTTCCTGGTGAGTATATAATCATCCGCTTTTATCCATTAGCCTTGCTTAGCCAGACCTGACAACTTTGTAGAATCTGTGTATCCAGCTGTTCTTCACACGATTCAATCCAGTATTTCCGATTGTACATGCACCTACATTTCGACCTTCAGCAAAGAGTTCTCTATTATTGTTGTCTATATGCTCAATAGGGAGTCTTTTTGTAGGCTCCAACTACGCTGTGACTCAGGGGTCTATTATTTTTGAAAGACTCAACAAAGCTATCCTAGCCTCGGTACGTCAAAATTTTGCTTCGCTCTTGATGTTGATTGGAGTCACTAACCGTTGGAAGTGGGAGAAATATCTCTTGAGCGGGAAGGGCGAGGCAATTGCAATGACACAGGCTTCGTTGATTGGACAAATATTTGCGATGCTTTCAGGGGTAGGTTTTCCGTTGAAGCCTAATTAAGCTTGATCCAGAAATAACCCGCCAGACAGAAGCCGAGAAATCTATTGATTTTGCAGACATTCCATGGCACTGTTGCTACCGTGAGTCCGGGTGGCCGTTGAGATTTTACGTACTGGTGAACCTAATGTTATTGGATAGTGGGCTAGAATATACAAGATGTTCAAAGCCCGGCGGGCGACAGATTATTTGGAGGCGCATCTCCAGACCCACAACCCAGAAGAATCATGGAGGACCTGGGCTCAGTCCGAAGAACAAGTTCGGTACGTGGCTCTTGATCAGCATGAAGTGATTTACTGACACCGAGGGTTTGCCCGCAGTCTGGCAGCAGGTCTTCACATTCTGGACACAGAGATATCGGAATTGGTCTTGACGCACCCTCTTCTGCAGCACGAAGAGTCGTTGCTGCCTCTGACCGCAGGCCACGAGCTGTGGGTCGCTTCGAATTCCACGCAATGGAAGACAATTATTCTGGGCCGTCAACGGGGCGACTCAGGACTAAATCAAGATAACTCTAATGCCCTTGTGGCTGGATCCGGCACTTTGCCGCTCGGCACTAATGGACAACCAGATGGATTTCAACGGTACATTACGTTGGAAGGTATCAATGCTCGTATTGCAGAGACGAGAACATCCCACGCTACCCGAGACCAGACCGTGTCCACACAATTCGAATATCAATTGATTCAGTTCTTCGATCAGCACCTTTACACAAAAGAAGATGCCACCGCCAACGATCCGTTCTGCTTGGATGTGCTATGGCACTCAGCCTTTATTTCGCTTTTGGTGGATTTTGATCGCTTAGAACTAGCGATTGGAAGGGAAGGATACGAGGAGTCTTTACTTTATCGTGATTATGCTCACCAATGGGCTTCTTCCCCAAATGCGCGTCGTTGTGCTTTACACGGGGCGATGATTCTCCGAAAGCTTCAAAATTCCCCGTTAGGAAAGGAACCGGCGATCCACGTCCCTAGGGCGCTGTATCGGGCGGCCACGGTGTGGTATGCGTACTCCGAATACGGGCTGGATGTCGATCAAAGCTCCTCGGGAACATCGCCCGCTGTCAACGTTGAGTTTCCGGAACTTTCTCGGTTAAAGGTCAATAGTCAGGCTCTCTTATTCGAAGCTAATGGCTATCGAATGTCGAGACCAAAGACGTCCGAGTCGAGCACGCTCTGTGGGCTGGTTGACCTCCTTCACCGGATTGGCCATTGGGGGTTGTCAAGGAAATTTGCGGAGCAGTTAAGTTTTCTGCTAAAGGAGACGCAGAGTTAACTAGTGAACTAGTTCCCTTGACAAGGTAACTATTGACAATTTGACTCGTACTTGAAAAAAGTTGGAAGGTTAAATACAAGCCCCCTGTCCCACATGATTTAGTAGTGTCTCCAAAATTCGGAGTACTTGTGCTTTGTCCTCTATTGCAGAGGAAAATTTTTCCCCTGAGTGGTAGCCCAACGGTCCGAAGTCTGGATTTCTAGAGACCAACGTCACGCTCGGTTGATGTTTCCATACCCCGACGCTAGACTTGATCAGGGCTAGGGCTATTCGTAGCAAGGTTGGAAAAAAAACCATCCCCTCAGGATGTGCGCGGGAACAACAGGACGCTTTGTGTTTCAGAGTAGTAAACGTGGAAGGCCTAGAAATCTGCGCTTGGGTCGTCATAGATCACCACGCGATCCCAGAGTAAAACATATGGATGATACCTTATAGTGATGGAAGACGATAACTAAGTCCCATATCCACGGATAACTACTGTTACTGTACCACGCCGTTTGTCTCATACACTTTCCAAGATTGAACAATGCATTACATATCAATCCCATGTCTCATTTCTTCTGCTCCACCTCGCAAGTCCCTGATGGATTCCAGACACTCGGGTCTCAAACCCCTGTGAGAAAAACGCCAACAAACAAGCCACCGGAACTGGCAAAGCGGGGGTTGTGCCAAATTCGGGAGACTTTGCCGTGTCTAGTGGATCGTCATCGCTCTTCAAACCGCGCCAAGTTAGACGGCGCCCACTAGGTAAATGCTCCTGTCTTCCACAAGAAAAAATGACCACCTCGGCATTGAAAAGACCCATTTCCTTGTGCGCGACACCCGGCTTTTCGGGCTTTACGGCCTCCACGACGGAATACGCTTGTCACAGCACGTCAAGAGATCTCTCCACCGGTGTAAAGCGACCCTCTAAGATTATGATTGTCCTCGTCAGAGCCTCGCTTTGGTTAGCTTCCACACAACAATCTTCTGTAGATCACTTCTAGTGATTCGCCACCCTCTGGACTAGACCACTCGCGTGTCGCGCTAGATGCCGCCCCTGAAGCATTGAAAATCTCAATCTGCGGTTGGCATTTTTAGTGTCCCGTCCGCGCTAATCAGTAGTAATCAGGAATAATGGTCTGCAGCTCAATTTATTAAACCGTTCTCTTCCCCACAAACCACGTTCCACAGACCTCAAACCTTCCTGCATCCTGTCGTCCAGAACGTACTATCGCTGACAGGATGACGGACGAGGATCAGAGGGCCCTGGCGGTCCAAACGGTTGCGGCCGTTTTCATGCCAATAGCAACCATAGCGGTCATGCTGCGGTGCTATGTAAGAGGATGGATCGTGAAAGGGTTTGGTGTCGATGATGGCGCAATGGTGTTCGCATGTGTAAGTCTATCTCTGTAACTCCTGTTGTGGACATGGGAAAACTCATATGGATAGTTATTCTACATCATGTTTTCTGCTTGCATGATTGGCGGCACTTTGTACGGCACTGGCCGGAAATTCGAACACCTTGAAGCGCACCAACGGGTGACAGCGATGAAGGTAAGCAAGACTGATGCCTGAGACTTGCCTGAGGGTTATTGCAATCCAATACTCACCTAACACCCACGATGATAGTACTGGTGGCTCTGCGAAACTGCTTATTGCTTTGCCTCCATCGGATGCAAAATCTCCATCAGCGTTTTCCTTATGCGAATTACCGTCAAACGATCACACATTTGGACCCTCTATATAGTCATGATCCTCACGGTCATTGCTGGACTTGTGTTCTTCTTCCTCATGCTCTTACAGTGCAAGCCGCTGTCGTACTTCTGGACTCGAACCGCCATGGATCCCTCGATTGAAGGTTCCTGCATCAGTATCAACATCATCATTATCATGACATACATATACAGTGCATTTGCCGCGCTTTGCGATTTCACCGTTGGAATCTTGCCGATTTTCCTCGTCTCCAAGTTGCACATGAAGCGAGAGGCGAAGTTGGCCGTCATCGGCATTCTGAGCATGGCTTGCGTGTAAGTATACTCTGTCCAAAGTTGGAAAAGTTGCTGGAATCCTGAGTTAACCAAAATTAGTGCCTCTTCGGCTGTCATCATCCGTTTCCCCTTTGTGAAAACATTTGCCGATGAAGATTTCCTCTGTATGTCACCTGCCTTTCTTCAGCATACCAAGGTTGTCGTTCATACTAATTTCCTTCAGATGCAACTTACCAAATCGCTATCTGGTCCAACATCGAGGCTGGACTGGGTATTACCGCCGGTAGTCTCGCCACGCTCCGTCCCTTGCTCCGACAATGGCTTGGCTCTCGAAACGACTCAAGATATCCTTCTGGGTTTCCCAACTCTGGGCGCTTAGGCGCAAACAGTAACTCGCGACCGATGCCACTTGGATCAATGGATGGATCTAGGCAAAAGGGATTGCGACCGGACAAGTTGGCTGTCATGGTGACGAACATTGAAAGCCAGGGAGATACAGAGTTGACATGGGGAGGCTCGACCAGCCCCAGCAGCAGTGAAGAAAGGCTCACTACTGAACCCCCAATCCCAGCTTCAAGGAAGATGGATATTGGCATCCATCAAACCTTCGAAGTCACACAAACTACACATGGCTATGATACGGAGGGCTCTCATCGCATGGCGAGGGAACATGTATAGTCTATTCTAAACATAATACTTTGCAACGAGATTCATGCCCCAAAAGTATCTTATCTTAATACAAAATAATTTCTACCCACTGACTGGCAGTTTCAATTCAGCAGCAATATGCTAGCTATCATTTAGGAAGTTCCAAATCATCATATCATCTGATTCCGTTGCAACCGTTCTAGAAAAAGGGCATTCCCGCTATGAAATTTCTCTGGATATCATGCTACTGTGCTACGGTATCATGGTATGTGCCAATGCTAATTTTATTTATTCCTGGGTCCGGTCGTTCAAGAGAAAGGAAGAAGCGGTGTCGCAGCCTCGCAGAATCTGTGCTAAAACAGGAAAGATCGTCTCGGAGCCTCCCGTAACTCGAATAGTTTGGTTCAGGGATTCGAATTTTAGCTGGTCATAGCTCCAAGCTATAATCGTTAATTTTCTCCTTTTCACCCTTATCTGATTCTGGAAACCAATTGCCGCCTGCAGACATGTATGTTTAAATATGGCAAGCTTCTGACGTACAGTCGAGCTTCTTGGCCTTTGACGTGAGAGTAGACCAGAGCCTCATCTCTGTACCTTTAAAAAAATTCATTTAAAATGGAACCTGGCTTGGCGAGCCGCGAGCCAGGGTGTTAGTGGGGACTCATTCTGATAATTTTGGGCATTGGCTTGTTGCCGAGTCGGCAATTGTAGGGTGGATCATACTTAGCACTATATGTCCCACATGCTATGCACTGGAAGGACGCGGTCGTCCTCAGAAAAATTAAGTGGATAGCAACACGCGTAACCATGAGGAATGATATAAGGACTTATACGTGAAATAATGCAGTTAAAGCTTTAAAGGGTGGAAGAATGGCGTGGTAGTTGAAAGCCAGGCATTGTGTTTAATAGCAATGCTGTTGTAATCCATCCTCCTCAACCTGCACGAATTTGCCACTCGTTCCTCTTCCGAGAATATTTGTAGCAGTGGATAATAAAGCCAGGGCCATGAATTTGGCTATTGTTTCTGAGTACTAGGTTGAACAAAGTACAAGATCTTAGAAAATTAAAAGGGCTATGGTTGCAGTTGAGAGCTAATCCGCCAGCAGGGTTTCCGTCATCACATTACCCTTATAACAGACCCCGCCGAGGCATAAAAGATTGATGCGCAAGTCAAATTGATATTAGAAAGACTTTGCAATCACTCAACCTTACCATTGAACCGTCATATTCGAGATGCAGGGTCTCAAAAGCGAAGGTTCTCTAGATACTCATTTAGTGAACGTAGCCAGTAGGATAGTGCTTAGCGCTTTCAACTAATCTCTTACAACTATAGGTCGCGCTTGGGCTGCTCAATAAAACCATAACCATCTGGAACAAGCTGTGGGTGAATTTTAGATCGATCGGTGAACTCTGCGAACGGATATGGGAATTTGGAATGAGTTCCAGTATATTAGCAGGTGGCTTTCGTGACAAATATCTCATGACATACATACTACAGATGGAATATCATACAACAAGACCTGGTGTGGTATTTATTACTCCAGGATCTCCCCAGGACCATCGAATATACAAAGCCCAGACTAACATTACAATTGTTGATGAAGGATGAAGTAGAATGATATAACTGCAGCCCCCCCCCCCCCCCCATCTCCAATTCCCTGTCACGACAGAGAGTAATTCAAGTCACATCAACCTTATTTATCTAGGATATTTGGTTGAAACATCCCTCGGCTTTTTATCTAACCATCCAACGGACTATGGCACACGAAAGAAGTTGTGGTGCTGTTTGCATACGCATCGATCAAGACAGTGATGGCAGAATAAGCACCGAGCCCTGCAAGAGCGAGCGCGCCAAAGAAGTAGAAGATGTTGAAGATACTAAAAATCTTGTACTTCGGCTTCAGAGACATGAAGCCTCGGATGAGGCGTTTCATTCCGCTATCATGGCGAATGGTGTTGCCAGTTGCAGGGTCAAATCCTTCTCCGTCCTGCACGGCAGCCTCTTTGATCCAGTAGTAGGTCGCAAGCATGGGAGGGAAAGTGTAGGTGAAGTGCAGAATACAGAAAGCGGCAACGACGGAGGTAAGGCCCGAGAAGTTGGGAATGCCGGCCGCGAGGACGAAGGCTATCGCCCAGTAACATGGGATGAGAGCAACCCATAGGAACTTGCCAGCTTTGTTTGTGAGAGGAGGGCAGCGGAAGAGCTCAACGAAGATGTTGTTGTAGATGACTGGATCCAATTAGCTATTGTACCCATAGAACAGGGCTATCCGGGAAAACGTACCTTTAACACCGATGTTGCCATACAGGCCAGCGGCAATGAGACCGGTAACCATAGCGAAGACGTTGCCGGCGGTTTGGATGCTGTACTCGCTGATTCCAAGGTAGGTAGGGTTGACAGTATACTGGCCCTGATAGCCATAGATGAAGAGACCGTAGAACATGTAGCAGATGTAGATGAAAGCCTGGGCAGCCCACATGCCAGTCAGGAAATCCTTGGGGCGCTTCATCTCGGCCATGAACTCGGGGAAAATCATCGAACCACCATAGGCAAAGACAGCCTGCATGGCACCGCTAACAGTTCCGGCGAAGTTTCCAGTGCTGGGAAGGCCACCGGAGGTCATTACAGGGGGATAGACGCCGTTCACAGGGACGACAGAAGAACCATCACCGATAGTAGCGCCAGCAGATTGAGAAGCACCAGCGTAGTTGGGAGGAGAATGAGCGGCACCCCCCATGGTGACGAACATGCACGTGAGATTGAGCCACACTGCGAGGTTGGCCAACCAGCCGAACTTCTGCAGTGTACGAATTTGACCGAGGAAGAAGCCAGCCAAGGCCCAGACCAAGCAGCAGATAATGAAGCAAAGCTTGAACTTAGCGGCCTGGGATAAGGCCTCGCCATTGGAAATAACAATCAAACCGACATTCAGCAACAGCTGGATACTCTGCAGAATGTTAAAGAAATGGCGCAGCCATGGACCGTACAAACGGAAGCCAATATCCCCAAAGCTACGCAGAGGGAATTGGTACGAATCGAGACCGATGAAGGTTACCCAAAGGAGGTATCCCGAGTATCCAGCCAGACCGGCGAAAACAGTGTACAAAGCAATTCCAGGTCTAGTAGTCGAATGTTAGCCATTGTTCTCCAATCCCCGAAAGAGAAAGAACTAAGCTTACCCCCAACCCATAGTTGCAAACGCATAGGGTAGACCGAAAGGACCCAAAATATCAGTGGTAATCAGGTAGAAGATAGCTCCACGAGTTGCGGTACGGAGGGCACGCGAGGCATTAGTCCATTCCTCGTCGGTAATGGTCATACGGTTTGCCTTGTCCGAATAATTTATAGCTGAGGCATCCTTGCTCACATTGGATGTCATCTGTTGCACACCGCCGTCGCTCTTGGAAGGGAAGACGATGGACAGGATTCCAGTCTCTCGGCCTCCCAAACTATCTTCCTCAGCACGAGTTAACTGCGCGTAGTGGTCTGAAAGGGTAAATTAGCGGCTAGACCAAAGGGGGAGATAGGCTTGTAGATTTCGCATACGATACTCTTCGAACGTGACAGTAGGGTCATGCAGATTCCGGTGCTGCGGGCGAGTCCCGCTGCTCATTTCATTGGCAGTAAGGACGTCGATCCTTTCGCGCTCCTTGGTATGGAGGCGAGGATCGCCTCCATCGAGGGCCAAGCTACCGAGCTTGGACATGATCACAATTAACTAGGGCAGGAAAAGACGTTGTTGAAGGTACGGATCGAGGATGGGAGGACGGAAAGGGAAAAAACATGTCGACGGAGAAGCACGAGATTTGGGGAAACGTCCGCTAATTATTCGGTCGCAAGTTACTCCGTATAGTATCATTTACTGGTCACATCCCTCTTATCATTGGATTAATGGCTTACTGAGTGCATGCGCCAGTGGGTCAAAAGCCCCCAGCGGATACTGACGGGTGGTCTACCCTTTCCTTTTCAAACCACTAACCACCAAGCTTCCATCCAAGACGAGAGGGAGTCCATGACCGGCGCCACCGGACGCAGCTGGAAATGGCCAGTGGTCGGGTCTGGCTGTTGAGATTATTGGGGGAACCATATCCAATCCGGGCACTGAATTGGCAGGTCGCCATTAGTCTTTATCCCTTTGCCTTCGCTGCAAGCCATACTAGTCGTTATTGGCCGCCTTCCCCAGCGAAACACGGTCCCAACCCATATATTAAGCCCAAACCCACGTGTTAGGAAGGTCGTTCTCTTCGCGAAGTTCCGTAAACCCTGCCCTGCAAGTGGGCCGGGAGACCACGGCCAGTTTATTCAAGCCTTTAGCTTTGGCTTGGCTATCTATGTCCAAGCGGCCATTGGCTTTCAGCTCGCTGGGGGTGGTTGACATCAGGGATGCGGAGAATGTTGCATTCGACTTGGTCTTCCACAAGCCACACTTACTGTAGCCAATCACCGTCATCATCAAGAAGGCCGAGCGGATCCCGGACTCTCCACCAAAGCTTATCATCGCCCGAGGGTCGAAGCAAGTGGATCCCCGACGGACTCGCGATTTCTTGCCTTTGAAAGGCGTGCAAGGGTCTCTTCTCCTTAGAGCTCGGATACTATCATCTTGGAACCATCAGTCAGGTGGTCAGGCTGTGGCTACGGAGTATGTGGGCGGATAAAACTAATGCAATCAATTTCCTTTAGTGCTTATACCTGTTGAGAGGAGGCAGGCATGGCTCGTTAATTTGCTACTAAGATCCCGTGTCCTTATGACTTTCTTCGCGATACGAGCGTGAGGTTTCATCGGCCCCCAAACTGATGGCTGATTGTCATATTGCATGATCCTTACGTGATTGGAAACATCATCGGAAATACTCCTCGAGTCTCGGTAGTCTTAAGAATAATCTCATCGTCTACAGCTAGATATCAGTTGATTTGATGGACATGACTAATATACACCTATTACATATGCAGAAGCTGATCATTGTGGCGGAAACAAGCAATTTGGAACTCCGCACATCTGTCTTGGCCTGCCTATGACCCGGCCTTTTTGCAAGAGGATCAATCTTGGCAAGTTGTGGCTCGCCAAGCCAGTTATCGCAGTACTTGGCCCGATCGCTGCATGAACTGAAAATAACATGGCAGCTTCTGAGAAACATGGCAAGAACATATTCGTTCATCCACAACATACCTACTAGGCGAGAAGTCAAACATACCCGATGCATGCGATGCATGCGACGCTCAAGCATTTGCTCAAGTATGAGGCTGCCAAATGAAGTCTCAGGTGGATCCAACCTTCAGGAGCCAATCACTACCTGTGCCGATATTGAGCCTGGCTATACTACCAATTAAACCAGCTAATTAGTCTCCAGCTGATAGCCCCCCCCCTCCCTGGCCGTATTCCGCTATCTAGTTGCCTTCTAAATGCGAATAGAACAGTAGTCATTGCTGCGGTCGGGCTTCGAATTTCTTCTGGTCACCGCTAATCTCTTCCCCCTTGCAGATACTCAGCCAATCAATCAACAGAACACATCGCCAAACGAGATTGAAACATGTGTCTCGGGGATGGCTCCTCCATTCGTAACGTTCGTATATTCTAGAATCTTTGGTTATCGTTCCTCCATGGTTCTGACCAAACAAGAGCCACTCGTATAATCAAGCATTTGCGCACCGATTGGACCGGCTGTTGCCGGCTATTTTGTTTGTTGGCTTGCGTTCCATAATTGAGCCAGCTGATATTATCTAATGTGCTTTATATTATCCGACCACCGAACTGTCTCGCTTCTAGTTCGTGTCAGGCTTACATTGCATGGACTAGAGACATATAGTCCATAATATAGAGTCGATTTAGATAGAGTCGGCTCTCGCATTTTGTATCTCATATTGATTCATACCGATCGCAAATTTCAAAATCAAGAACCCTACCCTATACCTGTTGGAATGATTGTCAACTAAGTCGTACCCATCATTTTGGCCATCTAACAAGGATCATATTCATGGCACTACAGGAAGATTTCTTGACACTATAATGCTAAGCCTAATTAGGGATATAGTTTACAAAAAAAATAGAGTCTATCCGATATCTGTCCTTATGTATACATAGTAGTAGTTTAAAAAGTTGAAATAAGAGATGGGAAGAAATACCTAACCAATTGGCTTTAACTTCCCATATTTCTAAATATCTTTCAAATCGTCTTTTAAATCGTCTTTCTAAAGCAGCTTAGTAGTATTTCTCGACTTACCCCTTAACATACAATTAATAGGATGATCTAAAAGTTAGGTTAGGGGTTTTAAACTTAAAGAGCTCCACGATATAAGTATACCTAAGTCGATGCCTCTCGTGTGTTATACTACTTTGTACTCGTAAGGTACGTAAATTAGGGTTAGCGTAGTTTTATGAAAGTTTTTTGTAGTGCTATAAGTATGATCCTCTAACAATATAGTAGCTTCTGAGATGGGTGAAATACCCACACTCTTTGATTGTTCCTGAACCCTTATGCTAAACCCCACTAGCATACATATCATCATTCCAATATCCTGATAATTCCTCATATTACCATGATTCTGATATAATGTCATGTCTTCTAACTATATGACTGATCCATAGCAGCTAGACACCTAGTTTATGCTCTTCTTTGAATCACGCAAGTCTCTAAGGAGACCACCAGTGGAGGCCGCGATCAGTATTTGAAAAGGTCTATTAGCACTGTACTATTTCCAATACATAGTCACGAAAAAGGAAAAAAGGCAAATACCCTTTATATTCTCCTAGTGCTCACTCAAATATCAACGTCGCCTTTTACAAATTCTTTCCGAAAAATTCCACAAGCTTCGGGCCAGACACTGTGAGGTCATCATAAAGGTCAAAGTGGTTCTTTCCTTCAACGATGAACAATTCTTTGGGTTCACGGGCTGCAGCAACAGCGTCTTCACTGTAGTGAAGGGTCTGGGCCTCAGATCCGGCAACCATCAACAACGGCCGTGGAGAGATCAGATGCTGGAAGTTGAACGAGTCATAGCTGGCCATGAGATCATAGCTGGCCGGTGGCACTTTCTGGTCTGAACGTGGGTGATTTCCGCGCTGGGTGCCGTAGTATGAGGCGGCATCCTTGAAGAAAGAGTCGGCGTCCTCCGGAATTTGGGAGATATCACTGCTGAACATGGGCGGAAGTTCCACATGGGAGCCCTTAGCCACGCTTGTACGCCACTGGCCAGCTGCCTGAAGCGCTCCGGTGATGGCCTGAGGAACTTCTTTGTTGTTCTCCTTATGCAGGCCAGCATTGCGGGTCATACGGCCAACGCAAGCGGCACTGACAGTGGCAAGTGCCTTGATACGGCTGTCGGACTGCGCAGCATAGGAGGTATAGCCACCCGAGGCGCAAATGCCAAGGACACCAATCCGGCTGGGGTCAACTTTGCCCTCCAACGTGGTTAAGTAGGTCACAGCAGCCTTATTATCTTCAGCTCGCTGGTGGGGGTCTTCTAGCCCACGGGGCTGTCCGGTGCTTTCACCCTGATACCCTGCGTCGAATGTAAGGGCATAGAACCCAGCTTTAGAAAGCAGTCGAGCGTGGTCTGCAGAGGTTTGCTCTTTGACACCGGTCATGGGATGGCTGATCACGACAGCAGCGCCCTTGCGGTCGGGGGCGCCAGCAAGAGGAGCATAAAGCTCGCCGCTGATCTGCAGCATGAAGGATGGGAAGGTGACTTTCGCTGGGGCAGACATTGCGTGAGATAATGGACCACAATAAGTATTGATGGATTCTTAATTTCCTTTAGAAAAAAATTATCGATTTGGGTCAAAGGGAGCGGCCCTTTTATGCTGGTTGTGAATTAAAGTTGATGATGTAGCCGACCCGCCGGTTTCCCCGAAAAACTTCGGGAGCGACAGTGATTATCGGGGCTGAGAATAGATCACTCGGCGATAAAGTCAACTCGATCCAAAAGACGAAAATAAGGGCTTTATGCTTTTAAATCAGAACGGGAGTATTACCAATCGAGGTAGGTGCGTCATTATGGAATGCCAGGTGTGGAATCACGGCGAACAAACCGTAAACTACGAAGAGTCGGTGCAGTGTAAGTACAACGGACGGATAGAGGTACTAAGCAGAAGCTCACAGTGCCTAGTTAATTAATTAAGGAGTTAGGAAAAACATTCGAAGACCGTAGGTAGTTAGACCACTTTCGGGAGATGATGTATCATGATGATATGCTGGTGATTGAGATTATGTACGTGACTACCTGCCCGGCTCACCCTTTCACAGCGACAAAAAAACCTCATCGATGAATTCAGCAGCCCTTTTATAAGCTTCGTCTTTACCTTCCGCTGGCTTTGGAGGAAATCCACTCTTCAGGTCCACAAGACCATGCCCAGCACCTTCCACGAGAATCAATTCTGTCTTAACACCAAGCTTCTTCAGTTGTTCATGGTGATGCACGCTCTCCTGGTCAGGAACAACTTCGTCTGCTGTGCCATGCACAAGGATCGTCGGGGGATGGCTTTCAGACACAAAGAGTTGAAGTAAAGCTGGCTTTACGTCCTCGGGAATCGCTGCGGCCCGCTCCTCGTAGCGCAGTTTATTGAGCTCCGCACCCAACCCTGGTTTTCCAAGACAATTATCAAGGAATGTCCCATCCAGCTCCCAGCGCACTGTCAATGCGAAGCGGGAGGACATCATGCCCCCCTCAGTTGGCAAGTCCTCACTCACAACAGTCTTGTCGGCGAGTAGCTTTGGAACCTGCTCGAGATCCACAAGCTTGGCGATGGTTGTAGGTGGTCGGCCGACCGTCCAGTGATCTAGCAGCCAGTCCCCAGCAGATCCATAAGCCGTCATCAGAACAGCTGGCCTGGGATCGGCGTAGATGCATGCTGCACGAGCCGAGAAAGCGCCCGCCGAGAAGCCAGTGACCGCTATCCGATCCGTGTCGATTGTAATGGATTCGGGTAGGGCACACTGGAAGTCCTCCGAAGCTAGGAATTTGAATAGAGCCTTTGCATCATCAATCTGGTGCAAGGCGTTTGTGGGATAGCACAGACGATAATCCGCACTGATGAAGATGTAGCCTTTCTCTTGGCAGTGATCTGCACTAATGGTCAATCTTATCTGATCGATTGCAAGATTAAGGAGACGGTTGCAGCCTACATACCATGCAGCCAAGTCGGGAAATTGAAACCACCACGCCAGCCTGCAGTCATTCCACCTCCATGATAGTAGATCACAGCTGGCAGTGTTCCGCTAGCGCTGCGGGGTAGGTAGTAGTCGAACTTGATTTCATGGCCGTCAATTGTGGAATAGACCAAGGTTTGGCCTTGAGGTAGGGTAGCCTGCATGTCTATCGGTACTAGTATGACGTTATCCTTTTATGACAAGACAGAAGAGAATGTATGCAAGGTGCAAAAGGGAGGGGTTCGTCCGGAGGAAGACACTTGGTATGTCACGACACCCCGGGTGAAGTTAATGCCGGGATGTGGAGCCGAGAATGGTTTGATGGCACTTTCGTTTGGCGGTTTGAAACAAAGAAAAAGCTACTATTATGGCGGACGATAGAGGGGACTTCCCCCAAACTCCTAAATCCTACTCATTGCCTTTACCGCTTCTTCTACCGTCCTATACGCTCTACCCGAATATCCTAAAATCCTCTTACCTAGGTGGGTACATACGCCTAACTATATAGCTTATATCATAAATCGCAACGCTCGTTACTAAAGCGTTATCTATAGCCCTATTTACTAGTCTTATATGTACTAACGTGGGTGATTTAGGAGATTAGCTATAAGATTCTAGGTCTTGAGATTAGTCTTGAGATTATAGATTATATTTAATTTTCAGCTTAAGTAATCTTATTAGTTGATTGACTTAAGTCTATTTTAATCGGTTGCCTCTAGAAAAATCGCTAACTAAGGGTTTTGGGGAAGTCCCCTCTATCGTCCGCCGTATACTATATATGGGTTTCTCGAAATTATGGCAAGAATTGTTGATACGGTAGGCTTGGAACAATCGATGATGGATTGATTGTTGAAGAAGCTAGCTGGAGGGTCTACATAGGCAGAACCAGGTGACTGCTGTTAAACAATCCAGATCGATTATTATAGAGTGCTGTGAGTGCTTAAGGCCTTGATGATGGTACCTCCGATGATGGCGATCGAGCGCACTCCAACTCTCCGAAACGTGCGGACAGGAATCGCATTTCCAGACCCTGAAGAATGGTGTGTCGTATGAAAGTAGGCGTGAGCACGAGGGAGGGTAAGAATTATCCGTAGAAGGACGATTGGCATAGGGTAAAATTAGAATATTTCGGGGGATAGGTGTAGGAGGCTCTGCGGCGTCGCTATGGTGGTAGAGATGGGCATTGAATAATGCCTCGGTGGGAAACTGTCGGGGGCAAAGTGGGCATTCCAGAATGACAAAATCATGTTGGAAGTGGTGCTGTCGATAACCCTCCCGGGATAAAGATGCAGCATCTGCTCCTGGGGTTATAATTCGATTCCGAAAGGTTGGCCCCAAGGTTAGCCGAACTGCCGCGATAGCTTCTCGTGACGAGTTCGCTTGATTTAATTGACGTAAGAAGGTAGCCGTGGCCTGGTTGACTGATGGCGCCCCCGAAATACTATGCAGTAGATCTGGCACATTGATCAGAGTAAAATTGGCAGTCTCCGAGTCAAAGACTAAGAGACTCCAGTCTACAAAGTCAAAGGTCGAAAAAAATGCAGCGAGGTTGGTAGCATTGGTAAGAAATCCCGATGGGCCATTAATAACCAATTCGACCCTGGAGCGTGGCAACGTAGGTAATTGTTGCAAGAAATTAGAAAAGGTCGTCAGAGGCGAAGGCCCTAGCGGTAACCGAGCTGACTGGACAAAACAAAGTAACAGTTGCTCTCCTGTAAAAGTACTGAAGGTGGCTTCCCATATAGCAAAACGGTTCTCTGCATAAGAAGTATCATTTCTAAAGCCGGTGGGGAGGGAGGATTTTCGTGTAATTATTATGTGCAGTCGGGTGAGAAGAGAGGAGTGGGTCGATGGGCAGCGGTACATCCACAAAAGAAGGTGGTATAGGGTAAGAGGTGTCGAGTTCGGGGTCGAGTGCGGGATCATATCCATTAACTTGGGCGGACGATAGTTGGAAGACAACAAAAATACCCCGTTCCACCCTCTCATCGCCTACACCCACGAGGAGATCAAAGAGATTGATGGCTCGTGGGAACATCTTGCTGCAGTGATGGGTTTCAATACCACCAAGCAAATCATCGACGTCTTCGACAACAACCCCATCCCCAAGCCGAAAGGTACCTCCCACTCTACCCTTCGAGGCTTGTACAATGCCTAGTCAGCTGAAGCCGTCCTCCCCTCGGATCCCTCCCAGATCGCATATCAAGGGAAGTGACAACTACCATTGGATACGAGGCCTACCCATTCCCATTGGACAGTTCCCTAAAACTCTTAGTCGACGATTTTCAACCCGGCAGAATCTCGATTTTTGGACTGTCTTTGAGTGAGTGATAGTGTCTTGAGGTTGGTAATTCTGGGAGTGTCGAGCATGCCACGTCAGTGCTAGAAATGACAACTAGATCTATGAGGGGTTTCAAATGGCCTAGCTACCCAGTATTGGAACTTGCAATGCACTTCTATATCAGTAAACGAACATGATAAAGATGTGCTCAATCTTGCACAGATGCTTAAGATCATCTACAAAGTCTCTATGGAATGGTCATATAGACTCGCCGGGGTTGCCATAACCTCTCATACTAGACAACAATGCAAGTGGAACAACCCATAAGAATATCGAATATATTCGGATCGAGATTGCCTGTAGCTTATTCTCCACATCATCGGCCTCCTCGGTTCACTTGCTCCAACAGTCTCATCGTGTTCCGATCTCGCACCTCTCTCATGTATTGCTTTTGCTCCATTGACATGTCTTGCGTTGTTTCATAATCTCGAAATCCGTTTGTGGCAATGTAATCGAGGGAGTATCCGATGAAAACGGCAACGACGCAGCCCAGGATAATATAGAAGACGTAGGCTGAATAGAGGCCTTCCTGGGAACCCATTATAGTTCGATACTTGTCTTGAATTAATGATATCAGCAGAGGGGCATCTAGGTTAAGCGAAGGAGCTTACCCTCGTATTTGTATAGGTACCTGCGAGATTCCAAAACTCGAGTCTTTGTTTTCCTGATGGTTTCAAGCCTTCTTCCTCCAACGACGAAGATATGCGCTATTTCTTGAGGACAAAATAGCCAGGTTCGTGGTTTAGTCTGACAATTTATTGTAATCCCCAATCTTTGTTTGAAATAATCGCCGGAAAAAATACGTCTTCTTCTTTTCCCATGCGAATGGTTTTTACATCTAAAAAAAGTATATATGACGTCAAAAACCCGAGCAGGCCAATCAACTGCCCCTATTTGGCCGCCAAGACAGTAGCACAATATCCATACAGCCAATGGTAAGCGGCCTCTCAGATTAGCACAGATAAAATATTTTGTTTGAATGGAGAATGGAGAATGGTCAATAAGGATTGAAGGCTAAGCTGGTTTATTCACGCAGTTTTAGGGGCAATGGTTGCGTATAAAGGCAGCAGCAAGCTTCGCCAGACTACAAATAGTCAAAGTCGCCCAGCTACTAGCCATTTGAGACTGGAAAATAAAGTGAAATTGGAAAAGCGAGAAGTATCTGGGGCAAATCAAATCTTCTTCTTCTTTACAACGAGAACCAACCCATACGTAGCGCCTTTGATCATCTCTTTCCCTTCCTCCACGCCGGCCTCATGTAACAGGCGCTCAATCGCCCTCCGATAAATCTTAAGAACATCCCGCTCGGTACCAATGCTCTCCGGATGAGCCTGGCGCCATCGAGTCACCGGGCTCCCAGTCGCAGTGATCTTTTCAAATAGGTCCAGGTTTACTTCCGGATTGATAGCGAAGAAATCGGTCTCGACATCCCAATCCTTCCGGCTGGACGTGGTTTCGTCAAATTCCGTGATGGGAGTGTCCAAGGTCCAAGGAAGCGGCAGTTCACTATATCTGTTGCGAACGAGCCAATTCCCTGGAACAAAGTATGGCACTAGATATTCCTCCTCGATACGATCCATCTCTGCTTGGATAGCCGCTGCATTGGGGACTGAGGGGTGGATACGAGTCTGGCCACTAGTCCACAGAATGACGCTGCCGCCGGGCTTGAGTACACGGGCAGCGGTCGACCAGAAATGAGGCATGTCGAACCAATGTGCTGCATTACCAGCAGTGATGAGATCAACACTCGCATCCTGGATGGGTGGAGAGAGGTTTGTTCCCAGGTCTTCAGCCGTGGACATTTCAAAGCGGATTGGCTCGGCCGTAGACGTAGTGCCCCCCAAGGAGCGAGCAGTGCTGACCATCCCCTCGGAGGGGTCCAATCCAACAGCATGAGCAAAATGAGCACCGAGCGAGCGAGCTACATTTCCTGGACCAGAACCAACATCTAGGAGGGTGTCAAGCTGGCCACTTGTAGCCGTGTGTTGATCAAGAATGAATTGGTACAGACCAGGGTGGTAGTCTGGACGGGCGGCAGCGTAAGCGTTTCCTTGTTCTTGGTTATAAGAACTGAAGGTCTTTTCCGTTGTAGTAATTGGTGGTTGAGACATGGTCAACAAGCTATATCTAGAAAACCTCCCAACTTGGAGATTTTACAAGATTGAGGAAGGGAAGTGTTGGGCTCATAAATAAGTTGGTGTTGCCTAAAATAAGCCCGAACCCCGGTGTTTCCTATGGAGGTATAGCGGGCGCCTTTTCTTAGTGTCGGCGGAATCGAGATTCAGAAATCCCGAGAGGTTAGTTTAGCCTGCGGTTGGAGACTGTCAAGCTCGGAAAATGGGTGCGTTTTGGGTCAACAATACGATCGGAATTCAGGGAAAGTTCAAATTCAATTCAAGTCAAGCCTTTTTTTAGACATGCTTGGCATAGCGGATTGCCTCATGCATGTCAAATGGGTCAGAAAAACGATCATCTGCTACCACAAGATCCCACCCTTTCCCCAACGCATTTCCAGGCGCCCCGCCCTTCACCATCCACCAGCGGACGGACCCGCTAGGAGCCTCGTATTCCGCTTCCGTAGAACCAATCGTATCAAGGTGTGGTCACGTCAACAGCTCTCGCCACCTCCAGTTGACAGGATGAAAAAGTCCGATATTTCTGGGTTGTATTGACTCTAGCCCGTTTCCCATAAATCATCAACAGTGCCGGTAATATCGCAGTAACAAGGGCAATCACTCCAATGAGAATGAAAGTGTTTTGAATACCCATGCCATAGATCCAGTCCGTGAACGAAAATCGGATGACCATGGCTAAGCCATTGCGGACGAATACCACGGCTATAAGTGCATCACCGAGGATCTGTAAAGGGTAAAGTTAGTCCTCGGTAAAATCAGTAGAAGTTGTTTCAAACATACGTCAGGATAACTATCGGTTAGGTAGGTAAGAGCAACGTCCGCGGTGACGATGAAACCAAAACCAAAGGTACCATTTCCGACAGCCAGCACGGCCCAATGTAAACCCTACACAAGATCAGCCGGTCAATTCCATGAGCTTTTATGAACATTGACGGTTGCGTGGATGAACCTACCTTCGCAAGACCAATACCACCTAACATCAACCCAGCGGAGTTGATAGCAGCGGCGGGAAACATCATCCACAGCCGCATCTCTGGCTCGAAGATACCCTCGTTCCGTTTTGCCAGCCTGACAATTAGCCAATCATTCAACGGTGGCGCTGTCAGGGTGGCTAGAAGTGTGCCTGCGAACCCTCCCAGGTGGAATAAGCCAATCTGAGCAGCGTTGAAATTGTATGGTTCAGCGATCAAAAAGTAGGACCCAGCCGACACGTTGGCAGAGAACCATGATAGAATCGATCCATAAGTAAGAGCAGCGAAGGCGACTGCAGGAAACGAGAAAAGAACAATCAGGGGCTGATAAAAGTGCTGTAGAATGGGTATATCTGTCTTCGTCACAAAAGCGAGGCGTTGGCGAATAGATTTGCGGCTTCGCTGGACATCAACAGTCACGCGGGATGAAACAGGCTGTGCCTCTGCAGTTGTGTCGGACTTTTCCTTGTCCTCGACGAATTGAGAGGGCTTGGAAGTGGCTGAGTGCCCGACGAGTGTAGGGGTGTACTTGGACTCTTCAAAGAAGCAAAGTACGAAGAGAAGATTGACTCCGACCAGAATTGCCACAATTTTCCACATCCATCTCCAGCCCAGGGAGACGACGATGTATCCTGCAACGACAGGACCCCCAGTGGCGCCAAGACTTTGCATGAAGATGAAAATTCCGTTCATACGAGCGTGCTGATGAATGAAGAACAAATCGACAACGGTGATCATCACGATTGCCTCACTGACTGAGCCTGCTATACCTGCCAGAAAACTAATAGTAATTAACTCCCCGGCGTGGTGAAAGTTTGCCCACCAAATTGCGCATACGAGCTGGAGGGTAGCACTAAGAAGATATAACGGACGTCGTCCATACTTATGAACGCAGGGAATCAATAGGAGACACCCAATCGCGAGACCGGCAAAGTTGCAGCCGCTCGATCGATTGAAAGTTGCGTAGGTCAGGCCTAGCTCCTTGATGTATCCACGATATGCGAGACTGTTGATATCAATGAGAACAAACGTGAAGAGCACGTATGTGCAGGTGAGACCAAAGTTTACTGCTTTCCGAAGCTTGGACCAGTTCTTTTCGACAGGTCAGGATGCAGCTCTAAAATCAAAGATGCGTCGACAAGGCTTACCAAAGGGTCATCGGGGTCATCGGTGGGAGTTGGACTAAGAATCAACTCAGATTGCGAGTTGTTCCCTTCATGGTGGTTAGTATTAAATTAGAATACTATGAACAAGCGAATGGTGACTCACGGTCTTCGAGCAAAACTGTCCCTGGGGGAAATCCATTATCGGGTGTATGGACAGCCATAGTGTAGTGATTAATTGAGTAAATTGAAGCTCAAAATTGTCACATAGCGGGATTTGGGGACTGGATTTCGAGCCCTTTTATGAGCTTTGACGAGGAGGCTATCACTGGATTTCCGAAGCTATTCCATATCTCATCGATAGACTTTGCGGGGTAATATTTAAAGCCAAGATTATTGATACGAAGCCTTTCATGACCAATTTTACTGTTATAACCAATGGTTGTTTGTGGATGCACGGAGAATTCGTAATTCTGCCCCATAGTGGAGCTTATAATACACTCTAATACGGCCATAATTACGCCCACGGGGTAGAATCCTGGGCGCCACTCTTATCTGATTTTGGACCAATGGTAGAAAATCAGCAAATCAAAGTTGTCGTCTATCTCGGCTTTAGAGTGGAATACTCAAGTCTGGATCGTTCTCAAAAAGAGAAAATAGATATCGTGCCGTGCCTTGATCCCTGGCTTTCCACACGCGAGATAGGGAAAGGAGTAAATTGTCGATAAAGGGGTAAAAGTTGGCCCCGTGAATTTTCAGGACGAAGGATCGTATCTCTTGTCTTTTCGCTTCTTCGTGCACCTCCGAGCCGGCAACCAATAGCACCAACGTGATGTTAGGTGGATATTTCCCGGCCACGTCCAAGCAATGGGTCATACATTGCACGAGCGAGGAAGATAACGTTTCTGCCTGTCTGTCTTGCATTCCAAATGGGTATCTCAGCCGGTGAAGTATTAGAAGAGCAGCTGTTTGGTGGAGAGTGGCTTGAGAAACGAGAAGCAACATTTCATCTGGAGAAAATCGCTCTAAGACAGACTCTGGGATAAAAGGTGACCAGTTTTTGAGCTCCTCCGAGAGAGTATCGAAAATCACAGAGTGAGATATGTCTTTTTCATCGCCTGCTCTGACTTCAGACGCCAAAACGCAAACTCGATAAAGAATCGGAAGAAGTGATCCGCAAAACCCTGCATGCTGGTTCACCACGGAAGGATCTTGCTCTTGGAGTTGGATCACAGGAACGCGAGCCCGGAAGAGCGATTGAGTTGTATCGAGAAAGATTAGGCACACCAACTCCCGAAGATCCAACCCCTGGAGCTTCCCCGCGTAATAAAATGGTCGAATCAAAGTTAAAGTGTGTCGGCAAATTGTGCTAGCCGATACCCCAGATATCAGGCGATGAAAGGTTAACAGACTAGTCCCTAAAGAGAGAATGCTGCATGCGTAATCTGATTTGGTAATCTCTGCCCTTCGGAGATCCTGTAAGGCGGATGCACATTTAGAGAGGTCTGCGTCGTTACAGCGCGTCTTGTTGGCAATACTGCGAAGAAACACCCGAGCCACCGCAGCGTACGGACTCAGGAGAAGTGCTGGAGCTTCCTGTAGCCGAGAACGAATCATATAGCACATCTCCTGGCTCAGGAGAGGTCCAAACGAAAAGAAGTTACATATCCGGATGGATGTATACTCCGATATTTGTGAGATCACCCCCTCTCGGTACAACGTCGATACAAGCGGCAGATCTTGCATTGTGGGGGTATCGGTTTCATGGACCTCCTCTGTCTCAGACAGAATGGTAGGGGACTCAGATACCGATTTGGATTGGCAATCTCCCTTTTTGGCTGCATCAAAGGCTAAAGAACAGGGGCTGAGCACCCTTGGTTTGCGACCTCGTTTCCCGCGGGGACGAGAAGAAGTGCATGAATGACCCAGGCGATAACAGCGATAGCAGCATTGTGCAGTTCCCGGTAAACATCGAGCTTTGACAGAATGGCACCTGTCACAGGCCGGTGCGGGTGGCATTTTTGAGAAGTATTGTGAGCAAGTACATCCACCGAGTGGGTTTAAGGAAAGAAGAAAGTGGAGCGGTCTAGAATGGCGTGACGGGTGTAAGCAAGTCAACGGTTGGCCCCCAGGGACAGAGGGGCTAGATTGCGTCCATGCTAGCTTTCAAATACAAAGTACCTCAATTGGCATAAGAATATTTCCCGTATTTGATAAAAGTATGGGAAATCCAATTTTGATGCTCATGCGTTTTGCAGTTCACGAAATGCGGAGCCGAATATGAGATACGAACTGTCAAAGCCGCGGGAAAGGAGTCAACGAATAGGAAGTCATAGCGGGACGGCGAATTTGCTAGCTTCCTAAATCTAACTTTGATACTGTCTTAGCTTTTATGGCTCATCGCTTGATTGACAGCCGACCATCCCTGACCCCCGCCTCTCTCCTCACTGTTTAGCCGAGGCATACTACCCTCGTAGCTTCGGGTCGCCTAATTTAGAGATGTAACTGGATCAAAACACGCCACGAGGAAGGATAATGACCAATACGAACTGCCTCTTATTGGTCACCACGGTCGCAAGAGCAGGCAGATTACGGTTCATATAACTTATCGCGAACCCTCGTAGACCCCTGTCTTTGCATTTCGCTTTTCGGCCATAGGCATCACCTCTCTCATCCTTACAAATCAGCTATTATATACTTCAATCATGGGTTCTTTAGATCACGGAATTCCATGGCAGGAGAGAGTAGCTACGAAGCGGCAAGCCCGCGCGGATAAAATCCCAGCAGCATGGAGAATTCCGGACAACTACCTGGACAAGTTCCAGACTCCCTTGTCGGAGAAGAAAAACAATCTTATCGCAGCGCAAGCGGTTCGAAAATCAGGAATATTGACTGAAAAGGAACTGCGGATTACAGAAGATTACACCATTGCTGAACTTCTGTCTGCATTATCAAGCGGTACTTTGACCTCAGTTGAGGTGACGCTTGCTTATTCCAAGCGTGCGGCTGTCGCTCAACAGTTGGTGAGTATTCGCTAAGCCTATTCCCCGTACCATCTTTTGGTATGAAGTTGTACTCATGTCGATGAAGGTGAACTGTCTCACAGAGACCATGTTTGAAGAAGCCAAGGAGCGAGCTCACCAGTTAGATGCTCTTCGAGAGCAAGGTCGATTGGCCGGGCCCCTCCATGGCCTTCCAGTCAGCATCAAGGATAATTTCCACAAGAAGGGGACTGAAGCGACAATTGGAATGGTATCTTTCCTCGGTGAAGTTTCAAAGGAGAACTCCCCGTTGGTTGAGATCCTCCTCAAGCTCGGAGCAGTCATTTACGTCAAAACAAATGTGCCCCAGACAATGATGGTAAGTTAGCATTAAGTCCCGATCCAAGGTTTTCTACTAATACTTAGTTTATTATAGACTTCTGACTCGGATAACAATGTCTTTGGAAGGACCTTGAACCCCTGGAATACCTCATTGGGGCCAGGCGGTTCCAGTGGAGGCGAGGGTGCTTTAATCGCTCTCCGAGGGTCACCACTCGGCGTGGGAACTGATATTGGCGGTATGATAGCGAAGATGCATTTTAACTTTATACACTGAGCTAATTACCTGATTCAAGGCTCGGTCCGAATTCCGGCTTTATGCTGCGGTACATATGGCTTCCGGCCCAGCGCCGCAAGAATACCAAATGGAGGAATGCGGGCGTGCACAACAAGTGGGATGAAGTTTATTTTATCTTGTGCAGGTCCACTTTCCTTGGACCTTGATGGCATTGAGACATTCTTCAAGACCATTTTCGATGCTCAGCCAGCCCATTACGACTCCACTATTCTTGACATTCCTTGGCGGCAAGTATCCGCAAAGCCAATCTTGAGAATCGGCATCGTTCCCGAGAGCCCTTCATTCCCCTTGCACCCACCTGTCAGGAGAACTTTAGCCGAGGCGGCCCGCTTGCTAGAGGCACAAGGTCACACGCTAATCCCTCTTGACATTGAAGAATGTCAAATCTTGCGGGCAAATGAGATAGCCTGGAACATCTTCAGTCTCGACCAAGGTGCCATGGGCCACATTCAGTCATCTGGAGAACCCCCTGTCCCATCTCTAGTCTACATTGGCAAGATAATTGAAAAACTGAAGGCCTCGACCAAGTTCACTCTGCCGGACTTGAGTGAGCTTGACCGAATGGGGAAGCTAGCTTATCTCAATACCTGTCGGGCGGAGCTGCGCGAGACATACCGGAAAATGTGGGTGCGACATGAGCTGGATATTTGCATCGCACCTCCAGCTCAAAATACAGCAGTGGCGCATGACATGTTCGCAATTGCGCCATATACTACTTTTTTGAACTGCCTTGATGTATGTTGCCGTTCATTTCCACCTCGCAGTACAGCACTAACCCTCAAGCAGTATCCATCCTGCGTCATTCCATTCGGAAAAGTCGGTGGATCAGATGCTCACAAAGTTTTTGAGCTGAAGGAGGATCAGACTGCACCACCATGTGAGTTCCCCTGATTAAAGCATTCCTTGATATCCTTTGCTAATCACAACTCGCTTTGAGTAGACAACTTTGAGCAACTGGAAGGTGCACCGTGCTCCATTCAAGTGTTTACGACCACTCTACGGGATGAAGAATGCTTGCAAATGAGCAAGCAAATTGACCAATGCCTGAAAAGCAAAGTCTAGACTCTGAAGAGATTAGACAAGTTTACTAACAGTAGCACCACCTTTGCTATAAGCTTGTCCTATAGCTGGGTCGATTCCGAAGGAACAGTCTTAATTACTCTGATAGTGATATAGGCTGGCTAGATCGGTAGTTTGATACGTCAAAGATTCCTTAATGTACATCTTTACCCGAGTAGATTGGAAGAGGGTCTCTTGTACATATGCCTTAAGGTTATCTTAACTTAATGATGTTTTCCTTTCAATAATTCCTGTACATACTACCATGGGGCATGGAGAACAGTCGGCTCAGCCATAATTGAGCACGCATTGAACGTGCCCGACCCTTGCCCCATACATCTTCTGCTTTAACATGATGACAACCTAATATTTTTGGGGGTGAGAGTGAGCAATAGTATAGAAGCAGTACTCATCCAGTCATTGCCCTATCGAGACATATACATTCAAATACTTCTGCATGTGTGGCCCCAGACACCTGCTATGTAGATAGTATGATCAAATAATTATGCATTAACATCAGGTTTGAAGTTAAGTCAATACAAATTACATGTCAGTGTACTTCTGGACCTCCCAGACCATCAGTCTAGGTAATCGAATATCTACTTATACATGTGGGCGCTAGTCATGTGACATAGTGGGCCTTCAGGTGGGGGAGTTTTCTGCCGGTTTTTTCTGCCATTTTCACCCCGCATTGACTCACGTGATGTGGCTTCCTTATCTTTTGGAGGGGCTCGTGAGTCACAGGCCGTCCAGCAACTTGACTAAACTAACCTTTGCTAACGCCCAGATTAATACATACGTGGGCGTTATCTGTATTTGAGAATACAGAGGCGGTGAAGACTCTAATCAATAACTAGAACCTTGATGTATTGCCGCACGAAAAGCTTTTTGGACTTAGAGTATTCCCAAAAGCTCTGACTATATAGTTTAACTTTGAAAACAATTCAGATAGTATAATTGGACAGCTTAGACCGGTTTTCGTCTAATAAGAACATTACAAATAGGGGTTATTTCTCTGCTCATGAGTCACTGATAGAGGATTTGAAAAGGCGGTGTTCTATTTAGGAGGCGGCCGCAGAGGCGGTACCACTGAACCAGACTTTTTTTTTCAGCTCAATACCTTCAACCTTCTCTGATTTTGCGAACACCGCTATTCCTCTCGATCAAACGAGACCACATTCAAAATGGCGCCCAACACCGACGCCGAAGCTCCTCACAACAACTTTGACGTACGTGCTCCCAGTGTCCCATGGAGGGCTGAGATGGCGCGCCTTGAAACTCACTGTCCTCGCTCCCCGCAATTTGCGATCGATCACTTCTACATGGGGCGTCCAGGCGCAATTGGTTCACAAATGCAAGAAGAATGAATTGACTGACTTTTTACTCTCTAGACCATTCTCGTCCTCGACTTTGGTGTATGTTAACTTCACGACCGTTTCCCCTCTTTCGACCTGTTCCAGATAACAGAGCTTCTGAGACCTCTTTACATGCCAATTACTGACTCACGTTCTTGAAGTCTCAAACGAGTCACCTTATCCTGCGCCGTCTTCGATCTCTCGGTGTCTTCGCTGAGCTGCTTCCTTGCACCACTAAAATCGCTGATCTGTCATGGAAGCCTAAGGGAATTGTGTTCTCTGGAGGTATGGAGTCTGTCAATGCATGGCGCATACCGAGATCTGACTTAGCTACTAGGTCCTTCTTCTGTCTACGACGAGGGCTCGCCCCGTAAGGTTTTCATTTCCGGAAAATCCTGTCACTTGTACTCATATGTCTAGATGTTGACCCCGCTGTTTTTGACCTGAACGTGCCTATTTTGTGAGTGGATCTCTGCCTATCCTTCAAGACTATGAATACTAACATACACGGGTGATATAGGGGTATTTGGTATGATTTCCTTCGACATCGACACCGATATGACACTAATGCTATACCCTCAGCTACGGTTGCCAGGAGATCGCATGGCGGATCGACTCGAAGAATGTTGCCCGCGGAGCGGCCCGAGGTTTGCAACCTTTGAAACACTGTCCCAGACCCAAACCGTTCCTGACCATCTTTTGTAGAGTACGGCCATGCCGACGTCAAGATCGCCAAGGTCAACGAGCATGTTGACCGTCTCTTCGCTGGCCTGGGCGATGAAATCCCTGTGTTCATGTCCCACTACGACAAGCTAGTCAGCCTGCCTACTGTAAGTGAAATGACGTCGTATTTCCGGAGCACTCTGACTGACTCTGGTAGGATTTCGTGGTTATTGGTGCCACCAAGAACTCCGAGTACGCCGGAATTGCCCATCAGGAGAAGCCCATCTTTGGTTTGTCTTTCTCTAAGCTGCCTTCACGGCCCAGTAAGGGAAGCTGCTAATGCAATGTGACTAGGTGTCCAATTCCACCCCGAGCTCGAACACGTTCGTCCACCTCTCTTCCCCCAAAGCAGTACATTAGAACTCCCTCTGATATTCGAATCTAGACCCCCCGCGGAACCGATATTCTCCGCAACTTCAGTGTTGATATCTGTGGCGCTCAACCGAACTGGAAGATGGGCGATTTTGTCCAGCTCGAGATCGCTCGCATCCGTGAGCTTGTTGGTGACCGAGCGCTCGTCCTTGGCGCTGTCAGCGGTGGTGTGGACAGCACTGTCGGTGCTGCTCTCATGCGTGAGGCTATTGGCGACCGCTTCAAGGCCATCCTTGTCGACAACGGATGTATGCGTCTTAATGAGTGCGAGCAGGTCAAGGAGACTCTCGGAAAGCACCTTGGCATCAACCTGACCGTTGTCGAGGCTGGTGACTTGTTCCTGAGCCGTCTTGCGGGTGTTACTGAGCCCGAGAAGAAGCGGAAGATCATTGGATCTACTTGTGCGTATTTCGAGCTGTCTGGAATGGGTTGTTGAAGTACTGACAATATCGAAGTCATCGATCTGTTCGAGCAAGAGGCTATCCGGGTACGTTCGACCTCCTCTGACTTCATTTCTGGCTAGCTAACAGGATTTCCAAGATCGAGAAGGAAGCTGAGAACACTCCCAACACCGGCAAGGTGGAGTGGTTCTTGCAGGGAACACTTTACCCTGACGTGTAAGTCGTTTCGATCTAATTGCTGAGCCCAAACTAATCGCATTTAGTATCGAGTCTCTGAGCTTCCGTGGGCCTTCGGCCACTATCAAGAGTAAGAGAGTTAACAAAGTCTCGGGGGCAAAAGATTACCCCACGAAGTCGTGCAAAAGAAGAAGCAAACAGAAGCTAACATGAGAGATAGCTCACCACAACGTCGGCGGTCTGCCTGAGGTAAGCAATACCATCATCTCCAACATGAAAGTATTTTTAACTAACCAGCATATAGCGCATGATGAACGGCGTAAGTTGAACTAGCCTGGCATCGTTTGATTTATTTACTAACCAAAATTTTTCGCGTCATTTAGCAAGGCTTGCGTGTAAGTTTACTTTCCATCTCTTCATTAAATACCTATAAAGCTGACTGGACTTCTATCATAGCTTATCGAGCCGCTCAGACTTTTGTTCAAGGATGAAGTGAGGGTATGTTAAACCTCACATCGTGAATTCTGTCTTCAATTATACTGACGATTATAGGCAATTGGTCGCCAACTCGGCATCCACGAGTCGCTCGTGAACCGACACCCCTTCCCCGGTCCTGGCATTGCCATCCGCATCCTCGGTGACGTTACCAAGGAGCGTGTCGAGATTGCCCGCCAGGCCGACAACATCTTCATCAGCATGATCAAGGAGGCCGGTCTCTACGACGAGGTGAGTCCGGTCACACAGACGAAGACGGGCACAAGCTAATTCTGTTCTCCCAGATCTCTCAAGCCTTTGCTGGTCTTGATACTAACCGCAGTGTCGGTGTCTTCGGTGACCAGCGTGTTTGGGGTTACATCATCATTCTCCGTGCTGTCCGTACCAAGGACTTCATGAGCGCAGAGGTGTTCAACTTCGATAACGCCTTCCTCGCGGTGAGTCACCTTTGGTTTATGCGTTGGGCCATGCCTAGAGTGAATTCCTATACTACGGATCTAAAACGCTCTATCCTTCCCTCAAAAGCCCACTACCATCCTTTCCTATACTTACTAACCTCTCTACTCTAGAATGTTTCTCGCACTATCTGCAACCAGGTCGAGGGTGTGGCCCGTGTTGTCTATGATCTGTAAGTAGAAGTTTCCGCCTCTATTGGTCTCGGGCCTTAAGCTAACATCACCCCTCTAGGACCTCGAAGCCTCCTGGCACTATCGAGCTCGAATAAGCGACATGGGAGATGGAAGGTAGACAGAACATATATCATTTGCCATCATGAGTTAGGAAAAAAGATAGGAATTGATTTTTACGGCGTTTAGAGACTACTAGAGAGGCACATAGATTGAAAATAGTGATGAGGCAGAATTCATTGCATCATGATGCCAGTGGCCTCTCCAAAAGAGACGGAGAGCTCAAATTGCGACATTTGGTAAACGAATAGTGGTTTTTATCTCCAGCCTTAAGAGTAAGAATTTAGCCTGATCTTTCATAAAATAATGTGTGCCGTAGACCCTGCGTCACCTAGAAGATATCTCCTCAAAACATGACTACAATGAGGAAATCAGACGTCAGCAAGGTAGACAATAATTATACTCCATCAATCAAGAAAGCTACTATCATAAGGTCAATGGCTCTGTGCGAAAGAACGATTGTGGACAAGCTAACTCTGCAGATCGAGAAAAGATGTAAGGAGCTAAGTTTAACCGGAGGGGAAGAGATCTATTCCATCTATCAAAAATGGCCGAATGACTGTATATGAGACTAAATGCCAAAACATGATTCTTGTGATCGGGTAACTTGGAAATCGTTCGTGATGTCTTTCCATCAGACTGGACTTTCAAGAGGACTATCAAGGGTCTTCAGATCCGCAACCAGGACTTTCTCAGGCGGCGGTAGATCATGAGCTTGGCGGGGCGGGAGTTTCTTAGCAGTGGGAACAGCATCCAAAAGGCTCTTAGAAAGCGCAAAGATCTCATCAATCTCTTCGAGACTACGCCCAGAAGTTTCAGGGAACAGATAAAAGATCGCAGGAACCATTGCCGCATTGAACCCGGCAAAGATAAGAAAGTATCGCTGACCCATTGCGTTGAATGCGAGTGGGGTGACGTTGGCGACTAAGATGCTGATTGCCCACGATATACTGATGCTGATGCTGCTTATGGTTGATCGCAGATTCATGGGTGCGATTTCAGAGGCGTATAGATATGGAATGCCACCGAACCCGATGATGTAGCTGAAATGGAAGAGGAAGATGAAGAAGACGGCTCCATGGGCTGCCATGATATTGCCGGTCTGGGAGCCTAGGCTTGCGATTAGGGCTAGACACATGGCGTTTCCAGCCGCACTGCCCATTAATAGCGTTCGGCGGCCCAGACCTTCGATGGTGAGGACGCAGAAAATGCCGCCGATGGGGCCAACGAGTTGATAGACTGCTGCCAGGAGTCTAGACGTGGATTCGTTGAGTTGAAGATTGTTTTCAAAGATTGCAGTCGCTAAAGGATTTCGAAGTTAGCTTTTTTTTTATGATCAAAGGTGTTGAAATAGCATAACATACTATAGAAGGTGGTCACCGTGGCTCCAGTCAGCTGTAGGAATGTCATACCCGCCATGGCGAGGAAAGCTCGATGAGATGTTCGTTGAGGACCCATTGAAAACAGCTGTGCCAATTTCTTTTGGTTCCCAGCGAGATTGAAGGATGCCTGCATTTCTTCAATGCGCGTTTCAATATTTCTATCATCAAAAGCTTTGTTCTCCAATGCCGCCAAAGTCGCCTGTGCCTCGGAAATTCTTCCTCGACGGATAAGCCAGCGAGGCGACTCGGGAAGAAAGATAATGAACCCGAAGACTGTCACAGAAAGAAGGACTGGGAATGCAGCGGGCAAACGCCAGGCCACGCTTCCATCATTGAAAGATAGTCCAAAGTCCAGAAACAAGGCCATTGCACACCCAAGACCACTGAAGATACCCTTCGTAGCAACATGGGCACCGCGCTTGCTGGCCGGTGAGATTTCAGATTGCCAAAGAGGAATCGTGGCCAGCAATGCACCGGTTCCAATGCCAATGACAATGCGGCAGACAACAAGTTGAGCAAGGGAATAAGCACTGGCATTGAGAACTGCACCAATGACCTGAACAACGGCTCCTGCCATAATCACCCGTCGGCGTCCAAGCATATCGCCCAACCATATACACGCGAATGTGCCAATGAAACCTCCAATCGCGTAGACTGCCACGACAGTTCCCTGAATAGTAGATGCAAGGTTCTTATTTGGAGCATCTGCGACATCAATTTCGCGAAATTGTCTCTCAAAACTTCCCAGGCTCAACACACCACCGAGTGATGCTGCATTGTATCCAACGGACAAGATGCCCGGCATCAGCACCCCGATAATAGTCACAACATTGAGGCGAGTGCCACGAAGGCCAAAGAAGCGTGTCATTGGCACACCTGGGAACTTGAGAATGAGGATCTGCACCTCCACGAGTTGAAGAGCGATTGATCAACGCGATCTACTCTATGAAACCTAAAACAACCTGAACAAGTATTAAACCGGCATTTCTATAGCTAGGATGCCCAGTGATATATAGATTTAGCATAGTGGACAAGAGCACCGTCCCCATATCTTCAGTCTTTCGGAACTCGGCTTCCTATCGTTACCACTTTCGCATTCCATTCTTTGAAATGCCGTGCATAAAATTCCTAGTGCAACCCACGAATCCGGGGCCGTCCCATTCGCCACAAGGGTCCAGCCTGGTGATTCTAGGCCATCTGCAAGGAACTAGATTCTGATGGCCAATCTATGGTGGTATGTATCCTCTGCAATTCTCGAGAGGTGTCTAGAACAAAAGGCGCAAAGAGGGGGGAGGCCAAGCTGTTCGAATGTCAGCTGAAGCCGGTTTTATTCAGTAATTCAAAATCAAACATTGCAAACCTCGTGGAGAAATTAAGGAGATAGATTCAAGAATGTCACTGACTGTTGTAGGATGATGGCACTCGAGGTCATCAATGCGATCATATGATTTATTTGGAAGGGGCCTCTGACCTAAAGGAACCATTCTGATTAGACCAAAAGTGTAATTGAAGAATAATTAAGTCAGACAGTATATACGGGGTATCTTTGTACTACCTACATCTGCTCTCTGGGCATCAACTCCGGTATCTGCCTGTGACTATCGAGCTCTGTGGGCACAGAGCTTTCAGACATGACACACGATTGCGGCGAACGAACGAGACCTTCCTGGGCTGGAACAGAAGAGGACATCATTGCTCGGCTCAATTTGTTTGCTCTCCTCCTCTCCCATAGTGCCCAGAGCAGTGATCCGATGGCAATGACTCCCAATGGAACACCCAGTCCCACCCCGATTGTAGTGTCATGTGAATTATTGGATGTCTGGGCGGCAATTGACGAGTTCGAGGAGGAATTGGTTGCCGAGTCTGGCGGTACGAGATTTGCGAGGGCAGCGCGCCCGGTAAGAACTTGGGCATCGGCCAGCTGGAAGCTGTCCGTGTCGTCCCGGCAAATGGTGTCACCTCCACTGGCAACGACCGTGCCGCAGCAATACGTAGAGGTGCCATTGGCGGTTTTCAGATTCACGATTGCGGAACCCCCACTGCTGTTTACAGTCCCTGATTTAGGTGTAAGTATACAGGTAGTAGTAGAATAACTAGGTGATAGACGTGGAGGTGGGTGACTTACGACAACGACCAGGACATCCCTTTCCCCATTGTTGGGCTGTACAGCCCCCACGGGACAAAGTAAAGGGTTGATTGACGTCGAGACAATAGCCATTTGAGAGGCAGACATTGTTCACTCCGCAACAAGCAGTGGTGTCCTTGGCCGTGCAGGGCACGCTATTCTTTGCCTCCGAGCCATCGGGGTAGTAGCATGTTCGAGTGTCCGTCATGGTGAAATTTCACCAAGGGAAAGAGCGGGAAAGTAAACAGACAGAGGAATCATAACATCGTGGCCAGATCAATTGAAGATCAGTCACCAGCGGGATTCTCTCAGCTCAAGTATTATTAGGGGGGATGTTGTCACACCACTTGGCACTCGCGACGGACAGCTACCGCCGCTGAGAGCGCCGAGAACCTGCCAAGGAATTGATGCATTAGCAGTGTGCACAGAGGGTCAGCTAGTACAGGATCGGGGCCAGTCCCCGAGAGACAAGCTGTGTTGAATAGGCCGTGTGGTCGAATCGACGACTCATGGCAGGCAATTGGGGGTTCATTTTGTGGGGGCTAAACCGTGCTGATTGTGAGTGGATGCGTGCTAGGGTCCATTTGGGGGCGATGCTGCGATGATCTGCACGCCATTGACGAAGGACTGGCTGCAATCATGATTCTGTGGGCATCAGACCCCAAAGTCTCCCAAGGCCCCCAAGGACCCTGGCCCCTTGGCCATCTCAGCTCGGAAGACCTTCAAAGGGCCATCAGCCCCATGAAACAAGGTTTCCCATGGAGGAGAATTGAGGGTATGAAGTGTTATCATTAGACCTATAAAGTTATGGTAGGACCTGGGTTTATTAGCCATTCCCATAATCAATCGATATCCTGCAGTAAATCCATCAATGTTCCCAATCCACGACGAAAGTGGAGAACAGGTGCTACTACACAGACTGATGCAGTGATAGGTAATATCGGTCAATCAACGAGTGCTCGAGTGCTATATGATCTAGTCGAGCCGTGAAAAAAACACACAATTTAAGAACACAAAGACACTCACAGTAAGTTATATACAACGAGTATATAAGCCGGCATGAATTATCAACATATCTTCAGCTAAAGTTTTGACAGTCGGAATCGGAGTCAAACCACCACCGCGGAACCGATCCACGCTAACCCCATCTCGTATTGCAGTATCACGTCAATTCTTCTCCTGCAACTAGACGAAAAGAATAATAGTAGGTTCCTAACTATCGCTTGTACTTTTTATTGGTTGGATTCGAAAGGCAGTGGAGACATAATTAGAGAATACCCAGTAAACTGTATCTCGTCCCTTGAACGCCAAAATCCAAGACGCCACCACCACTGTACGTTGAAAAGCGACGAATGGTAACAAATTTCTAAGCCCATGGCTGCTCGTGGCAGACGGAGATATGCAAACCCCGATAGTGCTCTACATGATGCCTAACCATATGATATGGCAGTATCATGTTTTAAGTCCGGGGGTATACATATTCCCACGTACCCTGGTCCTAATCTGCAAGAGTATAAAACGAGGGGGATGGTCAGCAGAAAGAACTAAGTACCAACAATTTACATTCTCCCAATCTCACCCTAAATCTCACCTCACCTCTCAGTCACCATGTCAACCCCATTCGGCAAACATCTAGCCGCCATCGTCCCCCAAAAGGGCGGCCCCTTGACCGTCGTCGAGCGCACCACCCCAAAATGCGGTCCAAAACAACTCCTAATCGAAGTCCACGCCATCGCATTCAACCCCGTGGACTGCTACCAGCGAGACATGGGCATCTTCATCGAAGAATACCCCGCAGTCATCGGTTCCGACATCGCAGGTATCATCGTTGAAACGGGCAGCGACACCAGTCCCAGTACCCCGACAGCCGGTACACGAGTTACTGCCTTTGCAAGCTCATTCTATCACAAGGGTAGCCCCGACTACGGCGCTTTACAGAAATACGTTCTCGTGAGTGAGGATACTATTGCTATCTTGCCGGACTCGTTTTCGTTTGTCGAGGGCTGTGTTTTCCCCATGGCGGCGCTTACGTCGTGGAATGGGTGGCTTTGGGCTGGGATTTCGCGAGAGCCTATTTCGCCGTCGGAGAAGAAAGGTGTGCTTGTGTGGGGTGCTTCGAGTAGTATGGGTGCTCTTGCTGTGCAGGGTGCGAAGAGTATGGGTTATACCGTTTACGCCACCGCTAGTTCGCAGCATCATGAGTATATTAAGACATTGGGTGCATCCCGTGTCTTTGATTACAAGGCGGAAGACGTTTCTTCCGATATTTTGAATGCTGCCAAGGAAGATGGCATCACTATTCGAGTTGCGTATCATGCGACCGGTGCGCAGCAGGTCTCTGCTGATACTATCAGCAAGCTGGCTGCAGGTGACCAGGGCAAGCTAGCCATTGCACCAATTGTGGATAAGAGCTTGAATGTCCCGGAGAATGTTGAAAGTGCTTTTGTGAGCGCACCGGAGGACCCCGAGGGACGAGTGGAGAGAGTGCAGTGGATCTTTGCAACCTGGTTACAAGAGAGTCTTGCAGCTAAGCGGGTGGTGGCGAGTCCGAAGATCAAGGTCATCGAGGGGGGTTTGGAGTCTGCCAACAAGGCATTGGATGAGTTGATGGCTGGGGTTAGCTGCACGAAGCTTGTTATTGAGATCTGAGATGAAGAATCTCTGGATTAGACCTAAGACCTTTGGAAGGTAACACACTTTTGCTAGTTGTGTTCTGGAAAGAGCGTTACTGAAACACTATGATCTTCAAATCGTTTATTTGGAAAATCCCGAACTGGATAGTAGCGCGTATACACGGGAGGTAGCCACGATGCTGCACCCCCAAAGGAGGAAGATCAAGAGTAAATAGAGTAGGAAATGGCTGTGCCCAAAGATATGGGACGGAATATCAAAAGGACGTGAAAACGCTCATTCGTATGCGTGAGTATGTTCAATCCGTTTATGCATGCATCATTAGAAGTGTAGAAAACAAGAACAAGTTAGAAATGAAAGTACACGTGTATGCAACGAAGAGGCAATCCCAAGTGCCTGGTGTCAAAGGACATAAGATAAACGAGTCCTACCAAAAGAAAAAAAAAAGTGGAATATATTCCAGCCAAAGAGGGAAGGTAAAATAAGACCAAAAACACATAAGAAACAATCATGGCTATACGGGGGTATCCAATGGAAAAGACAGGTAGTCGAGACATATGGAAAAGGAAAAAAGTTGTTAGAAAAGTGCAACTGAAATCAACATGTGCCTGCACAAGCATATGACCTTAGATCACCCAATTCTGGGCTTTGATATGATATACTTCATTTCGCGTTTGGCGCAAAGTCCACCAAATCACCAGGTGGTGGTTGTATATCAGCATCTACTCCAGGGGTTGTCTCGGGGCTCGTGGGCGAGTCACCAGTGTCACCACTCCCACTTCCCCATGAATCTTCACGCATGATCTGGTTGGCATCTGGCAAGTGAGGGCGCTTCGGGCGGGCCTTAGCCTTCGTGGCATTCCGAGACAGTGATGGTGACCCCGGAACCGGTTTTGACCCAGTCTCATTATGACTGCCTGTCTGCATTGGACTAGCAGCAGTGTCAAAACTGGGAGATGTAGATCGAGGAGAATCCTGGAATCCACGCCACTTGCGCCAGCCATCGAAGTCAATCAGGGCTTGCATGCAGCCCCATTCTGTCACCTTTTGAGACAACCATGGGAATCCGACAGGCTACCGAGGGCAGAACATGTGAGTAAAGAGTAGACGAAGTAAATGAAAAGATTGCTTACCTTGGTCAAGAAATCATTACACCCAGCGGCCAGTGCCTCATGACGATCACTTTGCAAACTGCTAGCAGTCAAGGCAACGATGATAACCGGACTTCGGAACAGTGAGAGATCTGACAGGGTATCGTCCTCGCTGACGGATCGTTGCAGGCCTGGTCGTTTCTCCAACGAGGCGGCACTAGAAGCACTGGACCGCCCCGAGGCTGTCTTGGGGAAGACGCCAATCCCGTTAAGTCGCTCAAGACGGCGAATCTCCTTGGTCGCATCCAGTCCGTTCATGACTGGCAATTGGATATCCATCAAAACCAAATGGAACCCGCCTTGTCTCCATTTTCGCACTGCCTCCTCGCCATTGGCCGCACACTTCCATCGTACGCTCAGCCGCTTCATAAACGCCTCCAAAAGTTTTTGGTTGATAATGTTATCCTCGACAATGAGGACATTGATCGGTGGCACGGTACCCTCAATTAGACCGCCAAATACGGCGCCAGGTGAGGCAGTACCCTTTGACTTTCGAAGTGTGCGTGGAGAAGCTACGGGCGCGGGGGGAGTGTGCGATTTTGCCTGCGGAGACTCGGCGACCGGGGCAGGGGGCGTGGGCTGTGTTGGTACGACGGCTGGTGGTTGTGAATGAGGAGAAATGCCGGTTTCTTGATACGTTTATTTAGTGGGATTGCGCGCCGTTCAACTGTCCAAGAATATCTTACCTGTTATTGTGGGATTTTGACCGAGAATTGTCGGTGAATTGGTCGTGTGCCGTGTGAGAGGTGGTCGACGGTGGTGCCTTGCGGCACGGGTCCCAGGCGAGGGCAGCGCTGGAGCGACGCCAGTTGTAAGGATGGAAATAGAAGGGGCATTAGCGGCACCCGAACTTGATGGATGAGCGGGAGGTGTATGGCCCTTCGGATTGACGGGCATGAGAGGGAAGTAGTCGCCATGCTCGCCCGGTTCCGAGTGATGGAGGTATACTGGATGGCGTGGTGACGGTTTCGGAGTTCGGCGTGTAGGCGCTTCAATTAATAAAGCCTCCTCGACTGTCTGTCCTCCTGGGTAATATGAGTCCAGAACGGATGATAGAACCTCCTCGGGGCTCAACAGTCGCTCTGGAGTTTGTTGCCGATTTGAGCCTTCTCGAGAAGATATCCGGATAACGATATCTGGTGAATCGAATGTTCGACCCAACGAGTTGGCATATTTCATGATCACCTGGTCGCGCAATTCATCCACCACGGCATCTTCCAAGCACGGCACCAGAGTGGCCGAGCCACCGGGCCTCTTGACCCAAATTCGGCGTTGGACCATCTCGGCAGCAGCTACGGGAACGCGACTGCTGCCCTGGTCACCCGAGGATGAGAAGAGACTTTGTTCCAACAATCCTTTGATCAAATGCTGTTGTGAAGCGGGAAGAAGAGACTGCCGGCGAATGGCAATGCTAGGGCGCTTGCTCCACGAGGGAGGGAAAGCGGTCGACGAAGGTCTGCGGTCGTCGGCGGTCTTTTCGACGACGGTATCGAGGGTTGGTGTCAATGGATACTCCGCTGGAGTTGGTCCACGGGCTTTCACTGGCGCGGAGTAGGAGGTATCGTCGGATTGCTGTGGAGTCGGCAAGGGGCTCTCGAAGGGGGAGGGAGACTCTTCGGAGAATGGGGTATGCAAAGGAGAGAAATTCGGTTCAGGTGGTGGCGGGGTATCTGATGGCCGTTCTGATGCGTGACGATGCTGGAACGGATCCGTTGGTTGCGATGAACGAGTGGATGGCTGGGGATCGACCCGGGGCCTGTGCTTGGGTCCCTCGTCGATATCCGATCCAGGGCTATGGCCGATGTCGTCGGAGGAGTGACCAGTAGCGGAAGAGACGACGCTATACGGGGACTTCTCGCTGGCGGAGTCGAAGAGATGCGGAGCGCAAGAGGAGCGAGAGGTTGAGTTTGGGTGGACACGCGGGTCCGCCCCGTCGCCCTGTTTTTGGAACCCCGTGTGTCGATGATCGTCGCAGCAGCTTGGCCTTGAGCAGACGCGACAAGCGTCTCTCTGGCATTGTGACCGCTGCCGAGAATCTCACAGAGCTCGAGGCATGTTCTTTGAGGGGGTTAGGATGGGTCGTGCTGGGGGGGGGGGGGGAAGTGAGAGGGACAGGGGGGGAAGTCCAAGATGGGTCTTGAGTTTCGGCCTAGCTTCCGTAAGGTAAATAAGTAGCTCCGTTCAGCTGTTATAAGCAGGGGTGGAGCTGAAGCGAGCGGATGACACAGAGCTTACCCTATACCTCAGTCAGCTTAAAATTGAAGAGAGAAGTTAAGCTTCAAAGGATGATGAGGGGCGTCACCGGTAGACGGGATTACCAGCAGAGTGCTGATCTCCCGGTAGTTGGGCGATGAGAGCTTGGAGGATCTCACGCTAAGGCCGAAACATCACGCTGCATGGACCCAATAGACTCAGGTATGACTGGGGGGGGGGGGGTCCAGGATCGTATCATTATTGTGATCATTGGATTATTGTTCCACTTAGTAAAAGAGTCTATTGACAATTCAATCCATTCGCAAATATTCCTAGGTTTGGAGATATTGTCAATAAACGCCTGGATTAAAGTGTAGCTCCCTTGTATCGGGTCATGCTAAGCGCCACGGTGATTCGATAAAGGTTCTTTCCAGCATACGTCCAAATGCCAGTCCACTTACGCATACATTATTGAGAAAAATCAATAGCGGTAAACTTGAAAATCGGTCTTCTTCAGTCCATGGTTCCTTTTGTCATGACCTTCAACCCACAAGGAACCCCCCGGTCAAAAAAAAGTTCAACATCCACGAAAGAGTTCTGGAAAGAATAAATTAGACGTACCCAAAGGGAGAATATTTCTGATCAAGATAGATTATAAATTATAGCAGACGGCTAGGTCTGGAAATAGCTAAAGCTTTTGATATGGCAGAAGTATCTCACATCCTTCAACCTTCTTGTTTCTCAACATCTCTAGGTTGATCAACAGCACCAGTTTGAGTGTCTGTTGTTTCTTGCGTATCATTGCTCGTCAAGCCCAGTAGGTCATCTATACTCCTCCCACTTTCTTTTGCCTCCTTTCGGAGTTTGCGGTACCTAAACCGCCATATGATATGGCTGAGGTAGATACCTGACTCGAGAACGACTCTGTTGTCGACGCGTTAGCATTTCAACTGTAGCTTCTTGGTTTCTAACGGCCGTTACTTACACCAAAATGTACATTATTCCACCAAGAATATCGAATGATCCTTGGGCGGCTAAACATTGGTTAGCTTTCCCAGCTCTCTCAACGGCACCGAGACAAAAGGACATACCCAAGGCAAATAGAGAAAAGAGCCCACCGAGCGTGTCAATGGCAAGAAAGACCCAATCTAGTACATGTCAGACTGGTTCGCGTCATTCTATGATCGATATGTAAAAGTCCAACTTACTGAAACCAATGACACGGCCATCTCTCTTCCACAACTCAAAGTAGGGTGGAATCAGGCCCGCACTGATAAGGATTGCTGCAACAACTCCCACCACGAGATCAGGCCATGTCACACCCTTGTTATATGGAATCTGTTGAAAGTGTCAGCAAAGCGTTCCCATAGCGAGAGGCTAAAGGAAGGGAAAGCCAATTACCCGCAAGGTGAGAATGAGAAGAGCCTCAAGACCACCGAATAATACGACGATGGCCGTGCAAAGCAAGATTGTCTTCTTGCGGCCATAATTGCTGAAAAAAAGGCCCCGTCAATATGAAGATCGTCGAAAGTGTCCTATTAGAGTTCACGTACTGGTTGTAATATAGAATCTGGCCCCAACCCACTAGGGAAAAGAACCCGAAGATTTGCGGTTGTATTTGCAGTGGAATATTGACTTGCTATTGTATAGTTAGTAACAATGTTCCTCTCATAACCATCATTTCTTTCTCGAGTCCATCTGCTACTAGATGAAAGAACGTACCTGCAGAATAAGATAAGCCCCCATCGGAACGGAGCCTATATACTATCAATGAGTACATTGCATCTCGATGCAAAAGCAATTGTCATTATTAAACGTACAACTCGCCCATAATAGCATCATCGCAGCTGGGAATCCATCGGTCTTTTTGCGGCGGTAGTTATACCAGATCTGAGGAATCAACTGGATGCACCAGAGTACGGTGCCAATGGTACCGAGCACATTGGAGGCTACCGTCACGTTTCCATCCGACATGGTGAGAGAGGTGATATCATCTGCGAAAAAAGGGAGCTATTGCCGTTGAAAGGTCCAGGGGCTCGGTTGTCTGGTGGGTGATGTTCGTCTTGATTCGGTAGGTGCCAGTTCCACCAGCACAGGCAATTCCACGCAACGAGACTATGCCTCCCTTTCACTGCTACAAACAGCAAAGGGCGAGATATCAATAAGCCTCGCGCAGCCCAATCGTTTTATCTCGAGGACGATAGATTGACAATGCTAAAGCTTCAGTCGAGGTTGAGGTAGCAAGACTTCAAACGGCCCACCTCTTTGCCACCGACCACAAAGCTCCAAGCAGCAACAAAATAAAAAAAAAGCAAGAGGAAAAGAGAAAGAACCAGCAAGACACAGAGGGGAGAAAAAGACCCAACAATCTAGCGGTGATGAACAAATCGATTCCCGACTCTAGCGCCACCAACCGAACCAGTAGTACTGTAGTTCGCACCGACTAACCCCCCTCCAAGGGACTCAAAAGACACTTAAAGGGAGCTAAAAGGAAGGGAGCTATCATCAAACTGACCAAGCAGAGACCTCTCCAGGCGCCGGGACACCCTCACTAACGCAACGCCAGTCGATGAAATCACAGGCTGACAATCGAGATCGTACGCCGAACCCGTTTTTCCCGGCCCACCCCGGCAGCCAGGCTAGCACCAGATAGGTCAATATCTGGAGAAGACTCGAGACTCGAGTCAGTCTAGTCAAGAGGTGTAGCGTGGGGTGGAAACCTTCAATGACTCGAACGGATACGCTACTCGAGGCATCATACTGGAGGAGCTATATGCTATCCTAGAACGGGCCTAAGTAGCAGACCACGTCCCGCATCCGCAACAACGACCCTGGAAGACATCACCATTTTCGGGGATTTCCAGTTTGTATCTTCAAATCTTACCCGGCACATTTTGCACCAATCAATTTCGATCTTTCGCTTTGAGTGGGCCTGGGCTTTGTGCGGGTGGGGTTCTGGGCTTGCCACGAGTGCGTGACTGGAGGGGGAAGAGATTACAGATTATCTTAGTTGGAGACCCTCATTTTAAAGCTCATTTTACAGGATCCATCGAGATTAAAACTGGTTTCCAACTGTCTACTTGGACATGGTAATCTGATCAAATTTCTACTGCTAGAGATAATAAAGAGGGTACTACGGAAGTACTTGTTTGCGGATGCTGCAAGATGCTGCCGGCCACGTGGCGAGGGCCCGTTCGAGAGTGGAGGAAGGTCGAGCCGGAGATTTACAAGTAGAAGTCTCAACGGCAAGAAGGATTGAAAATTTGAGAGGCAGATAGATGTTAGGTAAATGGAATTGATACTGCAATGAATGTTCAACTTGTGTCCTCAATGCCAGACTCTTCTAGCCCGTAGACCCGGCACCACATCTGTAGTATGAAATAAGGAATAACGTAACTTTTACATAGATTTCGAACGTAAGAATCATGAATGGAAGTATCAGATTGCATTTGAGCCAGTAATGACATGTCCTTTTACATCATCATATGGACTGACCTCGACCTATGTAGTTCGTAAGGAACCTATGCATATCCAATCATCCCGCGACTTTTTCATGCCAAAGGAACTGTTGGCATCAGAGCCCCAAGACCCAATCGCAGGCTCATTTCTCCAGACATGACTTGGATGTTATGAAGAAAAAAACACAAGCACCGGAGCCCTAACGCACGAAAAGACATATAGAAGCAATTGCGGGAAAACCACCCGACACAAAAAAAACCAAACCAGACGGTAGAATATGCGTGCCAAAAAAAAAAAAGTGAAAGAGAGAGGGGAAATGGCGGGGGTCAGACTTGCGTACAGAGTAAGGAGAAGGGAGGCCATCAAGACATCACGTTAAGAGGGAACCAAAAAATACACACACGTCGAGAGAAGATCCGAAGGGTATCAAAGTGGGGGTACAGATTTTGCGACACGATGGAAAACACAAGGGTAAGAAGGCTGAAAATTCAAAAACGAAAAGAAACGAGACATCACACGATCGAACGATCACAACAGGATCAGATAGTTCGAAGGTGCGATACCGGTCTCTCCGCTTGATTTCCGAGCCTGCCACCATCGGCCACTGACATCGGATACCTCCAGGATCTCGTGTTTGCTGAAGCTGATTTCGTTGGCATCTTCGGGGTTTGCGTCGTACGAGTAAATGGCCTTCGCACGGTATGGGTACTCGGTCGGTTGGGGCACTTCAGTACCATCCTGAGCACCAGCGCCGCCAGCGTTAGCAGCACCGGGAGCCGGACTGGAACCTCCGAAGCGAGGAGGCTGGGAAGAGTTGCGCTCAGCGCCAGGAGCACCACCGGGGTAGCCGGACACGGGGGACGAGGTCTCGAAGCCGCTCAATTGGGCGGAAGTGTACATCTGAGGGGTGTTGCTGGTGGCCATGGTCTCGGGGCGAGCACCGAAGGCGCTGGACATGGGGCGGCTACCGCGGTAAGAACCGGGCTGCTCCTTGTTCAGGGCAAAGGAGTCGATGAATCCGCGGTGCGATGCCTGGGGAGCGGAACCAAAGTAGAAGATCCAGATAATCTGGCCGAAAGATTAGCATGCAAAAGCGTGATAAGTCAAGAACCAGGTACACTTACAATCACCATGGAAAGCAGAATGAAACCAGCACCCGCCGCTTGCATGGCACCCTGGTTACCGTAGACCGTGTTGTTGGCGCTGAGTGAAGTCAAGACCAGGCCGCAGGCAAGGTATCCGACAATCTAACAAATCAATCAGTATCGCAATCCCAATCATCTTCTGCTCGATGTCCAGAACATACAGCAACACCGTAGACATTGCAAGTATCGGTACCAAAAGTCACGATAATACCCACAATCAGGCAGAACATGTAACAGTTCGCCCACCAGGAGTAATTAGGGTAATCGGTTTGGAGATCCGCAATGATGGAGGAGATGAAAGCGATCAGCCATGCGAGGATGGAGATGGACAGGGTCGCGAGCGCGAATGGGTCGCCGAGAATGTTGCTTGGGCGGAAGTTGGCCATTATGAAGGGTAAGATTGACGGGTTTCGGGATCAAAAAATGATTGAGGACGAGTATATTCTGTCGCAAGAATCGGTAGGTAATGAAGGGATACGGAATCGATGAGGGGCTCGATAGGGCCGGACAGTGTTATTCCACGGCAGGAACGACGACGAATCGGGAGGATACCGACGTATAGCGGTATATAGAATGCTTGTTTGACGAGCACCAAGAGGAATGTCTAACCGTGAAACAGGGCAAGTCCGATGTTATTTGGTCGAAAAGACTAGAAGGCGCGCGGTCAGAGTCTAGTCCAAAGTCGAAGGCTGTCAAAAACGATCGCGCCGGTCGCGGGGGGTCCAATCGGACAGCAAGGCGACAGACGATAGGCGACTTCAAAAAGAGAAAGGGGGTGATCGAGATAGACGCGACGGGGGTGGAGGATAGATGAATTCGAGAAGGGCGCTGTGGGCGCTAATAACCGGGCGGTGGTTTCGTACCTTGAGACAAAGACGTGGGTTTGCACCGGAGACCGCGGGGAAATCTAGGTTGGGTTGGTGAAACACAGAAAAAAAAGGGCTCTCTTTAGAGAGCGTGATAGAGAGAGAGAGATTGGAAGACAGACAGCACCAGGCTGAAGAAAGGAAGGTAAAAGGGTAGGACCGAACGAGTGAATGAGAGTGGATGGAGGAGGGAATAAGCAGAGAGAGAGAGAAGGGGGAGAAGGGAAGGCGGGAAAAGGAGGGCCAGGCCAGGCACGACTCTTTTTGCTTGAGCCTTGAGCCAGTCGTAACCTCGTAAGTCCCGTAAGTCCCGTTGGACTTGCAGGAAGAAAAAAAAGTGGAGTTTGGCCCCAAAACACACAGGCCCCCCTGGCGTCGAGACCGGAGTGGAATCGTGGAATCTGGGAAATTGACCCGCTCCACTCGGTCTGATAGCAATTGTGGTATCATCCAGGGAAGCTGGACTTCATCTCGGTAAAGAAATTAGTTAAGGATTAACTAGGGTACTATGATGTACATACATTTATGTGTGTTATGAACTCGATAGTAATATCCGAGCGTGTGCAACTATGGTATATTCACGTAAATAATACAGTACCTATAGTACTCCAGTGCTACAGTAACCTTGAATTACCGTTCTAATACATCCTTGGCTTAATTAAACCACCCCCAGTTCCACTCCGGAGTAGTCTCATCGCACTAACGATAGATCAATGTATGTCATTGAATGTGAATGTATAAAATATTCTAACTTTCCTCTCATCGATTCACCACGTTTCCCACCAAGTATCGAAATCCTGCATATGTCCGTACATTTCCCAACATACATACACGAGGTTGTTGATAAGAACCATCTCTTTGCCCCTGACTGATCTATAAATATCGGGGCTAAAAATCTCGTAGTAACCGATGCCCGAGGCTCCGCTTTTTTTCGTCGCTGCTGACGCGGGCTGTTCAACTGCCAGCATGGCGAACTACCGACTGATGGAGAAGTATTACAATTCTAGCGTGTATGTATCTACATATCGATAGTATCTGGTTGTATAGGTAGCATTATTTACAAACATACCAGTATATGTCTGATCACAAGCGAAACATCTGCCACGGAGGACCCTCGGGAATGGCGTCCAGGGGCATTGGCTGAACCAAAGATCCAACCCATCATAATATGTGTAGGTTTGGATACACATCTAAACAATTTAACAATGTTCTGAATAGATACTGAAATAATACCATTTAATTATCGAGATCGATCGCCTATTGAAAATTAAACGAACGCCAAAAAGAACACAAAAAAGCCGTTTCATCTCCATGCCCCACTCTCGAACTCGATCCGATCGCGTATCATATTGACATCTCTACTTGCTTGTTTAACCCCAATAGTTCGACTCTGTTGTCTCTAAGCTTTCGTATTTCGCTATGGACCTATCATCAATCCCACAGAAAGTGAAACTGGAACACGCCCCAGCTCGAAACGACCCTGCAGTCTGCTGCAGCGATCGGCACGCTGGTTGCGACGCGACCTTGAATAATTACCCCCTCTTTCTTCATCCTGCCATCATTGCTATGTAGTAATTGGACTGGAAGCCAGCTTGCTATACAGGATATAATGTCAACCCTTGGCCTCGTGCTTTTGCCTTGGCTTGAACTTGCTTTTACAGGTTTCTTCATCTCCACATGCAACCCCCTGTCGGCCCCCAAAGCCAGGATTCACAACGTGGAATCCGGGGAAGATGCTCGTATCGAATGGACACATTCCAGTTGACATCCCTTCCAGATAATAGGAACAGTATGAAGAATGAGGAATGGCTGCGAGACCAGAGGTCTCGGTCATTTGGCATCGACCCGCTTCAGTCTTGCATGCAGTACATTGAATCGGTGATGCCGATTTGACTCCCAGTGTCCATGACCATCAAGTATTTTGTCACAATATGATGAATCTAATACAAGTCCCAAACGCCTAAACCCCCTAACCCAAGGATATCATAAAACAAGCATCTCAACACAACTATACAGTATCTCATCACCCTTCCACATCGAATCAACCCCAAAGCAACCACAACTCTCTACCCTGTCCATCTAAATCTCATTCTCCCTCTTCTCCCGAATAACCTCCCTCCTCCTAACCTCCCTCTCAACCCCCTCCACCCTCCCCTCCCACTCAGCCCAACACTCCCCACTCCCCACAACCCCAACCTCATACCACCGCTGCAACACGCGCGCCGTGCGCACCCGCAGTTCCGACACTTCAGCCGCCTGCTCGGCCTGTTTCTGCGCAAGCTGGTCTAATTGCGGTTGCAGGGTGATTAGAGAGGCGGAGGACATTGCGTCCGGGACGGGCAGGTCGTTGAGGGATGTGAGGCGCGAGGCGGTTTCGGGGAAGGCGGTTGCGTAGGAGAGGACGATTGAGGTGAGGGTGCGTGGGGTGAGGTCTTCGGGTATGGAGTGGGGGGTTGGGGGGTTGAAGAGGTCTGGGAAGCTGTCGTCTAGAGAGGGTTAAGGCGTGGTTAGTATGGGGTTTTGGGTGTGGTTGGAATTGTAGCTTTGGGCGAGGGTTCGCGGGTAGATGGAGTAGGGGTAGGTGTGAAGGCATTCAAGGTAGACGGTTGTACATACGCAATTGGATCACATCGCGTACAGCGGGTACATTTCGACTCAATTTCTCCAGTTCCCGCTCTAGACGAGCGAGTCGACGTGATACCGTTTCGTCGAGCGAGGCGGGTTTCTCTGGTGTTGATGGGACGCCCGTCCAGTCGGTGCCGCCAGTTAGGAGGTAGGAGAGACGGCGTAGACGAGCTTCAAGGAGCTCGATGGTCGCACTGGCAACTGCTTCGCTTTCGAGGGACATTGTAAGCGCCCGCGGAATATTGTTAAAAGGTGAGTCTGTGGGCGTGGTTTGCTTGTGATTGTAGGCTGTTATGTTGATGGAGAGCTCTCGCTAGGTGCAAACATGGCAAACGTGGGGAGGTCCCTTATCAATGCATCAAAGAAGGACAGAATTTACCAAGGATTGAAATTACCTTATTTCTTTGTTAGAATAATTATGCTTACTTGGAACCGAGTTGGCATATTTCTTTGCTCCATGGCATGGCCGCCCTATATGTACACTTCAAACACTGTGATCTCTACATGTCATTCATTCAATCATCACTCATACGAGCCCTTCTAGTTAGAGCCATTGGCATTCTCAACGTGGTCAGCCATTTCAGTGTCGCCTTCCACGTGCCACTCCGTATCATCATCCAGGGCATGAGAGATGCCAGCACCGTTAGTTCCATAACTCGTGCCTAGGAGAATTGACCCTTTCCTCTCCTGCATTTCCTGTTCGCAATCACTGTCATTACCAAAATTCGAAACCTGATAGTCAAAGACGTTTACCTGCTGGGCGGGTCGCGGTGGAGCCTGCTGTTGTTGATTGTCGGCATCGTTCGACTGGGCTGGATGCTGGCCATTCTTTTCTAATGGGTTGGCGGCGGCTTGTTCACACTCGGCAGCAAAGGCCTCGTTATCCTTGTTCACGAAGCCCTGGTTTATGGTAAGTCCCTTGTTCACCTTGAACTCTAATAAATCGGAGGAAATGAATGTCTTACCTGAAGTTGAGTAGGCGCGGGTTCCACTGGAGCATTGACGGCAGCGTCACTTGCGTAGACAAGCAAGACTGACCTCCACTCTTCACGAGCGGCTCGGAGAACTTCAATCTCGCGCACTTTGCGGGCTGTGTAACCGATGACATCGCCATCTTGACTGGCCACCGAGTTGCCTTGTGCTTCCCTCTTGGCAGCCTGGCGGGTCTTCCCATCTTCGGTGGAATAACTGATCCTCCACCATTGATCTCCAATCGCCTGCTCACCATCAAGATCCATCAAATCGCCAGACCCATTCGCATCGGCGCGCTTCAGAATGTAGGTAACATGAGGCTCCGTGCAAACGCCCCGCAAAGTGTATTTGCGGAGAGGAGGCTCACCGGGGGCTTCTGGTGCCTCCGTGAGCCGTTTAGAGTAGCCGCGCAATGTTTCCATGGCGCTTTGTTTCCTAGCATCCAGGTCTATCGCTCAACGATTAGCAGATGAACATTTAACATCTTGGGCGACGCGGACAATACCTTTAAGTTTAGAGTCGATCCTATCAGAGATCGCCAAGAGCTCCTTCGAGATTTGATCGGCTTTCTCGGTCGTGATTTCGGTCTCCGTTGACTCTGTTCCGTTCGCTGGTTTCTTCGACACGGCCACTTTAGCCGCGGCTGCAGCTTTCTCAAGAAGGTGCTTGATGGTTAGGTTGCCTTGGATATTTTGAGGTGTGGTATAACGAGCCATGACGGCCTCCAATTCCTGAATCTCTTCTTGGACGCGCAGTCGCTTAGTGCGGAGCTCACGCGCAAGCTCTCGACAACTGCTCATGTACCGGTCGGGATAGAAGACGGCGGGCGCCTTGACGTTCACGGACTTTCCGTTATTGTAGGAGTCGAGCTTCATTGTGATCACCTCACCCACATGTTCAAGCCAGACATCATCAAGTTCCTCCCCAGGCCTATCACTCCAGATCGCGGTGTCTAATAGATCATAGAGGGTCTGGCCATTTTCTTGCTCGACAACAGGCTCAAATACAAAGAGTTCTCTCGACATGGCGTCATCCCCCTCGTCAAAAGGAGTTCGCTTGTAGGCGTGTGACATGAAAGCTGTTGTGAGAGGGCTGTCGGGAGCAGCCCTGATTGCTGCAGCATGCCAGGTTTCTAAGAACCGCGCGACGACTTCTTCCGAGTCGGAGGAGAATGAGGTTATGTCTTTGAGGTTGGCAAGGGCATCGCTGCTGCCAAATGAGCGCTTTGTTGAGTCCAAAAATGCCATAAGCCGCTGTGATTCGTAAATGATATCGTCCCAGTCATTGTCCCCGTTCTGTTGATCATGGACGGTCACAATCTTCGGGAGATTGATGGGCTGCCCACTCCACCATTGCGACTCCTGTCCATAGTCAAATAGCATCTTATTCCGTAGCAAGAGGGCTTCGCGCGCCAGAGGAATCTCGTGGAGAATTGTGAGGAAGCCTCCCAGGTAGAGGTTGTCATTCGTGGGGCGAATGAATGCTGGCTCGCCCTCAACTCGTTTGCGATCCTCTGGGTCGGGACTAAGGATAACTTCCTGAGAAGTCTCATTGAAAAGAGTCATCCCCCAATCCGCTTCCTCGTAATGTTCGCGCATAGCTTTCCCAAAGTGGGCTTGTTGTTGCTCGTTAGTCGTGGTTGTGATGACACCAGACTCCTGCTTTTCGATTCCTTGATTCAAAGACATTGCAACTGCCTGTTGGAGCTCTTGCTCCTCACGCTCGGCCAGAGTCAGTCCCTGTCCAGACGGCGCATTGCCTTTGAGACGCCACAAGTCAGCATCTTCCCACCACTATTATCGAGATGGGCGCATCCCTCACCTGCAGTACCCTGAGCAGCCGTTACTGCAGTACTCTCGAATGCGGCAGTTTCAGTTTGTTCATGAATATTCACTCGGGACGGAGGGCGAGAGGGAGGAGCTGTCGCGGGTACTCGGGACGGGTTGTCTTGCGGGCCATATGCGAATGCTAGAAAAGAAAAGAGTGCATCAGCGACTGATGAAAATGAAGTGGGATTAATCTTCGTACACGAAGTATTGCTCTCGCTGTAAAAACCGCTTGTCTAGTGCATGAAGCTCCGGTTAGCTTCTTGTTTCCAATACTCCAACTCAGGCGACGTGATTCGATTCACCTTTAGTTGGGACCCCGTTGGATCTTCGAAGTAGGCGTTGATGGCCTTTTGCGAGTCGAGATTGTTTGCCTATCACATCACAGGATTAGCACGAGCCGGAAAGCAAGACGTGAGGGAGACGTGAGAGTAGAGCGGACCTTGAGGAAGCTGATAGCTTGCTCGCGCGTCGTGCTGGTGAAGCTGACGAAATTCGCGATCGCATCCTCGGGCGGTTCGGTGGCCATGTTTGCTGGATATTGTTCCCTGGGCCAGAGAAACGGAGCTGAACACTGTCACTAAACGAGCATAGCAAGAAGTCTGTGGACCGCCAGTGGTGGACGACTTGGCTATCGCATCGGGAGCTGTTCCCCACCACATGACGCCAAGCGCCGTTCCGCTTTTTCCCCTTCCCGCTGTCCACTTTCAGTTTCCATTGTGATCTAAGCGTATGCTATTAATATCCCCTGGTCAAAGATACCTGACGTATATCTAGTTCTTTACTTTGTATAAAAAATGGGCTATACATTTGACATAGAGGTTTGTTCCCTCAATCTTTGTCAAGCTAGACAATACGTAGTTATCAAAAGACCTAACAATAACACCCATCAAAACAAGGCGATTATGGCGAACCATGAGGCAAAAGCAACATGATGTAACAAAGGACCCGAAGAATGCCAGTCAAGGCACCTTTGTTCTTGTTTGAATCAATTTTGTCTCTTCTTCTTTATTGGGTTGTTTCGTCTATTTGTCAAAGTTGTCTATGCTTCTTTCAGTACAAAGAATACGTCTGTCTCTAGCAGGAAGACACAGAGTCAGTCTTACCATAATGATTCTCGGAAATCAGATATAAAAGCAGATCTCCGCCCCATAAGTGTTCTTACTCCACAAATCCATCATTAGACAGTTCTTTACTACCATCATCTTCACTACCAGCATATTCACTACTATCATCATGTTCACACAGGATTCATCCACTCTCCCAGCTGGCGCTTCAATATTTCGCGTAAAGGATAAGAGACCAGCCTTTGCACAGGATGCGTTGGAGGTATGCCACAAGATCATCACTGCCATGTACTGGGATCTCGATACCATCTGGAAGCTGCAACAGCTTGTTAGAGGAACACCATCTCAAGAGGAAACACAGGCTTATCGAATCCACTTGGAGTCTATGAAGTCCTTCTTGGACCATGCAGCATCTTACAAATATGCTTACATCTTCCAATTCATCACAGGATCATCTTTAGATATCAATCGGTGTCTCTCCTTCCTCTTCGACCATGGGTGGGCCTTTTTCACCATTTGCGCCATGTCTGAATCGTTCCGAAAGGCCTTTTGCGGGATAGAGTCTGTTTTCTGCTGGAACGAGATAATGAAGATTATCTCTGCTAACCGGCGGAGTATCGAGGTCTTTATACGATCTCGTAATATCGACTGACAAGCACCCCTCCTGCCCTACCTCGATCTAAACCTACCGGGCATTTGCCAGGCAGTGAACGCAAAGGTAAACATTGGCACCGAACATGCTCACCATACAGTCCAAATGACGAGTAATTTTCTGAAGCGCCCTATTCATAAAGGCAGAGCGCAGGCGAATATTAACTCGACCGTCTATAAGGCTGCGAGTTACAGGCATATTCCTCTCTTACGCTTACACTCTGTCGGGCCCTGTGCAATCTGCATCTGCGAGCGGAATTGTTCATGCCACAACTTGGGCGGGTTGCCTGGTTGCCCAAGGTGCCATTGCCCAGAGGTCTGTCGGTGCAGTAACCCAGACTGGGTGACCTGCTTTAGCTGTGGCTCGCATGAAAACTGTCAATGTGTTCTCAATATTATGGCTGGTGATTTGGTCGAACTAAAAGAGTACCCCGTCAAGGGAACAGGAGTCCGGGCGTTAACTAACCTGAAGAAGGGGGACGTCCTTGGGGAGTATGTGGGTGAGTTTCTCCCCAAAGGCCACAAATGTACTGACGAGGTCTATGCCCTATGGCAGGTAGGATTCAGGGGCATGTGGTGTTTGGAAGACCCTGGTACACAGCCAGTTGGCACTATAACATCCGCCTTTCTTGGAAATTGGACTCGATACATCAATCACCACTGCGAAGCTAATTGTGAGTTTGTGCCGATAATGATTGGCGGCAGAGCCACAACCATCGTTCAGGTGATTCGTGACATCCCAATGTTTGATGAGCTTACCCTTCACTATGGTGAGAATTATTGGGTTTCGCGGTATTGTCGTTGTGGAAGCAAAATATGTTGTCGCCCTCCCCCACAGTCGACATAATATGTTTCTTGGGTTATCCCGGTATGTCTTCCTTTCTTAGCAATATTCGGTTTAGTTAGATTTGAATTTCTTCAATTTCACTCACGGTCAATCACTTCTGCTAGGCCATCTTAAAACTATAGAGTTCTCATGAAAGGAGACATTTACTAATATAGATATTAGACAGTTAACAACAGGTAAGGAGGGATAGCTTCATGATACAGGCATTTTGATCTTTTTTTACCATTTACTTGGTAAATGCAACCCTTCTAACAGACGAAGAATACACAGGGCCCTAATTAAACGTCACAGAGGAATATCCCGCCTATAGCTCGGAGCCCTATAAACGGTCGAGTTGATATTTGTCTGCGCTCTGCCTTTGCGAATCGGGCACTTCAGAAAATTACTCATCGCCTGGACTGTGCGGTGAGCATGTTCTGTGCTAATGTTTACCTAGCTTAGATTGAACATGGTGCAAAAGCTAATTTTCACTCTGCCTGGCGAATGCTCGGAAGATTCAGATCGAGGTATGGCAGGAGGGGTGCCTACCAGTCGATATTACGGGATCGTATAAAGACCTCGATACTCCGCCGGTTGGCAGAGATAATCTTTATGACCTTTCTCCAACAGAAAATAGACTCTACCGAGGGAGAGAAGCTTATCAGTCGGTATGCTGGGATCAGCCAAAGACTTCGCTACTATGGCCTCGTTGCAAATGCCCGCTAGGATGTTTAGATCGAGGTATGGAAGGTCGCTGCAGTATATAGTTAGCGTACTTCGAATACCCTGACATCCAATGCACTACATCACACTCTAATGATCCCGTCTCTGTCAGTATTATCTTCCATCCTTTATAGATTATTTATGGTCAACGTATTGAAGATGTCTGCAGGAACCTCGGACCCGCCCGACCCCGCAGTGCGGTTAGTGCGGGGAAGCTTCCAGCTTCAGAGCTGAGGTGACATTGCAGGTGATCCCTTGAACCTGACTGATTGCTGAATTGCGACATTTCAAACGTGGCCCTGCTCCTCCAGTTTCATCTCATACCACACCCAGAGTCATGAAGCTTCGGTGAAAACAAATTGGGATTCAGACACTATCATGCGCCCTTGCGGAGGGATCCTTGCGGCTCTTCGCGCCCGAGGCAGTCGTGGTGCCCCTGGTTTCCCACGCCCCGGGAGGAAGCTTCTTCAGATTGTTCCTCGGAGGAGCTTGTTAACAAATAGCTATGCACGAGGACCGTCCACTGTAAGTCTCTTACGAGTTCAGCAGATTACCAAAGGCTAACAATATATATCCGTCTGTAGCCGCCCTTGTTCGAATCGACTGTCGGTGAACATTTTGCGAAGATCGTGGCGGAACATGGCGATAGAACTGCGTAAGTTCTTCACCAACTTTTTGTCGGACCTCCTTAAGCCAACTCTGTTTAGTGTCGTCTCAAAACACCAGAATGACCGTATATCGTATGCCTCGCTCGATGCCAGGAGTAACGCCCTTGCCCGCGGTCTAGAGTCCGTTGGGGTAAGGAAGGGGGATCGTGTCGGGGTTATGCTGGGAAACTCGATGGAATATGCGGTGGTATGTGTGAATGCACTTATCTCCAAGAGAAAATATTGATAAATAACAGGCAACCTATGCTTTGTTCAAACTGGGAGCTATCTTGGTAAGTCGTATACCCAGAGAAGGCAGAGTCGACGACTGACACCTAGATAGGTCCCCCTCAATCCATCGTTCAACGCGACACAAGTGGTATCGGCACTGGGTCACCTCGAATCCAGATATCTAATCATCAGCGCCGAGTCAAATCTCCCTCGCAAAGATCCTCGCAGCAATGTCCCGCTCCTGGAGCATCTGATCGGCGATCTCTCGTCGTCGAAGTTGGAATCAGAATCAGTCCCCTCACTGAAACAGATCATTCTGGTTGATAACTCTGCGGGCCGATTTGATGCATCTTCGTATAAAGCCTTGACACCTTTCGCATCGATAATGTCCCAGATGGCGGCTGACGGCCGCCCATTACCTCCACAAAACCTCTCTCCACACGACATTGTCAACATCCAATTTACTTCTGGCACGACTGCCATGCCGAAGGCAGCTTGCCTGAGCCATCGTTCCATCTTGAACAACGGATCACAGATCGGCGACCGCATGCTCCTGACTCCAAATGATATCGTCTGTTGCCCTCCACCATTGTTCCATTGCTTTGGCTGTATTCTAGGATATATGGCAACGGCAACTCATGGCTCCGCAATTGTCTTCCCATCCGAGTCCTTCAATGCCCGTGCAGCACTCAAGGCGGTACAAGAAGAGAAATGTACTGCACTATATGGTGTTCCTACAATGTTCCTGGAAGAATTGAACCTTATTGAGACTGGAGAAATCTCGGGCGACGGCTTTCAATACTTGCGGACGGGCATCGCTGCGGGCAGTAGCATCCCGGCAGAGCTGATGCGGAAGCTGCACAGGGTCCTCAACCTCACAGAATTAACCATTTGCTACGGCATGACTGAGACGAGCCCTGTTTCGGCGATGACGACTACCGATGATCCGATCGACAAAAGGATCAACACTGTTGGAAGACTTATGCCGCATGTAGAGGCCAAGGTCGTGAACCCAACCGAAAAATCTCAAATCCTCCCCGTTAATATGCGGGGTGAGTTAGCTGTCAGTGGGTACCTACTTATGAAAGAGTACTGGAACGATCCAGAAAGGACAGCGGAAGTGATGATTGCGGATGGCGAGGGAAAGATTTGGATGCATGTAAGTTTAACTTGGAAATCCATCGACAGGAAGCCGTCTAACATGCACTCTCAGACCGGAGATGAAGCCTCCATGTCGGCAGACGGCTATGTGACTATCACTGGTCGTATCAAGGACTTGATTATCCGCGGTGGAGAGAACATCCATCCATTGGAAATTGAGAATTGTCTACTCGCACACCCCAATGTGACCGATGTTTCTGTTGTCGGGGTTCCAGATGAGCGATACGGCGAGGTTGTTGCTGCTTTTGTGGTCGCGCGAGAGCAAGCTTCCAAGCCTCCGACCATTGAAGAGATCCAGAATTGGGTTCGAGAAAAGCTGAGCAACCACCTAGGTAAGTGATAGTTTCTTGAAGCAGGCAAGATGATCGCTAACTTTCATAATAGTACCCAAGTATGTCTTCTTTCTGGGATCAGCAGATGCCTTCCCCAAGACCGCAAGTGGGAAGATTCAGAAGTTCAAGCTCAAGGAGCAGGCTATCAAACTAGTGGCGAGAGGGAAAGAAGCCATCGCAGATACCTAGAGCATGGAAATTTTCGGGTTGCATATATTACATGAACGAAGAACTCGTACGATCCTTGGTACAATTTGGTACGACCATTTAGATGACCATTTAGATATATACAGCGTAGCCCTTGTAGTTTCCTAGACATTCGCTGTATGTCATAATGACGTTGAAGCTTCCCCCAACATGAAGAACGAACAAATGTTGACTTCTGCGGGTTTGAGGCCGACAGTCATCCATGCTAATAGTTAGCAAAGGGAAACTGGGGCTGTTGCTGCCGCCCCCCCCTGAAAGTCGACTGGTATGGCATCAAGCCGCGAATGCTCGTTCGCCACCGCGACATGCTCGAGAGAGATGGCTTGTCGGCAAGTTCCCTATCTCTCGCTGAGATTTCGACGTGACAATGGGAGGAACCCAAGCACGAGAAGCGGTTACTATCTGATAAGGCGTACCAGCAAGACACAGGGATGGGTTTCGACTAGTCTTAAGGTGCGGTCAGGTTGGTCACCATCCATAACCGGCTCCAAACTTGGAGACGAGACCTGCTGGATATCGCAGCATACCAAGCAAGTCCGACAGCACCTCTCAGTTCCAAGTATATGAAAGTATCGTCGCCAGTATTGTCCCTTCAGAAATCCTGAATGCCAGTCTCGCCCTGTAGCTTGGCCTGGGCATCGTCGCCTCGAGCGTCACCAACCACCCATTCAGGCTCCTCATCTTCAAAGTATTTATCCTGTTGTTCCGTCCAGTCGTCGTACTCGTCGTTTTCATCGACAGTCTTGTAATCAAAGTCTGGGTCGTCGCCTCGCATGAATCGCAAGCCCATCTCCCACTGCCAAGCCTTCTCGCCCTCCTCTTTGCTAGCTGGGATATCATCGCGATCCTCGGCCAGGATCTCCCCGTTGGGACCACGCGTATAGCTTAGCATAGAGTTGGGATCCGGATGGGCGAGCGCGTCCATTTTCGCTTCAGAACGCATCAGATCTGTCTGCAGGACTCCCGAGAACCCCTTGGCGCGCCCTTGTGCTTCCCTTTCTTGCGGGGTTTGGAATCGGCGGATGAGGCGATCGTACAATAAAGGATCTAGAACAACCATTTCCACATCGGTTAGCTTGTAAATCAGATCTCTGCTGTCAGCCCTACAACCTGGAATCCATATGGAAGACTACAGAGACCAGGGTTGGGAGCTTGTAGCAAGGAAAGAGCAAGCGGACCGGCTAGCTCGAGATCCGCCGTAAAGTACTCGGGATGCAGATCCAAGTACCGCTTCCGACGGTTCTTGATTTTGATTGAGGCATGCTGGGCATCGCTAGATGCATCTTGGCTCGACTGGAGTCCCGTACTCATGGGGAAATGTGGCATCTTGGGGTCGTTTCAAAGATGTGGGGATGAGGTGAAGTTAGGAACGCGGAAGTGGGCGGCAAAAGTGTTGGTTTCTGCCACTCCGCAGAGCTTCTTTTTTTCTTCCTCAGCTTGATATGCTGTCGAACTGAGCTTGTACGTCCATCATCCGCTTCAAGTCCTGATGAAGACTGCCTTTGGGCATTTTCATCCTTCTTCATCCCAAAGATTGAGAGCAGAATCCCGCTAATACCCCCTTTCAGACTAACGTGCCTCCTGGGCTGATATCTAATTTGTACGGACTGTACTTCCCCCCAGAAGGTCTGAATACTTGGGCACTATGTCCGTCGAAGAATACGTTAGGCGGATCGACGCCAAACGGCTCGTCTCCGGAATTGCCTTGCTTTTTATTCTTGCACTCTACTCTCCTGTAATGGTGCTGGTGCTTTCCCCTGTCTACGGTTCCCTGCCATCCCATCTCTTCCATAGCTATGGTGTCGCCATTTTCGCCGGCGCTGGCTGGTTCTTGAAGGATCAGATCCAAAGACGCATTGGACGCCTCGCCGCCATCATTCTTCCTGTTTTGGCTTGCTGGACCCCTACCATCCAGTACTTTGTCCTGCAGCAGAGTTCTAAGCTCGGAAACCCGGCTGGTCCAGTCATCACTGAGCTGTTTGGCTACTATCCTCTTGTCATGTTGACTGTGGCTGTCGCCGGTAAGCAGATCCAGTACGCCTTGCATCTCGAGTCGCAGGGTGACCTCGTTGTCGAGCATGTGCCCCTACTCGGCTCATACGCCGTCTACTCCCTTGGCGAGCATATTGCCCGAGCAATCCTGGCTCGTGCAATTGGCTTCACCATTGTTTTCTCTCGTGCCGGCTTGCAGTTCCTCATTGGTGTGCTGTACGCTGCCGTGATCCCATCCAAGCTGCTAGTCCTGGCAATCCCGTCCTTGCTCTTCTCCGTTACCTCTGATGTCCACTTGGGAGGTATCAGTGGCGTGAACTCGGTCCTCCAGAAGGAGGGATACTCCCTTCTGGCACGCCAGGAGTCCTACACTGGATACATCTCGGTTCTCGAGAACCACCAGGATGGCTTCCGGGTGATGCGATGTGACCACAGTCTCCTTGGTGGGCAGTGGACCAAGTCTTCCCCAGGCTATAATCCGGAGGTCGAGGACCCAATCTACGCGGTCTTTGCTATGCTTGAGGCTGTCCGACTGGTTGAGCCTGACAACGGTGGCCCTCGTGTTGATGCTGGTAGCAAGGCGCTTGTTATGTAAGATGGCCCCTTGCCGAAAGTAATGCTATTTAACACGAGTGACTAACGAATGACAGTGGCCTCGGTATTGGTACCACACCAGCAGCATTCATGAAGCATGGCATCGAAACTACCGTTGTTGAGATTGACCCCGTCGTGCACAAGTATGCCACCCAGTACTTCAACCTCCCGTCAAACCACATCGCTGCTATCGAAGACGCAACCCAATTCGTCAAGCGCGCGAAGAAGTCCTCATCTCCCCAGTACGACTATATCATCCATGATGTGTTCACTGGTGGCGCTGAGCCCGCGGAGCTCTTCACTTATGAGTTCTTGACCGACTTGAGCTCCCTGCTCAAAGATGATGGTGTCATTGCCATTGTAAGCCCAATCCCAGACCCCCTCTTGGCAACACGTATATTTTCTAACCGTCTGTAGAACTATGCTGGAGACCTCAAGCTTTACCCCACCGGCCTCATTGCCCGTACCATCCGGGCCGTTTTCCCCTCATGCCGCATCTTCCGTGAACAGCTGGCCGACAAGAGCGATGAAACCCAGGACTTTACCAACATGGTTTTCTTCTGCAAGAAGACCTCTGACACCCCTGTCCAGTTCCGGGATCCAGTCCCCTCGGATTTCCTGCGCAGCAAGTCGCGTGAGAACTACCTTGTCCCCAAGTATGAGATTGACCCTGCCGTCTTTGCGACTATCCCCTACAAGGGAAGACCCGTTTTGATTGAGAAGCAAGTCGGACGTCTGCACAAGTTCCTGGACCGGGGAGCCTTGGAGCACTGGGAGATTATGAGGAAGGTTATCCCCAATTCCGTGTGGGAGAACTGGTGATGGCTCAATCCAATGCCGAGTTTGAGCACAAAAGAAGTGTATGATTTTATAATTACCTACTTGTTCATTTAGGATATTCAATTTATCAAAGAAAGAAATATTGAATCAATACTTTCAATTCCCAGTTTATCACACAAAGAATCCACAGAGATTTCCTGCTGACATGACACCTGCCCGTAAAGCGTGATATGCATACATTTCCACGCATACATTTGATAAAAAGTTGGGATTGACTACGGGCTCCCTCCTTTGGCCGGTCCTCGGAATATACTCACTTGTCGAGGTCATGACTTTATCACAGGCGCAGGCGATTACCTACGGTCGAGATCAGGAGCTCACTACCAGGACCGTTGGCTTCTTCCGGGACAAGGGGCTTGACTTGTGCACTTATATCATGCCAAGCGTATAACTACGGCTTTACAGGCGCTGTTCGGGGGCGTCATCGCTGAGTTGGTGTCACTCATAATGATACGCTAGGCGTTGGAGGTCAAGGAAAGCTGGACCCAGAGGGGAAATGGGTGCCGCGCGTAGCAGAGCACATCCAGAGAGCAAACCTCTATATCGGAAAGAGTGACCATTTCTCAAATTTCGGGTACTCAAACTCTCTCCTTCAACCACCTTTCCTCAATCTTCACTTTTGGAGCCTTACCAACTCACTTGCCATCCGAAGGGGCCTTTCTTTGGCCAACTCCAGCCGTAACTCTTCGAAGTTTCCATCATGTCCGCTGAGCAATCCTCTCGCTAGATCAGACTGAATCCGCCATGATTGTACGGCCCGGCGCGGTGCGAAGTATGACCGTATAAACTACACTAATACCGGGGGAGAACAGAATTCACTACAACAAAACGATTAAGTAGATTGTTAAAGCAAAGACATTTTGACGTCTTAGGATACAGTACGTCCCTTAGCCGGCGTCGCCACCTGCATACTCTTTGAAGATTTCTCTAATTGCCAAGGTACGCTAGCACGTACATATCTGTATCACATTATACGGAGTACTCCGTACAAATTACGACGACTTTCATGGCGAGTGCCAAGTGCCAAGTGCTGGTGGCAGGGTTTGAGCTCCCTAATCAAGACAAGCGCAGCCTCCCTCCCTCTATGGGGTCTTTTGGATGGCTTAAAATATCGAAACTAACCCCTGACAGGGATGCCGGATAAATAGAATAATAGGCTAAAATCCCATATATAGTCGCGCTTTACAGCTTACATGCAAGCGTACCTAACCCCGGACTTGTCGGTGACCGTGTGACCCCACTGGGCTGGGGATAGGGTCCCAACCCAGCGAGCCTCGTGCAAGGGTCCTAAGGGGCGGCATAACATTCGCTTATTGGTATTCCGTATATGTAGAGGCAGGCGTGCAATCCTGGCTTGTGTGCTGACTTGTTTCATTCATCGCCAGGGGAATGGTCTCGTTCCTAGTTGGCTTTCCAGCGCCTTCGGAAACCTCGCTTTCTGTATAACTTACCAGATTTCGATTTCATTGGTTCATCACATTCATTTTATACGAAACTTGCTCCCCAGACGATCTCCAGGCCGGGATGATGGAAATCGCACCGGAAACCACCCATCCTGCTGGGGTAACCACGGTCGTGCACAACACCGAGGAAAGTGAAGAGCAGCCTGCAACTGGATATATGCAAGGATGGGCTCTTGCTTCTTTGACCTTGGCCTTCATGTCCATTTGCCTCGTGCTAGCTATTGATAATACCATCCTATGTTTGTGCTTCCCCATAACGTGGTGGAGAGGGCATCAGATCTAACTGGCCTACCAAGCGACGGCGATACCCCGTATAACCAGCGACTTCCATAGTCTTAACGACATCGGCTGGTATGGCACATCCTACTTGATCGCGCAAATGGCCCTGCTACCAACCTGCGGCCGCCTCTACGCTTTCTATAACATCAAGTGGGTGTACTGCATTTCCCTGGTGATCTTCGAGATCGGCTCCATAATCGCGGCAGTCGCCCCGAATTCTATAGCGCTTATCATAGGGCGAGGGGTGTCTGGCCTCGGCGCTGCTGGTTTGGTTAGTGGGACGACGACGATTCTGTCATATTGCGTGTCTTTGAAAAAGCAGGCGATGCTGTCGCCTATCGTCCTGGGAATGTACAACATTGGGTCAGCTATTGGACCACTCGTGGGTGGTTCGATAACAGATAACAAGGCGCTCACATGGCGGTTTGTTTTCTGGATTAATCTCCGTAAGTCTCTGTCAAACGAAAAGCATATATGCTATCCCACTAGTCACTGGCTAAAAATTTCAAGCCTTCGGAGCCGTTGGGCTGGTTCTGGTCTGGTTCACCTTGAAGAAACCTCCACCCGCAGTAAAGGGAGACCTACCCTGGGCCCAGAAGCTACGTCAACTTGACCTTCCGGGGGCTACTCTGTTGCTCGGTTCAACATCGTGTTTGAACTTGGCATTACAGTGGGGTGGGATTGTCTACCCATGGTCTGACGCCAAGGTGTTTGGGTGTATGATCGGATTCGGTCTACTTTTGATTACCTTCTTGTGCTTGCAATTCCGAAACAAAGAAAGGTCAGTTCCTGCTCTTGTAATTACAGTCATGACTCACATAGAGGATATTGATCCAGCATGTTTGCTAACATCGCCCAAGCTCGAATATCCCTCTTCACATCTTTCGAAGTCGTACCGTATCGGCTTCATGCAGCTTCATGATGCTCGTTCAGGTGGCTATAGTACTCCAATCGTACTTCTGGCCCATATACTTCCAGTCGGTCAAAAACACCAGTGCCAGAGACTCGGGAATCAATCTTCTCCCGTTGATTGTATCGAACAGCCTCGGCACGATCTGCTCGGGCTATATAGCCTCGATATTCGGGCACTATGTACCGTTCATGTGGACCGGACCTCTGGTACTAGCTACTGGAGGGGGTCTATATCAGCTAGTCCGCGTCGACAGTCCGCGCGGACACTGGATAGGATTCCAAGTCCTCTCTGGGCTTGGCTATGGTATCTGTAGCCAAATGCCAATCCTGGCTGTACAGGTTGTTCTCAGCAAGCCCGATATACCAACGGGCCTTGTCATGATCATGTTTTTCCAGATGCTTGGGGGTGCACTAGCCCCTAGCGTTGGGCAGAATCTCTTCACTGACGGGCTTCTGCAAAACCTCAGCAAGGTGCAGGGAGTAGATAGTGCAGCCGTAGTGGCGGCCGGTGCAAGTGGGTTTAGGGCGGTGGTTCCTTCCAGGCTGATGGATGCCGTCGTGGATGCATTTAATTCTGCTTTGAGGAAAGTGTTTTGGGTGGCGCTTGCTGCTCCAGTCCTTGCTTGGATAACAAGCTTCGCAATGGAGTGGCGGCAATTGCCTGATTCTAAGAAGCAGAGTACCCAACCCCCAGACGAGGAGGTCGCGGAGAAATAGCTTGGTAGCAATAAAGAGTGTCCCGGGGCTGCAAAGGGGGCGAGCCATGGGCCTGGCTTCACCAGTGAGTAGTATGCCCGATCCGATTTTCTACTGTGTCGACTCCTCGTAGCACTTTGAGGTATTCATCTACACTACGTGGGACTTGCTGTTACATTCACATTGTACTGTTAGGTAGCAGGTAGAATAGACACAACTATACAATACACCAACAAAATCACAAAGACAATTCATATTGGTATCATTATCTAACACCCCGCGAAAAGCCATAAGAAAGTCACAGTAGAGAAAAAGGAAGATTATGCACAAGCCATCGGCAGATCAGAGAATGGGTCGCCGATGCTGTAGTCTCGGACTTCTGTCATATGTACGCCCACGGCACTAAAATACAGCCCAGGGAGGGAAAGAGTGAAGGGAAGCTTAAGCGGAGGGGCTTCCACGAGGACTGGCGCCGGGCTTCTTGACAAGGCCTGCGAAGAAGTTTGCCAATGCTTGGTTGTGAGCTTTCTCGTCGCCTGGGTTTGTGGGTGTGCCTTCTTTCTTTTGGGCACGGCTGGCTTCTCGGTCCTAGAGAGGGATATGTTAGAAACAGAAGGGACAGACTCGAGCTCGGTATAAGGCTGGTGCTTACCTTTAGCTTCTTCAACATATCATCTGCATCAACTTGGATACCACCCATGTTGAATTGTACAGGACCAATGTGCTCGTTGACTCTGCCCTCATCCTCCATGGGAGACATTTCCAGTTGTGGGGTAGGCTGGGTAGACCGTTCCTTGTCATCCTCAGCGCGAAGCTGCTCCAGAAGCTCGACTTGCTTAGCGAGGAAGCCCTGCATTTCTGAGGTCTCGACTTCGATCTTGTTTCCATTGGCAGTAGCAGGGTGGGCAATACTCTTGTCGCGCTTGGGATCTTGAATAGTTTGCTCAAAGACCAGCACTGCACTGGTGCCGTCCTCGGCATTCTCGCTCTGTTGGCCAGCATCTTGGGATGGCTCAAGCGGTTCGGGTGCATCTTGGATTTCAATCGACCAGGCAGTTGATACACCTTCCATGTCGAATCCTTCGCGAATAATTCGAATTTTACCCCAAGAGTCCCAGTTGGCGGGGACTAGGATCTTATCGCGGTCGATAACGTTATGTTTTAATGACTGTCGTTTCAGAAGAGAATGTATACCAAGGGAAGAGTGGATCAGGCTCTGCAGAGAGTTGGCGAGGAAAGGCGTAGTATAAATGAGCGAAGCGCCGTCTGTTTGTAGAGTTAGACCGATATGAACATCAAAGCAAGGGCTAATAACTGAAACTCACGCTTCAGCAGGATGGTTCGCAGGAATTGGAGAATGAAATCGAATTGCTCTTCGTGCCAGCCGTGGTCTTTCTCCAGCTTTTCAATCTTGTCCGCCTGTGAATATCGATTAGTGAGAACGTTCTCGACACCTCGGGTCTTGATAGGGTATGCATACTCCTTGGCAGACGACACACATCGGGATACCCAAACCCTCATCCCATTCACCAGGGCCCAAGGGTATTGTGACAGGGCCTCCAGAGTTTGACATTCCTCCCGCCGCTGCAGAGCCAGCATCCATGCCTCGTTTGCGGTCCCTCCACTCTGTCATGGTCTCCTCCATCACGATCTTGGTATCGTCCTCGAGTGAAACCAGCACAGAGCGAAGAAGGCGCACCCATTCTCTTAACCGCCGAATCCACGTCCATGGGTCTGACCAGTCCAGGAGAATGACGACAAGCGTTTCGGGCACAGATTGAGGGGTCAGGAGCGGTTTGAGGAGAGGAGCGAATGATGGAGAGGGTTCGGACAGAAGGTAAGCCGACACACGCGCCAGCGTATCTAGAAATTATGAATGTCAGGATTCGCGGCACATGAAATGATATCATCTAGAGAGTCTCCGCACCTTCTTGGTCGGCATCAAGTACGTCTCGGTATGTGTATCCCAAGGCAAACTGATTGGCGATTGGAGGCGTCTTGCCTTTCCGTTTATCATTTACCAACCCAGGATCTGCGGAGGTATCTGCAGAGAATGTCTCCAAGAAATCCCTCTGGCTTTCCGGTGTACCCCCTAAGGTCAAGAAATTTAGTATCACCAGTCGCTAAAGAAAAGCCGGGCGTGGGCCGAGCAGGAATGTTGGCCAGAACGAGGGGTCTCTCTCACTCACCTAGGATCAACAAGTTCTTCTCCGGCAAGCGCTTTCCATTAGCGACACCATCTAGCAACGAGGACCAAATATTCTTCTTTGAACCATCCTTGCTCGTAGGCCGACTGTTCGTACCGGCCGCTTTGGTTCCGCGATTCGGACTGGACGACATCGTCTGGTCTAGTGCCACTATGCCTCAAAGGGCATGCACCATTCCAAGCACCTAGACAAAGTGTAGAAGTTTCGAGGGCCGTGGCGCGAAGAAATGTCGGATCGGAGGTCGTGGTGGAGGGGAGGTCACGGCCAAAGATCGCGCGCGGTCAGGGGAATCTGGAGAAAGCGGGCGGAGGTGGATTAAATCACGGCTCGACCTGGACAACAACAGCCAGGAGCTTCTTCAGCTATCGAATGGGATAATGTCTCGTGGGCGACCGACTTGCATCCGACGACGTCACGGAGGATGGACCAGGGGGGGCTTGGGGTTGAGTAAACAATTGGCGATTTTACGGTTCCGCAGATGCTCCGGGTGGAGCCCTTTCCTTTCCAGCTTTCTTTCTTCAATCCCGCAACCTTACCACTCTCCTCTCCCCCACGGCCCACTATGAACGCCATTCGCCAGACTCAGGCGCTCAACAAGCGCGAGCTTGAAAATGCGGTGTAAGTTGCAGTTTATCATGATGCTTGTTTCTCTTATGGCCCCGGAACTAATTCTGTCGCGCTTTGTCTAGACCACCCGAGGCGTCATGGCATGCAGACTACCGCGACACCGCGTATATCTACATCGGCGGGCTTCCACTGGATCTCTCTGAAGGTGATATTGTCACAATCTTCTCTCAGTACGGAGAGCCGGTCCATATCAACCTGCTTCGTGACAAGGAAACGGGCAAGAGCCGAGGCTTTGCGTTCCTCAAATATGAGGACCAGCGCAGCACAGACCTTGCAGTCGATAACCTAGGTGGCGCAACCGTTTTAGGGCGTCTGTTGCGCGTGGATCATACACGGTACAAGCGCCGTGACGATGAGGAAGAAGGAGATAATGTCGCACGACTGATGGGTGATGCGACTATTACTGAGAGCAAGAAGGATGGCGAAGATGGTCGACGTGATCGCAGGAGAAGGCCCAGCGATGCCGACAGAGAGGAGCGCCGACCTATGCTCAAGGAAGAAGTGGAGCTCCAGGAGCTCATTCAGAATCACGACGAGGAGGATCCCATGAAGGAGTTCCTCATTGAAGAGAAGAAGGAAGAGGTTGCGCTTGCGCTAGCCAAGTATCAGAGCAGCAAAAAGTCCTCCAGGAGGCGTGACGACAGCAGAGAACGATCCAGTCGGCACCATCGCCGCCATCGCTCTCGTTCCACGGAACGCAAACGTCGTGATGATCGGTCCCCCGACAGAGAGAGGAAATCGCGGCGCCGGTCCACCGATCGCGAGGAGAGGTCGAGAAGAGACCGCTCTGTGGAACGGGAGGAACGTCCTCGTAGGGATCGGTCGGCAGAGAGGGGAGAACGATCTAGACAGGATCAAACAACTGAGCGATCGCGCTCGCCGGGCTCCCGAAGACACCGCAGTGATCGAGACCGGCACGATCGTCGCCGCTGAAGGGCTCTCATATGCCACTTCTATGCTCGCCTATCTACATGCCATGAACGAAACTCCACATACACAAGGTTTTGTGCTATCTACACGAACTGGCCCAAACCTCACAGTCCACTGTATCTAGCTCGGACAGGCCAAACCACCGCCCAGCAGCGGTACCAAAACCTCAAGACTTCCGACCTTGATCTTATACCTCTGTGTGCGCCAAATTGGTCGAATATATTCACAGCATGGGATTCTTGGGCATGTTCAGCCCCCCAGATATCGTTTCCAACCGTCGCGCATGCAGTATCGCTTTCCATCATCACCATCCCGCAGAATGAACTTCTCCCAACGCCCATCCTGGCCAGATCCAATCACCAAAAGAGTCCGATTATCCATCCACCCAATGACACCTTTGGGAGGGCGCCCCATCGATGTGCCCATGGGCGTCGCATACGGTGACCCTGGCGTTGCCTCATCCCCAATCTCAAAATGCGCACTGGCAAAAGAGTATACATCGGAGAATACTCGCGGTAGCAGAGGTAGTCTGCCTAAGATGCCCCATTTCTGATTCGTCCCCTCCTCAGTTGCAGAAGTGGGCGACTGGCTCCGGTGGGCGAGGTGAGGGTGGGGTATATCGAAGATGTGGAGTGTTGATTTGTCGGAAGTTACTGCTAGAAGGGTATTGGATGGAGAGAATGAAAGAGAGAATATTACCGCATGGTCCACACCTCGGCGCAGCTCTGCCAGCTTGGTGCAATTCCCTGTAGAAAACACACGGATCAACGTTCCCTGCAGAGTGTTAGTAATGTAGAAATCAGTTACCGCCAGTGAGATCCTCACAGCTTCGCTGGCAGTTGCAAGCACTTCCCCGTCAGGGCTCAGTGTCATGGCGCGCAAGGGAGAGCTATGTGCTGGTATAATGGTGATATTGCCCGTCTCCAGCTCGACGACTTGCACCTGTCCCGGGGACCGGCCTGGGAAAGCAAGCAGCTTCTGGCCCAGACAGGCCAGTCCCAGCGGGTTATCTGAAGTCTCGAATACAGATAGTTTTTGTGGAGGTGTCGAGAATGCAAATACATGGATGCTGTTCAAGAGCGCAACCACGATCCTGGACTTGGAGAGGCGAACACCGAGGACGGAGGTGCGGAATTCGAGGGTTATGGCGGCTTTTTGCTTTGCGTCGTCCCAGATAACGAGCTGAATGGGAATCTTGTGAGTACTAGTTCAGAATTTGAATGAAAGGTGAGGGTTGCGCGTACTTTGTTCTGGGGAAATTTGGGGTTTCGTCCTCCACCGACAATCGCAAGATAGTTTGACTGGCCAAGCATTTCAACCAGGCCGATTCCTGCATTGAAATCTAGTGATCGAGTAATATTCGTTAGTTGAAAAGAGCTTCCATCAACGTATGAGAGTAATCAAACTCACCTCGAGAAACCTTGAGCTCGCACGGATTCGCATTGAACACTGAACAATAACCCTTTCTTAGCCTCGGCTGCATTGTTTGAAGCTCCTCGACAGCCTCGTCAAGCTGCGCGCACGAACGCTTACCACAAAATCCAGAGTTCAAGCCCACTGAGAAACAGCTGCTGTCACTGTTGAAGGCCGCAGACAGCGAATACGGCCCAATAGACTCGTCAATAACTTGGCGGGTGTTCATAGTTGCAGACCATGACGTGGGTCACCAAGCTTGGACCGGGGGATTGATCTGGGATGAGGAAGGTTGCAGGATGCAGTTCGATTGTTTGGAGATGAGAGTAGCTGTATCGAGTGTTTCAATCAGCAGCTGTCAACATGTGTAGAGAAGTCGAGCTCTGCAGAGTGGCGCAGATCCGCATGTCGCAAAGGGCGGATCTGCGATAAGAAGAGCAAAATGCGGGCGCGGGAGAAGCTCTGGGCTGGGATCCACGCTTGAGTGCCTGGGTGCCTGAATTCATGGATTATGTAATCCCTCCGGTGGTCAGGAGCGACCCACTATGTTTGTAGCCCCTGAGTGCTAGTAATGGAGTCCTCTATAGCCAGAATGAGAAGATTGTAAATATCAAGATCATAGAAAGGTCAGGAAGTATCTCATAAAGTAGTCACTCTGTAGCTATCACCAATTTAAAAGCCATTGGGCCCGTTGTGGAGTTTCTATCTGGTCTGGTCGCCAGCCAAGCTGGAGAAGAGGAGCGTCCCGTGATTGGCCCGCGGCAGAGGGAAAGGGGGAAACACGAACTGTCTTTCCTCACATCCCCCCCCTACTACTGAACCACTACTACTTCTCCGTCCAAATCGAACCTCAGGAGAGTTTCATCCTCACCCTCTTCTTTGTGAATTCCCTTGCTGCAAGGCAATTTCTTTTCTCCTGCATCGTCTCCCCTTTCCTTTCCACACCTAGCCCACCATGTCGTCGGCTCTCAACGCGGTATGTTTTCCCCTTTTATTCCTCTCCCCCCAGCTCTTGCCCCATACTTTCCGAAAGAAAAAAAAAGATCACTCGAGCTGACTCTAGACCCCCATGTGGGTAGATGAAGATTCGCCGCAAGAAGAATGTCAAGAAGGGAATTCAGTTCTGTTTGATGGTGTGCGGTGCTAGCGGAACTGGTATGGCCGACGATGGAAACCTCCCCCCGTGGTCTGGCCAATTGCTAACTAATCATCTTTCAAATCAGGTCGCACAACCTTCGTCAACACTCTCTGCGGAAAGAAGGTGCTGGAGGGCAAGGAGGCCGATGATGCAGAGCATGCCCACATCGAGGAGGGCGTTCGCATCAAGCCCGTCACTGTTGGTGAGTGAGAACCTCTCCGCTGAGCAGTCAACGGGAACCAATGCTGACTTTTCGGATCACCGCAGAGCTCGAGCTGGACGAGGAAGGCACCCGCATCTCCCTAACCATCGTTGATACCCCCGGATTCGGTGACCAGATTGACAACGAGGCGAGGCATGTTCACACTCCGCAACCCGCATCCTGTCCGAACCCTCAAGCCTCCCCTCTTGCTAACACCCCCTCACAGCTTCGGCGAGATTGTTGGATACCTCGAGCGTCAATACGATGATATTCTTGCAGAGGAGTCCCGCATTAAGCGTAACCCCCGTTTCAGGGACAACCGTGTGCACGTGTTGCTCTACTTCATCACACCTACCGGCCACGGTCTCCGCGAACTCGATATCGAATTGATGAAGCGCCTTTCCCCCCGTGTCAACGTCATTCCCGTCATTGGCAAGGCCGACTCCCTCACCCCCGCAGAATTGGCCGAGTCCAAGAAGTTGATCATGGAGGACATTGAACACTACCGCATCCCCGTCTACAACTTCCCCTACGACATTGAGGAGGATGATGAGGACACTGTTGAGGAGAACGCCGAGCTCCGTGGACTGATGCCTTTCGCCATCGTTGGCTCCGAGGACTTTGTTGAGATTGATAACCGGAAAGTGCGCGCCCGACAGTACCCATGGGGTGTGGTCGAGGTTGAGAACCCCCGGCACTCCGACTTCCTGGCCATTCGCAGCGCCCTCCTCCACAGCCACTTGGCTGATCTGAAGGAAATCACTCACGACTTCCTCTACGAGAACTACCGTACCGAGAAGCTCAGCAAGAGCGTGGACGGTGCTGTTTCGTATGTCTTTTCTGTGGAAACGTCCCCCTGTCAAATGATCATCGATACTAATTCATCAAACAGTGGCATCGACTCTTCTATGAACCCCGAGGACCTTGCCTCCCAGTCCGTCCGTCTCAAGGAGGAGCAGCTCCGCCGCGAGGAGGAGAAGCTGCGCGAGATCGAGCTGAAGGTGCAGCGCGAGATTGCCGAGAAGCGACAGGAGCTGTTGGCTCGCGAGAGCCAGCTCAGAGAGATCGAGGCTCGCATGGCGCGCGAGGCCAGCCAGCACAATGTCAGCGAAGCCGCCAATGGGGAGGCTTAGATTTACTCTGTCGTCGATGCGGCTCATTCAGCGGGGCGCCGGTTCGCAAAGTGATACCGTTTGTGCCAACTCATGGACTTCGTGGCACGAAGTTGGTTTCTGTTTATGGGGATAATATTGACTGTTTATTCACGTTAATAGCTTTTTTTTCTTCTTTTCTTGCTATTTCTTACCCGGTGTCTCTACGGAGATGGACAAGATTCCCAACATAGAATGCAACCTTCTGGTTATTCGACGACGGGCACCTAATTTCTCCATTTCTTGCTTCGGTTGAAGGAGGCAAAAAGAGCGCATGCCAAATTATTGAGATGGAAGATCTTGCTATCAATTGCTCCCTCCATCTCAACCTCCTACCCGATGGCTCTTATCTCGTCCCTCAACCCGGGAAACAGAGACATAAGAACGGTCCTTTTCTCATTTCGTTTTCCCAGTGTTTTAATCGTCCACTTCTTCGGGGGCTTCTATTTCCTGCATATCCTGTTGTTTTTTTTTTCTTATTCCCCCCTGTCCCACTCCCTCCTATCTTGATCGATCCCCCTCTCCGGCTTTTCCTCTCTTGTTTCCGTTTCCTCCCTGGCACCTTGTCCAAAGTCCGCAGCGCAGCAAGATTCCCTCTTCTCTTTTGTTGTTTTGTGTTTTTGGTCATGTCTTGTGTCTATCCTATTTTTTTCGCTGTCTTCCTAGCTCGATAGTAAATCAGGAAGAAAAAGTATCTTGGCCTCTTGTTCTTTTGGTACATGGTTTGCTTAGAAATTCGGAGCATCCGTAGATACTACCGAAGTAGGTGGCAGGATCCATGTGTCTGGCTTCTATATAGGCAGGCAGCACAAGTTGTCCTGTCACTATCTCTAGTTTCGACTAATGTTTAGCCCTTGCAGGGACCACCTGGGCTGCAAGATATTTCCTAATAGGATGAATTGAAGTGGACCCACCTAAGGTAGCGACGATATATCTCACGAAACTACAGATGAAAAAGGTCAAAGCCTTCATATCAACGGCATCCATTTGAAAAATATGAAGATACCTCGAAAACAGTACAAGTAAATAATACCAAAGAAGTAGGGGGAAAAAAGCTAGAAGATCCAAAGACATGATCATCACTTCGCAGGCCATGCGGAGGCACAACCCAAGAAGAGGTAAAGAAGAGAGAGAGGGAGGAAGAAAATAATAAAAGTCCAATAAAATTTTTAAGGAGAAAGTAAGGCAACTCGAAAAGATGCAACGACGAACGGGGCGACGAGCAAAAGAACAGTCGGGCAGACACGCAAGAAGTGGTATTTTGCGCTTCCATTGTACACACGGACGGACAAAGAAACGAGATGCGGGGGGTTTGAGGTCTTCAGGGTGAGAAGAGGGAGGGAGATTGGGAGGAGATGGAAGAGATGGCGAAAGGGAGGGGGTGAAAGGCGAGGACGTCCAAGACGTCACACTGGTATAAAAATGATGATGCTGGGCACAAATAAGCCTCGAGGCTAGAGGAGAGCCTGGAGACTATGCAACACACAGAAGCGCTTTGTATTCGTTGGTACCCTAATCTCTCGGCGAACCAGCCGTGAAAGAATGGCGCAAAAGCAATTGGAACTGGAGAGACGGAGTATCTAGAAAGGCATTATGCCGAAGCAAGTGGATGGAGACAGCAAGGCTCATGCAAATGTGGTTATATAACCAGCCAAGGCTAAATCTGTTGTGGCTTGTTCCAGAAATCCAAGCTGGCAACCACATCCTCGCCATTCTCATCCTCATAAGCGTAGATAATCTCGCGAGTCGAAGAATGCAGCATACGGATGTTCTTGCCGGTCATGATGTGAATCAGCTCGCTTGTCTCAACATGGCGAATTTCGATAAAGTTGGGCTCGAATGCCAGGATGTAAGGGTAGGACAATGCAAAGGCGGTCGGATTACCCTCCCAAGAGATCCTCCAGTCTGGACGAGCCCGCCAGCCGTTGCGGTTGACGAAGAACGAGAAGTCACTGTAGTTCAACAGGAACTCGCCGTTCATACGCTCGATGTGGATGGGCTTGACGTTTTCCTTGCGGGCGACGAAGTCCAGTGATGTATCAGCCTGGTCCAAGAGCGATTGTGTCTCGGTTGTTTCAAGACTGACGACCTCAAAGCCACGAGCACAGCCAACACACAGAGTAGACCGCAGGAAGTGGATCGAAGAAGATTCAGCAGGAATGTAGTATTCCTTGAAGGGCTTAAGAGTATCCTGCCCACTCTGGAACATCTTGCTGACAGCAGACTTCTTCTTGCCCTTGGCCAAATTGTCCATCGGCTCGTAAACCTTGATGGTACTCGACAGTGCGGATGTTTTAACCGAGCAGACAAGGTGACGACCAAGACCAATTCCGGCCTTGAAGAAGTTTGCATGACCTTGAATCTTCTTCGGGCGTTTCGCCAGGGTATTTTGACCCTCTCCTATCTCAAGAGCATCCAAGGGGTAAGACTGGAGGGTCTTGTTTGCCAAGACCAGGAGCAATTGATATTCTTCCAAAGTATCAATCTGGGTGACCTGGCTGGCCTCCAGAACCTTCCTGGGCTTTGCGTTCTTATCCTTGGGCCAGCGTTCTGACAGGTAGATGCCGCTGTCAGTTCCGTAAACCAACTTGCGTCCTCCATCTGAAAAGTCAACAACGTCAGTTAAATTCAAGAAAACTAAATCCAGTGCATAATGGGGTGAACTTACCAACTGGAACACAGCAATTGACACGGTTGATGGCAGAGAAAAAGTTCTCAGACAGAACCGTCTTATTGTAGAAGTTGCTGTTTCGTTCCCACAACTTTCGTTGTTGCTCCTCGACCATTTCGATGAACTTCCGTCGCTGGGTTGGAGATGTTGCATAAAGAGTCTGCTCGTAGCCGCCTTTGCCCAGATGGCGGAACGTAATCGGGAGCTGTCCGTCTTTGGTAGGGGGAGGGTTAGGAGCGACTTTGTTGGACAAAAGGTTCGATGATGGCCGTTTGGAAATTCCCAAGCGAGGAATGACCTCGTCCATTTGAGCGATGACCAAGAGCTCAAGAGGGATAGGCTTCTTGTATACACGGTACTCTTCTCGCTTGTTCACAACCTTGATACGAACAAGAAGCACTGCGTGATCGAAAAGATAAGCAGTTACCTCCGAGCTTTCTCCGGTGGTCTTCTTGAACGCCATTTTAGTGAGCATCTGGCGGTTCTCCTCGGTGAGCTTCAAGTCCACGTAATCACCGGGGTTGAACTTCAATTGATTGTTCAGCTGCACCAAGTTGAAGTGGTTCTCTGCCTTGCCACTCTCAGTATTGACGCGCGAGAGGAAACTCTTGATGAGTTTCACAGCCTTGGGGATGTCCTCCTTGTCAGGATTATCATCCGCCGTATTTTTGAGTACAGACTCGAGAAGCAATGGGTATCGAGCAAGACGAGTGGTGGGCTTGGTAAGGTAACCATTCAGTTCAAGCTTTCGGGACTCCTTGAGACGCTCGGTGTCCTCCACAAATTTGGCAAAGCCCGGATTTGACCCCTTCTCCTTCTCAAACTCGAATTTACCGTAGAGCTGGTTGGCACCGTACTTGATGAAAGGATCGAAGCGGGGTACGTGCTGAAGGAAAATATCACCAACCGTCTTGACAACGTGGCTCTCCTTTTGACGGGCATTCAGAGCTTCGCAAAGGGCGCTGTTGACCTTCAAAACCTCCAAGCAATTTCCAAACACGGTCCGAATGAACTTTTCCCGCCTGTGTTCAGGAATCGGAGAATTAGTGTTAGTGCCAGCCGCGCGCAATGGTCGCATCCAGAAATCACGTAGGTATTCCAAATCCTTGACGAAATCCCGTTCCGTGTACATGATCTCGAAGATGATTTCCTGCCGCTTCTTCTCGTGGTCATCGACATTCTCAGAAACTTCCTTCGGAACCATATTGATCCACAGCTTTTGGTTGTCATTGTCATCGTCATCATCAATGTGTAGGCTGCCCTTAGACCCCGAAGTTCTGAGAATCGGCTGAGGCTTCAGATTCAATCGGGCCTGTTGCTCTAAGCGCCGGGGACAAGCAATGGAGTAGCAGAGGCTATCTCGGGTGCAGGTAGGCGAATAACATTCAGTCAGGAGGGTGAACACACCATTGACTTCTGTACCGATGGTCCTATCTTCGGTCAGAGTCTCCTTGAACTGATAGACCTCCCCGGGAGCATCTCGAAGGCGATGGTCGTAAGTGACATCATGGAAGAACTTCTGGGCATCCAATGCACGGCCCAGAAGGAGAGCCAAGTTTCGATCATTCGTCCGAATAATATTTGCAATCAAGTCCACAGCATCAGTGCCTGAGAAAGCGTTCTGGTATGACAAGCCGTTCTTCTGTCGCTCACCAAGCGAGATCTTCTCCCGAAACACATCGGCAACCCGCGATAGTAGAGCTGGGTAGACCACGGGAACTCGACGGTGGGAGTCCCTGGAAACGAGAGTGGTTTGGCCGTTCGAACCCTGTGTAGCCTGACTCTGCATGGTCATCGTTCGATCCGGGATAATAGTCGATGCCATGGACATTGTGCGGGATCGGGTCGAAGCATCGCTGGGAGGGCGAGGTCTGCTAGCGTATGCGTCGGCAACATTGGCTGGCATAGAGTCAAATCTTTGCGGTGGTGTTGATTGCTCATGGCCTGATGGGGGCCGTCGAGCTGGAATGGACCTTCCAGTGCTCCCAATGTGGGCATGGTTGGCATCCGACGCGTATGTTGTCATAGACATCGCTCGCTCATTTTGGTGTCTCTCGGGAACTGGCCGCCCAAGCTGGGTCATCGTTGAACCACCGGGATAGTAAGGTGGTTGACGAGCGATGGAAGCGGAAGACGACGGGTGGTTGAACGGAGTCGGCGGGGCAGGGGAAGACTGGTAGGATGGACCACTCAGTTTGGCCATCGATCGTGATCTGTTCGCATCGGAATTCAAGGCAGGAGGAGGCATTGGCCGGCCGCCGAGATCGCGGGGATCCGGGTACTGGGACGGCGGACCGGGTTTAGAATCCAGACGTTGGGGTCGGGGGTAGGCGGGGAATCGTCCCGCCGGCCCTGGGTACTGTCGCGCGGGCGGCGGCTGCGATGACATGGTCGCCGCCCCTGGGTTATAGGCTTGATATTGTCCAGACGGTGGTGCCGGGGGTATCCATTGGGCGGTGCGGACGGTGGAGGTCCGTAACCATTTGCAACTGGCTGTCGTGTGGGCTGAGGAGGTGGTCTTTGGAATTGAGGGTGTGCCACATGCGACGACATGGTATGAGCGCGACCCTGTGAGAATTGGGGAGTCTGCGATGTCATTGTCTGGGAGCGGCCCGGGGGAGGCGCGCTTCCAAAGATATCATTGTACACAGCATCTCGTTGCACGGACGGGGCAGGGCCGTTGCCATAAGGCCGGTAATTCCGGTTACGCTGGCCCCCCAAGTCTGCCATGTTCACAAAGCTCGTGACCGGCGAGAGAGATAATAGTCGTCAGGTAGATAGAACGGGCCTGTGTCAAAGATCGAAAAAGGACGAATGGGAAAAAAAGGGGGGGTATTCGAGTCGATCGTAGAGAGCGTTCAGGGCGTCGCAAGTGTTCGGTTCGAGATCCGATCGTGGGCAATGGAAAGAAACGGGAAGAGCGAAAGCAGCAACCCCGCGGGGAGCAAAGGATCCAAGAGAAAGTAGTAAAAAATGATTTCTGTGCAATAGTTCGTCCTCAATATGGCATCAGTCTCCCCTCCGGTGGACGGCTGGGGGGGAGGGGGGGGAAAGTTGGCGGGTTCAGAGGTCGTAACCGAAGAGCGCCAGGAGCCGTGAGCGCAATAAAGTCCGGGCTCCTTGCAAGATCATACCCTCAGCATTCCTCCAGTGGAAGCCGTCGAGAGGAGGGAATGATTGCAGGAGAGAGGAAGGGGGAGGAGGACGACGTGGTGGTGGTGGGGGGGGGGGAGTAGTTGAATGTTGAAATGTAATGATTAGCCTTGAGGGGGGAGGAGAGTGAGGAACGAGGATGAGGCGAGGTGACGGGCTGCCCGGTATTGTGGTAATCTGGTGACCAGATCTGGTAATATACGGCCAGGGCCCACTGTAGAAGCCGCTCAATGAGTGGTCAGGTACTGTCATCTCCCCGAGGAGGGAAGCACGGGAAATGTGCTACGGTGGGCCAAGTGCTCCTCCATGCAACACCCCCAAAGGAGGGAGCTGGCAGTAAATCATCACCTTCCAGCTGCTCGCGCCGTCTTCAGTCTCGCCTCGACGAGCTCTCATCTCTTTTCCAGCAAACCCCTTTCTGAATTACTGCACAACAGTCATCATGGCGGACAGTGACTTGGCGCCCAAGTTCGCCCCATTCTTCTCCTTCGTGAGTGGCCCGATGCAAAGCTCCCGCTGAGAGACGGTCCAGACTAACGAGCATCCTTGAATAGGCCGGCATTGCAGCTGCAGTGAGTTGATCGGTACCTTCGGACATTTGCATCAAGTATACTAACAGCTTTCGTTCTTGAAGATGATCTTCGGGGGTACGTCACTGACACCGTGGACGGATGGTTTTGGGAATGCATAGCTGACAACTGACAACAACATCACAGCCGGAGGAGCAGCTTATGGCACCGCAAAGTCGGGTATCGGTATTGCGGGTGTGGGAACTTTCAGACCAGACCTGATTATGAAGGTACGATGAGAGGCGAATAGCGCAACTGGTGTAGCTAGCGCACGCGGTAGCCCTCTTATGGCCGTGGCATACAGAGAGGCTAATTGGCTTGCTTTCTACAGTCGCTCATCCCCGTCGTCATGTCCGGTATCATTGCAGTATACGGTCTCGTCATCTCAGTCCTTATCGCCGGAGACGTCAACCCAGCTCAGAGACAGAGCTTGTACAAGTATGTTCAAGAAGTCGGCAAAGTGCTCGTGGCCATGGACGGAGACGGCTGACTATTTGGGAAACAGGGGATTTATGCACCTTGCAGCAGGTCTATCAGTTGGCCTTTCCGGTGTCGCCGCTGGCTATACGATTGGCATTGTTGGTGATGCTGTAAGGATTCCAATTCCTCGAGCCCTTGACGGGAGAATACACAGCTCTAATACGGTTCTTAGGGTGTTCGGGCATACATGCAACAGTCACGCGTTTACGTCGGCATGATTCTGATCCTGATTTTCGGCGAAGTTCTGGGTCTGTATGGGTAAGTGTTTTGGGGACGCAGTAGTCCGACTCCGAGAATCCCAAAGGCTAACACGACGACTAGCTTGATTGTTGGCTTGATCTTGAACTCGAAGTCTTGAAAGCGTGATTCCCATCTCTTTATCTCTGCTTTATGCGCTCGCTTTTCTGGCGCATATCTCCTCGTTATTTTGAGCCAAATCCTTCCCGTCTGATCGTCCCGACACCGTTCGCGCCAGATGCGCCAGCGCCAGCGCCAGCGCCTGTCGTGTCTCATGAGTCGATCCAGATCCCGGCCAGCTGTCATCTGAATTGCGTGGACTTTATTTCTTTTTGATATTCTCGGGGTGTATTATAAGGGGTCCTGTTCGCATATAGATTCCGGTTGAATGAAATCAGGCGTAGGCCAATGATGATTCCGATTTATCACCGTAATCCCCCCCTAATCCGTCCAGCCCGTTCAGCCCCGCCCCCATAAGATACGTCAGAGCTGGCAGACCTTCCCTTCGCAACTCTCTGCCCCGCGCTAAACATCCTAACCCCCCCATTCTGCCGTTGGGGATTCTTGACTTGCAAATGTTTCTTGTTTCGACCTGAAATCCCTCGGAATCGAGCTGGGGTGCCGACGCGATTGGTGGCGCGCTAACCGGGTGGGCGCTTTATTCACTTTTTTTTCCCTCTGCCACACGCCGCAGCGAGAGACATGATCTCTTGCCCTACCAATGGCGACCGGAACTGTCGAACATTCGGCACCAACTGAGGTGCAGGGCAGCTCTTCCGCTTCCAGAAACCAGAACATGCGCTCCAACGACATCCACGAGAAGGAGAAGCACCTCATCCACTCCATCCGTCGGTCTCCGCAACGATCTACGAACCCCTTCCTCATTAACGAGCGCCGAGACGATAAACAACTATGCATCTCCTCGAGGAGCTTACACGTGAATGATTTCGTGTTGATAAAGACGCTAGGAACCGGTGAGAATGCTTTGGCGCGCGTGCTTGTCCAAACCTATCGAGTCTGACAAGTTCTCTTTGGGATCTACAGGCACTTTCGCACGAGTATGGCTTACGCGACTGAAGGATGAGACGGACAAGAGTAAAGTATATGCGCTGAAGATATTGCGCAAGGCCGATGGTACATGGACCCCCGACATGCAGACAGCCAAAGGCTAATCATCACCGCTTATCGTCAAACAGTGATCAAGCTGAAGCAGGTCGAACACGTGCGCAATGAACGCAAGACCCTCGCGGCCGTTATCGGACATCCTTTCATTACAACTCTAGTCGCATCCTTCTCGGACGAACAGAATCTCTATATGTTGGTATGGGTTGACTGGGCTCCCTCGTGGACTTCTTTGTCTCGGGTTCCTGCGGGACGCTAACCTGATCGCAGTTGGACTTTTGCCCTGGGGGAGAGATCTTCACTTATCTCCGGCGAGCGCGACGCTTCAACGAAGAGACTTCGAGGTTCTACGCGGCGGAGATCACAATGACCATCGAGTATCTGCACGATATACAGGGGGTAGCCTATCGCGATCTTAAACCGGAGAACATCCTCCTCGACGCCGACGGCCATATCAAACTTGTCGATTTTGGATTTGCAAAGCAGGTCGACAACCGCGAGACTTATACTCTCTGTGGTACTCCCGAATACCTTGCTCCAGAAGTCATTCACAACAGCGGCCACGGTCTCGCCGTCGATTGGTGGGCACTCGGTATTCTGATTTATGAATTCCTTGTCGGACAGCCCCCATTCTGGGATCAGAATCCCATGCGTATCTATGAGCAGATCGTCGAAGGACGACTGCGCTTCCCACCTAACATGCCCGCGGCAGCGCAGAACATTGTCTCGCTACTCTGCAAAACCAACCCGTCAGAACGTTTGGGTCACATTTCCGGCGGCTCTGCTCGAGTCAAGTCTCACCCATTCTTCCAAGATGTGGCCTGGGATGATTTGTTCTACCGACGGGTCAAAGGCCCGATCATTCCCCGAGTATCACATCCGGCGGACACCGGGAATTTTGAGGAATACCCGGACTCCGACAACCGCAATCAGAACTTGTATACCGATGACTTGAAGAAGAAATATGAGCCTCTTTTCAATGATTTCTGAGAGGCTGTACCTTCAAAGATACGTTTCAACAACCGCCTAGCCCTTCGATGCGGAATCCCGATGCCGAGAATTAGGTTCTCGTCAGAAAAGAGAGGGCCTATCATCTCTTGGGCTGTTCCCGGGCTTTATCTTTCTCTCTTCACTTCGAAGGTCATCACGACAGAGACACGGGAAACTTGCAACATGTGTTCCGAGTTCAGCTCCCACCCGTTGGCCCCAACTCGGGCGGCCCTTCTTATCTGACTTTCTTTGCTCCCGCTCACATCGCAGCAAACTGGTCTCATAATCAAGGCCCCCAAGCCCGTCTCACCTTGAGTCCAGCACCTTCCCCGGACGGGCTGGGGGCTACTCGTCTGACGTCGACGCTCACTTCCTCTCATCCCATAACCACCCATAACCTTTGATCCATCTTCATTGCAAATCCTTTTCGACACTCTACATTAGTGGAGGATGCATGCACCTGATGACTGAATTTCGTATTCATCACTTTGTAATGTATTTCAACGTGGCGGTTTATGTCATGCTTTGAATCAGTCAGTACATATAGCGGTTGGTGGCCTTGAACCTCATCATGATCGCGAATTAGCTAGTACATACTTATCTCATGAATAAAGTCTTTATCTCTTTTACGAATAAGGGTTACTTTCCGAACGTAGTCCAAATTTAGCTGAGAAACCTAACTAGTGCACGCTCATGAGACGACTTTCGCGTTTGAATCGAGGACTGAAGAGTCCAAAAGAGCAAAATTCGCCCCGTCTATCATTTTAATAAAGCTAGCGCTGCTATCATCTAAAAATTGCAGGTAAAAAGTGTATATCACAAGAAGACAATTATGGGAATCGTATGTACGGGAGTTCGTGAAACATGGGTCGCAAACAGAGGGATTGTCATCGCCTCAGATGGCCAACAGAGGTTTCATGATCGGGATCCAGGGTTGGGCCTTTCGATCAGACAATAGGTTGAGTAATCACTCAGTCCAGTCAGAGGGTATAGCAAAGCCCGAAGACGCCCAGGAACCAGATTTTGGTGGGGGTGTTCATAGGCAGGATGGTGTGCATAGTGAGGGTTGCTATGACACGAGAGGAGAGGCCAAGCCTGGGGAAGTAGGTAAGGCCGAATTTAGATTGCCTTGGTAGTTTGAGAAGACGAGAAGATTTGTGCCATATGTCTCAAACATGGGCAAAATGCAACTCAAGATCACGGGTTGTGCGAGGATTCGAGTTTAAATTTGAGAGGTATTTCGGAGTAAAGATTGTCTCATAGGGAAGGATCTGTCTTCCATGAGCCTGTACATAAGCAATTTCGTCAGCATCAAGTCATGAAATATATTACTCGGGACTAAGGGTAACCATACCGTCAAAGTTGTGCTTCACGAAAGCCATAGGATGATCGATATCTTCGGCACCCATTTGCCCAACGCCCGGGCTGAAGCTCGTGATTGGCAAGACCACCGCGTCTCCCATCTTCCGATGAGTGGTCTGACCACTGAAGTCTTCGTACGTTATATTCTTCTCCCCAGGTAGAATGTGGAAGTACTCAGGGTTGTTGAAGTAACGGAAAATCGCATCCGTCCAAGCACCCGGTCCCGTAAACTCCATCACGGTCTTATCCATCTTGCCAACCTTGAGGATGCCAGCCCTCTTCATGCGGAGTGTCTCCTCCGTGATGTATGCGACCATATCACGCAGAATCGGATGACCCGGTTTCGAAACGATGGTCCACTGGCAGAATTGGATACGGCGGGAGTACCACTCGTGCCAGTCGGGACGGTCTGGGTCGGCCTCGATGCCGACAACGAATCCCACTTTGGATCGATCAAGTTCGTCGGGCAGCCAGTACGGGGCTGGCTTGAGAGCAATAGTGTCGATATCACTGTAAATTCCACCCCGTGCGAGCAGAACCAGATACCGGAAGAAGTCGGCCTTCATAACCGCGAGCGGCAAGGCATCGTAGGCTTCAAAGACGTCCGGCAGAGATCCGTACAAGTACTGGATCAAATGCCTTTGCGTATCATCCGAAATGACCTCATGCGTGAACCCCGGGTGTAATTCTGTCCAGCTCGCCTCGGCCGCACGGAGACTGTCTCCAAACCATATCGATGATGGGGCATACTTCCATGTTTGCCAAATGTATGCGGGGAATCTGCTTCGAAGGTCGTAGGGAAATTGGTATCGCAGGCGCTCGCGCAGTGGCGCAGTCCCATAAGAAAGCGTTTGTTGCTGCCGAGCTTTTGACTTCTTCTTCGGATGTAATAGCCTATCCTGCTCCTCGCTGAATATCTCTTGTACGGGTTGGTAGCCAGGTGCACCGGGGACCTCGGCAGGTCGACTTGAGCGAATGAGGAAGATGAAAGCGATGAAGCATATAGCGGCGAATAAGGACCTGCGAAACGTCGGCATGTTGGGCAGCGGGCAGCGATGACGGCGCAATCGCTCGGGATATCCCCTAGAAAATGTTGCCGCAGCCACGCGCGCTGCTGAGACAGGGGTATCACGCCTTTTTCGGTGCGTGTAAAGTTATGCGGTTGAAGCTCGGAGGGGGATCGGCTGTCCGGGGTAGAGTCGCGCGTATTTGTCGAAAGAAAAAAGAAATTAAGCTCCGATCGATCGGAGAACTGGCATTGCGATCTCGCAGGGCTGTCGCATACGCCCAATCCGTAATTTCACAATGCGACCTCGACGCCGGTCGGAGATCGCGGAGGTACACAGTTGTGCCGCAAACAGAAATAGGAGGCGCACCGGGCACAGGATAGAGCCTCGGGCTGATTTTTTGGTCTGAGAAATGATAATTTGAAAAGGAGAAGAATTGAATCCAGATCACGCTGACTGGCAGCGATTGATCTGGGGCCTGCCTGCAGCTTTATGTTGGAACAGAAAAAGGATTGCGTATGCTGCGACAGTTCGGGCGCATCTACACCCGTTTGGGTGGAGCCACTCACGTGGCCTGAGATGTGGTCAATCGCTTCGCCGAAGTATGCCCCTCGGCCCTGTCAAACATATTCTGATCTGATTCTTGCAATTGTTCTTACCTGCTAATGCATACCTAATATCTCGTACTAGTAGACAGGTTTCAGTAATTATAGTCCTCCCGCATGTCTCATGATTTTATGTGACTTGTTCGTCGAATGACCCTGGGGTATGGCTGCATTCGAACTCGAGTGCAATATGTACAGTATGTGAATACTTGATTTGATTACCTAATGTGACATTCGCGGTGGTTTTTCATCTCGAACCGAAACTTTCGACCGACGCCTCCTGCAGATCTAATCTGCTTTCCGGACAGCTGCTTCGTCAGTGTTAATTAGCTTGCCCCCTGAATCGAGATGAAACCACTCCCCCGCCATACAAGTGACTTTGTAGACATCATCCAGACAAGGCTGTCGTGTCATCTTTACATCTTTGTCGACTTCATCATCTTGTCACCGTTTACGACAGCCGGAGGAGGCCTAAATTAGCTGGATGTTACCGACCATCTTATAGATATCCTTGTTCACCGTGATACATAGAGACCCGAGGCGATGTGACTACGTGGCTAGCTGCATATTTATATGCTATGGACTACATAGTCACATTCACATATTATACTATCCTCAGTTGACAGGTATCAGAGGCTCCTAGGAAAGCTGCCAGCCATAGCCAAGAGTTTGCCAAGACAATTAAGCTCCACCTGCACATGCGTCCACTTGCACCGTTGGCTGATCCCTCTCCGTTTGCTTACGAACTCCCTCCTCATAGATTGATGATAATCGTTTAAGAGATCCCTATCTATGAATCCCACTGCCGTTCGACCCGGGGGCACAGACAGGCATTTCGGGATATATCCATCCCTGGCCGTCTTGTGAGGTCGCTGACTTTCTTCCCAACGGACTTGTATGTTTGAATGAACTCTGACTAGTAGACCTGGAATATAATGCGCGTAGATAGCGAGTCGTTACCTTCATTCTGGATTTTCGAAGTATAGCCATCGGACACCTATCTAGGTATCGGGTAGGAAGACTTCCACGGGCAGGTATTGTCGTAGCTAGATCGCGAGGGTCGGGATACCAATGGAGTATATATATGGCCCAGACCTACTCCAGGTCTGCTGCGCAACTCAGCCATAATCGGGAATCGAGTGAGATAATGTTCGATATATTACTTGAATATCAATATATATGGAGGATAAGTACCTTCTTGATGAGCCCTCCTACTCATTGTAAGTGGAATAGCATCCATGACATGGACTTGGGGAATTTTACTATATCCTTACAGACGAGTGCGGCCTGCAAAGTTCCAAATGAGTACATAAAGGATCTTGGACTGGCACGACAAAACGCCGGCAGTCTACCTAAGAAATAACAATCTTGTTGAGAATCCTTCAAAGAATATTGGATATGTTCGATAGAAGCGTTTCTGTTTTCAAGAATTGGCGCTTCAGGATAACATCTAACCTACCGAGTGAAGATCGAGTCTCTAACAGAATCATTGCGATGGCCTAGTTGTGATCCCTTTGATTGACTCGAGCTTGACAGTCTAGTAGTTGCCAATGTTGTACAATGTGCTGCCCCGGCCATGTGGCATTTCCATTCCATTGCTGCACTAATTCCTTTCGAGGCACAGGAGAGATAAGATTATCTTTTCCAAGAACAGATATCCTTTTGCCAGTCGCGTGCCTTGGATCGAGAAGAAAGTAAACACTATCCCTTATGCACGGTCATCATGGTGAGTTATGTATGAGTTATGGTTGGCATACGGAATATGACTCCAGACGGTACTTGAAATGTAGAGTTAATTAAATCGAGGCGGGGGAATGTGGCCCACGTGGGTGCACGCTCTGGCGTGGATGGGGGGACCTTTTTTGGTGGCGGCGGAACTTGGCACTTGGCGGTGGAAAGTCTCGCCTTTTAGTCCGTCCATCAATCACAACTCGACTCCTCCATCCAGCTGAGAGATTTCACCTTGCAATGCTTTACACAAAAAACTGTCAACTAACGTTCTCTGTCAGAGATATTTCTTCCGAGCAGGGCCCATGGGAAGCACCAATGGAATGTGATCGAGACTCTGATTAAATCGTGCTGCCTGGCCGATCGTGCCCATCTGTCGAGGCCCCCCACCCGTCGTGAAACCTTGACCAGACTCCCCACGCTACTCCCGTGGGCCCAGGATAAACTTCAGAGGCGTGCTCGTTTTGCCGACGGGCGTGCAGACACATTTTGAGACGATTTATTTCCCCGCAACCCATTCGGATCATTATCGCCCCCCAAAGAGGATTGTTGTTGTCTCTCAGCCCTTCGAGCAAAGGACAACGAGTGCACAGCCAACAGTCGAAAGGGGATCAACAGGAGAAAACGGGGTCCACCACTAAACCCAAACCAGCCAGCGACGGGGGTCAGGCTGACAGTGGGCTCACTCTTCATTGGCCCATTCAGTCCCTTGCTGGCCGCTTCTAAAAGCTTGGCCTTCGGGAGATTCGATTCTCACTCTCCTGATGACCGCAGCCTGCTCGGGCTGAAAAGACAGAACGGAGGGGCCGGGATTCGAAAGGGTCCACGGATCGCCCCCCAAGATGCGATGCAGCATCTCGTTGCGGGATTGCCGGGGTCTTTTGTGATGTGGCAATGCGAGTTTTTCAGGTTACAAATCACTCATGGAGGAGGGTCCATTGTCTCATCGTGGCCGCTGGTTGTGTGATCTGTGGCCAAGCCGGACCAGACAACGAAAGGGCCCCTCTTATCAGACTTTGGATGCCCCTCTTGGAATCCTCATTCTCCATCCAAAGTCTACTCGGCTGATTGAACTGGCTGCCTGACTGCTAGCCAATCGGTCGCGTGTCGGCTCTTTGGACCCCGTTTCACTTCTATTTTCTCACCCGCGTACACTAGCCGCACTCCGCCATAGCCCCCCGTAGATTGACTCCGTATAACTAAAAGCCAAAAGCCACCCCCATGGCCTTCCTTTCGATTTATTTCGGCCCCCGGGATCTACAACAAAGCGGCATCTAGGTGTATGATGGACAGCCTTTCGCATACATCGTGCACTATCCCCAATTGACTTGACTCGGTGTGAGCCTTGTCCGTCTCACAGCCTCACGCCTATTTCGTTTTTGCTTATTTACCGACCATCTGCCCGACAAAGGCTGAAGCTCACCTCAGCTCAGAAAAATTATTTCCGTCGAGATTGTGACTACGACTGCGTCTAAAACATCTTTCACCACACTGGCAAGATGCTGGACTTTTTCTCATCTGCTCGTTCTAAAGACGAGGCCCCTAAGGCTACAGCATCCGTTCAGTCCCTCTCCGGAAGTCAGCTCTCAGGCAACGAGCCACGGTCGGAACACGAACAACTGGAAAAGGCAGAAGATGAGAAGAAGAAGAAGAAGGGAATCCTCTCACTACTTTTTGCGCGACCTTTCACCAGGAGACGAATTATCATCCTCAGCGCTCTCGGGTTTTTAATCGTGGCTATCTTGGTTCTCGTCATTACCCTCCCGATTGTCTTGACGAGAGCCCATAAACGTAAGGACCCGGGTGATGTTTACCGTCTCTACCCGACCAAGCATGAGGACCCCAGTTATCGCATCCTGGAGAACAAGCCCGTCTATGCGATTCACAATTTCCCCGATCCAGGCCTTCTCCACCACAACGGCACCTGGTATGCCTACGGAACCAACCCACACAAGCGTGACCCGCAATCGATTCATGTCCCCGTTGCGACTTCGACCGACTTTGTGAATTGGACTCTGCACGAGGGCTATGATGCGATGCCAACACTCGGAGACTGGGAGGTCGCTCAAAATCACTGGGCACCGGATGTGATTGAGCGGGTAAGTTCTTGTTCAGCAATACAAAAAAGTTTAAGAATTCCAATTATCTGACAATCGTACAGGATGATGGGAAATTTGTTCTCTACTACTCAGGCCAAACGAATAATTTCAACAAGCACCACTGCATCGGTGCAGCGGTCTCGAACGGCACGAATCCCCTGGGACCCTATATCCCACTCAATGAATCCCTAGCCTGTCCACACGAGTATGGCGGCGCCATTGATCCCTCACCATTCAGAGATGCAGACGGAAAGCTCTACGTGGTCTACAAGGGTGACGGAAACAGCGTTGGTAGTGGTGGCTGGTGCGGCAACAGCATCAAGCCTCTGCGCCCAGTTCCACTTATCCTCCAAGAACTGGAAAGCGACGGCATCACCAAAGTTGGCGAGCCTGAGATTATTCTCAACATCAACGACACTGATGGTCCGCTCATCGAAGCGCCCAATATCATCCGGCAAGATGATGGAACCTACTACCTCTTCTTCTCCTCACATTGCTTTACCTCGCTGGGTTACAATGTGAAGTACGCCCACGCAAAGTCGGTCAAGGGTCCTTATACCCGCGTCGACCGTCCATTGTTACAGACGAATGATTTTGGGCTCAAGGCACCCGGTGGTGCGACTTTATCGCATGACGGTACCAAGATTGTCTTCCACGCCAACTGTGATGGTTATCGGTGCATGTATGTTGGTGGTGTCGATATTCGATCTACCAACAATACTATCATCATGGCAGCACTTGAAATCGTCAGTACTGTCTCCTCGAATTCCACGAATACCACCACCACAACCAACACCACCTCTATTGCCGACAGCTCACAGTAGGCTGGTCAAGCTGAGACCTGCTGTGCATATTAGGTGGCGCATACTGGATTTTTCCTCCCCTTTGTGGGAATTTGCATTGCATCGAAGCGTTTTGAGCTTTCTTTTTGATTTCTTTTTGGACCAATTGATACCCGTGCGATGGTTTATAGACACTCCATTCAGGTTGGAGAGGCGTTATTAGCATTATTTGAATAGAGAGAATTACTCTGATAAAATCTATCGACTCAAACAATCACTATCTGGCCTTGTTTAACAAGCGGAGTTAACATTTGTGGAGCAGACCAGCATAGGAAAATAAGGTCCGCGGGAAAGAGTAGTAAGAGTAAAGCTCCCGCCAATCAGGAGCAAACCAGATGACGCCATGCCTCAAGTGCAGCCTCAGGCATTCAATCATCTTCTCCGCCATATGTAATCAAGTAATATAATATGACCGTCCTCGATAGCTGATAATTGCACCTGCTTGTGGGTCTCTTTTCCCTTCTCACAGCTCCTCACAATGCGTTCGTTTCAGGGCGTCGCCCGCTCTGCTTCACGCACGCTCCGGGCCACACAATGGCGAGCCCAAGAACCAGCATCTTTCCTCTCCGGCGCAAGTCGGCCGTTATCGGCACATGCGAGAGCACTCCATAGCGCGCCCCCGCGCAAGTCCTCCGCGGCGACGGCGACTTCGAAGGACTCGACAAACCCGGCAATGTCCTTCCCTTGCCTTGACGCGCAGGACGCCAAGTCAGAATTGCTTTCTGCGCGGTCTCTGCAATCGGGACCCGAACCCTCGTATACGACCGGCCAGCATGAACGGTTCCACTGTGAAGACCCGCTGCTCCTGGACTGGGGCGGCGTGTTGCCGGAATTCGATATTGCGTATGAGACGTGGGGTCAGTTGAATGGGGACAAGAGTAATGCGATTCTCTTGCATACGGGGTTATCCGCGTCTAGCCATGCACACAGCACGGTCTCGAATCCGAAGCCCGGTTGGTGGGAGAAGTTTATTGGGCCCGGTTTACCTCTGGATACGGATAAGTACTTTGTCATTTGCACGAATGTACTGGGAGGCTGCTACGGCAGTACGGGGCCGTCCTCGGTGGATCCCTCGGATGGACAGCGATATGCGACGCGCTTCCCGATCTTGACGCTGGATGATATGGTGCGCGCTCAGTTCCGTCTGCTAGATGGTCTGGGCATCCAGAAGCTGGCAGCATCTGTCGGGTCGAGTATGGGCGGTATGCAGAGTCTGGCTGCGGGTGTGCTCTTCCCCGAGCGCGTGGGCAAGATCGTGAGCATCAGCGGCTGTGCCCGTAGCCACCCATACAGTATTGCGATGCGACACACGCAGCGCCAGGTACTGATGATGGATCCCAAGTGGGCGCGCGGTTTCTACTACGATGCGATCCCGCCGCACTCGGGAATGAAATTGGCGCGCGAGATTGCGACGGTCACGTATCGCAGCGGACCGGAGTGGGAAATGCGATTTGGTCGTCGTCGTGCGGATCCTAGCAAGCAACCTGCGCTGTGCCCGGACTTCCTTATCGAGACGTATCTCGACCATGCTGGTGAAAAGTTCTGCTTGGAGTATGACCCCAACAGTCTGCTTTACGTCTCCAAGGCTATGGATCTCTTCGATCTAGGCCATGAACACCAAACTCAAACCCGCCATCGCCGTGCAGAGGCCGAATCTCGCATTGCGCGAGGCGATGTCTCCTCAGATGTGTCCGACTCTGCTTGCAGCTTGACCCTGCCTGACAAGCCCTACGAAGAACAACCCGATGCTACTGCCTCAGTTCCCCCCGCCGATCAGTCAGCAGCATCAACCGAACCCGAGGGACCCCCTCGCGACCTCATCATGGGTCTCGCCCCTCTGAAAAACCACCCAGTCCTCGTCATGGGCGTCGCAAGCGACATCCTCTTCCCCGCCTGGCAACAGCGCGAAATCGCCGAGACTCTCCGCGCCGGCGGTAACACTACCGTCGAGCACATTGAGCTGGGTGAGGATCTATCATTGTTCGGTCATGACACTTTCCTGCTTGATCTGAAGAATATTGGTGGTGCTTTGGGCCGCTTCTTGAAGTGATAGTCCGCGCGGGGCGGGGCCTTGGCCATTTCTTTTGCAATTAAGTGAATGTTGTGTTTATTTATTGGCCATTTTGTATATTTGTTCGCAGCGCGCGACGGTCAAAATTGCATTAGCTGGCGTTTTATATCTGAATGAATCACAACTCTTTTGTTCATATCTCAATAAGTCTTTTCTCGCTAGATCTCGCTATAGGTAACCCTTACCGGTTTGCTCGACATCGTTGCCTTGATAGGTGTACTTGAGAATCAGCACACACATGGAAAACAGACTTGGCCCTCAGAATAGCTCCCAATTGTGTATTCACCGGCAACCAGATCATAAGATGTTTGGGAAACATCCACCCGAGGGCGTCGGTTGCCTGCAGAATTGGCTTTGGATTCATCACCGGGCAAGAAGCAAAAGGGAATGTGTAGAGCAGGCGTAAAATAACTATAGTAAGAGCAGCAAGGAAGGGGAATTGATCGAAGTGGTTCATTGTTTTGATCTGTTAACTGATTATTGACACGATAACTTGTATGACAGCTCATGCCCTCGGATTGAAAACTACCTTTTTCGTCACTCGTCACTGGTTTGCTCAACGCCGTTGCCTTGATAGGTGTACAGACGGAGCGTATCATATACAGATCCTCGGAGTGTGCGACAGAATATTTTCGTCATTGGGCGGGTTGTCAAACAGAAACGATGGTCCTAGATACAAGACAAAAGAAGAGGGAGAGTATCGAGAAAGAAATCCATTCTTAAATTTGTTAGTATGTACATGAAAGCCTGGCTGATCTGCTCGTCCCGTCGGGATATCATATCGAAACAAACAACAGCAGCCTCGGTATGAAAGAACGACGTAGTCGAGGGTCTCTCAGATCTCTGTTCATTTTTCTCAGTCACCCACAACGGGTGAAATGTCTCCTTCCACAAGCTGCAGCCAGGCCGCCGAGGGATGAAGTCCACAGCCCAATCCAGTGACCCGGACGTGTCGTGAGAAGCTCTTATGTGAGGGATATCGTCATTGAGACTGAAAGACACAATGATGCTATCAGATCTGCGAAGATCATTAGCCTCCAAAAGGAATCAGTATTAAATATTGGGAGCTCCTGCATAAAACATACCAACAGCGCTAAAAGCGCGAGATGTAAGAAGTACTCCACGCGGCGACGTGTCGTCGGGTTTGGCCACCGCGGCCTCTCACGTGATAGCGTCTTTCGTGGTTCCACTGATGAACGCATGGCTTGCAGATGCGCATTCCCTATAAGAGGTCGACAGCACCAACGGCATTCGTGACGGTACGTTGCTCTATTTTCTGCTTACAAAATGGCCCCTCCAGCTTCTAAATGGTGGCAAGCTTCCGACGAGGCCGACCTGGACTACGGATTCGATTCTGACGACCTGGATGCTAGATTCGCCGAACCTGCTCGACTTCCTTACCGCCCGCGCACCCGCGAAGAACTAGAGCAATTGGAAGCGCAAGCGCAGGCGAAAGCTCAATCTCGAGAAAAGGATACTACTGAGAAAGGAGTGTTGGGAAATATGTCTTCTTGGCTTCACCGGCAGGCCGGGTCGCAAACTTCCCAGCTTGCGACTACGGCGGTGCTGTCTGGCGCCGCCGTTGCGGGTGCCATTTTTGGGTACCAGGCTTATAAGAGGAAGGAGGCGGTTCAGGATTTGAAGGCTTCTATTCCGACGCTCGACGATGAGCATCCTGCCACTAAGGTGAGCTTGATTTAGGGCAACTCTTGACCTTGAGTTTCATGGTCGAAGCTTGGGCCGCCGAGCATGCATTTGGGCAGAGGACTGACGAACTGGGGTAAAGCTCACACAATACGGCGTTGCCGACAATGGAATCCCGTTGAGCAAAGAGGACGAGCGCAGTGCTGCTCTGGCTCGTAGGGCGCAGCAGGGTGACTACGATGATGGTGCGCAGCTTTTTATAGCTCTTTTTTGTGATTGTCACAGCTAACCCAGTTGCAATGCAACACAGACTTGATTCTCGAACAGCTTGCTCGGAACCGTGTATTCCTCACAGACGAAGGCCTCGCGAAGCTCCGGGGATCATACATTATTGTTGTCGGCTGCGGTGGCGTTGGATCCCACGCCGTTGCATCTCTGGCTCGTTCCGGTGTATCCAAGATTCGTCTGATCGATTTCGATCAAGTTACATTGTCTTCGCTTAACCGTCATGCTCTCGCCACACTCGCCGATGTCGGAACTCCCAAGGTACACTGTATCAGGAGGCGCCTGGAGCAGATTGCGCCGTGGGTGATGTTCGATTGCCGTAATGAGCTCTTCGGCAAGGATGCTGCAGACGATCTTCTCGGTCCCTGGACACTGACACACGAAGGGGAGGGTCGACAGCCAGACTATGTGCTGGATTGCATTGACAACATTACGTCCAAGGTGGAACTACTGCACTACTGTCATAAGAACTCTTTGCCTGTGATCTCATCCATGGGCGCTGGGTGCAAGTCAGACCCGACTCGTGTCGTGGTTGGAGATATCTCTACCAGCACCGACGACCCTCTCTGCCGCAGCACGCGGCGTCGCCTGAAGATGCTGGGAGTCACTACCGGTATCCCAACTGTCTTCTCGACTGAAAGGACCGCCCCGGGCAAGGCTAGCCTGCTCCCACTTCCCGAGGATGAGTTCAACAAGGGCAAGGTGGGCGAGTTGAGTGTTCTTCCCGACTTCCGCGTCCGCATTCTCCCCGTGCTGGGCACCATGCCCGCTGTCTTTGGCTACACCTTAGCCAACCACGTCATCTGCAGCGTGTCCGGCTACCCAATTGACTATAACACCGCCGGCAAGGGCCGCGAAAAGCTGTATGATACGATCCTGGCCGCTCTGACAGGCTTCATGGAGAAGCAAATCCGCAAAGTCGGCGGTCAAGATCCCGTAGGTCTCCGTCTCCCCATCAGCAAGGACGACATCCAGTACATTGTGGAGGAGATTTACAGAGGCAAGAGCGTTGTAACTGGTCTGTCCAACCGGCTGGTGCTGATCCCGTGGGAGGTACCATCGCAAGGATTTGAGATGGATCTTACCTGGGAGAAGGACGGACAGAGACTCTTTAGGCTTGATGCGGCGGAGTTGGTCTGCATGACGAAAGACGAGGCTACCCGTCATGAACGTGAGGTACTCGTTGGGGGAAAGAAGGTTGAGGAAGTATATGACGAGACAGTCTTGAAGCGGGTGAGCTTGCGGAAAAAGGAAACTGAAGAGTGGAAGAAACAGGTTGAAGAGTACTTCCAAGTACAATAATCTGTGTTGGCAGAAAAGAAAAAGAATTAACGGCATCAATGAAATACATATTGACTTTAGTAGTGACTGACATAGTAGTGTAGGGTGTATATAAATAGAAGTACAGTTTAATCGAAGCCACCTCATCGCTTTCTAGCTCCTTCGTACTCGTACTAGACTCCGCAACTCCGTGACCGCCAAGTCCTACGACCCTTGGCTCCCGCAGATCGTGGGCGGCCTTGTTGACAACTCTAGTTGTCTCAGTCCCCGAATCTCCCACCTCCTCCGCTTCTATGTCCTGAGAAGACCCTCGATGATAAACGCCATCCCATCATGGCCTCCTACGACTCCGACCACGAACTCGGCGACCCATACTATCACGCGACCACCCAACCATCCTCATCCTCCCGCTTCGCCCGCCTCTCAAGGCCCCTAATCGACTCAGTCCGCAACGGCTGGCAATCCAGCCCAGCCTACCGCTCCCTCTCCTCCTCCCCCGAAAACAGTAAACACACCGGCTGCGTCCAGATAGCTCTATCCATCATCGCTGCCCCGCGCTTCCGCCGCTACGTGCTTGTTTACTTCGTTCTGTTCCTGCTCGGCTGGGCCGGGTGGGCTATGGTATTATACCCTCGTTTAGAGGAGCGCGGTGCCTTGTTACACGCGCTGGATCCTGCGTCAAAGGCGGAGGTTGGGGGGTGGTTTGGGAGTAACTCGCTTCCTCAGTTCGATGATTTAACTCACATCCGTACCTTGGATCCTTCGTTGGTACCCGTGGCTAGGATCGAGGGTGAGTCGAGGGGATCGAGGAGTGAGAAGCGGCTGGTTGTGGTTGGGGATGTGCATGGGTGTAAAGAGGAGTGTAGGTCTCCTATTCTTGTCTCCGTTTGTGGGAGTTGAATATGCTAACTTGTCTTTTCCTCTTTCAGTGGATCAATTGCTTAAAAAGATCGAATTCTCCACGACGGATGGAGACCATCTGATCCTCACGGGTGATATAATTAACAAGGGGCCAGATAGTGCTGGAGTCGTGGATCTTGCCCGCAAGCTGGGAGCCTCGTGTGTGCGTGGTAACCACGAAGACCGCATCCTGCTTCTCCGACATGAGATGGTTACGATGAATACACTCTTGACGGGCGACGAGAAGAATGTGAAGCTACACGAGCCCTCGGAGAAGGAAGCCAAGGAACGCGCGCTGGCCCGCTCGTTGAGCGATGATCAAGCGCGGTGGCTTGAGGCTTGCCCGGTCATCTTGAACGTTGGCTTGGTCCAGGGCATGGGCCAAGTAGTTGTTGTACATGCCGGTCTGGTTCCGGGCGTGGACCTCGAGAAGCAGGACCCCTCGACTGTGATGACGATGCGAACCATTGACCTTAACACGCATGTTCCCAGCGAGTCAACCGAGGGTATGAGTTGGGCTAAGGTAAGCTATCTACTTAGTTTCGGGTCCTCGTCATCCGCAGATCTCTTTGTACTAACATGGTCCTCTAGATGTTTGATAAGCACCAATCCATCCTTCACTCGAGCCTCAAGTCTTCACATGCAGACCCCCGTTCTCAAACAACGACCGTTATTTACGGCCACGATGCCAAGACTGGCCTCAAGATCCGCACATATACCAAGGGTCTTGACTCGGGCTGTGTGAAGGGCGGTAAACTGACTGCGCTGGTCATTGAAGACGGCGGCAAGCAAAGCCTCGTGCAAGTCAGCTGTAAGCAAGACTACTCCAAGGATAACAAGGAGAAGAAGGAGAAGAAAGACAAGAAGGATAAAAAGGCCAAAAAAGCCAAAAAGGACGATTGATCACTCGTATACTATTGCTGATCAAACGGTTCGGTGCATTGCATTTGGTGGTCTGGCGTTTTGAGTTTTGATCTTACGATCTGTATATTAGCTGGATACACTCCTTGGGCTTGGGGCACAGCGTCCGCCGCAATCCGCGGCTGTGTTATATTCATTGAATCAGAGTTGATACTCTTTCGGTTTTTGAAATTACTCTTGTATTGTATTACGCTGTTCAAACTTGATTCCTTCTATGAACGAACGAATCAATTCCAAAAAGAGGCCCAACGCCTTGTGATGAGTCTAATACCTATATCCGAAAATGCTATACACACCAAAGGCCCCCGATCTAGCAAGCCAAGAAGAAAAAGAGGTCCAGAATAATGCCCACAGAAACACACGACTTCCAACCACTATCCCGGATAGTAAAAGTTGCCATCAAGAGCCCACGTCGAGGGCGCCGAGAAATCCTCATACCAAACACCACCCAAAGCATTCATATGGACATACCCGAGCCGGAAGTACTCCTCTTGGTTGTTGCGTCGTCGCGACCAAGCAAAGTCCGGCACGGAGTCCGTATCTTTCGACTTGAACCCCTGATACCGCAGCACGTCGTTGACAATCACGCTTATACCATCGACATGTGATGGAACTTCAGGGAACGAGAAGATAAGGCGGCTCCGGTCCTCGATATGCGGTGGATTCATGGGCGGTGGGGTAGTACCCAGACGGCCACCTTCAAGTAGGGAGGCCGGTGTTTGAAGGACAGAATCGAAGCCCCAGCGAGCGATGCCGTTGATGAATAGGCCAAGCATTATGCCCTGGAATAGGAGGCTGGGTCGGGTTTGGAGTGTGGTGCCTGGGATGAGGAGGAGGGCAAGGATGTAATGGTGGATGCGGAGGTTCATGTTAGGTACTAGGACGAGCACGACGATGCCGACGAGCATGATACAGTACAGGCGTAGCATGGATAGCAGACGGCCCTCCCGGCGGAAGCAATGTGCCTGGATGAGGGTGGTCACGATGAGAATGCTGATAATGATGATTAGGGCCGTGATGGCGCCGGGTTGTTGTTGAAGATCGTGGGGTGTGAGGCGGGAGATGGGGATACGGTCGAAGGTATCGCTGTTCAAGGCACCGACCCAGCAGCCTCCCAGCCATAGGATAGTTTTATCTGCGTGTGCCTCGAGATTGACAAGGGTCTTGCGTATACAAAAGTAGTATAAGGCAAAGCCCACGAAAGCACCGGGGAGGAATCGGCCTATGCCGACTTGTAACAAGCCATAGAAGCCCCGCGAGCCTGGCGGGTCAGATGCCATGGCGACCTGAAACCAGACTATGAAGAACGTGATGCTGTAAAAGATCGGTGCCGAAGTAACGGTCATTGAAAAAATGGCCGTGACGAACACGGTGAAAGCAAACAGCGACCAGCGGATATCGGAGCATTCTACCAGCTTCGCCTCGCCGGACCCTGATGAAGACACCTGTCGTGTCAACATGAAAGACATTGGGAACGACTGCTTAAAAGAGATACTCTCGATGCCATTCTTGGTGTAGTTCTGGAAGTTGTCCCGCTCTCCACGACGATGCAGAATGCCACAGCCACCTTTTGCATCGCTGATCAGCCCGGCATGTAGTGCTGATGCACAAATCGAGGAGTCGCCGCGATACAATCCACTATTGCGACCGTCCATTCGGAAGGGTTTCCCGCCAATGACAAGCGGTCGATAGTTGTACGACGTGCTGCCAATATCGTACGGTTCTAGGAGAATAGCAGTGGAACAGCCTGCTGGGCAGCTGAAAGCAAACGACTGCTCATCAAATGGGAGACAAAGATCTCCATTCAGACCACAGTCTGTCGCATTGGTCCTGTAATTGCATGGTTAGCCATTCTGTTCCCCGGTTCGACATGGACTAATCAGTTCAGCAATATTTTAAAACATACCATAGACGATGGTGACACGACAGCTTCACTGGCCGTCCATATCCCGGGATTTCCTGACCGGCCACGGAAGCTTGCAGTGAAGCAAAGAACACGGCAATCCAGATAATCAAACCGCCAGCGAGCAATGCGATCTTCACGCCCTGTCGCGGAGCCCACCGCTCAACTAGACGCGACGGTGCAGCCTGCCATCGCGGAAACCAAGGCTTGATATGGTAAACATGCGGCGGGACCGGCCCACGCAGCCAGGAGTGAAAGCCGGCAAGGGTACAGGACAGCGGCGGGTCATCACGATGTGCGCTTTGCTCCTCATAGTCGAAAAAGTCCGAGTCCGAGTCATCCAAATCGCGGAGCTCATCTGGATGGCCAGCCGGTAGTAATGGTACACTGCCCAGCTCTAGATCGCCATAATCGCCGCTGGTTCGGGCTCGTACTCGGGCTTGGGCCTGGGCTCGCCGGGCGCGTTCCGAGTCTTCTTCGTCCTTGTAGCGCGGCGGGCTCAAGTCCTCGAGAGAGTAGGTCGGGCTCGCGAGTGCTTCTGATAATTCAGAAGGGATGCCCTTGTCTTCATCGTTCACCCCCCTTTGTGAATGCATTTTCGCATGATGGGGGAAGACTGAGGAGTTGCCATTCCAGGACTCACGGACGGGGGCTCCATTTTGCCAAGCTGCTAAGTATGGAACCCCCTGGACCTATGGGGCCTGTTTCAAAAGTCTTAGTCATCGGTCGTGATGGTGTGATCAACTAGTTATATGAAGAGTGGTGATTGCAATGGTGAAGAGGCTTGAACAGATGAATAGTCTATAGCTATTTCTGCCTAGAAGTATAAGATATCCTAGACCGGAGGTTTGGTTCCAGGGTCCAAAAGCCCACTAGGGTTATAGTTATTCGAGGTTTATATTCATGTCCTTGGAATTAGTTCATCTGATTTCCACTGTACATCATATTAGCTTGGTCGTTATGAATGGACTTCGAGTATAAGAATCAAGATAATAAGAAGTAGTAGAAAAATAAAATAACATGATTCTTCCAAAAAGAGGTATAAATACGAATAAGAACAAGCCGTTAACAAAACCAATTTAGCATGAAAAATCCGCACCGCCATTCCACAACCAGAAATCGCTCGACCGCATCCATTCGACCTGTTCCAATCCGAGAACCTTAAAAGCTTCACCGTACTTCCTAGCCCTGGCCAACCGCACCACCCGTTCCGCCACAGCTAGTAGTCTCGGCGAACCAGGCTCATCCGAAAAGCTAAGTTCAGAATCATCAGATACAGACCGAACGATGCGGTCAAAATTCGAGCTCGCCTGATCCCCGTCTCCTTCGCTGCTCCAATCACGCAGTAAATCAGCAAGGTCCAGACGGATCCATAGAAGCGCTCGATTGTTCTGATCCAAGTCGACCTGTGTCAAAGTGTTCTGTAGTAAATTAATGGCCTGCCCGGTGGTGCAAAGGAGAGTGCCAAGAAGGATTTACCGGTCGAGTAGTACGAGCCTGCCGCAGTCGGGGCGCATGTAACAGCCGTAGCAGTGGATTGGCCACCAAGGGTGCTGGCGAGAGCATAATCGTCAATAGTCATCCAATTTATGTAAAGGAACCTCACTGACCTCTTGCATACTCGCTGTACGTCTTTCAAGAAGCCACATGATCCCATGATATTGGGATTCCATGTCAAAAATTAAGTCAAAGTCACAGTATGGTCGCTTGTGGAATATTAGCTTGCAAGAGCAAACCCGAGCATTTGTCATTTTAATGAAGGCGCAGGCTATATATATTAGCTGTTGTACGCGTCCCCTCGTAGGAAATGATCTAGACTTGTAGACTAGACCTACCTCTGATGCGGTGTCATCACGCCGACTAGGCAGGAAATCTCCATATTGACTAAAGGGTTCACAATGGCCATTCAAAAAATACACCACATTCGAGTTCGTTCGAGTAAAGACTAACCTAAGGTGACCGACGACACAGCTTAGTGTCGATTTAGAAATAACTAGCTACTGGCTGCCCAAGGACATCGAGGCGAGGTTGGACTCCTAAACCCGGTACATTGGGTGCTGTTATACGGCCTCCATTAACGTGGAATGGACCATCTGCCGTCTTGAGCGTCACCATATCACGAGTTTCCAGGACGCAACGCAAGAATTTCTCCGGGACAGTTTGACCCAGATGGACAATAGCAGAAAAAGCAATGTCTGAGCCGACAGTATCCTGGACGCTGAAAGTATACCCAGCAGCCAGACAAATGTCGCGAATACGGCGAGATTTGGTCAAACCGCCATTCTTGGTGATTTTCATCCCTATTCCTTCTGCGGCGTCATCGGCGATAAGTTGCATTATAGAAGCCTCGGATATTGCGAGTTCATCGATATGAATTGGAATATTTGTCCTGCGATGAAGAGAGACACATTCTCGATACGTAGCACAAGGCGCTTCTAAGATGAAGTCCAACCCGTCTGGGAGAAGTCTTAACATACGAAGTGCAGTTTCAACTGTGAAGCCACAGTTGGCATCCACAATGAAGAATTCTCCCGGCCTTTTATCAGCGAGAGATGACTGGAGACGAGCAGAGTCGGAGACTGGCTCTCCAGAAACTTTGATCGAGTGACCCAGATAGCCCATGTCTCGATGCTGGGCTACACGCGCACGCATTTCTTCCGGCTCGCCAACATGGATGGAGGAGATCACAGGGAGTGCAAGCTCTGTACGACCGCCAAGTAATTCGCACACTGGAAGCCCCACGGATTTGCCGAATATATCCCAGCAGGCTATATCGAGAGCTGCTTTGGCATGCTCGTGGCCAACCAGTGCTGCATCCATGACTTCATTGATGCGGTCGACTCGTCGCGGGTCAAGCCCAATGAGTTTCGGTGCGATCTCGGCGATACCTGATCGAACACCAAGTGCATGGGCGGCAACAAAAGTTGAACCGAAGGGGGTGCTTTCGCCCCAGCCTTCGATGCCGGTTTGCGTGGTGATTCGTACGATGGTGGCGTCGAAAGAGGTATATTCTCGTCCCCCGGAGAGATGATAGACACCACCCGAGTAGGGCAAGTCCACTTGGAATACATCGATTTTTTTGATTTGGAGGTCAGGCATGGCTTTCCCTTGAGAATGTTCAGACAATTTGGGGATGATAGAGATGTAAGGGTATATTCAGGTGTTGAATGTTATGGAAATGGCCTGTTATTTTCGGGAGAATAAATAGACTGCCTGCGTTACATTACCAGATTCGCACGCTGATTTATCAGCTTTATTACTCCCTAAACAATTTCGTAAAGAGAAGGGCATGAATACTCGCATCGGGGAAGCCGTACCTATCAATAGAGTTAGCATCTGAAAGACCAAGCTTCGTAGATAAGAGCCACGGCTCAGCCGATGAGATAGTAAGATAAGCGGCTTAACCGAGAGCTTTCGATGCGGGGTAATAGCAGGAACGTAGACATTGCGAAGATAGACATACCGACTAGGTCCCGGGATGTTGCCGACAACGATTGATACATTGGGACTCGGCATCGAACCCGAGATCGAGCTATATCGGCAAATCCGAGCCCCCCGCGATTACGAACCGCGCTAATTTCGTCATGCACACCAGTGTAAATAGAAGTATAAACATCGTCTACAACGACGGCTAGTTGTCTGTTTCAATTCATTAAGTCCATATCTGTCAACATGTCAAACGCCCAAGTTACCACCCGCCAGGCCTTTCGTCGAACTGACGACTATACTCCCGGTACACCGAAATTGAAACTTGTGAAAGAGGATCTACCACTACCTCTCGCGCCGACCTCCGTATTGGTCAAGGTACACGCTGTCGCTATCAATTATAGAGACGCCAATATCGCCAATGGTGGAAATCCGTGGCCAGTCCTACCGAATGGTATCCTCTGTAATGATGCTGCTGGTGAGATCATAGCCGTGGGTGAGAAGGTGAAGGCCTTAGCCGTCGGAGACAGAGTTGGGCCTATAATCGATACCGAGTATATCTCGGGACGCGAGGTGGGACGATCGTGGCTTGCTGCGGATGAGGATGGAGTCATGGCAGATCACATTGTCTTTGATGAGGCTGTCTTGTGCAAGCTGCCAGTCTACCTGGACTGGATTAGTGCTTCGACGATTCCTTGTGCGGGTGTTACTGCATGGTCGGCATTGAAGGGTATGAGTATTGGACAGACGGTACTCATTCAAGGTACGTTGGATTATACTCGTGTCAATATTAGCGCCGCAGCTAATAATTATGTGAAAGGGACTGGGGGCGTGAGCATGTTTGCGCTGAAACTTGCGCGGGCTGCTGGACTGAGAGTTGTTCTCAGCTCGTCGAGTGATAAGAAACTCCAACAAATGAGGGAGAAGTTCTCAAACCCACCCATCTTGACGGTCAACTATACGACAACCCCAGACTGGCATAAGGAGGTTCTGGAACTTACTGGTGGCGTGGGTGTTGATATCGTTGTTGAAAATGGGGGCACTGGATCCTTGGTTAAAAGTATGAAATGTACTCGACGTGGTGGCATCGTCAGTCAAGTCGGGTATCTTTCGAAGCAGAACCCTATGGACCTCGCTGAGTTGGTCTCGACTATTATCGACCGTCGAATCATTTTGAGGTGAGAGCAATGGACCTTGGAAACCTCGCAAAACATGCTAAAATGATATACAGGGGTATCAATGCAGGATCTAAGTATGACACGGAAGACTTTTGCGCTGCTTTGTCGGCATGTCAAACGCCGCTTGATGATATTATTGACAAAGTCTTCCCCTTTGAGCAAGCCGAGGAGGCAGTTCAATATGTCTGGGAGGGGAAACAGATTGGAAAGGTTGTCCTAAAGCTTTAGATTTTTCCATATCATCATACGTGAATTAAGGGAACTAGCTCTGGCTATTCCGGACTAAAATGATAATCAACTTCCAAAATATGGCGCAGATGTTATTGCACAAATATTCAATTCGAACGAGTGACTATCACTAAACACCAGACGCACTAAATCATGTATCCACCAAGGGTATCAACGTAAGTCGTAATTCGTCGACCTCATTATAATGAGGAGAATGCGACAGAAAAGCAAAAAGAGAACATAAAAGACCAAGGCTCATCAGATTATTTGCGGGAGTGCAGTGCAGGGACAGTTTTGGACACTGATGGCGAGTAATTTCTACTCAACCAAGACAATTTTGACTTGGATGCGGTGATTTGACCTTCATGGCCCAGAATGCCAGGCTCAGTTTAGACAGCGGGAGCCCCACGGCGGCCCCAGCGGCGGCGAGTGCTGTTGAATATATGTCAGTATTGACTCCAAAGAAAGGGAATGGCAAAAGCGTGCTAGATCACTTACGTCCCGGCACCATGATCGCGCACACGGTAAGTGAACCAGAGGCCCTACAGGCGATACCTTGTTAGCCTGTTTCCCCACACTTAATACTTATTACTAAATACATACCACAATGGCAGAGACGAGCCAGACGATAGCGGAGAGGAAGCTAAACGCCTCAGCAGCCTTCCAGCGTCCACAGACAGCATCGCCCCTAAAGTGCCAGGCCCAGATACTACCGCATGACAAGTGGTGGAGGGCATCGACCAGGATACCAAAAGCAGCGAACCAGGCAAATGAGATCAGGATATCAACTAGATAGCGAGTTAGTAATGTTTTTTTGCAGATATTGTATGTTTCATGTTCAAAGCACGTACTAGGCCACGAGAAGAAGCCCGAAGAGAATGGTATCAGCCATATTAAGCCGAGAAGGATAGATAGACCGGCGATCACTTCAGTGTAGATCCAGCGGGCCTGAGCCCAGGAACTGATTCCGTCGAGCGAGGCGAGATAGTGTCCGATAATACCTGCGACGACCTGCAACGCTAGTGTTAGAATTGCCTTAAGAAAACTGGCGACCGTGAATAGGACATACAGCCGCGAAGGCGATCTCCGCAATGCGGAGGGGAATAGAGACGAGGCGCGAGACAACAGGCATGATGAATGATCAACGAGTAGGATAGCTAGGCTTGTGCTAGGGATAACAAAGCTGTTTGAAAGGTCCGACGAGCTACAAAGAAGAACAAAAGGGCTGGGAGCGGGGACAATACGAGGTATATAAAGCACAAACTGGGCACGTTGCACAGGCAGGCATATGCCGAGCGACAAGAGGCGCAGACCCGCGTCGCAAGCAAGGGCCCAACTACCAAAAAAAGTAGAACCGAGCCACAAAAAACGCGGCAAGCAAGCTTCTACGAGAATCAACGCAAAAGTTAGACCCACTAGCCAATGCAGAGTCCACCCTAGCTGTTGATGTCGTCAGATCGTCCCCGGAATAGTATAGCGTGTACTCGGCACGGTGGGTTCGTCATTCAACGCCATGCATCATTCCCTGATGTATGGAGGATAAGGTGTAGTGGCCCAATCCTTTCTCCCCCTGCCACACTATGAACTAGTCAGGTCAGGTTCTGGTCCATGAAGATCGCCCCATCTCTCTCCCTTTGTGGGACTGGCCGCCACTGATGCAGCTGTTTCTTGTGGCTGAACTACGTCCGATCGGAGCAAGGAGCTGTCATGGCGCCAGCACCTGTCAGAATCCTAGTCCCCACGAGAGAAGCCCTGGGGGAAGACGGGTGGGATTCGTTACGTGCTGAAGGGAGAAAGGGACGTATCCCTGTTTTTTTTGGCCAGACCACGAGCCTCTGATGCGTTGGCCGGTGTTGGCTCTGGGCGATTCGAGAATTCAAGTCGAGGGTAATCTCGCTTCGCACCAGCCTAATATTGGCTCTTGATCCCGTGGCCGTTGCAGATCAACTTTTATTGGCGCTGCCTAGGGTCTTGGTTTTGAGTGGCCGTGCTGAGTGCTCCACTAGGGTCGATCATTGCAGCCTGAAGGTTTGGCGCAGAAGTGCGCCCTTTGCATGGAGGACGTGGCGGTGTTGGCCCGCCTTTTTGACCGTACATATTCCCTCATGAATTGTACATGATGGAGACCATGTCAATGTATGCTGGAAGTACGGGATCGGAGGAGCAGGAGGTGGGAACTTGGAAAAATGGCATTGTTGGAGTAAGGAAACAACGGGATCCTTCGATCAAGGTACCGTCCTCAGCCCTATGACGTGGGGCCACGATGATGAAAGACCGCCCCCAATCTCCCCCAATTTGCACTGGCGTGACACCTTTACATCATTTTAATATCAATAAACTTTATTGTATACGGGTACTTCGGCACGAGTCATTGCTTGAGAACAGTTCGGATTTACGGCGCTAAACGTGGGAAGAGTACAAGCTCGCAAACCACTCTATAGTTCCGAACAGTCTAAAGAGCAGCTTAAGACTTACACAACTAGTATACGATTGCTAGTAGTATCACTCGACATGGAACTTTCTTCTACTTCCCTAGGATATCCCAGATCTCAAACAGGCTCCGACCGGTTAGCCTCTGTATTGGGGATTTTATTAGCACATGATGTTTGCTTGATCTCCACTTTGTTTCTATTCTTATCTTTGCTCCAAGGGTCCTCAATAGTGAAAGTTTGTACATATATAGAAAGCGAATGCGCTTTAGGATTACTACTAGTCATTATATTCGGACAGTATTCGATCGATAATATTATAGTAAAGCCACCCCTCACCGCAACACCACAGGGTATCATCAAGTATCCCCCAAACACATCAGCTTACAATCAAACCAGAATGCACACCAGAAAACACCGCAAACAAATTAACCTCCGAGGAACTCCCCCACAACTACAGCATGCAGCCCATCTCAGGAAGGCTTCGTCCCATCTTGCAGGAACCACGCCATCACGTTCTGAAACACCCCTTTGGCTCCCGTCTCAATGACATCTCCATGACACGGAATCAACCGATCAAAATCCCACCCATCGATACGCTTCATCGACTCTGTGAACGCCGGGCGATCCTTAGCAGAGAGAACATGCCACGCGAATCGCCGTTGTGCCGTCGCAGAACCTTTGGTTGACAGCATCGGAAGCACCATCTTGGTCCAAGAATTAAGCGGATTCTTATCCTCGGTGCGAGAGTACTGCTCATGGGAGGGCAAATTGAAGAGTAGATCAGCCTCGATGACCGTACGCGACGGGCGATGCAAGAAGACCAGTTCGCGTGACGAATGCCCATACACGTACTCGGTTTCAAACTCGGCGTCGAATTCCTCTGATATCGGCTGCGGCTCGTTCTTCTTGAAGACGTGTTCGAATGGAGAGTCATTGTACTCCTTGCTCGCCTGGCGCTTCTCGTAGAGACCCTCTGGCGCGAGAATCGATGCTTGCGGGAATGCCTCCCTCCACGGGCCGATATGTAGGTGGTGTTCGAGATCGGGGGCGGCGATGTACTTGACGTTTCCGCCGAGAGAGTCGACTTTGGCGCGTACTTCGGGGGTGAGGCTGACGGGGGAGAAGATGGCGAGAGAGCCCGTGGAGAGCTTGACTGTATCACGCAAGGAAGATGATGGTTAGCTTTGATGGTACTCTAACTCGAGCCTCCGAGTGTATAGCTGCAAGGGCGCGGGCTGCTAACCTAGTGTTCCTCGGCCGCCAAAACGCCAGATGCCAAAGCGCGCGAATGGAAGGCTCATAGTGACAATATTAGGTGTGACATCGCGAATCACCATCGTGGCCGACGGGTTGGAGGGGAAGAGTTGCGGCATTGCGAAGATCTTGCGCGTCGATCGGGCGGTTTGCGTGAACTCCTGGCGTTGGTGTCAGGTAGCCGGGCGCTGTAGAAGTATATAAATGTGGAAATCACGAGATCGATATCCTAAGCCGGCGCCAGCTCGACTCGATAGCTTTTAAATGTGCGATAGGGGCTTCAACGGAGAAGGGGCGATCGATCAGGCCGATAAGTTGACAGCCATGACGTAATGATGTGTTGCAGCTTACTGAATGGCCTACGGCCTCGGCCCACCTCGAGTGGCTCCACCAAGTGACAATTGCATAAGCATTTTTAGGGCGATCGAATCTGGACCCGCGGGCATTACAATTATGGAGGAGGACATTAAAATTTATGAATGAACAATGCTCATTTGTGAAGTTTTTCGGAAATCTTAATGAGGATTGTGGCTCAATCTACCGGAGAAATAGCCTGATAGGGAAAATGGACGAATGACTTGACAAATTCATGGAAAAGCCCTCTCCCAGCAAAGATTTGGAATGCAATTTAGTCGGGTGTCTTGTTCGGGAAAAGTTTGAACGATCATTGAGCCAGGCTGACCAAATGTACCAACGTCCAATCTATACCTATATCCTTTAAGCTATTTAGAGGTATCCACGACCGGGTATATTGGGCATCGGGAGACGAGATTTACGCCTAGCTGAGCTATTGTGTTAGAAATGACATTACGAATATCGATCTATTTACAAGCGTAACCAACAGCACCGGGGTATCAAAACAAATGTTAAACAAAACCAACCATATCGCTCGTTTTGGTGGAGGCTAGGAGCCATACCAAGTCTGGCCGGTGCCCTCCTCAGTATCCTCACGATGGGGAATAATGCATTCGTCGATGTTGAACTCCTTAATGATATCGGCCCAGGTTTCGAAATCCAGGCTGAAGATGGCCTGGTGCTTCTGAATGCGCTTCGCTTGGGCCTCATGTGGCGGGTACGGTTCCGCACTATCTATAGGATCGTTAGAAAGAGGCTGAAAGCCGCGGGGGAAACATGATGTCACTCACGAAGAGTTGGAGTTCCGCGAGCGGACATGGAAACTCCAGCATGACCATCACGGATCAGGAAGCTGACATAGAAAAGGTTCTCAACACTTTGGCCGAAGGACTGGGGGTTGATGCAAAATTTAAAAAGGCAAACGCCTCCAGTCGGAGACGTATGATGCTCATACATCACCTCCAGCACCCTTTCCTCGGTAGGTTCCCCCTCTTCGGTCAAAATCCCGTTGACCTCATGCTCGATGTTGTCGATGGTTTTGTTGAGCAAAACCTGGATCATTTTGCAAGTTTCTGTCAAGTTCGCATTCGCTTGCTGACCAAGGTCCTCCTGCCTGAGCTCCTGGGGCTGAACAGCCTGCGTGGAATTAAATTGCTCACGTCCAGCCCGCTGGGTATTTTGCCGAGAGCGCTTCTGCACTGACAGCGGGCCTAGCAAGAATCCAGACACAGCGGGTCGGGAATTATGATGGAGACAAGCCATGCGACCAAGCCAATCCCAATTCATTGCGTCGCCGGAATCTCCGTCGTCACTGTCATTCGGGTCTCTCTGCGTTTGACGGGGTCGTTGTCGCTGTTGAGTGCTCCCATCGGCCAATTCCGGTCCACGTCGCATATATGAGATACATTTGGAAACAAATTCATCCACATCAATACCCGCCGATGCATCTCCAAGCGCCAGCTGCGCGGTTTTCTTATGGGTGAGGTCGGCGGCGTTGACGAGGAGGCGCGAGTCGATAGTGGCATCCGAGGTCTGCTTGACTTGCGTGTAAAGGTTATTCGCGGTTTCTAGTGTTTTAAAAATGCCATCGTTTCCAGGCCGCATATACTCGGTGCGGGAGTCTGACGCGATGATGATCAGTACCAGCCATCCCACGATAGTTTACTGCTTTTGAATATCTTACCATTGAAATCAGTGGTAAGATCTCTGTAGTTCTTCCGGAGGCGTCTTCGCTCTTCTTCAGGCTGATCAGGATCGTAGAAACGCTTGCATTTCCGTTGCGAAAATGCTTGCGACTGAATATTTGACGCGCGATCAGTCAAGCGACGACGCTTGGACAGTTGATTTCGGGATAGCATCCGGGCAGTCGATCGCTTGTTGACACTTTGGCGACGATTTTCCTTATCAGAGGATGAGTCTGGTGATGAAGGAGGGCTGGAGCCGTAGGCGCTTGCTTCGTCCAGCTGAGACTGCGCAATGCGTGCCATTGTCAATGGGGCACGATTTAGCGCCAACGACAAAGGCGGAGTTCGAACAAAGAAAATATCCCGGTCAAAGGGTGCAAACAAGTGCGAGAATTTGCGAGAAGATTCTCTGATAATTAGGGGAATGATTCGACAGCGCACACCGTATTTTGAGAAGTGATAGATAGAATTCCAAAGATGATGGGTCGCCCGTCGCGTCTCCATCGCGTACTTCACGTGACCGTGTTTAACCTCTATCTTATTGATTAAAAGGTGAACACGTGATGATAGCTGACTGGTCCCCGCAGGAGCTTCCGAGCCCCGAAGGTTGGTCTCAACTTGAGCTTCGATGTGTCGTTGAGGGGCCTACGAGGATGGAGGCATTCACCTTTGCGTTGTCCACCCAAGTGGACTTGCCTGTCTGCATCAAGGTGTAAGTCTCTGCGCATGATTACAAGACTCCGACATGGCTAACAGTCTCAAAGTGGCTCGTTGGAGGGCAAACAGAAGCAGATACCCTTCTCGCGACTGGTTCAGAACCCGGAATTGCGATATCTCGGATCCTCTCAGAACCCCGCTTCGGATCTTTTTGTCACCGCTCAGCTATGGTCGGACTCAAAGCCTCTGGGTGTCCCTCTACAAACTGCTTACAGGGCCTTCAAAACTAGCCGAGTATGGAATGAATGGTTGCAGATGCCCATGTCAATCAAAGATGCCCCACTCAATTCTCAATTGGCCATCACGGTATGGGACCTTTCTCCGCTGGCGGGTGATGAATCCCAAGGGCATGATGTTCCTTTTGGCGGAACGACAATCTCATTGTTCGACACCGAGGGCAAGCTACGAATGGGTCGGCAGAAGTGCAAGATCCATCGCCAGAAAGCCGCAGATGGCTTTTCTTCAACATCAACTCCATCTTCACCACCACCAAAACGAAGAAGACACAACAATAGTACCCGCGATATTATGGGACCGTCCTCGGCCGAGGCAGAGCTGGAGCGGATCGAGGTCCTGATCAAAAAGCATGAGATGGGTGACATTACGCGCATTGATTGGATGGACCAAATGGTCTTCCGTCAGCTGGAGAAGCTCAAAATGCAGGCTGAAGAGGCCGCTCGTAAGAGAGCTATTGCCCTCAAGACAACAAAGCAACGTGGTGGTAGTGCCGAAGGAGGCGAGGACGACAGTTCTGATGATGACGAGTTGGACGACGAGAACTTTGTGCTTTATGTGGACTTTCCACGCTTTGATCACCCTATAGTTTGGGCTGATCACCAATATCCGGCCCCGCCAATCTCGTCCTATCCTCAGAACGTATCTAACCTCCCGACATCGACATTGAAACCTATTCCAGAGGTTCGCTTCGGTCCCGGAATTGAAGGTGCTGATGGCGCAGGCGTCATCAGAATCTACGATCCCGAAGTGGGTCAAACCGGAAATCCGTGCGAAGACAAACACCGAAGATTGATTCGCAGCCATCGAACTGGATTTATGGATCGAGACCTCAAACCAAACCCGAAGAACCGTGACGAACTAAACCTCATTCTATCGTACGAGCCGACCCAGGATCTCACCGCCGAAGAGAAAGACTTGATCTGGAGATTCAGGTACTATCTTACTCGGGAAAAGAGGGCATTGACCAAATTTGTGAAGTCAGTCAATTGGCGTGATGAAGGTGAAGCGCGGCAAGCTGTGGAAATCTTGCCTAAATGGACCGAGATTGACGTTGATGACGCTCTGGAGCTTCTTGGTCCAACATTCGACAATGCGGCTGTTCGCTCCTATGCCGTGGCGAGATTGCGCAAAGCGGATGACGAGGAGCTTGATTTGTACCTCCTGCAATTGGTGCAGGCATTAAAATACGAGGAGAGCTCAGACAACGAGTCTGAAGAGGCGGCTCATGACTCCTCGCTAGCCAACTTCCTCATTACACGAGCGGCCAACAACTTCAAACTTGGAAACTCTCTGCATTGGTATCTCATGGTTGAATGTGATGATGCCGGTCCGGGAACCTTGTCAAATCAGCGCAGACTCTTTGCTCGTGTCGAGTACTACTTCATGGCAGAACTGGAAAAGATTCATGCCGAGCATCGAAAGACCCTTCTTCGTCAAGGCGAATTGATCGCCGTTCTTTCAAAGATTGCCAAGGACGTCCGTTTCTCCCGCGAGACTCGACCAGTCAAGATCGAGAAGCTCAAGAAGGCTTTGCGCGATCCAAAGAATGAGTTGATTCATATTGATCCGCCGCTCCCGTTGCCGCTAGACCCCGACGTGTCAATCATCGGTTGTTACCCTGATGAATCCAACGTTTTCAAATCGACATTATCTCCGCTTAACATCACGTTCAAGACCAGTGATGGCAAACGATACCCGCTTCTGTTCAAGGTCGGCGATGATCTTCGCCAGGATCAATTGGTCATCCAAATCATCATCCTGATGGACCGACTGCTGCAAAAAGAAAATCTGGACTTGAAATTGACGCCATATCGCATCTTGGCGACGAGCTCTACGGCTGGTGCCGTTCAATTTATCCCATCCACATCCCTGTCTGCGGCCTCTGCCAAGTACAAATCTATTCTCGCCTACCTGAAAGAGCATAACCCAGATGAAAATGAGCCTCTTGGCGTTCGAAAAGACGCCATGGACACTTATATCAAGTCCTGCGCTGGCTACTGCGTCATCACGTATCTCCTGGGCGTTGGTGACCGTCATCTAGAGAACCTGCTTCTCGCACCAGACGGCCACTTCTTCCATGCCGACTTTGGTTTCATTCTCGGTCGTGATCCCAAACCTTTTGCTCCGATGATGAAGCTCTGCAAGGAGATGGTCGAGGGAATGGGCGGTACGACTTCGCCACACTACCTACAGTTCAAGCAATATTGTTACACTGCGTATACAACCCTGCGCAAGTCTGCAAACCTGATCCTGAATCTCTTCAGTTTGATGGTTGATGCCAATATCCCCGACATCAGGGTCGAACCTGACAAGGCTGTTTTGAAAGTGAAAGAACGTTTCCACCTCGAAATGACCGAGGAAGAGGCGATTCGACACTTTGAGCAGCTGATCGGAGATAGCGTTAATGCTATCTTTGGTGTGGTTATTGATCGCCTACACGAGTTTGTGCAAGGATGGAGGGCTTGAATTGACTACTACGAAGGTACTCTTGTGGATGGGATCAATGGATAGATAGATTCCAATGTTGGTTTACGTGCTTGGGTGCATAGGAGTTGGGAAATCGGAGGCTATACTGGGATAGTTTGGCGCACAGGAATAGATGTACAGAATATGATACCCTATAACATGGCCTACACAACTTAGTTCTACCTCTCATTGGACTCTTTGCTCTGGAATGATTCGTTATCGCTCAATGGTATGTGACAGTGTACTCGTCATCTCGTACAGCCGGAAGCACACCTCCATGATGGTCAGATAGGTTAGCACATCGGCAAAACAGGACATTATCTATCACGTCCAATCTCCTCATCGGGAACATTGCGTTCCTCAAGCGCTACCCACTCATGATTCGCATCATTATCAGTAGTACCCCATATCCTCTGATCCCCTAGGTCTGTCTGAGAATCGCCGTGTGCGGCGCTACCTTCAACAACAGAAGAACGGCCATGTCCATCGCCGCTGCCATCGCGGCGTAACACACCGCCAGGCACAGCATTTTCCTCTCCACTTGAAGTCTCCTGCGTTGGAAGACCGTCCAATTTGGCGGCATCTTCGTCGTCCTCGAGGGTACCTTCACGACAGGCCCAGGCATCCACGAAACGAAGTACTTCCCGTGGCCACCATCTCTTCATGACGAGAAGTCGGAAAGGTACCAAAGCGAGAATCAGCACTGGGAATGCAGGTGCTCCACGAGTGAGGGTTAGGATGAATATCACGACTGTGATCACGATTTGCAGGATTGTGTAGAGGTGAATTGGCAGATAGGATGGGTGGCGAGATGAGGATTCCATCACGCTATGAGCTTCAGGGTTCTTGTGCAGGGACTGTGGTAGGGGTGGTAACTCTGATGGTGGAGTGAGAAGATAGAATGTCCGGTACAATATCGGACTGTAAGAACTGTCAGTGGACATGTGCCATATCAAAAGTGATGTAAAAGGCAAGACTTACTTGATCGATAAGCTTTGCTCACCCATGAAGAGGAACAGCCCAGCAAGAACGCTGGTCGGAGTCAAGCCAAGAACTTTCATAAACGGGGGACTGATAAATAGAAGAATAGCGGCAGAATGGAGAAAGGATGACCAGCGTTGCTCATATACTTGCCGGACCTCTCGGGTCTCTATCTTCTCTTCACCGTCCACTGTGATGGTCTTCTCTTCTTTCACTGTATGCATCAGGGATTCAGAGTGCAACGGTGCCTGTGGAAGCAGACCATTGGCAGGCGGAATACCAAGAATACCACATAACGCTGTTGTCGTTCCTAGCAGCACGATGTCCCAGGCGAACCCGCCCGGCTTTCGAGTACCATACCGGTCAATAGTGCAGATGATTGAGCTGACTTCGTGATCGAAGAAGAAAAGCATGGTAATGATCAACCCAGGGATAATGGAGCCAAATATCCACTGGACGGGCAATTTCCAAAATTCCACGAAAAAGATGTCCCGCTCAGGAGATGTTGGCCGAAATGAGGTGCTAACCGCCAGAGTCATTTTGTCTAAATTGGCCAATTCGCCAACATGAGGCAAGCCAATAAAAATGATGATAGAGATTGCGGCAGCATATTCGGTCAACCCAAGACGGATATACCGGTGAAAGAGAGGGCGCCAGCTTTCCGCGGTGGAGAGGAAGATAGCAAGGAGCATGGTTCCTACCGCGCCTATAACAGCGTAGAGGAAAGCTGCGAAAGAAAGACTTTCATGGGCCCTCTCAAGTTCCTGAATAGCCTTGTGGAAGTAAATGATACTGTTCAAGAGCGAGAAGATCTCCGTTGCAAAAGTCGTCACATATCGCATAGTCCAGTCATGCGCATTGATGATTGCTAGCAGGTAGTGCAGCCAAGCAGAATGGATCAAAGACCAAGCCATAAACGGGAGGAATGGTATCTGGTCCCCGTGGGTGTCAGCAAAGGCAGCATAGCCAAGCCCGAGAATGACCGATGGCATACTTGGAATACATCTTCGCACAGCGAATAGATGTTCTCTGCCAAGACAGAGAATGGACCCGTTACGCCGAGGATGGTGAGGGGTTGGATCGAGAAGCTGCCGAGAAGTAATGAGTCACTCAGGACAGGCAGAAGGAATTCATGAGTGCGTACAGCGAGAAGATTATCCCACAGAGTCCAGTACTGAACACGACCTCGATCGTACCCCAGCTTTTGCCAGTGAGCACATACAAGTCACTTGCGAAGGTGATGCCAGGTAAAAGATTAGTGAAAAAGACATAGACGGCGCTGGCAAATATCAGCTGGTTGAACACGGTCCAGTCAGACACATATCGTCGTCGCAAATTGACCAGGTCTTGCTTCACAAGGCGGAAGGGACGTAGAGGGCCCCCGGCCGCTATTGAGCCTCGTAGCTTTCGAAACGGCTTTGGTGTGTGTTTGGAGGGTGTAATAATTGAGTGGGCATCTGAATCTTGAACATGGTCCTCCGAGTCAAAATTGGCTTGCTCTCGTGTATTCGTCTTTCTCCGTCGACGAGGTCGTGATCTTTGACGGATTGATGATGTGCGTGTGGAGGGTGGACGAAAGGCTGATATTAGAGACATGATGAGAAGGATGGGATCTAGTGATCGAGTAAGAAACAAATTAATGCAGAGTTAATGATCACAGATATTAAGAAGAAATTACGAAAGGAGTGGAATTGAATTCTGCTTTAAAAGCCATCGAATTAAAGTCTTGGATCGGAATCTACTTGGGTGTCCAAGCCCACGCGTCATATGGCCAAGTATATACTCCTTACCGCCCTCTAGACCGCCTTTCTAGTAACGGCAATTTCTCTGTCACGCATCTGGGGTTTGCATCATTGCGATTTTGCGACTTGTTGATTTTACTCGGAAATGAACGGTAATTAGCCAGTCTAGGGATCGAAAGCACTCGGAACATGGCGCAATTCATACCGCGTCAGGCATTTCCTCACTATGGGGCCATCCCGAGGTCTTACTTCTTGGGACATCACCGGGCTGGTCTGAGCAAGATGAAGAACATGCTATCTTCAATCGACTACGTCGTCGAGTGCCGAGATTATCGGGCTCCTGTCACATCAATCAATCCTTTGTTTGAGGAAGCACTGGGAAACAAGAGACGACTGGTTGTTTATACGAAAAGAGATCTTGGCAGCATTCCCAAATCGCCTACCCAGAAGCTTGTGAGTTCTGTGGAATGAGCCTTGAGATATTGTGAGATAAATTTCTGATTTGCTCAATTACAGTTAGAGAAAAAGGTCCGAAGCTTCGACCCTAAGAGCGCCGTGTTTTTTGTCAGTTCATCGTCCCGCGCCGACGTCACTCAAATTATCAAACACCTCCGAGACGATGCCGAAGGACCAGATAGGCTCGTGGGATGCCGAGTCTTGGTAGTGGGAATGCCCAATATTGGAAAGTCGACCTTGATCAACCACCTACGGAACTTTGGTGTTGGAAAAGCAAAAGCCCTGAAAACTGGAGGTCAGCCTGGTATCACACGGAAGATCGCCAGCCCCGTGAAGATCATCGAGCGAGAGAGCGGGTCCCACGTCTACGTGCTCGATACTCCGGGTGTCTTCATGCCATACGTTCCAGATGCCGACAATATGCTCAAGCTAGCATTGTGTGGCTGTGTCAAAGACGCCGTCATCTCACCCGTCACCCTCGTCGATTACTTGCTCTATCAGATCAACTTGCATGATGCGCAGGCGTATAAGCGTTGGTCCGAGCCTACCAACGAAGTCATGCCGTTGCTTGAGAGTTTTGCACGACAAACGGGGCTACTGGGAAAGGGTGGGATACCGAATATAGACAGTGCAGCACTGCACTTTATTCAGAAGTGGCGGGCGGGTGATCTTGGTCGATTCATTCTCGACGACTTGGATGCAGAGCAACGGCGGCGAGATGATCCTGATCAAAAGGCACGTTTGAGTATGTCCCAGGCTTTGAAAGTCGAGAGGACAACGCGGAAGAACAAGCCGGACGTAAATACTACCAACTCCTCTTAATCAAATGTACATTATAATGAAAGAACTCATATGGGTGGATGGCTGATGGATATCATTTCAATCCACAAAAGCGATGTTTCACTAAAGAAGAATGGGATAATGCTGAGAAAGGTGAATATTTTGCAGAAGCAGCCCCTAACGCCGAAACACTGGGAAAGAGAAAAAACATGGAAAGCCCCTCCACACCAAATGCATCAGTCGAAGATCAAGAGATCTTCTCTAGAAGTCGTTGCCGTCGCCGATTGACCAATTCTTCTTGTACTTCATCTAGCGAGGGAAGCCGCCATTCTACCCCATCACCAGCATCTCCAGGTAACGACTCCCAGCCGTCCTCGGCATCGTCATCACCCTGGGAGCGCAAGTGCTCAACAGCCTCCTTTTCCTTTTGTTTCTCGTAGGCCAATAGCGTGCCGTCCTCCTCATCCAGGCCATATCCAAAGTAATTGGCATTGACCTTCTTCGTTGCGATATCTCCACCACGGCCAGTCCCAGTCCCTTCTTCTTCCTCTGGCGGTCCCCTCCCCCGGCGAGCCGCCGCCTCAAACATCTCCTTGACACCGGGCAATTCCCTCGCGCGACCAAAATATCGATAGCCCTTTCCTCCACCGGGAATCTCTCGCCCTTCGTCGTCGTAGACCCGACCAGATCCGCGCATGTAGTTCGGTCCACCCAAATTCCGGATTTGCATCTCCCAGGCCCATTTCTCGCGCATGAGCTTGTTGATTTCGTCATTGAGATCGCGGATCTGGTAGTCGCTGAGACTCGGCTCTTGGATGCGCGACACTTTGCGGGAGATTTCTTTTAGGACTTGGCCGCGCCAGCGCTCGCATGTCGGGATCGAGTCGACACTTGTAATAGCTTTGGGTCGTCTTGTCCGGCCGAGGTCAATGATTCCCATGTCCGCTGCTTGTTGCGCCCGAAAGCGGAACAGCATGGACTGGGCCTTTTCACTGTTGCGAGCCTATTCATGGCGGGGGTTGGGGTTAGCAATCTCGGTCGCAATATCTTGAGGGACTGCAGACAGGGACGAGCTCTAGCTGAGGATGATGCGGCTTACCATTTTGACAGACTGGCGAGGTCAATGGCCCAAGGAGGTTTGTCAGAGGTGGTGGGAGGAGTCCGAAGAGGAAATCTGAAGCTTGACCGTTGCGGGTGAGGTTCGGCGTCAAATTGCCGCCTACCGCGCGGCTATCACGTGGTCCACTCCAAACAGGCACGAGAGCAGGGAATCTTATCCTTCAAACTATAAGCTGGAGAGGGTATATCTGATAAATGTTCTGTCTTATACTCCTGCTTTCTGATATATCTCTATAAATAGATAGCCATTATTCAATCAATCTATCTCAGGTTTTAATGGTACTCGAGTCACCATCACGCTGGGCCAAGCAAAGGTTCGCCTCGGCCCTTCTCCCGATCATCAATAGTAGGCGTGTTATTTCTTTCCTTCCGTGCAATCCGAAATAGGTTCGCAAATATCAGTGCAAGGACAAGGTTATCCACGAAGCCCCAGCCAAAGAAGTTGTAAAAGAACCACAAGCTAGGCAAAGGAACAGAGCCAGACAAGACTCTAGCCCACGGGATGGGAGCCTCCGTGATCCATTTGAGAGCCAGAATGAGATGCATCACAGACTGCCCAGCAAGGCCCACGAGACTCAAAATTGATGAAGAGTCCGCATTAGCAGGCAGGATGCGTTCGTGAAGGAACGCATGGTAAGCCAACCCGGTGACTGTCGGGTTGAGGAATAACACGATGTGGGGAAGGGATGTCAATATGTCGCCCGTACCACGATGAGGGAGAGCATCCAGGAGAGGGTTTCCTTGAACTTGGCACAGTAGAAAGACGAAGGCATTCAGTATTTTGCTCTTGGATGGTCCATCATCGTAGTACAAAGTTACAAGCCAACTGCCCAAATAAATTGTAAGTGATATGCCGTTTCTCTTTGTGTCAGGTGGAATCTTACAGGATTGAGGATAAGACCATCCAGACTGCCGTCACTTGAAACAAGTTCATCCATTCTGCTGAATTCTGGGCATGTCCGTCTTGCCCCAACTTCATGAAAATGAATTTGCAGACACTCGCCTGCTCCGTTGCACTGAAGACGTTGAAGGATACTAGGATGAAAGAGATGTTTTCTGCGCTCTTGGTCCGATACATCCGACGGACCTGTGGAATGAATGATATAACATTCAAAGCCACCAAAAGACTGAGAAATTAGTTATTAGGAGTATGAAGACGGGTTTAACAAGGGAGGATGAACGGTAGATACCTGCGCAGAAGGATGGACATCTTGGAAGCCGCCAGTCAAAGCAGTTACGCCTTGACACTAGAATGGGACAATTTGAAAACAGAGTCGAGGGGGAAAGAAGGGAAAGAGTCCGGAAATGAGGTGAACAGGCTAAAGAAGAAGATTTGAGCCTCGAGCCTCCTGAGGGTCCCGACGGCTACGCTAAGGATGGCTCCATAGTCACTAGTTAGGTCGCTAATTAAGCACACGAAGCCTCGAAGGCCATTAGATCTTGGCAGACCTCGCAATTGGTGCCTTACAGCTACGATGGTTCAGAATGCAAATGCATACTTAGAGAAGCGGAGCCTACTAAAATGGAGGGGGTGAAGGTGATCCGAAAGGTAGCGAAGATTTTTAATTTCCGATGAGGCTCGGGATTCTAGCGGGGTCCCAAAAAGGTCTAATTAATCCAAGACTATTTGGCCCCCACTTACCTTCCAGACACGAAGATGATGATGATGATGATGGACAAATTCAATCTAGGTAAGACAGTTGGTTGCCTTGGGTAACGTGGAGAGATACATTGCTTCATGTTTCCTCCCCTCCCTGCTCCCCATGCTGGCATCCTAATCAAGATCATGCTCATGAAAATGTCCCCCCATCATGACCTAGTGAACATATCTGAATGACACCACAGCATCGGATCTCTGTCCAGTCTTCGATCCTGCAATTGCAGAGCCTACCAACGCGCCCTCCTCCAATTCAGCTCTTTCAATCTCCGCATTCTGTCGCTTCAGGTGCCATTTGATACCCAGCGCCGTCACAGCGCACACTAAACAAGCACCGCTCATCACTCCGCCGCCAGCATAATATCTAGGCTTCTGGGAATCTGGAAACATGTATGAAGTATAGAAGTGAGCAACGCCGGCGCCCATGAGGTTGACAATAGCGAGGGCACTGGCGCGCTTGGCTTTTGGACGAGGTAGCGATGAACTCAACCAAGATACGCAAAGGTTGTATGGTGAATATGATCCAGATGTCATTAGGAACATACTGACGTATCTGCCACCCGTACTTGGTACGAACATTGCCTGGAGTTTAAAATTAGTGTCAATTCTTGTAATGAGCGGAAGAGTTGCATCTCCGATGGCACGTACCAGTATGTTCCCTATCAGTGCAAAGAGCAGTGGAACGGCAATATGTAAACCTCTTTCTTGCTTTTTGGCGGCATGAAATGAGACTGCCAGGGAGCATACGAACGCAAATGCATAAGGTGGTGCCGTAAGCAATAGGGTAATCGTATCATTATACCCTAGGGTACCAACGATCGAGGGGAAGAAGTTGTTGAAGGATTGGGCCGTGATCAGAGCCATTTGCAGTACAATGAACATGTATAGCTTTGGATCAATGAGTGCTTGTCTGACACCCCACAGAATCGAGTCGGGGTCGTCATCAATAAGTCCCGCATTCTCGTTACGCAAGCGCCAGTCCTGTTATTTCAAGTTTGTCTCAGTAAGTCTCTTGTAGATGGGTATTCTGTGACGTACTGCAAGAACTTGATGTTCATGTGTAATCCACCAACGTTTCGTAGACAGAGGGTAGTCTGGGATAAATGGGATCACAAGTAGCGCAATCAAGATAGTCATTGACCCTTCAATAATGAATAGCCATTCCTAGAGGCATGAATAGTCAATCTCAAGCTCTCGGGACTTTCTGAGACATACTCACCCAGGCTGGTCTGCCCATCTTTCCTTCCATTCGTGCGACAATGCCTGCCGCGATCAACCCGCCAAATGCACTAGCCAGCATATTCGCACCATACAAAAGCGCGATACGGGGAGGCAATTCGGATCTCTTGTACCAGCAAGACATCAGGAAGAATACCCCAGGCAAGAATGGTCCCTCAACGAGACCCAGTATAAAGCGAGAAATGAACAGCCCGGCGAAATTGTGCGTGAAGGCCTGGCACATGGAGACCACACCCCATGCCGATGTCACAACACCAATATAGACTGAGGGTTTGACTTTCGTAATGATCAGATTGGACGGAAGCTGAGTGATAATATCTAGAACGGATTAGTATGGCGTTGAGGTATTGGATTTGGAGACTAACAGCCAACATAGAAAATCATTAAGCAAGTGTTGTACTGGGTATTTGTTATTCCCAACGTCTTTGGTAAGCCGGCGACCTTTGCATTTGCAATGTTGTTTCTAAAGACGTGAGCGCGGGACACCAATACTAGAGAGAAAATACTAACCGGTCGAGAATATTCATCAAGAAAAGAATAACTACAGCTGGAAGTAAGCAGGTATCCAATTTGCGCACTAAGCCCTTCTCCAGGCTCTCGAGTTCATCATTCTCCAAAGACGCTAGTTCAGCCGGGAGTGGGAGCTGATGCAAGGGTCCTGGCTTCACTATCTCTGCTTCTTCAGCATGAGGCTTTGCCTGGCCAATACTGTCCATGTTTGACATGGTGACTAGAGCGAGTAATGCGACAGGCCAGGTCAAGCATGCGGAGCCTTTTGCGAGAAGCCAGCAATCATGAATCCTTTATACTCGAGGCAAGCTAGAGCCCCTCCGGTCAGGACGCATGGTTAATTTTCCAAATTTATCGGGTTGGTATCCGCAATCCGGGGTAAACGCGGGGAAATCATTGTGGAGGCAGCTTGTACAGAGCCAAAGTAGAAGCACTAGACAGGCGCACGGCCTATCAGGACAGGGAGCTCGGCGAGAAAGCCGCAATATCCTTAGGGAATATGCTCCATCAACATAGATTGTGGCAGAGCTTTGGTAACCAAAAAAGATTGAAATCTCTAGTGGAAGTTTACTGCACCTCTATCCGGTCTTCTTACTTGCTGGCCTGAAAGCCAGAGCGCATAGCGCAAGATAAGACAACAAGCCCGCGCAGAATCTAGACAATACTATCCAACGTCAGAACTAGTCATGAATATCGCTAGTCTGAGCTTTGTGGGGTCTTGATGCCTCATCAAGTCCGAAGAGCTGATATGGGTTGCCCATACTTACCTGAAGAGCTATTGTAGGAACGCTACGACCATGACCCTAATTTCGCATGGACACAGAAAGCGAGACTGCGTGGAAGCATTAAAGTGACGATTCAATTTCATAATTCTGTATCGTAGATGAGACCCAACCCCTAGCAAGCATATTTACTCCCAAGCACAATCACAGCCACTCAGAAAATGCAAAAGCAGACTGCCATCCAATACATACACCCCGAAAACGGAAATACATGCCGTCATTCACGCATTATGGACAAGGGGATTCAGGGCCAACAAATAAAGACTGAAGCGTTCCTCTCCGAGATGCACATTTACGCCAACCGCAAGACTGAAGAAAAAAAATAAAGGAAAACAAGAAAATCACAACCACAGTAGCAACTCCCGGTCCACATAATACACATCATTCCTTCAAACATGTTCACAGAAAGCCCTTGGTGTTGCTGGGCTTCCGCTGGGGCATTGTGTCATACCCATATGCAGCACTGCCCTTTCGACTGCCTGCGTCGCTGATCGCTGCCATGGGGGAACGGCCGATTGTGGCGCCCCTTGCTTTCCAACCATCTAGCTCGCGCTCCAGGTACAGTACTTTTTCGCGCTCCTCGCGAAGATCGCGCTCTGCGCGGCGAGCTTGCAGCTGTGTTTCGGTATCACCTTGCTGGAGCTCCTCGATATTCTTGAGGAGCCTTTCAATCCTATCCCGAGCCTTGTTAACCTCATCATTGAGCTGGGTGTTCATCTTATCCCGCCGGTCGATCTGGGACTGGAGGTCCTTAACAGTACGATCAACATTGCGAAGGGAGCGCTGCTCAGCAGTGTGCTTGTTCTCCTGCTCCTCGAGATGGGTTTCCAGCTACAATGAATTAGCAACCACGAATGTAGAATTTGAGATGATTAGTGAAACTTACCTCCTTGATACGTTTGTGCAGGAATCGGACATCTTGGCTACCGGAAGAATAGCCCTTAGTCTCGAGGTCAACACAACGGAGCTGCACCTCCTTGAGTTGCTTTTCAAGACCAGCCTTCTCCTTGAATAGCTGAGCATTGGTTTCACGCTCGGCAGTAAGCTCCTTCTGCATCTCAGTGGCGAGAGCGTCAGCACGGCGCATCTTGCCAACTGCCGCGGAAGAAACGTCCTCCTGTTGCGCAAGTTTGGACTTGAGCTCGAGAAGTTCACGGTCCATGCTGGCAGCATTTCGCATTGAAGGGCTTTCACCCTTTGCCAGGTCCTCAAGACGCTCACCAGCTTCGGCAAGGCGACCTTCGAGCATCTTCTTGTCCTTCAGAAGCAAGTCACGCTCGGCCGTGACATCATCCACGGAGGTACGTAGAGTCCGCACCTGAGAGAGGAGGGACACGACCTTAGTCTGAGCCTCACTGTGCGCACTGGCAGCTTCGTCGCGGGAGTTGGTAATGTCCTGCATGACGAGCTCCAAGCGCGCTTTCTCCTTGGCCCAAGTGGAGCTGTTGAGTACCTCGTTGTCCCACTTGCTCCGAAGATCCTCGAGCTCTTCACGCAGCCGCGAGTTCTCTCCACGGACATTGAGTAACCGCTCACGCTCCATCTCGAGCTCACCATTAATGGTCGAGAACTCGCGCTGGTACTTTTGGCGGGTCTGTTCCATCGAGGTTTCCTTGTCCTCGATGTCAATAGCCCGCTGGTTGCGGTAGTCCTCGAGCTCATTCTGGAGACGTTGCTTGGCTTGCAAGGCACCCTGTAGCTCGGCAGCCTGATCTTCCATGCGGGCTTCCAAGGACTGCGTCTGACGCTGCAAGTCCTCCACAAGAGCATCCATCTCCTTTCTCTCAGACATGATCTGTGCACAGGTGTCTTCGGCCTCCTGGCATCGAGACTTGGCAAATTGCTCAGCGCGAGAGGCCTTCAAGACAGTGATTTCCGCTTGCTCGAGCTTGCTGAAGTATTCATCGGCACGACTCTTGAATAGACTCAGGCTTGACTCAAGGTCAGCGCTGCGCGATGTTTCCGCATCCAGGCGAATGTGCAGATCAGAGAATTCTTGAAGGAGCTGGTTTCGGCTAGCAATGTCTTGTTCTCTGGCCGCTTGGAGCTCCTGGGCTTCAGATCGGGCGTCTCGGACCTCAACTTCAAGGGCAGCCCTGCTGCGCTTAAGTTTTTCGTACTGTGATTTCGCATCGCCAAACTCCGACAAAGCATCGTTGTGAACCTTAAGCAAAGACCGACGAGATTGTTCCTGGGAATTGATGAGATCGAACAACTCCTCGTGAGACTTGGCCTGCACGTCACGAAGAGACAGCTCTCCAGAGCGAATGCTGCGTTCCAGCGCCGAGACCTTCTTAGCGGAATCGTCAAGCTGGCCATGAAGGCGGCCATTTTCACGCTCCAGAAGCTGCATGCGGCGGATTGACGGGCTGTCATCCTGCCAAATATCGCGGGACGACGTAGATTGTTGAAGCTGGCTCTGAAGATGCTTGTTCTGCATTTCAGTCATTTGAAGCTTGTTCTGCAGCTCCTCGATTTCCGCGGCGGTGTCCATCCGTCTTTGGTAGCCCACAGTATCGACTGTTCTGTCGGATCGGGCCGAGTCATTGGCACCTTCATACACGTTGTTGTACCGTCGGTTCGGGGTTGAGGGGTTCGAAATCCTCTTGAGAGCATTCTCGGAGTTCTTCCGGAAGTGGGAAGGGGCGCGGTTGTTGGCCACTTCATTCTGATCAATCTCTTCAAGCAAAGCACGCTTGGAAGACGAGTACCTCGAATCAAGCTCCTTCATCTCGTCGGCGTGACGGCGGCGCATCTCTGAGAGCTGGCTTTCCGCGCGAGCGTATTTCTCCTCCGTGATTTGAAGCTTGTGTTGAACGTCGTTAAGCACCTGGGCCAGATCCACTTGTTTTGACAAATGTGGCTGGACAGCCTCCCAAGACTTCGTGGGCTCAGAGGCCTCGGGTTCGAAGACTCTGTGCAGGAGAATCAATTGGCGGTGGAGGTCCTCGATCTCTTTGTTTGCCTTGTCCAGAGACCCTTGCATTTGTCGAGTATTTGCCTGGGCCTGGCCTCGCAGCTGTCGTTCGTTTTCAAGGTTCCGATTGACCTCCGCAAGCTGAAGGTTCGCAGTGGATGCAGCTTTCTCGGCATTGCGACTGTTCTTGTGCTCCCGGTTGACTTCATGATTGAGATCCTCAAGGCTTAAAGACAGCTTCTCCTTTTGTTTCTCTAGCGAAGTGATTGCAAGCTGCGAATCTCCAAGCTGCTTTTGAAGTTTCTTATTCTCCTCCTCAATCTTGGACTTCTCCTTCTGGAGGGTTGCGAGTCGGAGTCGGTTGCTGTCGCTTGCCTTAGAGTTTGAGCGGGCAATGTCAAGATTCTTTTGTTGAATCTTGGTCAGAAGAGATCGATTATCATTCTCGGAGGCTGTGAGGCGGCCCTTTAAAGTAACAAGCTCTCTTTCAAGACGTTCTTTGTGTTGGTCATGGCGAAGACGGAAATTATCAGATTCGGAGATGGCGTGCTCCAACTCTTGCACACGGACCGAAAGCTGATATCGCTCTGCCTCAAGATCTTCGAGGAGTTGCATTTTCTCCTCGAGATCTGTACGCATGCTCATGATGCGCTCCTCGGACTGGTTCTTGAGCTTAAGTTCAATTTCGGCCTCTGCATTCAAGCGAGCATTCTCGACTGCCGTGAAACGTTCGCGGAGCTTAATCAACTCAGATTGCAGGTCCTTCCTCGACTTCTCGGCCGCAACCCGCGCTTCAGTGGCACGACGAAGGCTGTCCTGTTGAATGTACATCTCCTTCTCAATCTCAATCTTAGATTCGTTCAGTGAGTTGTACTTGTCAGTCAGCTCGGCAAGGTTGTGCTCGGCAAGCATCTGAACATCGTCTCTAGATTGACGCTCTCGACTGAGGTCTGCTTCAGCCTGGAAGAGCTGAGCCTTGAGGTCGTTGGCTTGCTGTTCCAACAACTTCCTGCTCTCTCCCGCCTCAGCATCTTCGGACCTTTTTTCTTCAAGCAATCGCTTAACATCCGCAGCTTCTCGCTCAAGCTGGGTCTTTTCAGAGCGCATGGCGTCTCGCTCAGCTTGAATTTCACGAAGACGGGCCTGCATGTTGTCGTGTCGAGTAGCAAGAGACTTCTTCTCAACCTCCATACCTCGTCTGTCTTCGTCATACTTCTTCAAGTCATTACGAAGAACAGCCATTTCGCTTTCCTTGCGACGAAGAAGATCTTCATAACTCGTCGTTGTGGAGGTGAGATCGTTAATCTGCTGACGGATCGATTGATTCTCGGTCATCGTGTCGCGAAGCTGCTTTTTCGTCTTGTCGAGCTCTTTAGAAGTGTGGGCAAGTTTGACATCGAGATCCTGGTCTGTCTTCAACAGTTTGGCCTCAAGCTCATGAAGTTTGCGATCCTTGAGGCTAAGGTGGCTCTGAAGCATCTTGATCTCTTGACCGAGCTCCTGAATCTGACCATCTTTCCCAGAGAACTCACCCTCCATGCCAGCAAGACGAGCATCGAGTTCCTCTAAGCGAGTTTGTAGCCCATTCTTCTCAGCCTCCAGTTTCTGGATGATCAGACCTGCTTGTTCAAGCTGCGTAATTCGCAGTTGTAACTGCTCGTCGGTCTTCTTCTTGGCATCGACCAAGTCATCTAGTTGCTCTTCCAGCTTCTCTTGATCAGCAATCGCCTCGGCGAGTTTTTCGGTTAGCTCGCCCTCGCGGTCTTGCAGGCGCCTGAAGATCTCCTCTTTGTCGAGCGCGAGGGCACGTTCGCTTTCCAACGTCTGCTGGATCTTCTGGATCTCGATCTCCGTGCGGCGTCTTTCCTCGTCCAGTTTCTGTCGGTCGGAAAGCTCGTGCTTCATCTTCATCTCGAGCTCCTTGATCTTATCGTCTCTCTTCTTGACTTCTTTGGCCGTCCGTGTATCGCCAAGCAGAGGCTTCATCCGGGAGAAGAGGCACCACCATGGGCTATCCTTGAGCTCGAGATAAGCATGGAAATTTTGCTGAATGATGCGAGTTGCTTCAGCACGGTACAAGCGCTTGTTGGAAATGCGCCGCTGGACAAAACCACGGGCGAGTGACTGAAAGCGAGTCATAATAGTTCGGATGAGCTGGTCTCGCTTGTCTTCTAGATCGGCCAGAACACCAGCTCGGAAGAAGACCTTGGTGCGACCAACGCGGTACCAAGCCCTGTCCATACCAAGCTTCTCCAGCATGATTCGTGCTGCGCTTTGGCCTTCCAGATACCCCTTGGGCATATTCTGACAAAGCACTTCGTATCGCTGACGGAATTCTGCGAATGGAAGTCGATTGGGGAAGCCGGTCCGGGCAATTCTGATTCCCTCAAGTACACCGTTGCACCGTAGTTGATCCAGAACCAATGGGGCATGCAACATCTTAGGGCGTTTCTTGTGGTTCGGCAGAATACAACGCACGAAGTGAGGATGAGTCGAGTGAAGCTGCGTCATCAAACTAGAGAGCTGCTCCTTGTGGCGTTGGGCGACTGTTCGGAACAAGCCCTTCTTGACCCGGCTGCGGGGATAATCGCCACCTTCTTCGGGGTCCGCGCAATCTGCGAATAGGTTCGCAACGTGCTGATCATCAGAACCCGCGAGGAGGCGAGTGATATTGTCATTCATCGGGTCCTTGTTCTTCTCCAGCCAGTCGTGGGTGGTATACTCTACCTCAGCGGCATAATGCGTAAGAACGAAGCCCTGGTTGAGACGAGAAGCGCGGTATTTGGGAGTCTTGCGGTCCCAGAGAGAGTGAAGTTTCTCCGTGAACGATTTGTCCGTGGCTTTGGGCATCACACAGTCTTCGTCAAGGCAAGAGAAGATGCCAATGGGGTTGGTCAATTCGATCAAATCAATGGTTGGCTGCAAGTCCTTGCCAAAGTCGATGAATTGCCACTCGATCTGCTCCCGAGCATACTCCTCTTGCTCGAGAACAAACATGTGGTGGTTGAAGAACTGCTGGAGTTTTTCGTTGGTATAGTTAATGCAGAGCTGCTCGAAACTGTTGTTCTCGAAAATCTCGAAACCAGCAATATCAAGTACACCAATGAAGTAGTTATCGTCGGCCACGGAGCGACCGAGCTGGTTGTTGATGCGAGTGACCAGGTCACCAAACCCACGCTCATAAATACCCTTGGACAAAGCATCCAAAGCCAGGCGCACTTGATCAGGCGTCTGTACTTTTTCAACCCACTCACGACCAGCCTTCACTCTTGGGTGCAGCAATCCCTTGACAAAAGCTTCAGCTGGAATGCCCAAAAGCCGACAAGCCTTCTCCACGCTGGCGTAGCCATCGGGGGCCAGAGCAGCTTGATCGGCGCGCACACTCTCTTTGGCCACGGTGACATTACCCAGGTGGAGTACGGCGGCGATGGTGCGCAAAATGCACATCTGGTCTTCTTCGGAGAAGTTCATCACATGGAAGGCCTCGATCAGCGAATTCCATTCATCTCTATCGGAGACTCCAACAATGGAATCGTTGCCATCCTTCGTGTACGCAAAATGCTCGATCTGGAGATCTTGGAGTAACAACCTTTCTCGGGTTGTCCGATCCGCACCTTGCAGCAACTGATAGAAAATGTGATAATTCCGCTCGTTGGAGTTGGGCTTGACCACTCGTGATTTCTCAAGCAGGTACCAGTCGATCCATGCGCCGCAGATCTGGCCAGATCGGGAAAATTCAATGCGGATGAATTTTCCAAAGCGAGAAGAGTTATGGTTGCGAACTGTTTGGGCGTTTCCAAATGCTTCGAGGATAGGATTGGCGCGAAGGATTTGCTGGGACAAGTTCGATAGCTGCTTGGTTCCTGACCGGCCGTATGGGGTATCAGAAGTTGCGACGGCTGCCAGGTATTGAATGACCTTCTTGGTGTTCTCGGTTTTACCAGCACCGGATTCACCACTAATTATAGCTGGTCAGACCTGGTCTCAAAAATGGACACATACGAAAGGAGAGACTTACGTCACCAGGATACTTTGGTTTTCCCCTTCCTCCACCAGGTTGCGGAATGCCTCATCTGCCATCGCGAAAATATGGGGCCGGGTCTCTTCTCTTCCACGGCCCTTGTACATTTTCACATACTCATTCGTATAGATTGGCAGAGGGCAGTATGGGTTGATTGTTACCAAGAAAAGGCCCGAATACGTCTATCGAGGAGTGGAATCAGTATTGCGGGGCGAACAGGATTCCATGGTAAGCGGATACTCACATAAATCAAGTCGGATTGGTATCTGGTATGTAAGTTGTGAACCACAGAGGCTTCATTCAAGTGAGTCAGCTCCGCCATATCGTCTGCCTTGTCAAACTTCGCCGGGTTGACCTTGTCAACCTGGTCGGCATCTACTTCACGCTGCTATGCATGCTGTCAGTCAATGCTCAGATGCCTTGCAAAGTAGAAAGCGATCCTACCTCGCCATCGTCAGTCTGTACTAGCAGACGACCTCCTTCCAATTCTTCCAACACAAGCCCGCGCACGAACGCTTTTTCAGTGTCGCGCAACCACACGTATTTGTTCCCGGAGAAGTCATTGTCGCCCTCCAGGCCGCGGATTTGGTCCGCACCCCGCCGTAGCTCTTCGGACTTGATAAAGCTCGGCGCAAAAGTTCCGGAGGATGCGTCCTTACGTGCCGAGTTCGATCTTTGGCGAGTGATGGATGTTGAAGATCGACTGGGGGTGAGCTGTGAGACTGATGCATTGCGAAGATGTCCTCTTGCCAACTCCAATCCATTTGAGGGACTTATGATGGCAGATTTGGGCCGTTTTTGTGAGTGTGGTGCTGGCGATGGGGAGGACCGCCCAAATGGGTTGGCCCGCTTGGGCGAGCTGTTGAGTTGAGAGGGGAGCATGACGGGCGGGTTGTTCAATAGCACATTATTCGGGGTGACAATCGTTTCCCATAGCCAAGAGAGGCAATCTAAAGACAATGAAAAGAATGTGACGTGGGGAGGAAAGAGAAGAAAGTAATCAAGGAAAGAAACAAGTCGTAGAGAAATGACCCCAATAACGAACCTAGCGTGAGGGGACCGACGTGTGATGTAAAGCGGAGAGCTGACGCTGTTTGTTTACACTTGCGTTCCTCGGGTGCCCGCCGATCGCTGGTCCGTGCGCTCATCTATATCACGTGATTCGAATCCGCTTTTTTCGCGGGCGCTTAACTTCGATGATTTCACAGTTCTGTATCCCACACGTCCTTGTTGCTTAGCGCCCCGTTGTTCTCAGCCCTCTTGCTTTTTCCCGCTTGGTCAAGAGATACGAGTTCTTGCTCCTTCCTTTACTTTCATTCATCATCCATCGGCCTGTCTGCTTCGCGGAAGTGGAAGTAATAATCTTCGTCAGAACAGAAAAGCTTGAACCGACTCGCGCTGTATCACACTTGAACGAATATGGGATGGTATCTTTGACTTCACTCATGCCTTCCTAGATAACCTTGTCTACGGAAATCCTCATATCGTACCGGCCTCCCCTGCGCACCTTCCGCGCTCTGATTCCATTTCAACATGTCAAATCAACCGCCTCCTCCATTTGGTGGCCACCAAAGCTATGCGCAACAGTGGCCGCTACCATTTCCTTCGATGATTCCTCCAAACTTTGCCCCAAATTCGGAATCGCAAGCTACAGGACCACCACCCTTACTCGACCCTTCGCAGGCTTTTGAGTATAACCTGGGCATCGCCAACGCCAACTCGCGTCAACCAGCTCAGGGCAACTCTGGCGATCCGAGCATCTTTCTACCTCCTCAGTTCCCATTTATGGGCCAGATGGACCTATCACAATTTGTACCGCCGTTCCCCCAAATGCCTCTCCCTCCGTTCGGGTTTCCACCAATGCCAGCACCGCCGGGGTCGTCCAGCATTCCGCCAGTGTCCATGAATTCCCACGGAGCCGTCGCAACCAACGCCTCCAGTTCTCAGAGTCGAGTTGGAGATGTTGAGAGCCCATCAGACTCAAATCGCGAGGAGGGTGAAGTTAGCGAAGGAGAGATCAGGCAACCTGTCAATGGTACAAAAACTAGGGCGAGTCATGCATCCGCTGCTCAACCCGGGAGCTTAGAAGAGGGCGAAACATTTTCTTCACCGTCATCAGCTTCGACCAGAAGTAGCTCACGTACGTAATCTCTAATTCTGTTCTGTTACTGCTCTTTACTGACTTGTTTCAGCCTACAACCCCCCTCTGTCGGTTTCTGCGGACGCAGACGTGGTCAATCGCGCAATAGAACTGCAGAAACAGGATGCAGCAACACCGAAGTTGGATGTTTCTCCACCTTCCAAATCTGCGGCGCAGCTCCGTGTTCAGGCACAGGGGGCTCTGCTAAGCCTAGCACCTCACAATATTCGGTATAACGAGTTGGTGGCCGAGGGTATCAACCCAGCGATCCTGAAAAAATTATATGAAGAGGTCGGTATCAGAGTCGCGACTCCCCAACTTACGAAACCGGCAGCCGTGGCGCCGGCTGAGAAAACCGCGAAGCCCGAACTTCCTGTGCAAGTCCAAAGACCAAAGGAGACGACTCAACCCGACAAGAACAATATCCCGCCACCGCCTGCTCCTAGCGCCGCGCCGTCTGATACTAGCAAACCTATGGAAAGAAAGGAGCTCATTGCTCAAATGCTTGCTGCTAAAGCTGCAAAGGCTTCTCGACCCAATACTCCTAAAGAAGTATCAGGAGAAAGTCAACCAGCGGCAGCTGCACATAGTCCATCGGTTACTCCTTCCAGTGAGAAGGCCAAGGAGAATGGAGCAGCTGTGAAGGAGAAGAACAAGGCTCAAACAGAATTAGCTCGGCAGCGAATTGAGGCTCTCAAGAAACAAGCATTGTTGAAAAGCCAACAAAGGGCTCAACAGCTCAGCCAGGCGTCCCAAGAGGAGAAGCCTCTGATGCCCTCGGGTCATTCTGCACCAGCTATCCATCATCCACTCCCTGTCCGCCCACCTGCTCCTCATCCTTCTGACACCGCTGGAATTCCAGGTCTTTCTTTGACCGAACCGAATCCAGAGGTAGAATCACAATCTTCCAGTGGAGGATCATCGGGTATCGCTGTTGACTCAACTCCATTGGCTAGAGCCAACCAGCGCAAACGGCCCCGGGCGTCTGATTTTGATGATGCAGGCGCCATCCCAAAAAAGCATTTCCAAGCGCCAGCCCCGTACGTTCGTCAAGATTCTGATAAACTTATCATTCATATCAGTGATGACGAATCTTTATACGGAGATGACGAAGGTGAGGATATGGATGTAGATTCAAGTCCTGACCAAGATTCCGCGCCTGCGACTATCAGCACGCCTCTTGAGATTCCTCGACTTCAACTCCAAAGATCCGTCCCGGGTACAAGGGCTTCTACGTCTACCCCGCAAGCGTCAACACGTCCCAGTGATCAAGAGCAAATGCGTCAGAAGACTCTTGAAATTCAAGCTCTACATCGAAAGATTGCCGAGATGGAGGAGCGACGGAAAGCAAAGCTTGCGGCGAGCCGAACTCAATCTCCGCGCACGCTGGAAGATTCGGCTCCTGCATCTGCTGCTGTTTCTGCAGTTTTTGTTGAGACGCCACCAGCGCCCCCAACCACCGATATCGGGGAAGTAAAGGAGGCAAACACTATGCCAGATGTGGACAAACTTCGTCAACAGACGGCATTGAAGCAGCTACGCCTTGCCGCACAACAAGGTACTTACCCGACAAGAAGCCATCCATTCCCCTTCGGCCTACCGACAGCTATAGCTAATTGTATTTTTCCATTAGCAGCAGTCACACAGTCAGCCGCAGCTTCAGAGGACATCGTGATTCCAGATGCGGACGCCCCAGCAGTGACTACTGCCAAGGAAGAAGTCGCAGCTGACCCTGCCTCTCACTGCTCTGAATCGGACTTTTATGCCGACGAGCCTACAAATGTTGATACAGTGAAGGGCTTGAATGAGGCCCATGCACCTTCTCAACTCGATGCCACTGGTTCTGTCCTGGATGAGTCCGAGGATCATTCCAGCTCCAGCGATTCTAGTTCTGACGACTCTGACTCCGACCATTCTGATTCCGGCAATTCTGATTCCGGCAATTCTGTTTCTGTTTCCGGCGAATCTAATTCCCACGAGGATTCAGCTAGTGAGGAAGAAGTTGAGGAGTCAGATGCAGAGGCCATGGTGGGCACGGCTCAGATAGCGGACGATGGTCAGATGCAAATTGACACTCCAGGGCATGCTCTGCCTGACCGACCACCCGTTACTGCGATTGAAGATGAAGCTGAAGCCGTCGAAGACGATGCCGAAGACAGCTTCGATGACATTGATGAGGACGAATCTGAAGCCGAATCCGAAAGAGAATCTGAAGTTGAGCCTGAAAACGAGTTTAAAGACGAGCCTGAAGACAAGCTTGAAGACGAGGAAGACGAGTACGAACCCGCTGACCACAATGGTCAGGAGGGTGACTTGTCCGATGCCGAATCTTCTGCGGAGTCACAAGCCTATGAACCTCCGGAGCCGGACACTGGCGCGGAATCGCCTCACTCGACCTACAGCCCGCCTCCCCCTGCCCCCCTAGAAGATACTGCAGATGTGGACCCTCTGCTTGATATATCTCGAATTGAAAAACCACTAACGGAGACCCCTCGGGTGTCCTTTCTAGAGGCAAGGCCAGTATATCAGGGGTCGGATGCGGATATCCTTGGTGTATGAAAAACACCTTTCCCAGAGGAGAAAACTCATCGTGATCTTGGACTAATCCCCTACAGGCTAAATCTTCGCCCCAAACCTCAGTGCCAAAGTTCTCTCCCTACGTCAGTCCCTTGCGATACTTCAAGGCCTATCGCTACCACCCTCGCTACACTGAAGAGGTTTCGGACGGCTACCGTTCGCTGACTTACAGCCATGAAATCGATTCGATGAAATCTTTTTGCCCATTCGAATTGGCCGGTGGTGTGTGCAATGATCGGTCCTGTGAATTCCAGCACTTCCGGGACATGAGTCTAAGCGGTGCGTCGACAAATTAACAGCCGTGCATCTTCCGATATGGTCTTCCTTTCTACTTTGCCTTTTATTTTCCTTCTACTGCACCATTCTTGGCCACTTTCGTGACCGTTTTACCTCCATTCCAACTCCCTAACCCCCCGTCAATGCCCGTCACTTCATCTGCTATTTCTTTCTTACCCCGTCCACTCGCTGACCACAGTGCTATTAACCTTGACAGATGACAAGATTCTCATTCAAATGGGATCTGTCCGAGAAGGACAAACCGAAGAAGAAAAAGAAACCTACCTCGCCGGGTTAAAAGAGATCATCAACGAGATGCGGCGTGACAAGGTGAAAGATTTCAGCACCGTGGCTTCTGAGATAGCCGCATACCGTAGGCGCTTTCTCCAAGACCCATCGCGTGTCTTGCCCCTGTAACATTTCACAATCCTTCCAGCACACAATGGCCCCTCATAACACGAGTGGGCATCTTGAAAGGTGAGCTGGCATTTCCACCTTGCCTTCTGGTGAGCGCACTCTGCCAACTCAGCCGGCGAGTATCCGCCGAGTTTTTGCTATGCAACATCAACCACTTCTCTTTTGCGATACCCCCTTCGCCCGTCCCACAGCTGGACACTGAGGCATTTCCTTGACTCACTTTCCTTCCACCTTCTTTCTTGTGCACGCATTATTAGCCCGCTCGGCGTTTTCTGCATTTGAACCACAATCCGACTTGCATGCAACTGCGGTAATCTTGACCCGTTCTGGATCAGCTTCTGATCTTCGTCGATTTTTTCGCATCATGAGCTACCTGTTGCTCGCGGCGAATCGGCGTTGAGGATATATGCGTCTTTTCCAGCTGTTGGTCGTAACTTTGCTCTTCAGCTTCGGTGGGGAGCCGTGCAACTTGCTCGAGCTCCTCGTTGCGCCGATATGGTTTTTTTTAGTTTTTATTCTTTTCTTTTGGAACGTGGGGGGTGTATGAGTATGATTCGTCGGTCGATGGATCCTTTTCCAGCACATATTCATAGCAACAGTGAACATGCTTTGTCAATCTTCAAACAATCTTCCCTCGTAACAAATGCTGCGTACGAGTCATGACACGGAGAAGTCCGAAGTCAGATGATACTAGTCCTTGCATCCAAAGCCTAACGATCCAGCAAGCAACTTGGTATGTTTGAAACCTGATTCGATGCTCATCCTGCATGGGCAAGTTCTCCTGTATCTGGATACGACCCACGGCGTTGACGGGTCTCGCCTGCTGAATCAATTCCAACCCATTTCAACTGTAGGCCAGTCACAACATGAAACAAATGGTCTGGCCATCCAGAAAAGCGATAGAAAAACTCAATATCCATGCGTAATTACACCCGGACCTGCGTGCATGCGACACGGGATGCCCCGTCTTATCGTATCTGCACATCAAAAATAACCATAGAAATGCCGCCCGAAGTTACAAGTCCAAAAATAATCAATTCAAACCCTAGTAACAACTACATGGTATCCAGCTGGACATGAAACAAGAAACAAGAAATAACCCTATTTTCGGACCCCAGAGCCAAGAAGTAGGAGTTGGTTATGATGATGTTGTACATATTGGCGACGGCTGAGAGTAATTGCTACTAAGTATAGAACGGTCGGACAGTCTGGGGGGGCCAGAATACTGAGTGCCGGATTCAATGTACAAGACTTGCGACAGGGAACCTGCAGTCTTAGAAGGGTAGATACTAGTGTCTAGAATATTTTATTCATGGATTTCATGGTTTTTCTGGAATATTCACTCAAGAAGCTCACGTACCCTTGTAGTTTATACTACCTGATATATATCGGGAGAGGTACTGTACAACTACAGTCCCGGTCTATATTACAACCTGGGCACCACCTAATCTTGACTACGAAGCAAAAAAGCCACAGTTAAATTATTTGATTTTTGAAGTACTTTATCATTTGCATCCGGTTCTGCCGTAGATATTCGCGTGACTTACACAGGAGCAACTAGATCTCCTCATGGACACAGTGCCGAGATCCCGAGCATCAACAATCTCCAAACCTCCCATCTCCAACAATAAAGATATGTATCATGTAGCCCGAATCTTTAGCCTATGACTCAAAATCTTTCAAGGCATACAGGCCAACCCCAAACCCAGCGTACCGCATGACATCCGCCAAGGTGTGGGCGATCATGATCGGAGCCAGGATCCCCAACTCATTGGGCCGGGGAACGACGACCTTCCTGCCTCACTTTTCTGGTTGAAGAGCAGGGTTATTCCGGGGAGTTCTCGCAAGCACTAAAACACCTCTAGAAACACCTCTAGTTTATTACGCAAAGATCCCGTGGTCGCGCCCGAGGGTAAAATCGGGTTGGAATTGGACCTTGGACGAATGGACTTTGATTCTCGAGAGGAACCCGACTAGCCCACTAGTAAGTTCAGCTGGACTAGAGGAAACTCACTACGCTGTAATAGTACTCCGACAGGTCACTAGGATACAAATATCAACGTCATTGGGGCCTAAGGCGACGCTGGTGGAGTCGCGCTAAAGGGCTTCCAGCGTGTGTTCTTTAGTCTCCGCGGAACCAAACAGACGGGCATGCGACTGGCGATGATGGGCCTTGACCAGTTAAGAACCTAAGTTGTTCGCCCTAGCTCTGTATTTGACAAGGCCAAAGCCAAGACCCAAACGGCCGGGGCGTAACCCGGAGAAGGGGGGATGATTTATCCAGCAGCACAGCCTCCTCGGGTTGTGGATGCCGGTTCGGGCGGGGAGATGTGTTCGTTTACACTATTTGCCGGTCTCACAGTGCGATGTGGGTTGGGGGTTTGAATGGGTTCTCTTCGAGAATGCGCTTGGCGGGGCTGAGACGCGCGCGAGCGGGTTCGCGTGGGTTTGGGGTTGGGGGCGAGAAGGGGGAGGGTGAAAGGGTAAAGGATAGGTAGGTTAGTGATAAAATTAAAGAGTTGAATATTATGAGCCTGAAGTATATGGTAAATGAAAAATCAAAGATCGGAATAGCGATGAACGTTCATGTGCATGCATTAGTGAAGGAAGTATAGAATACCCCGTATGTACATCGAGATGGTTCGCGCTTCGAGGGTTATTCAGTGGGGGGCGATCAACCTTGTCGCACCGCTTCTTTACTCAGGCACATAGGGCTGTCCCAGCGTAAAACCACCCCCAAAGAGCGGTCTTCACTTCCCAGGGGAAGCAGCAGGCTTGGCGACTAGTAGCGGGGCTGGGGGGGACATTAGTCTCGTACGAAGAATTCCATACGAAGAGGAGTCAAGACGGTAAAGAACTCAACTTCCCGGGGCACTGGCAGACGCCCGGGATATGAAAAAGTGTCCAGTTAGCAACGAGACCTCAACCCCTCAGCCTATCATGAACCTGCTTAGCCCGAGTCTAGCCTGGTCGGTGGGCGTGACTGGGCCAAGCATAGCATGCACGTTGTTATTGGACCATATTCGGAGGCTCAAAGTCACGCTGATACAATCCCTGTAGAAATCCCTGTAGAACTAGCCAAGAATCAACGATGCATGCCAGGGCGTTGCGGCTCGGCCAAAGAAAAGCAGGGAAATATTACAGGGTTTCTAAGGGTTGAAGATTTGAAGACTCATACTATGACTCCTAGACTGCATGGCGCAGTCACGAGTTTGCCCGGGTTTCCTGGTTTCGGGGACCAAACAGAGTAAGCGGAGTGGAAAGAAGAAAAAACCAAGGAGTCAAATAACCTACTATTTACGGTAATCTTATTGGATCAGACAGAGAGATGACTGTCTTGAATCATGAAGACTTGAACTATAATCGGATTGAACGGGGGGTCTTGATTGGACTTGGGCGCAAGGCAGACAAGCTGGAAAAAATGGGATCCATTCTGGAATTCCCGCCCTGCTTACATCACTTTGGCCCTAAACTAATTTAAGCAGCAGAACTATATCCGGCTTTCAACTTGCGTCTCTATTCTCGTCTAAATCGTTATAATAAACCAATGATAGCGTCGGCTTTGCAAAAACGTAGCAGATGTAAAACAGGGGAGTAATAAATCAGAATGCAGAAAATCAAAAACATATGGTAAATGTCACATGTAGGAATAAATGGAAGTAAAAAAAAAGACAGAAAAAGAAATAATGAAAATGCACCAGGCCCAATGCTCATAATCCTTCCGATCCCGCTTGCAAAAAAAAAAGATACAGAAAAAAGCAAACCAATGAAACAAGCTCAATCATTCAATCCACAAATAGACTCAAGATGCTGACAATGGAAATGGCAAAAAAACTCAATCAAGCTCAAACAATCAGAATGTCAAAAATAGCACATCAAAGTAGTCGGAGTCACTAAACACAGACAAGTTAGCAAGTCAATTCTAGTCTATAGATCAAACAATAGCGAAAAGAGGGCTGGCTCTTACCATAGCAGACATGAGAGGCATCAAAAAAAAAGAGTCTGTCTTCGCCAGCAAAGACAGTAGACACGGCAAAGGTGTTTACTTGACTTGCTCGCAGCTGCTGCAAGCCTCGTGATCGCAAGAAACGCATCGAGGTTGGTTGTTATAGACCTTGGGTCCATCACCGCATCGGCAGCAGATGTACATGTATGTCTCGGTGTAGCATTGCATGGCGCCGGGGAACGGCGAGGCCAGTGCCATAGGCATTCGTCGTGATAGAGATCGAATGCTGTGGAGATCTCCCAATCCAGTGGCAGCCATAGTCTTGGTCTGCAGGGAGAGGGAGTGCGATGGGCCGATGGTCACGGCGGATGGGTAGGGCGAGGACTCGGGGCAGCCGTGGGCTGCGTGGGAGTGGGAGTGGGAGTGGTTGTAGTTGCTGTTGGTGACCTTCTCGCGAGTGCACATGGAGCAGACGTATTTACCACAGCCGATGCAGGAGTCGTAGAGCTCGGCGTTATGGGGGCCGAAGTTGCAACCGCAGCAGTACCACAGAGTTGCCATGTTGATATTGGAAGAGAGTAGTTGAATGGCTGGCCGGATAGATGGTATAGATGGCAGTCTTGTTGGAGTGCCGGTGGATATTGGTGTGAAGATTATGTTGAAGAGCCTTGTTGGTTGAAAGGATTTAAAGATGTTTGATCAAAGGCTGATCAGGATTGATAGAGTTTATGAAGAAGGTTGGATGAGGAAAGTGTTGGTTATATGTTGGATTGTTGGAAGTGTTGGATGAAGAATGAATTGAAAGAACACGAGACCAGGGAGATGCCGAGAATTATATATTGGGAATGAGAGGTTAGAGAAGTGTACGAGAACTGAAGGGTTCCAGGCATCCTTGTGGCTATCCACCGCAGGCCATCAGCCCAGGGCTCCAGGCACCCTCGAGGCATCCCAATCGGGTAAGGGGCCCTTTTGGGTCGAGTACCGATGAGCCTTGGGGCTAGAAAACTAGAAAATAAAATCGAAAATCACAGTAAAAAATCCCCAGAATACTGATATCGTGATTAGTTACGAATTTGCGGTCTAAATTCCCCTTTCTAATGGCTCAACCCGGGGTGAAGGTGGCTTTGTTGTACCTTTGTACCTTTGTACATAGTTACCCGTATACTCTCGGTCGCGCTTTGCAGCCTGCCAGCCTGAAAAGCGTGCCTTGAAGACTACGCCCAGCTGGGTTTAGCCAAGGGTGACTAGTCTACATTCAATTCGGCGATGATTATTGGGGCGCGTCTGTTTCTCGCCGAGAAATGGGCGTCTGGAATCGTCATACAGTACTAGACAAGCTCGTCTTGGGGTTGACTCAACAAACCACCTTGTCTTCTCCACCCGTGCCCTGACAGCCGCCATGTCCTGCATGGAAACTAGCCCAAGTGCTGCGGCCATTCTACACCGTCTAGAAAGAACACGAACTGTATGAAGAATGTATGGCGTGGACACTTCTCGGGCACTCCGAATCGCGGTCTGCAATCATGTTTCAACCCTTTACCCACAACCCGTTCAACCCATTCCTCAGCTGTACCCGGATAAACCCTGGGTGATGCCTTGGAGGGAATCCCCACAATTGACAGGCAGCGGCGGGCGGTGACTCGAACGGAGGAGTCACCTGCGGTCAGGTGTGCACGCTAGGCCCTCTGCTGCCTAAGGTGTGCAGAGTCATCCATTTGCAAAGTTGAAGCTTCTCGGCTTCTCGTTGGTCGCATTTGTCAAGTTGACAAGCTAATCTCCAAGAGTAATTTCGAAGGTTATCCCTTTGATTCTTTTGGGAGTCTTGCCCGGGTTCATTGGATTCTTTTTTGACATGTCTTCGAGGCTGTGTTTTTCTCGAATAAAAAGACAATTCGATATCCAATTATCCTTTCGACAAACAACAAAATAGTACTTTCTACCTTGTATAGTTCAGTTTTCTCCCATCGAGACTTTCGACATGGCCCAATCCTATTGACCACTGGGAATCTCCATTTCCACCCTATACCACCCAAGGCATACTCAATGATCGGGAAACGGCAACTCCATGTCTCAACCCGGCATATTGAGGGAAATATGACACGGATAATCATCTAGTCTCTCTCCATACTCGTCAATTCGACGCTATTCCCAGCCCAGGCAACAAAGCCCGCAATCATCGTGCCCCGGCCGTTTGTTCCCCGGATACACGGCATAAATCGATATTGAATTCGAGGTCATCTATTGGATTCCGACCCTCGACTGGAACAAAAGATGCCAAGTATCACACACTAAAACCACTATGTCCGGGGCCATCGGGGCGAGGCTCCCGTGATTACGTCGGGCGGTCTGCCAAGTGGACCTGGCAGGTTTCCGGGAAACGCCCTGACCTCATCGTTCCCGTTCTCTTCACTCGATCCATTCCATCCAGTCGCACCGCTATCGCGCTGCCTGGCCCTCTCACATTGTTATTGTTTTTCCTTTCATGTATCCGTATGAACCTCGAGGCAGAATCATTCTGAACACATGGCGACCGCTGCGCAGAAGCGCGTCAACCTAGTGGTCTCGAGGATCATTCCGCCCGTACTACTCGGCGCGATCATCTACGCTTCTTACGCTATTACGAAGACATTATGCAGTGAGTGATCGCGGATTCCCTGGTGCCTGCGCCATTTTTTTTTTACTGTAAATGCCTCATGCTAACTTTTCTTTCTCATGGCACAAGTTGACTATCTCATCCACCCTCTACCTTCCTACCATCAAAGCCCTCGAGTCGGCGCGGGCGCCGTCATCGTCGCCCTCTATTATCTTCTCTTAATCCCCGTTGTCTCGACCTATATTCGACTTCTTTATAATGTCTTTGTCAGTCCTGGATACCTACCACTCGGTGCCGAACGAGTGCGCGCCGAGGCCGATTCGGAAGATCCCAAACACAAGCATGGGAAGCGCCGGCGTCGCAAGAGCAGTTCACGAAGGAGGCGCGATGCGGAGAAAAACGGCCAGGCAGATGCAATTCCAGATGTGGATTTGGAACGTGGCATAAACAATCACGCGGGAGGCAAGGCATACCAGCTTGATTCCTTCGGCTTGGAGAGCTTCTATACAAAAGACGTCTTTGTTTGCCAAGAAGATGGCCGGCCGCCGTGGTGTTCATCCTGCTGTCAGTTCAAGACGGACCGGGCGCATCATTGCCGGGAGGTCGATCGGTGTGTGCGTAAGATGGATCATTTCTGTCCTTGGTAGGTTGTCCTTCAAAGGAGAATGGTGTCGACTTACTAACAGCGCACAGGGTGGGAGGTGTGGTCTCCGAGACATCCTTCAAGTTCTTCATCCAGTTCGTCGTATACACTGCCATCTTTTGTGGATACCTCCTGATCGTTACCGCATACTATACGGCGGAGATTCGGCGCAATGTGAGTACCTACCTACCCAATGTCACAGCAACGTTGACAACTGACATTTCACAAGACTGGCGGCGCCAATGCCTACTGGGCAGTTTGTATCGGATTGTGAGTACCCGCCACCATTCCATTGTCCCTGTCCCCAGGCTGACCAAATACGCAGGAGCGCTCTCTTCGCCTTCTTCTCCGCGGGAATGTCCCTCAGCTCCATTCAAATGGCCATGATGAACCTTACCACTATCGAAAACATCAACCGCCATTCCGTCGTCTGGACCCTCGCCATTCGAGTCCCAGACCACATGCTGGATCGACTATGGGCCACCGACTCCCCCTGGGCACCAACCTTCCGCACGGTATCCTACCCACTCCAACCGCCCTCATCACCCTCCCAACCTCAAACAACCAGCCCATCACCAGACGAGCGTCACGTCTTCGCCATCCTCCACACCCTCCCAGGCGAAAACCCCTTCAGCCTCGGTAGCCCCCTAAAGAACCTACAACAGGTTATGGGCCACAGCATCAGCGACTGGCTCCTCCCTTTAAAACACAGCCCGTGTGCCGACCACAGCAGCTCAGAAAGCGCATTTGCGCTAGGCCCCGTGGTAACTCGGCTAAAGCAGGAAGCCGGTTTGGTCCCGGCCCCCGCGCCAGAATCCGGGAATGGGGCGATATCAAGGCCCCCAACTGCGCGGGTGAAGCGTAGCCGCCGCGTTAAAGATAGATCGTGATCTGCATTAGGATCCGGAAATAGAAAGAACTATTACTAATGATATCGTTGTGAGTGTTTGACTGTTTCGTAGAGACTTGTTTTTTCTTGGAAGAACTTGACTTCACTGTTGTAATGCACGATGCCCGAAATGGATGGGAGCAAGTCCAGGCCGGAGCCTTGCCGCCCATGCAGCCCAATTTGGCCCCACGCATAGGGCTGAGTTTCTTGCCACATCGTGTTAGAAGTACATAGTCTACCTCCACTACATGTCTACAGATATTATATCACGATCACGCATAGGGGCCAGCTATGCCAATTGGTAAATGGAATACTGAACTACCGAGAATAAGATGGTGGCTAAAGTGTCTAAGACAAGGAACAATAGTATAGATTCCTCGAATCCTTATCTATAGGACGAGATACACGAAGCCAAAAACAAAGAAAAGATCAAAGAGTGTGATTGTTTATGACGTAGGAAACAATCAAATACAAAGTAAAGAACGAAGATCAAAGGAGTGTGAAGGAGGAATCAAACAGATTGACCAAAGAAATACAGTATACCCGAAAATATGTCAATCCCAAGCCCAAGCCCAAGCCCAAGCCCAAGATCGACCCTATACCAGTACACCGTCCCTAGGAACCAACAAAATGAACGTCCAACAAGATTCAAGAAAGAGAACCAAGGAAAGTCAAAGGATCGTAAACTCGGATACCCGTAACTCCCAACCCGAATACCTAACCCCCCTGTATCTATGCCCACCCAAACCGATGCCCGTCTAAGCCCATACCCATCTAAGCCCAAACCCATACCCATACCGACGCCAAATCAACCCCCCAACCAAGCGCCAAGCAGCTCTCCAAAACCAGGAGAGCACAAAACCCGGGGAGTCAAGATTTACACAACAGGTGGTGGAACGTTGTTGGAGCAGTCCGCGCACTTATAATGCGGACAATTCGAGCATCGTTCCGGCGCCAGATCAGGGTTATTCATGTTACCGCAGTTATGGCAACTCCACCACCCAGCAGCATCCGCGAGGGTCGTGCCAATATCAGAATAGATAGTTGGAGTTGCGCTGCACGGGGGTTGGACTGGTGATACGAGGACGTAATCGTCATCGACGTACTCGTCGATGGTTTGGGGTCCCGGGAGAGGCGAGATGATGGGTTCGGGGAAGTAGGGCATGGTTGATCCCAAGAGGTTGGTCATGGAGGCGTTGTTGTAAAACATTGTGGTGTGGTTTTGAGTGGTGAATGTATACGATTTGATGGTAGGATGATGAACTCAATTCGAGTCGTGATAGTGAATCGTAGATGTACAAACGCCCAAAGTATGCAAGTATGACCGATGTGAATGGAACAAGAAACCGTTCACTCTCGTTGATGATTCTGATGCTAGATCTTATATCGAAAATGAAGTACTGAGACGATGATGAGGAGAAAGAGAACGAAATCTTGACCTCGAAGGGAGCTCATTTTAAAGATTCTCGAAAGATATCGTCGAGCCCTCCCCTTTACCCTTGCTTACCGCAAATCACATAACAAGCCAATATCAATCTGCCACAATTTCTTCACGGCCATAACGAGCCCTACCCAATGAGGCAGCACAAGGACAAGACTTCACGAGGGCGCGGGGTGAGGGCGGACTAGGACGGTTAAGAAAACCGCAACCCCCCCCATTCCCGACCGATCAGAATCCAGTACCCTTCGGCATTGGTGATGCTGCCAATCACCCATCCAGCCGGAGTTCCCGAAAAGGTAGGCTCAGTTTGTGAGAGTGCCACCGACTAAGAGTGCCACCGACATAGACATCAGTCTGCCTTTTTCACACAGCCCTCGCCCGCACCCAGAATCGGATTCTCCTTCGACGTATCCAGAGTTGCCGGTTCACCTGGGCTCCAGGGACGATATATCGGCGAGCTCCGATTGTGCTGAGTCACAAACGTTCATGGTGAGGCTGCTGAAGTTTGCAAATTGCTTGGTGAGCGTCCAATAGCAAGCTTGCTTGAGTTGCGCTGCGCAGGCTAGGGTTGGGATATGCCCATGGCCCACCGTGCCTGCACCCAGCACCCGTGAGGGCTTCGGACCCAGGCTAGGGGCGGACAAGCCTGTGAAACGAGTGTCAAACCAGGTTTGACTGGAAGTGAGGCAGGAAGCGTTTCTTGCGGATGTTGCTCGGCTCGTCTGGGGTGCAGTACACCGGGGCTTGAGGGGACAGTCTATTGATGATATGTCGGGATTGCAGACTAAGCCACCAGCCATGCCTGCTCTTTCTTGGAGTTTCTTCTCGGTTTCGACGGGCCAGGGGGTGCTAAGCTAATTGCCTCACGGATTGCCTTTCTGCAAAGCGGCCGGCTGCCCTGTTTCCAGCAGCGCGGTAGTCCGCAATGTGGGTTGAGGGTTTTTGCTCTGACAGGGCGAGGGGAGGCGGCACGGGGGTGTGGAGGGGAGAAGTGGAGATTGGTATGCTACGAGAATGTTCGGAGAATCAAGAGGGGTATTGCATTGAAGTGTACTCCGTACAGTATAGGAATACTGTGCTCCATAGGGATTGGACCAGGAAGCACAGTTTTGGAGGAAATTGACTAGGGGGACTGCCCAAGCTCCGGGCCAATCAAGGAATGACGAGGGTTGCCATTGTGGTTAGTGCTGGGAGATCCAGTGAGGGGAAACCATTCCAATGCAAGAGAGGAGATTGTTCTGCGATTCGATAGAATCGACCCATCAATTGATGAGGATGAAGTAAGGTGATCACCTCACTTTGCGTGGCTGTGCAAGCACAAGGAAGAAGGCAACTAGCACCGCGATTAGTATTACATCTTTAAAGATCTTGCATAAAAAGAGTGCATAGGCGATAAGCCCTGCGGAATAGACTTCCACCAAGCTCTATTTCCACTTTAATGCCCCCGCCATCATGTCCAGTTTCGTCCGTTTGACGATTGCCACAAAGAGGCGGGAATGGCCTCTCATCGTCCCATTCGAGCAGGTTGCAATCTTGCCGTGTGACCCGTTTCATGATCGAGGGGGGGGGGGGGGGGCATGCCCTCAACCCGAGTCCTCAACCCGATGCCAGGAGATGACGGTGATGAGGAATGGCGAATGGGAGTGGACAGAGCCCCGCCACAAACCCGGCGAAGTCTTGCCCGGCATGCAACCCGGGCGGCGGGCGCAAGATTACAGTCGAGGGCAGGTTCCAAGTGGATCCCCCCAAGCGCCCCTCCTCAGCCCCTCACAAGGCCCCTCAGAGCCGCAATTGACCGCCGGAAGATGGACGTTTTGCATGGTGGAGGAGGGTACGTCCTTAGTGGGATGTCGGTAAGAGAATTGCTGGGCTGAAGGAGGAGACTTTCGGGAGGAGGGGCCGTTGGCATCTTTTGGTCATCCAGCTATTCACGATAGAGGAGACGGTGATCCATGGTTTCAGATGCGGCTCCAGATGTTCCAAACATTCCTTGTCCACGGATCGTCCCGCTGATAATCCACCTTTCCAAGGGCATTCCATGATTCTAGGAGGCCTCGATGTTTTGAAATGCTTCCATGCTGCACGACATTATGGGACTATCTGCAGTTGGGGCCTTTGATCAGGATCGACTTGCCGAAGTATGGGAATCATGCTGGACGGTGAGACATATGTCAAGCCAAGATACGACACCTGCATTTCATAATCAGCATCGGTCGGATAGTAGTCCATAAAAAAGTACCAGGATTTGGAGGAAATGCATAAAACCGAGAAATAAACGGCCAACAATGTCCCCTGCTCATTGGCCACCGGATGTCAACGGGGCTGCAGGAGTGGGAGGTGGGGGGAGAGAATAACAGTTAGTAATGTCTCTCGTCACTGGATCACTCGTCACTGACCATCACTGACCCGCGAGTCCACTTTTGCGTCATTCCGTTCTGACCTGCCCGACCTTCTTTTCCTTCTTCCCCTTCCTCTTCGTTTCACACACCTTTTCGGCCTCATCTTTGGGCATCCAGTTGGGTTCCGCTAGATCCCCACTGTCTTCGGCCCCGGTGTCGAATTGATCGATCGGCCCCTTTCAATTTCCTGAGCTTCCATCGCGTTTTTGTTTATCATCCACCCGAATCGACTCGCTGCTTGCTTTTTTTCCCTCCCTCCTTTTTTTCTGGAATCTAGGGATATACTTCCAGATCAGGGACTGAATAAAGAAGCTCCGGTTTCTGTCACCTCCCACGCACTCGGTAGGTTGCTCTCCCTCCTCGCCTCCTGGCATCTGTCATATTTGAAGATGTTGCCCCTCTTCTAATGCCGACCGTACAGTATTTACACGCGCAATTCTTCCTGACCTCGCAACCGTCAACGTGAGCCTCGGCGCTGGTCGCTTCGAGCTTTTACGTTTGTACTCGTTGCCATTCTACAACGAAAATGGGGTTCTCGAGTCATTTCCGTGGCCTCTCGCCAACCGGCGGTCGTCACAATGCGCCTGGCCCACGAGCGTCGACTGGCATGGTCCAGCTAGGCTCTTCTCTTGACACCTACGAGCCACCCCGAAGCCGACACGATTACGATGACTACTATTACCCCTCGGACGTGGGTTATACCAGCACATACCGCCACCACCCCCGACACCGGTCCACAATCGATGTTCAGCCCGTGTCTACTCAAAAATACCGTGAACATGGCCATTCAACAAAGAAGCGAACCGAGTATGCCATTCAGCCGCAAACCAGACACAGAAGCCACACCGCATCCGCGACGGACATCTATGATATCCCTGGCCGGCCGGCCGTGCCATCATCCTCATCATCACATCTTCGCCCGGTCCACGGCTCGGGCCATGACCATCGCACTCCTAGTCCTATTTATGCAGAGCCCTCACGCCAGATGGTTCCCACATCCTCTTCTCGTCATGGTAGTGGTCACCGACGTGTGTTTAGCACTGACTACGCCAGTGACACCGGCCGCCTGGAAATGCGGGATAGTGCGAGATACAGACCGGGCGCCCACCACGGTGCACACCGTGTCCAGCCACCGGCGGGCCGGCGGCGGCATCCGCCCTACGAGGGGCCCAAGAAGGGATACGACATTGATAACTATGCTGCCTACTCCTACACTGGTCCGGGCGAGGAAGCTAGACGAGACTTGTCTGGCGACTATCCCATTGCCCGGCCGCGCCAACCCTCAGGTCGGTCGTCCATGGACCGGCCGATGAGTTTGAATATTGCTGAGCATCACCCTCAATGGCCCGCGCGCAGTAAGGAACCCCGCTCCCACGGCCCACCTCCTACTTCATGGGCTCTGGACAAGATAGACCGCGATGGCCGGCCTCGAACCTCTGCTCGAGGTTTCGATGAGTACCGGGATACGTCTAGGACGAGGGCACCCGCTGGTCACGAGCGTGCTTTGGTGCCAATGCCCCATGAATCCGACGATGACTATTATAGTGATGCTCACCGAAGGTCGCGTCGCGAGGACCCCCGGCGCCATGTGGATGACCGGTCCCCGCGACCGCACAATGGTGGTAACGATCGCTCGCTAGCCGTAGCCGGACTTGGTACAGCTGCCCTGGCTAGTGGTTTCTCGGATGCTTCAGACTATGAACATCATCGACCTGGCAGACGCCGTCACCGACGCCGCGAGGCCGAACGGGACTACGACTCTGCCCAGCCCTCCACTAGGGACGTTGCAGAGAGTGGTCCCTCCAACTCGGAGCGACCTCGCCAGCTAACCCTAGAGGCTGGTAAGACCTACCGTCGACGCGGGCATTCACGACGAAATAGCCGACGCTCAGAGAGTGATACGGAGGTCTACACGGACGATGAAGACCTCCACAAGTACCGGCGTGAACCTGCCGCGGCACCACATCGGAGCAGACATAGCAGCACTGATACAAGTAGTGCCGAAGACCGCTCGGCCAGACGGCCACCACGAGACCGGTCGCACCACCGGTCTCGCTCACGGCGGGCTCCTGAAGATGGACGGTCCTCGGAGTCGCGAAGCTCTCCTACCATTGACCGTCGAGAGGAAGCCCGCAAGCCGATCGCTGTTGAACCCCCTGCCACCAAAGAGGCCGAGCAGCCCGCGCCAAGGGGTATTCTCAAGCCCCCCAAGAAGGCATTCCCTGAGGAGCCAAACCCGATAAGAGAAGGTGTGGCTCCATTGAAGGATGCCAACAAGAACGGGATTCCACCGACGGCCCGATGGACTAAGATCGACCGGCGACTGGTCAATCCCGCTGCATTGGAGGCAGGCAACGAGCGATACGAGGAGCGATCAGAGTTTGTGATCGTGCTGCGGGTTCTTACCAAGGAGGAGATCCAGGCGTATGCTCTGAAGACACAGGAGATTCGAGGTAAGCTCTTCCCATTCGACGCTGCGGCAACATTGGATGGCACAGAAAACTTACTTGACGTTTCTTCAGATGCCCGCCGTGAGGAGTACGTTCGTGACACGCGCCAGCGCAGGGAGGAAGACCAGCGCCATGGCCGTCGGGGCGAGGAATCCTCCAGTGATGATGAGGACGAGAGCGAGGACGAGCCGCTGAAAATCGAGGCACCCCCAGTTCCAGATGTGAATACCTCTCTACCCATGAGGTCTCGTCATTCGCCGCCGCTACCCGAGCGCCCACCCGCCGTCCAGGCGTAGACACCTCATTCAGTAGAATCCTCATGATCTCCTGCGTTTGCCAAGGGGCTTTGGGGCCGGCGCCACGATGCATGCATTCTTGCCCCGCGCCTTTTTACCTTGACTGGGGAAGCGCTTGCTTCGAGAGCTAGCCTGTTAGATCTTCAAGCTCCCATGTCAAACGTCCAGAATTGCGACAGTGTCGCTCCCTGCCGGGGGATCTTTTCCTGCTCCCTGCTTGTCTTTTGGACTGGGTTCATGTCTGCACCCTCTTGTACTCCCTTTTTTTCATATCCTGTCATGTCCTCCCCCTGTATGCTACACAAGACCGCTTACTTGCATCAACGTCACTTGTATTATGATAGACTATGTACTCTCGCAGCGCATTTGCATTTATATTCGCATGTTCGAGGTACTGCCTCTCCGTTTGAGATGGAGAGGTCGAAATTTTGAGCTGATACATTCCTGTGCATTCAATAACATAGCCTCTTTCTTGACATCCTGACTTGTTCTTTGCTTTCTATAATTTATGCCTAAAGTGCTTGTACTTTCTCGAGACCCAGGCCATTCTGAAACAGTGTCTCTTCTCATGTTTTCTATTTTGCGTTGGTAGGTAGGGGGAGTGCTCGGTTCTCGAGTGGCCATCTACTCAGCTCCTGTACTACCATCACTATCCGCATGAGCATCATCGTCTACGCGCGCCATGCTCATGCCAATGCCGACTCAGACTCAGGCCTGTAGATATAGAAATTGTGTCTGAAGGTGTTTCACATGGAAATAATTAGTCAAGAAGACAAGACAGTATGGTGCCATAAACAGAAGAAGCCTAGGCCATTTCCCCATCGTCCATTCAAACCCCAAGCTCCAAAGATCCAAGACAAGATACGCTCAGACTCACTAAACCCTCCAATAAAGGCTAGAGATAAACAATATGCTTCTACAACACAGCGCGTTCACGGCCATACCTAAACTTTCTATACCAGGCTCCCCTCCTCTAATCTCGAATCCCCCCATCATTCAACGCTCCCTTGCACCCAACCTACCATGTCGTATCCGTATGTGCTGCAATCTCCCGTACCCACGCCATACATCACCACTTAATTTAGATTCCTCCGCCCCACGAACCAACCATGCACTACACAGGGGCTAGCAAAGAAAGGCCTGGACATGCCCAAATTACCGGGGAACAGCCCAAAGAAGATGACCGCAAGCAAGCGCACAAAGCAATTAAACCGAGTAGGAGAAAACGACACTGTTGCACGAGGGGTGTAAGCCTGGCTGCGAGTCCTCAATGGTCGACAGGCGCCACAGACGTGTTGAAGCAAAAATTTTCGTCGGTTTGCACCGGCGCCGCTGGACTTTGTCGTTGGGTTATTGCCCTGTATTGGATGGTGTCCGGGACTTTGGACTTGGTTAGATTGCTTTTCTTGAGTTGGCGTGGTGAGTGGCTCTAAAGATCATGGGTGGGTGTGGATGGATGGTTATAGTGGTCTGGTCTGAATCTCAATATGATCGTCAGGCTGCAGTAGGTAAGGGTGTATCTGATTCTCCTCTAGTTCGCAGGGGATGTGGTTGCCTCGAGCTGAAATGAGATGGTTTTATTAGGTCGGAGGTGATTCGAGCACGAGGTATGAAATGTCATATAGTCATGTTTCTATAGTCATCATGCAGCGTATAACTAGGCAATAACACATATCATCATCGCATGGCATCAGTATTACTTCGAACATGATGTGCTTGCAGATACACCGAACATTAGAGGGTCAAAATACGCCATAATCACTTTTCCTTGACACATATCGTTCAAATCTGGGCACGGGACATATGTAAACCTAGCGTTATTGAGAACGGGCGATGTACCCCTATAGAGTCAAGATTGAAGCATGATATTGATTACTATCACCCTTGTCGCTTAGCTAGTTTCATCACTGCCTTTGATAGCGGCATAGGCTGTGTGTAGTGTTTCAATATCTTATCAGAGCAATTCTAACATTCTACTTGGGACCCTTGCCATGTATTTGCATGTAGTCTCCCGAGTACGTTGAATCATTCTTACCTGCGAAAACTCGGAGAAAAGAGTCTCTGCCGAGGACGTAGCAATTGTCCCTTAGTTTTGCAGGAGATTCCTGCAGGTAACCATAGCTCATGTACGGATCAACCTACCTACGGTCCTCCTAGGAAATCTCCGCGGTAGCTACCAACGGTTTAGTTAGCTGATGAAAGTCATGACCAGCCTAGGTCTCGGTTGACCGACTTGTCTGGCTTGTGATTATCTGCGCAACTTGATACTCTAACCTATTCGTGTATAGCATCTCCGTTTACGACTGTGCCCGCCCCCGGGTTGCAGTCGCGCGCGAGTCATGACCACTAGCGAACGTTGCAGGCTCCACCCAATGGGGCATTATGATGTAGATTACTCTGGTTTTGGAAAAAACTGTAACAAAATGGTAACAGACCAGAGCGTCTTCAGCTCTACTGTACGAGACTGATGATCGCGTTGGTCTTTTTCGGTTTAGACACGGAAATAGTTGGATGGACTCCTCAAATAAGATATCAAAGACTTGCTTCATATAGATCTTGAACAACCGAATTCTTGATTTTGGTCTTGCTTCATTCATGGCAATGCCTGTCACTTGTCGGAGGTTCGCTCCGTCCCATGGAGGTGGGGACATATCTACCGTCCCGCGGAGAATCGCCCCTCCCACTTGACGGAGTATGTACTTTCGTCGATGGCAGTATATTGCTGGTGCACCAATAGGCCTTGAGAGATGGCGTTTGTCCATCTGTTCATCCCACCTAACAGGTACGTACCGAAATCAAGTTCTTTGTCTAACTGTGGCGACGGCCCCGAAATCATGGAGGGATCGACAACAACGATGCACCTGCTTGCATCTGGTTCGCTGGACACTTTGTCTTTTCCCCTCCTCCCCCTGCGTCTGCTATCTTGACGTCGACGGTTTGTGACTGCCGGTTTGGTTGGCGTCTTTTGCCTTTTTGTGCCCTTCAGCCTGGTGATGGTGTCATTTTCAACGGCTTCCGTGTTCCATTCAATGCACCGACTGGAGCGATGGCTTCGAAATCTAATCTATTTTGACTTTTGGCTGTCCATCAAGTTTGTCCTATACGACCTTTTGTACAACCATGTGTTTTCACGACCATGTTTGCGCGTTCTGGTTTCAGATTTCCGATCTGTTGCTTTGTGGCTTGCTTGGGAATAATTGTTCGCGATGTACAAAACTTGCACTAGAGCGAGCAAGGCATGTATGAACTCTATCTACAGAGGTCCCGTACCCCGTTCTAGTTCTAGCTCTCCCAGGGTCATAAGAGATAGCCTCAAGAGAGACGTATCTTCGGTAAATCTTCTCGATGTGTGGCTGTTCCGTTCCTAACTGTTTAAGGAGCTAGCTATAGGAACGGTGTGCGTTATTTGATCCCATCTCCGCCAATTCACCATCAACCTCGACCTGCAGCGATCGACTACAAGACTTTCCATTTCAACTTAGCGGGCATCTTGGGCCTAGCAAGTCTTCGGTAGCCCCTCCTCTCTTACCTGCAGCGCCCGGTCTGGAGAGATTCTGAAACAAGAGTCCAGCTCCGGCCACGCGACACGCTACTGCGCGCACTGCTGCAGGTTAACGCCGTTCCGCCGCTGGACGCCTCACGAGTCACAACTGCTGCGGATAGACCCAAAGCCAAAAGTGAAAAAAAGTCTAACCGAGTCCGTTGCTTGCATCTCGAAGTATCGGTGTACAAGAATGCCGATGCATCGAATTTTCTGTACGAAGTGCGGTCAGAGGGAACCAACGGCAGCGAGCGAATAATAGTGACCTCTCCAGAGCCGTGTATACAACAGCATTTACGCCGCACCGAACACGAAGGACTTGATCCTTTTGCGCTTATCATTTCCTCCCCAGCCACGGTCGCGACCGTCGAGATTGAGCTTAGGGTTTAGCATGGCACCCACTTTTCCGCTCCGTATATAGGGTTTAGCGAGATACAGTATTTTTTTGGAACTCTCAAAGCACGCCCCCTCTGGCCTGTCGGAGCACTCTCGTCCTTTTGTGCTGGAATTAACTTCTTGAAATCGGAGTCGCCGGCCCTAGCGGAATTCTCTTTTCGCGCTTCGACCAGAGTAACCTCGATTGCGAGATCTGCCGTCTGTGGAGATGCAAGCTAGGCAGAATCAATCAACTAATGATGTAAAAATCTACCGGCCACAAACGCTAGAGACGATCGCGTCTCGGATACTCCATTGTTATTGAAGCGAAGCGCTCGTGGGCCATCCTCGGAGCCGGATGGTGGGGCCGATACAAGACCCAACGTCAACATTTCTTTGTTTCTTCGGAGGTTAGGATGACCTAGCATTCGGGTTGGGGAATTGAGAATTAGCTAATCGCCCCGAAACAATAATGGATGCAAAAATTGGACTATTCAAAAGATTAGGCCAACGAGAAGAAGCTGGATGCAGATAGGGGGCGGTATTGCGCGTTCATTCGGGCAGAGCCGCTGCGCGAAACAAAGCGAATGCGCCAGGCTGGAGCAACTACCTAATATCGTAGGTATAATGACCACGGAGTATAGGCTGTTACCGCAGGAGTCAGTAAAACTAGAGCGGGATCATATTGATATCTAATCGATATCTACTTTACTGTTGGTTAGTGACTACGTAAATTCTCTTCTTCATCGAGATGATACATCTGAACCGTTGCCGCAGTACTCGAAGAGACGAAAGACTCCTTACAGGTACCCTCGACACAAGTCTGACTGACAACGATCTGGCATGTGGAGAATCCCCGTATCATGCCAATAACAACGGGGTATTGGGGCTAGCCCTGAGCTGAATGAGGAGTGTAACCGTTTCTCGTGCCCATAGCTCAAGGGATACACTGGCAATAAGAAGAAGCCACGCCCGGAGGGACGAGCTAAAACTGGCTGGCTGGAAAAGCAAATTAGCGCTGGCCCCCAGCCCCAAGTTCCCCCCGCTGCGGCCCCATCAACCCCCCCAATCCACAATCGACACA